ACTCAAAATCCCGTGATATCGTAAACTGTGTGGGGTGCCCACACTCCGCCTGAGTGCAGTGTATGTCCCAAGAGATTCGACCAGCTCGCGTTTTAGAATTTCTCTCTTTCAACTGACACATTGGGAGAGATATTTTTCCATCAAAATTTTGCCAAAAAGAAATAGAAAGGCAGTGCCTTTTGAAAGAATTGTGTCTTTTTTTTTAATCTCTTAGCAGTTAATCTGACTTTTGTCTCTCAAGACAAAGGTCATGCTGGTGACCTGATGTTTTTTATATTTTCAACAGCCAAATGGAAATGTTATTTTGAGGTATTGCTAAAGAAAAAGCGTGTCTCGCCGAGCAGTGCTGAAAGAAAAAATTTTTCACACCCTTATATTTTGTTCTTTTTCATTCATTTTGAAAGCATTTTCCAACTCTATCAAAAAAATTAAAGAACTGAGCGACCGGCGGATTTTAGTTTGGTGGCAAAAGAAAGAGCGCTTATCAACTGCCACACCCTTTAGCCTGATGTGTTCTCTGATGTAGTTCTTTCATGACCACGTTAAATTTAGAAGAAACAAGAAATGTAAAGAAATTAATATGGTAATCATTCAATCGTTGCCCACTGGACAGATAGCGTGAGCATTTGTGTCGTAATTCCTGGGCGTGGTAAAACAAACAATCAAACAGACAGCAAAAAATTTTGAATTACACCACTGAGCCCCCTCGCCCCTGTATGCTGTTAAATACTTTAAATGACGTTGTTGTGATTTATTTTTCCGTTGAACTTTCCTACTATACACTTTTTTTTATATATAAGAACGTATAATTTTGGGGCCAAGGCTGAACGTTTTAATTTTCTTTTGCCATTTGAGCCTAACAACCTTCTGAACATGTTCTTAAAGTTGTGATGCATTGTATTTCAATAAATCAATTCTGACGTGACTAGACTAACTCATCCAATATTAACTGAGTGGTTCTTGTTAATGTTAAAAAAGGCCATTAAGTATCTGCTCTTAGACTACAGTTTTAAATTTCTTTTACCTTTATTCAAACTTCTCACACACAAAAAAGAGCAAACTCAAGAAGTTCTCAACTCATCCTCAGCTTAGGTATGTTCTTAGTATTTTCTGAAAATTTTGGTTGATCTCAGCCTGAGCGTTCTTGTTGAAAAGATTCCTATTTATAAAGAGTGTACCACAGGAGTAAGGTTACCGAGGATTTATTGCACCATACAACATCAGCATTGCGTAATAAATGTAAAGCTTTGAATGCCGCTTACGGACTAAGACAATATGCAATTTTGCCTTGAAATGAGTTGAGAAGATGTTGCTATTCATATTCTTTTCAATGTTTGAACGTTTTCTCAGACGAGAGAAAGTAATCTTTGAGAAAAGAGGCAAATTTGGACAAGTTTCGCCTGTCGAAATCTCATTGGTAAGTTTCACTGTTTTGCAATGATCCATCATAATTTTGATACCGCTTGAGATAACTCTTGACTATAACTTTATCGCAATGGACTATCTACTGATAGCGGCAGAAAAAAGATAAAACTTCTCACGTCTATAAAGTCAATTTTTCGTTCAAAAAACTGAGAATTTCTCAATCGGTGGCCTCCTCTCTCACTTGAGATAAATCATGAAACCTTTCCTTTAATTTTAGACTCATGAGGAGCCGGAAGAACTTAGTTAGAAATTAGAATTAAAGTCTAAATTATGGGAATCTAACAAGACTGAGGCAAAGGTGCAAGGTGTAAGATCATGTAAAAAAAAAAAAAATTGAAATCGAGGTGCACGCCAGCGGAAGGTCAAAGCTATTTTTACGATCAGCCTAGAGAAGCAATTATTATTTCCGTTCATCAGGTGTCATATTTTAAGCAAGGTGTGTTTGTTCCAGTGTCGACCTCGGTCCAAGGCTCAAAAGTCAAACACCAACTTACCTCTCTAAATTTCCAGATTAAAGTGTCAGACTACAGTGGATCTTTGAGCTGTTGATAATGAGCAGTATCATATCGGTCAAGGGGTCGAATGACTGTGAGTTTCAAATCAACTCGATTAACGATTTATGCCAATTTTATGAGAAAATGATCTAAACGTGTCTGCTCCATTTTAAATTTGAGTTTCAAAAAAAAAAATAGCCTGATGGAATTTAAGAGGGTCTTTCGTCTAAAGGGCATGCAAAATCCGAGGCACAAACATTTTTCGCGTTTGGTTTGGAGAAGCCGAAACCGTAAGTAACTATTTCTCAGTCTCCCGCCAGTCAGCCCGAGTACCATGACCCCACTCCACGCCCCCTGGTATGAAACTTGTTGAAAATGATCGATTAACTTCTATTTAAAAAAGGCGCTAAATGCATTTAATACTTCCTGATCAAACTTACTCTGTCACAGCCCGTTGAAATGAGTTTCGTCCTTAAACGGAAAAAAGGTAATTTATCATGCATCTTGGTAGCCTTGATTGGATCAGGAAATGCAACTATGGAAAATTTGATTAAGCGACAAAATGCTTGTTTTTTTTCGCTTACTAAACCCGGATCAATATCAGTATCTGGGCAACTGCCCACCTACCCCTCCCCTAATCCAACATTAACCCTAAGTTGTTATCAATTGACTGTTGTTGAGTTAGGGGAGGGGTAGGTGGACACTTGCCCAGATACTGATGTTGATCCCTAAACCCTTTCGTGAACTCCGATAAAGCTTTCTCAGTCTGTCAGTGCCAGTTTTTCTACACGTATTTCGTCTTTTTGAACTAGATGGAGAGACATTTTACAAATGATCTTTAAACTCAAGGAAAGATTTTAGATTCCTCAGCATACTAAAGATGAAGATTTTCTCTTTACTAGAATACTGCATCTTTGTGGAGTTTGAGTTTGATGTCTGATATAGCTTTTTTATAGTCACAACTTGATTAATTTCGTCTACAATTATTGGATCAGGATGCGACTAAGTAGGATTATTTTCATTAGAATAAAATATGCTTTGGAAAACGGCAAACAACTTAAACCAGGATCTTGTTCTTTTTTTTCCCCTTATTGAAATTTATCTCGATGTGATCCAAATAGAAACATACTTAGCGGTTTACAAAACTGTCGTTATTCATGATTCAAAATATTTACATATCGGAAAATCTCTCTGAGCAAACAGCTTTCCCTTGCTTTTACGAATGTGGGATGGCATACCGTTCTTATATCGTATATGGCATTCAATCGAAACTAAAAGGGTTTAAAGAAAGGAAGACGATTTGAACAGATCATTTTCCCCCAGTTACACAGAATTTGTCTCATTCCAAAATGCTCAATCGATTGCGCCTTTTAGCTGCACTAAACGTAGGCGATAAACGCTTTTTTCAGGACACTATTCAGTCGCCTTTCTAATAGACAGTTTGTAGGGCACTCTCTGTGTCCTGCTGAGCTTGCGTGCTCTAAGACTAACGTGACAATTGGATGTTATTGAAAGCATTTACTTGCCTCCTGTGAAGTCTTGTGATTGTCTAGAAGAATAATTACCGCAAGAATAACCCAGTTTTACTTCGCGTGAATCGTAATTTTTTTCTGCCGTGTATGTGTTTAAATAAATAGCAAACAAGCATTCCAAAGACCAAAGAAGCCGGTTTATGCTTTGAAGCGATGTTTAGTAATGATAAATGGTTTATAAACACACGGCGAGGGCGCAAGACTCTTTGTAATGACTGGCCTTAAGTTAATAATCAGTGCCAAGTCTGGTTCAGTTCAGGAAAAAAATGCGATAAAAAGTTACAACATGTTTACCGAAGGGTATGAGTTTTGCAGACCGCGCAAGAACTCGCCGTATTGTATGAGCGGAAGGATTAACTAACGGAAGCTGTTTTTTTTTAGCCTAATCTTGTTTACCTGTCTCATAAGTGGTTATTATTTATGATTGTCACCGGTTTTACTTAAGACTTGTGTTGTGCAATAGGCTGTAAATAAGCTCTATTTACTCTCAGTATCCAACTGCACAAAGTAGAGTACAAATAACGCGCGAATAGAGTGCAAACATCCTTGCGATACTGCCAGGTTATTTGGACAGTTAATTATTTTGTACTGCAAAAAAAAACCTGTTTAACTAGTCGGCTGCGCGCGCTTGCTTAAGCAAGCGAAACAGCCGTGTGCTTCTCTATCCGCTTTGCTTTTCCCACCTTATGAGAAATGAGCAGAAAGAGTTAGTAGAAAAAAATATTTGGATAATAAATAACTCATTAGTCATTAGACGATTTGGTGTGTAGTATCGCTGAGTATTTTTACGAGTTGTTTGTATTTTGTCTCGTCAAAATACAGCACAACTCGTAAAAATAGTCAGTAATAATACACATCAAAACGTCTAATGAGATATGTGCGTTGAACCGGTTATGTGAGGTAGCTGGTGTTCAAGAACTAAAAGTTAAAACTACAGAGCTAAGGAGCTAAGAGTCAGGAACTTCTTGAAATAATTCTTTCCGATGGTAAGCAAACATTCAAGAAATGACAATAGTGAAAATTAAAAAAGGAACACTGAAGCAATCTTCTAGCTCTTTAATCTCCTGTTTATTTGTTCAAGGTACAACAAAGTCATGTTCAACCGTGATCCTTAAATTAGCGCTATATAAACCTTTTTCGATGAAATACATCAACAGAGCCGAAATATTTCTGACTAGCTCTTTATAAATTTCCTGCATCAAGATATTCGTGCAGACACCAGCTCATACTGAAAAATTCGAATTTTCATAACAGGTCTTAAAGGCTTGAAGTAACATGACACTCCGAGACTAGTCCAAAGTCCATTAAGTTTTAGCACAAAAAAAAGAGAATGTCTTGTTCCTTAATTATTATGGCGTCAGATCTGAAATAGCAACAACTTGTTGCTTTCTCACACCTGACGCCATGGTAGTTAGCGCCGGGTTTGACTAACTAAGCTTAAAAGAGCATAATTTTTTTTATCATCGAGCTCCTGTCGCAAGGCTATGATAACTTCAAGCTTCAACGCTTAGTGAGTGTTATGTTTTTCCAAGGCACCTCGGCCACTCGAGTCATAACCGTTAAGAAAGATTCATAGACCGCGACTGTCACCCTTGTCGAAGCAATTTCAAAGCCTGACGCTTGTATAACACTAAAAAGCATTGGGGTCTTGTGCATCAGTTGTGAGCTTAGAAAGCGTCGACAACAACCACAAATCCAGCCAAAAATTGTTTCATGAGGAGTTTCAGAGTTCATGCGAACTTAATAGCGAATGACTTAACAGAATCGAAAGACACCGATCTTCACTCTATGTTCCCATTTCGCTAAGAATCAAGTCACATTTCAGGTTCCTTTAACAAAAGTAAATTTCAAATCTACAAAAGCTTGCAAGATTCAGTCTACTCGCAGAACTGTGAGGATCTTCAAAGTGCACATTATCACGTCGATAGACGCTGTCAAAGGACGTCAAAAATGGTATTCAACAAGATATCTTATTGTCTAGTGAGAGTCCCGGGGAAGATTCATAACTGTATCATAACAGCTTGAGTAGTCCGAGGCTGGATTTCTTTTAGCACTAGTGTCTCAGGAGTTTCTTCTGGAGTAGATAAACGCCAAGAGTTTTTGACAGGGAAATAATGGATTGGTTTCGAAGTTTTGGAGAAGAAAGTGGAACTTTCAGTTCAGTGACAGTTTTGGAATGGGAACTACAGAGATTAAGCGAGAACAATACGAAGACGTGGTAAACCGCGTTAGTCGAACCACAATAGAGAAGCAAGGAAACCACAGCGACAAAGAAGAGAAGCCAGAAGCTTGTCCTCAAACTTTCATCGCAAACGATGAGGAATTTTAGCATGCAAGGAAGTTGAACAGAATAACTTTTTTTAAGCGACCAACGTGACTACTATTAAGATTGTTTCGAACATTTCTTGCTGCCAAATACTTGCTAGGAATGTGCTATTGTCCCTTAAGGGACTGTCACTTAAAATGACGCTGAAGGAGTGACGTTTTGAAGTATCTAAGTATCAAACAATATTGTCATTTCAGCATGATTTAGAACCATTGTGTCCTGTTTGTGAGTTATTTGTTAGCGAGTCAATTTATTCTTACGGGAGTGGAATTCCAACTCTTACCTGAAACAAAAACAAAACGCTTTGATATCCAATATAATCTCGAGAATTTCAATATTCGTGCATAAAAGCTGGTTGTACATGGTTGTACCTTACGAACAATGCATCACACTTGGCGTCGAGCGGACGTGTTCAAAATGATTACGTCTCAGACTGAGCGACGTTTTTCCGGTGCAAGTAATTAACAAATTGGTCGTTTACTTAGATACGGCCTTACCACAAATTCCCTTTGTCTTATTGTTCATAGCATCCATCTGCAGCACGCATTCTGTCACAGATAATCTCTTTTGCCATTAAAAGGGCTTAAAAACAAGACCTCCCATTAATATTTAACCATTAAAATTGATGACAAGAACGCGAGGGGTCGATCTGCCATTTTGGGTTATAATTTCGAATTGTTCAACAAATGATGTGACGTCGATTTGATGCCAAACTTCTTTCCTCCTGTCGAATCGAAGCAATGGCAGGAAATTCATCACAAGCAGAATCATTTACTGCACAAACTTTGGTTCCAATTACGAACGTCAGTTTGTTGTTCACTGATGACAGTTCGTCCAGTCTAATCTGTTAATTGTTGCTAATCCCGGAAAGTTTTGGTAATTGAAACAAACTGCTGGCCAATAAAGGTTGGTATCATTACAATACAGATGTACCTTGGGGTCATAATTTGGCCTGCGGTGAAGGAGAGCAATTCTAAGGATAGGATCCATACTGAAAGTACACTTTTGGCAAATTTTTACATCGTTATGGCCCAGACACTACTCGAAGGTCAGTTGAATGCTTGGGTGATCTAGCCTAATAGATTTGAAATTTATCTCTCCTTGATATCAAAGGGTGGTTTTTCCCTCCTGCAAGTATCTTGTTGAAGTACTGCCTGTCTGTGGATTGGTCAGCATAAAAGAACTACAATGCGGGAGTGGATGTATTTTTTCCTGTTTTATCAGTCTTCACGGTGGAATTTCCGTAATTCAACCTCTTGTTCGTATGGAATATCTTTCTGAAGGCTTCGATTGTTCCGTAAACTATTTAACATTCGTGACAGTGGTGCAGAAGTGTTGAAGGCTCCAAGGCAAGAGAGTGATCACTGATGCCATGAAAAACTCAAACGACAAAAGTTGAAAAGAACGTCATCCAGGAGAGTCATTGTGGAATAATCTTGGGTCATTAGCTCGGGGTCGACTTGCTTCAGTGGACTTCAGAGAAGACATTGGGCTACTCAAGAACTTGGACTGAGAAGACTCCGTTCGAATGTGTAACCAAACACCTTGAACATATGTTCGCCTTTTAGCTCAAACTCTCAAGTCTGAAATTGCTGATAAACACTTATCTGACAGATGATGCGATAATTCTCAGTAATGAGTCTTCACTAATAGGGTCCATTAGAGAGTTGTTCTCTTCCCAAGCCGTTTTTCGAGACCGACGCAGTTTTCAGCATCGTCATTCGAAGGTATGGCCACCTAAATAAGTAACTTGCCACAGTGTTCGCAAATTTAAAGAGAAAAAAAAACGCTCATAACATTACTTGCATTCTTTCAACAAAGGTCTTTTCTCAGTAACTACAGCCTGCGAAACTGATACGATCTCGTGATGTTTGCTTTGGTTATTCCTGATTAGGAGTTTATCCCTCGTTCTCTTCCTTTGGACACGATGATGAAAGCAAACAATGGGTTCATCTCGTCTGATAAACAAATCCCTGAATTGCTTGTGTTTTTTTAATGCTAATCCCAAATCCGAGAGATTTTGTCGCAGTTCTCAAGACTTTCGTATTGAGCGGAAACCATGTCTCTTGCGATCTCGACAGGTTAAGAAGTGGAATAGGTATTTGGTACACAGTTGGTGAGAGTAACACAATTTACAACAACTTTAATACTAACAATCGTCCGTGAAGAATCTTACTAGTAATTTTGCTCGATTGACAAAGTTTTAAGTTAGGCAACCTCTCGTTCGAACAATCCAAATTCCACGAAAAGTGCAAATCTCTCTTTCTTTACAATAGAGTTTTTATGGAGGCTCTTTGAGTAATGATTCGTTTAAATCCGCTTTACTCGGAGAAAGAAATTTAGTAAGCTTAAAGATTTCATTAGGGGCGAAGTATTTCACCTACGAAAAGTGAGGTATCTTGTTCGCTGAGTCGAATTCAACTGAAATGCTCATTTAATAGGTCTTTATTGTTCGTTCAGGCCCCATTAAAAAAAAAACCTACGAGTTATGGTCGACTTCAGTTTTCCGGTTAGAAAGAGTGTAAGAATCGTAAAAATAGGTTATTTTTGGTGATTCTTTAAGCCTGACTCAGCCAGGCCTCATTGTCTTTTTGCCTACGTTCAGCTGGGTGGGCGTTAAAAACTGAACTCTTCCTGAATGAAAACCGACTCCAAGAATAACTGCAATGATACAGCGTTTCTGCTGCGGCGATGACTATAGTAATTTAAATAAAAAATAATGAACTCTTTAAGCAAGTGCCAGACAAAAATCCGATCACGAATAGCTAGACTCTGAGGAATCCAGCTGATAAGCTATCCGTCTCATTTTAAGGTCAGCTCAGAAGGCTCGTTCAGTTGAGATAAATGAAATTGAGGTCAGTTTACCCCAAGTCTAATGAAAATTTGCTAGGTTTTTCGGCGTGATACTCGAACAAAAATTACTGAAAAATTCACAGTGATTGTTGTTTTGCGTTGTGCGTAAAAGGTCTGTAGACTATGCATTGTTCTCTAAGCCCGAAGTTTCTGCATTTCATTTGCGGTCGGCTGATACTCAATTTTTCTTTGTGTATTTCCAGTCAACTGCAGCGGATATCACTTAAATCACTCAAAGTTTTTACGAATGATGACTTCATTTTGAAATTATTGAATACACTTCTTCTCTTGTGAATGTTCGCTATTGGGCACTACTGAACTACTTGCAAACCGATAACGTCAATTACGATTACGGATGATGTCATCATGACCCACTCGTCCTCAGGCCTTGTCATTGTAATATCTTTAGTCAGCTGTCGTAACGAAGCGTAGCGGAAAATTTTTCCCATATTTTGAAGACGCCTTTCTACCTCTATCAACTCGGATAATAAACAGTCAAATGAGGCAAATTTTGATTCTTTCCCGCCCACGTAAACAAATGAAAAGTTTACACAACGAACGATAGTAGACAATACGGAGCAAATGAGAGTGGAGAAAGCAAAGAGCAAGCTGCCTAAATTGCAGGAAACACTGGCTGGTCCAGTTATCAGGTGTTATATCGATGGTTTTCGCTTCCGTCATCTGATTGGTTGAGACGGAGTCGTGGGTTTTTCATCACTGAGTGCATTGAAGCGAAACCAATGCAATCCCGAGTGTCATTCAATTAAAAATTGACCAAACACGCGAGGCAAAAGCAGTTTTCTAGGATAGCAAAGCGTGTTCCTTGCAAAAGCAGACTTCATCTAGGAATGTGTAGAAATAGTTGCTGCTAAGTTTTGAAGGATAGAAGGAAACCAGGAAATTCCTTTTTTCTTTTATTTTGTTTTGTTTTGTTTTTAATTGCTATATCCAGGCTCTGGTTCATGGGCAAATCATCTTTTTTTCTACATCTTTTTTTCTACGGAGTGCAGTGATTCCTGTGAAGAGTGCAGTAATTTCATTTATGACAAGAAGTTAAAATTGACATTTTCAATTGAGGCCATACAATTGTGTCTCATTAAACCACAACCGAATTACTCACAACGACCAATCAGAACAAATTGAAGTAGAACTGAGAGCCAATCAAAACCTGAGTAGAAACAAGCAAAGTTCTTCAAGCACGGGAAAGTGCGTGTGACCTTGTCTCGGTTCATTCTACCGTAAGCTGGCAACATGTCGATGGCGGCGAAATCGGTCGTAGCAAGCGATATTCGCGTGCGAATTTCGCCTTTGATGGCTCCTGGTAAAACGAACGATTCGACTTTGTTTCCAGACTCCATGTTGAAACTCATGTAATTACAATCACCTCACGTTTTTCTGGAGTATTACGACGAGAATGCATCCAATATTACTAAGAAAAAAAAAGCTACCCAATCCTTTAGCGAGAAAATCTCTTCCTATAATTTCACCATGAAACAAAATACCGAAGGAAACTTTCACTCTGGCAAAACAGGTATACTCCCAAATTGTCACATAATATAGAAACAGGTTCACATACGATCACCATCGACGTCTCACGTACGTGATGCTGATTTAGCTGTCACGTTTCTGAGAAGAATGATTCCTTGAATGCATCCAATACTACAAAAAAAGGCTTTTCCTAATCCACCAGCCACCCAAACATCTTCCTTAAACATATGTTTGACGTGCCAGAAATTAATGATGCCAATTTTCTGCCTCATTAGAAACAGGCGCAATTCTTAATTGTTACAATATGTAAAAAAGATGTTGCAAGTTCAAATTTTATCGTCGCTAGCTTCTCACGTGGGTTATTTGAACGCTTTGACATCCCTCACGTTTATGCGGAGTATTATTACCTGAATGCAACCAATATCACTCGAGGTTTATTTTATGCCCTTAATTGAGATGTTTTCACGTTTCCGTTCAATATTCAAAATATTGGCTCTTTTACACTTGCCCCCACTATAGGTACCAAAACATATATAACAATCCCTTGGGCTGCAATGTTGTTTAATGTATTTTATATCGTCCGTCAGCTTTCCATGTTTTCATTTCTGTTGGGCCAATTAAAAAAATGAGGCATCCAAACCTGAGGCGTTCAGAGATACTTGTTAAGCGGTCTTCTCGTAACACGAACTAACTTGATGCGAGTTTAACTTGAGTTAGGTTCTTAATCAAGCTTGGCTCGCGTTGTTTTTCTGAATCGATCTTCTTATCAGTAAATCAAGATTCTCTTTCTTTAAGCTGTGCACATGACTTTTTTTTCCGTTTAAGATAAAAGTTACGCCGGACTTGAAATACATTCATCAAGTGCTTGGCCCACATATATAATTTTTTAAAGTATCACGGATCGGTAAATTTATATCGCTCATCCTATCTCAGTTGCCAGTTAAGTGAAAATTCTTGCTACCCCACATTAAACCGCAGTTGTTTACAAAATTCGAGTTCCTGCCCTCAAATCTATTTTCGTCTGAAAGGTCCTTGAGATTGCTACCTATTTTCTTTCATATTTGTTACATTTTTATACAATACCTCTTAACGCAATTTTTTAGTGGGATTAGCTTTTTTCGAACTTGGCCTGAGCCACACCTTAGCGAAACATGTTCTTGCTGAAAGTAAAAGTTTTCGACCGCGTCGTCTCACAAAAGTAAAGAAAATAATGATTAGAAAATCTCGAGTAAAACGAGTTCGCATTTAAAAAAGCACTCAGGGAATCCCTCTCTGCATGATTTTCGGTTTACTTGAAGTGATTTTGGATGCGGAGGGATGAGAGCCATGAACGAATTCATGACATTTTTCATCAACTTACTAAAGCCAAATTCTTTCAAATAATGCGCTTGCAGGGAAACGTGAGAAAAGCGTGCAGCAATATTGGGTCGCAGTCACATTCGGCAAAATGTTTCGAGTGACTAGAGACCATTGAGAGAATCCCATTGGCAGCTGGCGTTTATAGCTTTTCAGTTTGATTTCCCGACACAATGCTTGTCAAATTGTCTAGTGACAGGGCGCTTGATATCGACATTGACATTGTAAACTGCAATCGCTGGACATTCTATTTGGGGGGTTAATCGGCGTTAAAATAAAGAGCTTTAGTGTTAGCCGTGTTTCACACTCGGTATGAAGTCTGGTCCGTACACCTTAGCAGATACGAAGACACAACATCTTTTCATTGAGTGTCTCTGACAGTAGTAGCAGTTTCTACCAAATACATTATTCAATACGGAGGTGAGTTTCAGTTCCAACAAAAAAGTTCTCTATACAGTTTTCGTTCTTCAAAAGCATCTTCCAGACATTTCAACTGGCAGTTGCGCAATTTCGCCACCTGTTTTACTAGTGAAAATCTGAATCGTAATTTTAACTGTGGACTGAAAAACTTTCATTTTAAACTGTTTCTTGATTTGACCAACCTGACAAAGTGAGTGTCTTTCCTCTAATTTGTACAAATTTTAGAGTATGTAAATTAGATAACAATTGATCTGTGCTTTATCTAGCTGCGTTTCTAGACGGTGTGTTTCCTAAGAAAGAAAAATAAGAGCATTACGATGTTAAAGATACACTTTCCACATTTTTCCCCAAAGCTCCATCAATTACAAACAGTCTTTACGTTGAACCGATTTTACTTATCTTTGAAAAAAACATATGGTCAAAAGTTTCCAATTCTGCCCCCACACGAGGGTCCCCAGGATAAATGCAATTAGTTAATTTCTGCTGGAGAAAGTTGAATCATCAAGTTAAAGAGCTGGAAGAAAATTCTCTAGATATGCTTTCAGCTGGAACTAAAACGTAAAGTGGCCGGACAAACGTAGCACATGCGTTGCGCAGAGACGGTATACAGTGCTCTTTAACGTGTTTGATTATCGGTGACTTTCCGTCAAGGAAAAAAGAAAACAACGTGTGGCAAATGGGTAAAATTAATTTGAAATTGTCAGCCAATGTGAAGAGTAAGACAAACTTCATTAAATTGATACAATGACAAAAGTGAGCGCGTAAGGAAAAAAAAATGCCCCTGTCAAAGGAAAGGAAATATTTAATGATATTAGCTCGAGTGGTGCCGCATTTTCTCTCTAAAGGGTTTAGAAAACCAACATGATTTCGACCAGTTAATGAAGCAGATCAATTTTCAAATGTATTTGCTAGCGTTCTCCGTCTTCATGGATAACAATCATATCTTTTGAAAGAGAGCCGAGAGCTATAAACATTCGTCACGTTATCTGACGAACATTGACAGTATGCACGCTCCAACAAATGACTCCATTTTAGTTGAAAACATTGACAAATGTAATTACTTTTGGATTTGCATTGCTTACTCTAGCATCTTTAACGACTCGTGGAAAAAAAAAATAGTTAATGTAACTTTCATTGCTTTGCGTTATCGCTGCAAGATTTTGATCTCTGACAAATTAGACAACCGAAAGAAAAACTACCAGAGCAAAACTCATTTAGAACTGAAACTCGCTCTGACGAAGAGCTAAAACTTGTTGAAACACGACCTTCGATCATCACGTGGGCTGGAGAACTGATTTTGTCAAAGAGGGGTCAAGAACTATTAGTATTATTTTGAAAGAGATATAAGCAGCGAATTGCATAATATCTCTTGATGTTGGCATAAATTATAACTTGGGGCTATATTGTAACTCGATTCTGTAGTCAATATTCAAGCCTCGTAGTACGGCAAGTTTACAAGAGAAAACAAAAATGTTGCATTCACCCTGAGTTTTGTCATTATGCGTTCTTTGAAAGTAAGTTGTGGAATTTATTGCGGGTTTCCCCTGTTGTTTTGAAAGTATATTGTCTTTCCTTCTTTTGTTTATGCTGTATTTTTTTTTAATTTAGCTATACAGAGGCATTGTGTTTTTGCCATTTCATTTCTTCTTAGTGTTGAATGAGGCTCGTTTCGAGAGTAGCCTGCGATTTGTTCACGAGTAATTCCCAGTGGAAAAGACCTTCGTGGGGGCTTGTGCAGACATACGGCTAAACAATGTGTAATTTTAAGCTAATTCCTGTATTAAATGTGAAAAACAAAGGGACGGGTTCTCTAAAGATATTTGGCAGATTTCTTGAGTCTTTGGGAAACCTTCCTATCTTTCTTTCGAAAGATGTTTTAGCTCCACGTTTACCCAGATACGCATGCTGGTTCTGTCACAGCTAGTGCATCCTTGCCTGAGCAATTCCTAGACTTTTTAATCATTCAAATTCCGTGTTTCCTTTAGAAATTACTGTGTCTGATTCCTTGGTAAAACGCTAGTCATCACTTTGAAGAGGTAAAAGTCTTTTACTTCATAGATCTTTATAAGAAGTTGAGATCTCTTGCTTTCAAATTTAGTAAGCGTGTCCAGATTTACCAAAAGTCCAATTACTTTCTTTTTCTTTAAAACACTTTTTACAAGAATTCTTGAGACTGAAAAAGGAAATATAATTAATGCGCGTAAGTGGCAAGCTTTGAATGTCACGATTCCTGACCCCTCCTGACGGCAAATGACAATCCTGCAGCCTTTAATTAAACGATCCGTCTGTGTGTTGCATGTGTAAAGAATACTTTTGTACGTTGAATGCAATTGTTTGCGTTAGTTCAGCTGACAGATCTTTTTGGCCCCCAGCGTGTTTGTGTTGTCGAATAATTGTAAATTAGTTGCTTTGTTCAAAATCAATCTGGAAGACAAAGTTAACTAGGCTTCGAAGTTGAGTCGCCGTGTTGTTTGGGCAGACCAATTACCCAGTTTACGGTAAGATTAGACATTTGAGTTATTTTTAACGCTGCTTTTAGGCCATAATCTACACGAGATTCCGATGCTGCGAAGTTATTAAAGGCAAAAGGAAGTTTCTCGATCGGGCAAGGTCATTCCGGCTTTATCGAGCCAAGCTTGGATAGCGCAGTTGAAATGATTTCGCGTGGCTTTGACGGCATTTTACGACAGAAACGTCATTATCATATAGTATGTACTGCACTCAACATAATGCAAGAAACTTTTCTTGTAAGCATTTGTTTTCTGGCGTCTTTGTGCGGGTGGACTAAACTCAGTGTGGCAGGACAAGACTATCTGCACGTACATGTGCTAAGATAACTTTTGTATGAGGACTGTGTTTTTGATGGTTGATCTGAAAATCTTGACTTCCAATTCCTTAGTCAAACGCTCACGTAATCAAAATGAGAATGAATTCCTTGGTTATTTTGGTCTTTTCGATTTTCTTAGATTTATAAATTAGCATTTATTTCAAGAATTCCAACGATAGTTTTTTGGAGTTGAAGGCTCTTAGACACGATAATTGATCTTTTGGATCGTTCAGTCATGTCATTACAAAGACTGAGGTAAGACCAGTTTACACTTCTGCGAAGAATATACCTTTGATTAGATCTTTTTGTTCTTAAAAAGACAAGTGAGGTTGCAATTTTATAGAACCTTTCTCCAAATTTTGTCATTACTGCGACTGGCGATTCGCCAGTATACCGGAAAATTTTCTACTTTTGAGGGGGGTAGTTTTCGGCATCATATTCTTCAGCATGGTGCATCATTATCGATCGCATAGTTCGGCTTAGCACTTTCACGGTTTTCTTCGGTGCTTTGTTGTTCGAAGCCCACCGAAAATGTTAAGTATTTGGCTGTTACTAATACTCTTTACTTCTATCATCAGACTGAAGGCCTCAGAAATTTCGTAACAAAGTATGTAGATTACGACAAAACGTGACATAGGAAGATATTTCCTCCATTAGCATTACTTTTATTTCAGATTTTTCCCTACGTGTTATCCAGTCTGACTGTCTGGATTTTTAAACCTTGAGCACGGATGCAGACACCGTATATAGATAAACACGTGTAAAGACGTGCGGCCAAAGACCTTACTCAAATTGTATAAACTTTGACCGGTGACCACACGTCGTTCTGGAATACTGTTAGGTACACTTTCTATGCGGTTTTCGACAATCATTTGAGATCAGTCAAGTCTTCAGGTTAATATCTGTCACCTGAACCTATCGCCATGCAGTGGGGCCCTCTAAATGTACCAGATTGAAACTGTTTCCACTTCTGAAAAACCCAGTTGAGGAGTGTCTGGGTGTGCACAACATTCAAATACTCCTCATTTTTGTTCCAAAAGTTCTTTAGTGCTTGCAAATTTTTGTAATTTGGCTCAGTGCGGCTGAAAACGACAAACTCAACTACCATTGGTAAGCTAGATGATTTCTAGAGGAGATTTTCATGCCAGTTTGTAAATGTATTTTGTTCCGTGTATCGTTAACGAACTCAGTAATTGCTTTACCATATTTGCCTGATGCTGTATTTATACCAGCAGAATATTGTACCGTGAGCATCAGATTTAAGATTTTAAGAGAGAAGATATATATTGCCTTAGAGCCCCTGATTGTCTCTGGACGGATATTGTCTTAAAAGCTGTCACTGGTAGTTTGTTTCATCTGTCCAACGATCCTCTCTTTGCCATTGAAACTGTCAGAAAACGACGGAGAAGTGACAACTCTGTAAAAGCAGATTTTTCTTGCAAACAAAGCTTCGTGTAATTAGCTTTCCAAAACAAGTATCTTGTCACTATGCACTTATTAGTTAGTACAAAAGCTTCTAATTTTACAAAAATGATACTTGCTTCAAAGAATTAATCTTGATCTAAAAGATTACGTACGTGATAAGAGCGAAACGAAAATAAGTCTGAGTAGAATTTCACATTTTAACTCAACGAAGAGCTATTCTTGGTCATACGCTCTGAGCGTACGTTACCACTCAAGTTTATGTCGCCAGTTTTGTTCACGACGTATCTAGCCTCACGCCAGTTAACAGTGAGGTCGAATTGATTATCCTCTTGAGAGGGGTTTAGAAAACGGAAATTTTTGGTTATCGTGAGAATGACAATAATTAGGTTCTCACTTCACACCTTTTTATAGCCCTAGCGGCTCTTAAGAATCCATTTAATTCAGTTTTAATAGCCTATGTAATTATTGGGTCACTTCCGTTTTGAAAAGTATAAATAGACCTCCTAGTGTGCAACTATACTTATTGCCTTTTGTTTTAGAACGGCTGCTGTTTATAAAATCAGATAGCCGCTGTGAAGAGCGTTCAAGGGACCCACGTTTACTAAGCTTAAGCTCCTTTAAAAACTGGCTTTAATATAATAAGATCAAACGTTCGGCAACACGTCCGTCGAACCTCTGTTGTTATACAAGGCGTGTTGTTCGTCAAAGATGCTTTCGTTTCCTCTTCCGAAGACAGATCGTGTCGGCAATGAATGTTTTTGATGAATTCTTTACATTGTAGCTCACCTGGGCAGTGCGATTGTCTTCGCGTGTGTTGTTTATAAATTTGGTTACAACAGTTGAAGCAAGGGAAGTGCTTGGTGTTGAGTGTTGTTAAATCACTCTGCAGCTTCCACTAGTGACCCTATGATCCTCATTCCGGGGGTCAACATACGCCGTGGGGCTTTTTATGGAAAGAAAGCAAATATTGGAACGTGATACGGTAGTTATTTAATTTGCCTTCCTGTGATACAATATAAGTGCTTCGGTTTTTATCTTAAACTGTTGTGAATCCAGAGATTAAGGTTCTCTGGGAATTTGTCTGTGGAACAACTTGGGCGAGTGCGCATTGAAGCGTCTGTTGTTAAGAGCATCACGTTATTAATTCAGGTAAATCTGCCCGACAAGTTTCAAGCGTAACTTTATTCGATGTAATCGGACGGACTACGTGGTAAAGCTGTATATAGATGAGTTACGATCGATACGGGAAGTCATAATTCTTGAGCATCCAAGGCCACTTAATCCTTCTAATCATTGGGAAACACTTATGTAATGACGAAATTCAGATAACGTAAAAATTCAATCGCCTTGGCAATTGACTCATGTAATTTGTTTCCTGTTCTCTCAAGGAGATCGTGCTGGGAACGAAAGATGTTGATCGCTCAGCTGTGGTGTTTACTCTTTGGAGCAACGATATGCGCAGAAGTAAGATCCCTCTCTTTGAGTCATTCTGAGGACAACATACGTTCGGAATTATTCAAAGGAGCAGAACAAGCCATGTTGCAAAAGATGGGCTTACAATCCCGCCCCAGACTAAGAAAGGGAGAAAAAGACAAAGTACCTCAGTATATGCTCGACTTGTATCACAATCACATCAATGATCCAGAATGGATTTCTACCAATTTTAGAAACAAGGGGAAATGGACCTTTGCCAATACCATCCGGGCATTTGATCATGAAGGTGAGTGGGTGATAATTTGGCGCTAGAGATATAATATTTTGGTTGGCAACCTGTCCTTTGTAAACGTGACATATCTAGGACCAATGCAGTGTTACGAGTGTTTCCCACCGGCTGTGTTCCCTCTGCGAAAACAAGTGTTAACTCTGTTTATTTTTGTTTGTACAAAAGGTGACCATCTGCCTGTTCCAATGTCAGGATTGCCGACAAACCGATGGAACCTCTTCTTCGACATTCGTTCTCTTCCCAGTCAAGAAACCCTGACAGCAGCAGAACTTCGTTTGACGTTTTCAGGCGGAAAGAATCACTCCAACGAAACCGCTCCAGTAGTCCAACAACTTGTGGACATTCATCAAGTGATGTTACCGCAAACAGCTGGGCATCCGGCTATAACTCGTTTGATAGACACGAGAAGAACGGCTGGTCATGGAATAGAAATTTTTGACATTAAACCAGCAGTTCAACATTGGGCACTTAATCCCGATGAGAATTTTGGCCTTGAGGTGCGTCTTGTCACCACTGATGAATCTCCAAAAGTTCACATGAGCGCTGACAAAAGAGCGACAAAAGACACTAAACCACTTCTGGTCACGTTCAGCCACGATGGGACTCAACACGTCTATCGCCGTCGTAAACGAAGAAGTCGACGGAGCACAGGAAACCGTATGGCGAAAGACAGCACCTACTGTCAAAGGCTCCCTCTATATGTTGACTTTGTAGAGGTTGGGTGGAATGACTGGATCGTTGCTCCTCCCGGATACCCGGCATTTTATTGCAATGGAGACTGTCCCTTTCCAATCGCAGACCACTTGAACACCACAAATCATGCCATTGTACAGACCCTTGTAAACAGTGTAAATGCAGACGCTGTGCCACGTGCCTGCTGCGTGCCCACAACGCTGAATCCCATCAGTATGCTTTTCGTGAACGAGCACACAAAAGTGGTGCTTAAAAATTACCAGGATATGGTGGTAGATGGATGTGGATGTCGGTAAAAGAAGGGAGGAGGAGGAAGTAACAAATACTCAGAATCCCTGAAGCTAAACTGATGTTAGATTGCTTCCGTCGTAAGACACAACTGAGGCGAATTTCTTAGCGAATGGTCAAGGTCAACCATAAGATCGTGTCCAGTGCTGCTGCCATCGGTCGTGGCTTCTTCACCAAGGTGACCACAACGTGGAACAGATCTCAGTTTTAAAAATTGCGCGTGCATTGCCAAGATGGATAATTTATAAACACAGAAACATGTGTATATAACGACTGTCGACAATAATTGATACGTCGACGAAGTAAAATAGAAGTCAATGAAAAAAAAAAAAAAAAAAAAGGGATTGCAATGGATATCGAACTCAGTTTTGTATCAAATTAGTAATAAGTAAATGGTTTTTGACCATTTCATTTTTATAACGCCGGATTTTCATAAAAGACAGATTAAACATTTTTTTTATTTTCCCAGAAGGTATGCTAATTTTCATGGGAAGATATGATCAAAACTTAAAATTTTTTTTAACCTAATAGACTGGATACTCCGCAGTATCAGACAGGAATTTTTATTACCACGCCACAGGTATCGTTCCTTCCTTCGTATTACGCCGCATTCTTCCTAGTATTTACAATGATTTCTGTCGTTATGTATAAAAGACTTACTGATGACATTAGCTCAGTTTAAAACTAAAATAATGTATAATATATTTAAGAGACGGAGATAGTTTCCTAAATGCAAGCCTTTGAAAGAAGTGTAAACTGTTAGATTAGTCCTAATCAGTTTTCAGTCTCTTATTTAATGCCAGGTAGCCGCCAATAAAAACTGCAACTTGTGTAACCCATCAGCAAAATAATTGAACCAGACAGGTACAAAAACTCTGGTTTATAGTCTGATATTTTCCTTTCAATCTGAGATGATAATAAAATATAAGTGAAGAATGGAGTGAGTTGTGGTACGCTTTTGTCAAAGGTTTCTTTGTTAATTATCCATCATCTGCTTTGATGTAACTACCCATGGGTCCGCGTTGAGCTTCGGCTCCCTCTGGAGGTCTTGTGAAAAGAAATTACGTTTCATGCACCGAAGCTATTCTTCGTTTTATTACAGTTAAACCAGTTCAAAGAGTAAGCGTTGGTAATTTGTTGAATGCAGTCTAACCATGATTTGACCCTGAAAAGACTGTTAATGAGCCTTGCAACACAAATAAAGAAATCAGGAGCAGCAGTTGCGAGTTATGATGATAAAATTCTTTGATCGAAAAAAGTTCATAGAGGACGCTTTCCAGTTTTCTTCGTTCCTTCAAAAGTTTCCTTGAAATTGTTTGATTAATGGCATTTTCATTGTCCTTTACACAGGTCTAACTATCCGGAGTTAATTTTCAGGCAATTTGCTTTGTCAACTTTGTTGTTAGCAGCTTCGGTTTGCGGGCTGATTGTAACTGAAGGCTATTTGCACCTCCTTGGGCGCTTCATAGCGCAGTTACTAACTGTTTTTTAATTACTTTTGGACAATAAACGCTTCAAGAGGTTCAAAATTTACTTAACATATCGCTTTCCAAGTGTCCCCCGCCGAAAGCAATGACAATTCCAGACAAGGATTTGTCATTGTTCATTTAAACTCCCTTAATTAAAATTTCAGTTGAAGTGCCGATGTTTTGTTATGACGGACGGCAAGGAAGTTCTTATTTGTTATGAATTCACACTGTCCGCCAATATCTCGAGTCCTCTGAGAGAAAAACCCCACAACCAAATGTCAGTTCGTGGGATGATGTATCGAATATTGGCCATGCGTTGTTCATTGAGGTATTACTATTTGATGAGGACTATGATATTCATTTTGCTACCCCATGCAAAGACTGACAATTTTGCGGGAGGTAACGGAGGAACTTATTCCGATGTATTCTCAATTTTATTACCTGTAATTCAGTTACAATCAATAGAGCTATTGACAGTCCGGAGACCAATTTGAAAGGTTTCCAGTGGCTTCTTTGTGAGCGTAATGAATTCACGAAGGTATCTCTTATCGTTGGACTAAGTTGTGGAACCAAACATGATCAATACAATGCTGTTTTGTGATAACAACTGTCCTTATTTGACTCTGTCCAGTAAAGTATTCGTCAAATGGGGAACGAGTAAAGACAGATGGTTCCTCTTCATGCCAAGACATGTCAAAGTCAGTCTGCGAGGAAGAGGGTATTTGATTCTAGAAAAAAAAAATCTTGTTTTTTCGTTGACCTTGGCCACTAATTTGTTGTTTACTCAAAAATTTCCGCTTGTTAATCATCTTAAGTGTCTTAAAGTAGTTTGAACAAAGAGGGTCATGATCGAGTGTGATAAATAATATCCGGGTTTTTGTCTCTTTCCTACCAAAAGGGTGAGCCCCGAAAACTCAATTTTTCCTCTTTAAGTTTTTGGACCCACACGTTACAGGACGATTTTGGGTCACAATATTGTGTTCTGCCATTTTTCTTGTGCAGCCTCTTTCCTTTATTCTTCGTGACATTTGCCTGTAAAAATACCTACCAAGACTTCATGCCATCTAACAGGGGCATACCTATTCGAAATCAAGTGTCTAGGCATTGCTATATTTCCGAACCATTTTAACCGCTCTCTATGTCTCAGTCTTGTTTGTGTATATCAATCGACCCCGTCTCGAAGTAACGGACTAATTGCTAGCTTCAGTTAGCACTTCATTACATTGGCGGCTGATGTAGCACTGAGTTATAATTACAGTATCCAATTGCTTCTTCATTCAGATTACGTTCTCTCGCAGGTGAGAATGACCTTAATGGCTTACCAAAAAAAAACCTTCAAAGATAGACCGTCATTGCAGCCCTTTGTTCCCGAAAGGCGCTTAACACTAATCTAGACTTGATTGGGGGCCCAAATCCAGAAAGAGAAGCATAAAAATAATATTATTTTTATTTTTTATAGTTAGCGCATGTTACAGAGAATGTCTCGTGGGGTTTTTGTCTAAAAGGAAGCCCACCAAACTCTGACTGTGGGTAGTAAAATATAAACAGAACAGCCTCTTTGAAAGACCATCGCGCGAGATCAAATATTTATATTAACTCGTGGTTAGCCGCTTACTTAATTAATTTTTAAAAGGCCGGTGCCCTCTGAACTAAAGCCAAAACGTATAGTTTGATGGTTAGTTTGCAAAAAAAAAAAAAGAGAGAGAGAAAGAGAGAGATTATCACGACACGCAAAGCGTTTCTTCGAGTTGCAGACGAGTATATTCATCGAGGTGACGGAGGAAACTTCGTTCCCAGGCTAAATCTCCTTTCCCGGCGCCCGCTAGTAGAGGGAAGAACTCGGGAACATAGTTGTAAAAGAGGCTCTTAGAGAAAACAACTCCTTAATCCTTTAGCTCTCGCGAAAAAAAATCATTATAGCGGAAAGTCTTATCAGTTTTAAGCGCTTAGATTTAAAAAGAACAGCTTTGAATCACGCAGTCCTCCGATGATAATTGGATCGCCCTTTTTCTCTGCTGTTAGCACCACTTCGTTACGTGATAAAATTCCCAATCTCCTCAAAACTGAGAGCAAACGATGACAGTGCCTCCTTAAAATAACCTCAAAGCACTTTCTTGAGTGTTTGGTTTAAGTGTGCGTGCAGTAATTTTCCGAACAGAGCACGCATTACGCCCGAACCTGGTCGTCCGCCATGTTGTCGACAAGTGTAAAACAGTATGTAAGTTAGAGGTAAAGGGCAGGTCGACCGCGCAGAAACATTTACACACCCACACACACGCAAACTTATGGTCGTGTGGAGATCGAACTCTGGAAAACTGTCTAATTAGGTTTATCAGAAATTTTTTTTGATGGCTTGGTGCCTAAACTGAGGCAATGTCAAGGTTTATCTACGTCGAAAAACCTCAACTAAAGTTTTTTGTTGCAGTGAGTGCAATTCTTATCGATCAATTTATTCATTACCTGACAAGGAAATTCCGCATTAAATTGCACGCGAAAACCGATACCGCATGCACGTATCGCGAAGCGATGCGTGCGATATCGGTTTTCAAGTGCAATGTGACGCAGAATTCACGAGTCAGGCAATGAATTTTCCTTGAATCGCATAATTGAATAAAAATAAGAAGAAAAGAAAACAGTAATAATATTGTTTGTTTTTATCCTAAACGCGCGCCTCAGAAAGCCATTTCAAAGTCAACTGTTAGAACCGTCATTGCATTAGCGAATAGGAAGCGAGGTCAGTCGTGCACGCTTGAATCTTCCACAACTTTATTTGTACCTCGTGCTTGTTTTTACATTTGTTTTCAAACTTTTTAAATAGGCTTCACACTATCTTAAGGATAATAGTAGTATTTCACTGTATTTACGAGCCGTTTATTTTTAACATCATTTTTCAAATTTCAAATCATTTGCTCTAGACGGAAAATAATTTACACCTTTTACCTCTTTGGTGGCAAAACTGAAAGAAATTAAATTTCCAAGCGAAAGCACTGAAAGTCTGACATCGCGATTAAAGGTAGTTATTTCTTCTTCTGTATATATGACAATCGACCTTAGCACTCCTTCCGTTGTCACTTCTTTGTCTTGTTCAGTTGAACTTTTGCTTGCCATTTTCTGGGCCGTGTTCACAGGATTTCCTCGCTTTCTCGTTGTCGCAAGCGAAAGAAGTTTTTCATGCCTCTCCAAGAATTTGTAGTTCATTTCAATACAGGGAAGAACCTCTGGCTCACTTTGAAAAACGCTTTTGTTTGGTTTTTGGCTCTAAAAAATGACATTGTAGAAAACTTTGTTACCATTTGACGATAGATGTTATGCTTACGTAGATGCGAAACTATCACATAGCTTCGTTGACCAATCAGAATGTGAGATTTTATCCAACTATGCGATCTAAAATACATGTAGTATTTTCAAATATATTCGTTTATTTAAACATGTGTATAATCTTTCAAAATGTTCAGCAGCTAGTGAAACTCCTGTCAGCTAATCATCTTGCTATTAATAAATTAGTCTTTTTACGAAATGTCTTAGTCACAATTTGATTGGACAGATAATGGATAAGGTTAAACACTTGTCTTACAACTCACACGTGTACAAAACAGAGGTCTGGAGACGAGACGAGCACTGGGTATGAGCGCGGTTTAATCCTATCCCGTTGCTAAGGAACGCTACAGGGAAGAGCAACAGAGACTGTCGTCGCCAAAATGGCGGACGGCAGAGATGGGCTGAGCTTTCTACCGAATGTTAAAGCCAGCACTTGCAAACAAGGAAAGACGACTAAACGAGTAGCATTCAAAAATCTCCAAAGACCTTTAGTACTCCCTAGCTTGGAACTCAGCACTGTTGACTTGCAATCAGTGAGTAGCTTGTTCTCTCACAAGCAAATATGTAAAAAAGTGTGCGAGTGGTTTACAGAGTGGAGATCCTGGCAACAACGGATCTTATTATGCGGCGTCTCTGAAAAGTGCACGAAAAGTCAATTACAGGCTTTTGTGACGATGCTTGAGCCAGTATTTCACAGGGATTTTACTGCTAGGCTTAAAGGAATTTATCCAACAACTCGTATCAAGGCGCGACTGGTTCACACAGCCACTGTTCCAAGCTTCAGCGCGGAAGAATTGAAAAATGCTCTTCAGCCATCGCAGGAAGTAAATCGGGTGAATTCTTCAACCACGGTTGGTGAGGTAGAAAAACCTACAGACAAGGATTTAGACAGTTTTCACAGTGAATCAGGAGGATCTTATGACCGGAATAGTTTCAGTGGTATGAATTTTACCACAGACACCAGGATTGTGAGTATCCCTGAGGGGAGCGTGGATTCCCCTCTCACCCCAGATGAGGGTACAGCTATGACAGCTTCATCTCATACTATAAAACCAGCTGCTAACATTGAGGAAAACTGCCGGCATGAACATGCCCTGCCATTTGTAAGGAGAGTTAGTACACCAAATTTTTTCCCACACTTCAATCATAAGCAGCTTGGCCACATGAGAACTGTTCTAAGGACTGGAGATAAAGAGAAGCTCTATGGACGTGCGCCAGTTACATTTAAACATAATAAGTGGTGGGAAGGCCATAAAGGAGGTCATCTGATCAAGCCCAGGAGGAGTAAACTTTCAAATCATTTTAAATCTCAACTCAGTCAGATTCATCAGGTATTACATAGATGGGTCAAGCTTCACACAATACCTACAATATGTATTAAAATGTTTGACAAATCACCATTGAAATTCTAGTACCATTTTTATTTTAAACCCTTTAACTCTCATGAGTGACCAAGACAGAATTTCTCCTTACAATATCAATACAATATCAAGCAAACAAATGATGAGAATAAAGAAAAATATCAATTAGGGGATTATAAATTGATCCAACACCAAATTCTCCCAACTAACATCACAAGAACTGTACAGCAAACAGTAAGGAGAATTACAAATGAGATCTTGGGAGTTAAAGGGTAAAGACCCCTACTTTCACCCTCCTCTCCTCCTATCCCACACCTTCCCCCCTCCCTCTCAGCCCCTGTGCCAGGTTACACTTCACTTTTTGTGGTTTTGTAACAATGAATGATACAAGGGGGTATTGCAGCAAACTGCATTTCTACATGCCTCCTCAAGAGTAGTCTTATTCAGGTTTTGTTATAACACATATTGTAGCCAGTTATTTCCTCTTTATATCTTCTGTCTTTACTTTATGACAAAGCTCAAATATTCCATCTTTCTTTCTTGTTCTTACAATGAAGAAAAGGAGTAACCTGAATTTTAAAATCCCAATCTTGATAAATTTTTAAGCAGATTTCCTCTCTTGAAAGTGCTTTGGTAGGTTTGTTTTACAGTTTTCTTTGTCATTAATGAATTGTACATACTGTATAGTTATTACTAATCCTATATACATAATCTTAAGTGTTACATGTTGCTATGGTAGCTATATTCTTCTTGTGAATCAATAGATGATTGTTTTGTTCTCTGGCAGTGGCTGGATGAGTGGCCAACACATGAGAGAGTAGAGCTACTATCAGAGGTGGTGAAGTGTTGTGACGAAGAATCTCTAAATTTTTTTGCACAGTGTCTTACCCAGAGGTAAAGGATGGAAAAAAAGTTTTTATCCTTCACATAAAAAGAAATTTAAAAGCCATTTCAAATGAAAATCTTGCAAGGATTATGACATTTTGTTCATTTAATTTTTTTTTTCTTGTTTTTGTTTGTTTTTTTTTTAATCTGCTTGCAAGTTCATGAAGATCCCAAGGGTTCATCTTACCCTTAGTAAAATCACAAGAATTGTTTTACGAATTTAATATTTGATCCTACAACATGAGTATAACACTAGAGGCTCTTGAAAATGCAAATTCCATACATTTTTGAAATATGTTTTGGTGATTGGAAGTTTGATAGGTTTACAATTTCCCCCAACTACCAATTTTAGAAAGTGTGAGCAATATAATATAATTACTCAGACAGGTAATGCCACTACTGGTAAATTTAACAGATTGGCAATGGTTTAGTGTGGTCTGTACTGTTATCAACAAGGATATTTGTCATTTCATCGCTCAAAATGTTGTAGACCTCAGAGGATGCAGGCAAGTGAGTCTGCATCAAATTTTAACCTCTGTAATGACAATTTTATTGTTGACAATCAGAGTACAGACCATGCTAAACCACTGTCGATTTGTTTCTTACCAAAATAACTACATCAAATAAAATGATTCTTTCAGTATGTGACCATTGCATGACATGTTGTTGTGAGCAGTGTTACCTGTAATCTAATCGGCCAATCAGATTGCAACATTACCACCAATTGTGGTTAAAAATTATAATATTGATATATTACACTGTACCCCTATTTTTATGATTTCAGGTTAAGAGATACAACAGATTTAAACTGTGTCCCAGACAATGTTCTGCTTTATGTCTTTTCCTTTTTGAATGTTAGAAGCTTGTGCCAAAGTTCTCAGGTAGGAAATTCAATATTTTGGAAATTATATTTGATTAATTTTAATTTTTAATTTCATTTGATTAATTTTGATTTTTATTTCATAGTCTGAAATTTTATCTAATCAATACCCATTTTTATTTGTGGTTAAAATTGTTTCTAGTTTTGTGCTATTCTCACATTCATTATCACAACCAGAAAAAAAAAATCAAATTAATTTGAAAAATTGTAGTCAGAAAGAAAAATTTTAACCACAACATTTTCATTTGCTGGACTACAATCTTTTGTCTTAACCCTTTAACTCCCAAGATGTGATTGTTAATTATACCCTCTAGTGGCTGCGTATTTCCTTGTAAATTAGTAATGAGAGCTTGGTGGTAGATCAAGATAGCAGCTTCTACCTGATAAGTTTGAGTATTCTCAATATCTGTTTGCTGAATAATGCATGGATATTTAGGGAGAGGGTTCACGTTAATCACTACTGGGAGTTAAAGGGTTAAACTGTTTAACCCCTAATAGTGACGACATGTAGTATTTAATTTCTTCTCGCAGTATCCCTCCCAAACCACCAAGTAAGGTCAGGAGAATTATGGAAATGATCATTAACTAAAGATTGAAACCCTTGATTGTTAAACAAATTCTCCTTGTCAACCCCTCAGGAAATATATATATACTCTGGTGTTAGGGTGTATAAGCTTCAAGGTAGAGAGTATATGGCAGGAGTCCATGTAAACTATGTACCTTCAGAGAAAGATGCTTTTTTGTCTTGTCACAAGTGCAAGACAGAGAAAAAATTCCAAGTCCCCATGAGGAATCAACCCTCAGCTCTTTTGATTCCATGCTCTAGTGCTCTACCACTGAGCCACAGAGACTCTACACTGAGTGAGGTCTATTACAAAGCTCATATGACAGGCATCCTGCATACCGTTAGGTTCAGCTATGTTGATAGCGTCATGTTTGTAAATAGAATAAGAGAGATGGTTAGTTTTTGAGCTCGGTAAAGAAATAGAGAAAGAGGTTTTTCATCTTGCCGTGTGTGTGGGACAAGGAAAAAAATTCTGAGCCTCCATGAGTCTGCTATTTATACTTTCACTTTCCAAGAGTTAGAAAAGGTTTTTTCGTGGGGCATGTTTCTTGCTAAACAAACCTTTTATTATCATGTGTATCAAAGGCATGAACTGATTGAATTTGTGATTGCTTTTCTGAAGGTTTGTTATCGATGGAGATTCTTAACCAATGATAGTAGACTTTGGAAAGCTAAAATTGCTTCACTGGGTAAGTATTATGGAATTATTTTCAACATGGTAGTGTAAATATTGTTTTGTTTGAAGTTACGAACTTGTCATTTTTAGATTTTTTTTCTCCTTTTTTGTAATTTTTTTTGGATGAGTCAAGCAGTTTATTATTACTATCTTTGTATCCAGGGGCCTCTGAAGGAATTGAAAACTTAACAGAAAAGATTGAAGTCCTTGGTCATGGTCAGGCTGTTGATTGGAAACAAGCTTATAGAGAAGTAAAAAATTACTACAAAGATTTGGCCATGGTGAAACTAGAGAAGAAAGAAGAGAAAGGTGAGTCACAAACAAGACAATAAACTATGTAACCCTATGAGTAGTAACAAGATTTCCAAAATTTGAAGTTGCTATGAAAGTTTTTGAAGGGTTGAATTTTTGTCTTGTCACCCACCACCCTCTCCCCTGTCCCCCCCCAAGTGGGTCAGCAACAAAAAGATTTTGCCACTCAATAGTTTAGTTATTTTGATAATCAGAAATTTTTGCTAAATTTGCCAAAAACAGTTGATGTCTTTGCTGCAGGTGGTTTGCTTCTGGGTAGAATGAGTGCCCTCCATCCAAACAAAATGTAAAATGCCAAACATAGAATGACCTAATTCCAATAGATTGTATTTAAATTGATGTGACTGGGTGAAAAGTTATAAAAAACATTAATCTTAAAAAGTGAAATGTTACATTACTGCCACAGAGTTGAAAGAGAAATTAGAAGCTGCAAGATGCGAGGAAATGAAGAAGCAATCAAAAGTAACAGTAACTGGTATGTTTATTTCAAATATGTCTGGCCGTGACAGAAGAACAGGAGACAACATGCAGTTTCAAAAAGTCAGAGATATGTGGTCTCCTTTAAGAGAGAAAATCATAGGAAAAGGAAAGGAAAGGAAAACCGTGAGCTTCACTAAACAGATTATAATGAAGAGAGACATCTGTCTTGAGCATATTTCAAATCATGTTGAGTATCTCTTAAACAAGTTTTTTGTGCTTTGCCTGGATCTTAAAATTTAAGTCTCGCCACATGCTTTTGTTCCTTCAGCTGCTCAGAGGGGAATAAAACTGGTACTTACTGATAACTTTGGAACTAGCCAATCAGTGTGTGCTAAAAGCACTATTCACCTGTGTGGTATGAACTAACAATGGATATTTGTCAGCTTCGCTTGGGGTAATTATGGGGTCAGGTGGTAGGCTTAGTCCAAGGCCACGCAAAGGGACATATGTGATGGATAACAAAAATTTAACTGAAATGTAAAAAGTTTTACAGTTAAAGAAGCTAGTGACAGTTAAATGTATTTGTATGCATTTTGGTAACTTTTGATGTAAGTCAGTTAGTGTTAATTGAAGGTCAGTTTTCCAATGATTGAATCTGCTCTTTTTCCATCAGAATTGCCGCCAAAGCCCATCATCAAAGATGAACCAAAGGCTGTGTACAGTAACGTTGGTAAGGGATGTGTTTTTTTCTGATCAGTTTGTAAATAAGCAAGACGCGGTGGCATAATGGCCAGTGCACTGGACTTCGCGTCCAGAGGTCTGGGTTTGAGACTCGGCTGGGTCAGTGTGTTTGTTCTTGGACAAAACACTTTAGTCTCACCATGCCTCTCTCCCCCCAGGAGTATAAAAAGGTACTAGCAAATTGTCAGGGAAGCCTGATGAAATGCAGGGGGAAACCTTGCGATGGACAAGCATCCCATCCTGGGGGGGGGAAGTTGTAATACTCCTTGTCGCTTCATGCTTCTTGGAAACCAGGATAAACTCTGACTGAGGGGGGCTAATAGGCTTGAGAAAACACTTTATTTTTTACTCATTTTTTTCCTTTACGGAAATAGCACCAGAATTTTTAGGCATTAACAAAATAAACAATCTGTAGTGTAAGTTTCTTTGTCTGAAAGAACTGATTTTCTGCTATTTTGCACATGGAGTTCGTATCGATTCCTTTCCTTTGCCAGCTGAAATTATGATAGCTCAAGTGATGGAGAACGTCGGACCCGCTCAGTCTGCCCCGACCGCTGATCAAAAGGAGCATGGTGATGAGTTCACAGCAGCAGACTTTGATGGAAATGATCTTACAGGTGGGAACCTAAAGCTCCTGACACGCAGTTTGAAGGCACTGGCTGATGGCGGAGATAAACCTGAAGATTTAGATGTTGCATTGGATGTACGGCCTACCCTTGTGCAGGCATCAAACTTGTTGGCAACATCAGTATGTATATTCTCCATACTGTTAGTTACACATTTCCTAAAGTGCTGATAAGGAGAATTTATTGAACAATCGAAAGCTTCCTTAGTTGGTGATCATTTCCTTTTTTCATATGTATCTTAAATGAATGATTCAGTAGTGTAATTATAAGGAGAAACTAGATGCTGATTACTCTTAGGGTTTGAGGATTTAAATCTTCCCGCGGGCGAAGAAACGTGCGTCATGCAGCGCCGACAATGACGCCTACTCGAAGGCTAAAAATAGTTTTCGTTTGTCTCACAGGAAGGTGATGGAGAAAGAGGCAGGCAAAAGTTTCGTTATCTCTCACTTGCTGTTCAAGGTGTTTTTTCTGTTCGAAGGGTGCGGAGATTGCAGGTATGAAGATCGTCTGCTGTAACACTTTTTAAATACACAAGAATCTCTGCTACAAGTCATCTGTTTAGAACCTAAAAATTTTATTCCGTCCCGCTTCCTTCGTTTTCTATTTTTTAGGGACACATGGATGCCATATTCTGCTTACAGTTCGATAAAAGAAGGATTATTACCGGCTCTGCTGACCGCACAATACGGTAGGCTCAAACTGGTTCTTTAAGGAAAATTGAAGTCTGACGAAATTCATTTGTTTCAGACGTCTTTCAAGATAAAGGTTAAGGACGATAATCAAATCAAATTGCTTGTTATGTATTCTTTTCTGAAAAGTGATCTTAGTTGTGATTTTCTCTCCATTTCTAGTATGTGGGATGTGAGGAGTGGGCGAAGTATTCACAAGCTAAAAGGCCACAAGGTATTATTCTCACATCGCTCAGGAAGATACGACTGTGACCGTGAATTGATCGTGAGCGACAACTTTGTTTAAGCGCAACAGATCCTTCTTTCTTCCTTAGCGGCATGGAAGAGTGTCGTCCAGCGCTGGATTTGAAATCTGGAGGGTCCAGGATGACACCTGCACACTGTCACTTAATTGGATTTCTTTCTCGGTAGTTCCGAGTTGAACTCCTCTGTTGAACTTTGTAAATAATCAATTGATTTGGCCTGCCGTAAATGGACACTTTGAAACCTGATTTAATTGTAATTTAACCATTTCGCTACCAACATCCTTCTTTTTGCTGCCATAACATCCCTTTGAAATAAGTTGAGAGAGTTTGGTTTTTATGTCAAGGTACATAATAAAAAACTCCTGCTCGTATTCATGTGTATTCTCATTTCTCATTTGGTGAATTAAGTTTTGAAACTGTTTGGAGAATAAACTTTTGAAGTAATCCTGCAAGGTGAATGGTCTTTTCTTTTGGTATTTTTTTTTTACCTCAAGTACCACTTTGTTTTTTGGTTTTCAGGGTGGAGTGCGGTGTCTTCAGTTTGACGATGAGAAAATCGTCAGTGGCTCGTGGGATATGACTATCATGGTTTGTGTTTTCTTGATTTGTCAATTTTTGTGTTACCTGTTAAGACTCCAGGACATCTTTTTAATTAAGGCTATGAGATTATTATTCATATATGTATACCGTTGGTTGTGACAACTCCGATTCAGTAATGGAGTAAATTGCGATTGGTGTCGTAAAACCAGCCAATCTCAACAGAGCGAAAAAAGACCAAAGAGTCTATGAGAGGTCGATGTGGAAAAATGGGAAGAAGAAAAAAAACAAACAAACAAACAAAAACTGGACAAAGGCAGTGCCTCAAGCACAGGGAAGCGAGAGGGAACTGTTTGCCAGAAAAACCAATTCAGCGATCGTTCTGTTCGGTCGCAGAAGTTTTGCCTTTTTGTTTTCAGTTATTTTTCCGATCATGCGGAAACCAAGCTTTAATTTTTTTTGTCTTTCACACTAACAGTTGAGTTTTGTGATTTTAGGTTTGGCACATTGTTAAGTTCCACAGATTAAAAGTTCTTTATGGACATTCTGGATGCGTTTCATGTTTGCAGTTTAAAGGAAAAATCCTGTAAGTGTTGTAGAACAAGAAAACTTTTGCCTTTCCTCTGCATGCATGAGCTTGGAGTAAAATCAAGGCATACACGAATTACTTTCGACACTCACGTGAAAATCGCTTTTTTCTCCTTTCAGAGTGAGTGGGTCACATGACCGTACCCTCCGCATTTGGAACGCAGACACGTGGGAATGTGAATCTGTAATTGAAGGACATGAAGGTACTAGGATTGATATTGTTACATTATCGCCAGTGGCACAGAAGTTGCGCTTCATGTGTCCGACCAGCCTGGGAGGCTGTCAGTGACTTTGAAAGTGGAAGGCAGAGAAGAATTAGTAGGCGTCTAGGTTGTGGTAGACGCCTTATTATTTCGTTAGAAGAGGAACTATTTAGTTTTAAAGTCCCAGGCGTAGAATCGATTCAGACATCTAAGTTACGGGCAAAAAGTATATTCAATTTCACTCGAAAATGGAAAATGGCCACGTTACAAATTGGTTCTATAGTAGATGTATTTCAAAAGTTGCACGATCTTTCAATTGCACATAGGTAAACTGAGGTGTAACTAGCCAGCTATAGATGGCGGCTGGCGGTTTTGGTCAGCCACTGACTGAGTCTGTACACATTGCTAACAGCACTTAATTTGTTAACTTCTAGGTGCTGTTACGTGTCTCCAGCTGAACGGAGACTACCTCGTCAGTGGTTCTATTGATAGGTAGGGAAACTAAATATCCCGTTTAATTTCTGCAAACCAAGGTGTAAATGCTCATTTTGGGGGGCGAGGGAACGAGAAATGCGACAGGCAAATGATGCAATAGAGTTTGCGTAGTTCGGCAAATGCAGCAAACTTTTAGATGCATGCACAGGGAAATTTGCAACAGGCGGTAAGGGCGGGAAACTTGCAACAAGCGGCAAGCGGGGGAAACCTGCAACAAGCAGTAAGCGTGGGAGAAACTTTCGTCAAGAGGCAAGCGCGGGAACCTGAAACAAGCAGTAAGCGCGGGAAGATTTGCAACAAGCGACATGCGCGGGAGACCTGCAATAAGCGTTGACCGCGGGAAAACTTACGGCAAGCGGAAACCGCGCGGAGAAGCTTGCATCAACCGGAAAGCGAAAGAGAAGTTCTTTTGGTCAAATTCTCGTTGTGTTTTCTTTTCTCTTGAGAAGCTACTTGTACATCATCTAAGACTCACCACTATTTGAATATCACGGAAAATGAAAATTATTTAAACCTATCTCGTCTTTGTAGGACGTTAAAATTGTGGGATATAAAGACAAGAGCGTGTCTTCATACATTTGAGGGACATAAAGACGCTGTACTGGCCGTCACGGTAAAATTTCTCAACTTGGTAGCTTTTAGATGTGTTATACTCGTTTGTTCTTACAGCAGTTTTTTAAAGGTGACTTCGTCGCGATTGGTTTGTTAAAACGCCACAAAATTTTTTTTCTTATTTTCTTTTTTTTCCTTATTTCTCTTTCTGTTTTCTTTTTTTTTTTCTGTGAAAGGTACTCGGTAACCTAATAATCAGTGGGTCCGCGGACGGCATGATTATGTTCTGGAACCTGGAAACGGGATTCTGCGAAGCTGCTATCCAAGGTCATGAGGGCCCAGTCCACTCTCTGGATTACAATGGTCATCAACATTTCTTCTCATCAGGAGGGTGAGACTTTTTCCTAGGTTATTTCATTTTCTTGCGAGAGAACCTCCTGTTACTCTTCTCAAATAGCACTGACGTAAAATATTGCAGCAGCACTAGTTAATGCTAAGCCAACTGTTACAAGCTTGGCGTTAGATGTTATCTCACGTTTCTGCTTTGATTTAGAAAACCCTCGGCTACTATTCAGGAATTGCCGTTTCGCGCTTTCTTAGTGAATTTGTGAGAACAAACTCGCCCTCGCCGAGACTTTGAGCCAAGATTTTTCGTCATCATTTACCAATTTATTTTGGCGTTGTATCAGTCTTGATATCTATATTGTCTCAGTTTGGATCTCAAAGTAGTTCACTCTGTTGAAGAGTTTGAGCCAACAACGCTCAAAAACAAATTTTGCAGGCTTCTTTTCAGCAGCTGCTTAAATTACAGCTTACCATCGAGGATTATCGCTTTGCCAACCCATAAATATAAGTATCATTTCCTTTACGAGATGTGCGTATTAGGAAAGCGTGTACCCACAAGTCCTTCAAGGTAATTATGTTGAAAATGGTTTGCGCTCCGACGTCCGAACGTTTACAAGTGAAAGTATTGCGGTTTTTTAGAGCGTTTTTTTTTGTTTCATATCACAGGGATAATTTATTGAAGGAGTGGGACCTAAGTACCTGTACGTGTCTACGATCATTACAGGGACACAAAGGGCCGGTGTTCTGTGTTAAGGTAGGATTAGGATCTTTCATTTGTGCTCCGTTAAATGAGCACAAACTTCTTTCACTTTACTTTCGTTATACTACCATAACTTTGACAACTTTGTTCCTAGGCCGTCCCGCACAGGGTTGTCTCTTGCTCTGCCGACGGATTTACGAGGATCTGGGACCTAGATAGTTTGCCCGAAGGAAAGGTTGGTGACGTTGCATAACCCACAAGTTGGAGTCAATTTTTTTAAAATATATAATTTTTAAAACGCTGTTATTGTTCCTTTCTTTTTTTTTTAGGGTCTGAGTAAAGCAATTGCTGTTCAAGAAAACGTTATCACACCAACCAAAGTGGTACAAAACTCTCTCGAGAAATCTTTAAAATAGATTTAGGGGGTAGATAATGCTCATTTTGACCCGGTCTTGCACCAAAATTTTGCTTTTTAAGTAATATTGCTGCTGGTTTTTTGACACCTGTTTACGTCAATGTTACTGATTGTAAAGACAGTCGAGACACAAGCACTCTGCTTGGTTGCTATGCAACCATGTCCTTTACTAACAAGGAAACAAACAAACAGCATAATTATTTATTAATTTTTTTCTTCGCTGAACTGTTTCAGACTAATTGTACATTATGCGCTCAGCACACGGTTTTTCTTTTTTTTTTTTAAAGAAAACACTGTTATAAATTAAGAACATTTCCAAAATATACGTGGAATTTTTCCGTTTTTAACTGAAACAGATGCTAAAAGAATTTGTACCGAAATGTAAGCCAGGAGATAGAATAAACAATATTGATGTCTGGGGACGTTTACTCTGGAATACAAACAGATGAAGAAATAATCAAAATTTTTAAAATTTCAGATGTTAATAGCGAGATGCTCTTTATCAGGCAATGATTTTGGAGAAGGTGGAAATATGGAAAATACTTGTATTTGTTTAGATATACTGTTGTCATGTTAATAAAAATTAGAATCTATAAACATTCGAGTGAATAAACAACATATCGATTTTAACATATCTTCAGTTGTACCTTCTTGGTTTAAAATATTTCAAGGGCATCAACTTGATATCCTCATCAAGTAATTTAAAATTTTTGTATCTTTTTTGTACCCTTCAATCCTGTAACTATCACAGGTGAAAAAGAGTCCTTTTTTTACCATTAATTAGCAGTGAATGACGTAGATAGAGTGCAGTGTTCCTCTGAGATATAATTAATTATCAGGTTCTAGAAATTTGCGCCGCAGGCCATATTTCTAATTTGTGCTCTTTCCTGCACGCGAAGTTTTAGCGTCTACCTTTTACTTTCGTTAAGTGTTCGACAGACCTCTTCGCCTTTTAAAAGTGTCCACTGTGTGATTATGTGCGGACGCGATTGATTGGAAAAATTGTCTTTGCCCGCAAATGCGTGTTTAGTATGTTGTCATTGTTATGGAGTTTTAAAAAAAAGCACAACATTGTCGTTAATGATGGTGAATGTCTCTGGTTTGACGCGTTGGTCGCTGAAAACAATTTTTACATGTGATAAAATTGATAACAAGACATTTGGGAAACATGCGCCTGTATGCAATGGAATTAATTTGGCTTGAAAGCCAAGAATTTTTATAGGAATGTGCCCCGGATTGAAATGCTTAGCATAGAAGCTCCTCTTGAGCTGACAGTCTCAGTATGCAGAATGCTAAGTTTTAACATCGATTTTCCCATCACAGAAAACATTGCCGCTTAGTTTGGATTATGCCAAAAACAGTGAAACTTTCTACCTGGGTTTGGATGAAGAAATTAACATTAGGAGGGACGGGGAACTTTTTTAATGGAAAAAAAAAGACAGTCGAAACTGATTTGTTAAATTGACTGGGACACTAATGAAGTCTTGATGTCAATTTGGCAGTTCTGTGCGCCAACCATATTCCACGCTGTCAAAGTTCTCGCATCTCCATACAACTGTAGTCCTTATGTGCGAAATTTTCCGCCGTCCTCGTCCGCTGGCTTGCTATGCAAATTGCTTATCTAAACCCGGCCCTTGGCTCAATGCTGCTGAAGCCTACGCTATTTCAGTTGACACACAGAGGAACAGTACTGAGAGAGTTCTCTCTTTTCGCAGCATGATGGATTGAAAGACTCCAGCTGATCTCTAAAAAAAATGCAGTCTAATTTTGTACTTCTAAAATAATCACTGAATTCCGCATCAGATTTTTCTTCTAATGCCAAATATTAGCACATACAATACTCCTGTAAAAGTGAGTTCAAAATGGAAAACCGTGCTTCATTTCACGTTTTTTCGTACCAAAGGTTGATATTGTGAAATCTTTTCTCATTGACATGTAATGTTATTGTTTTCCAGGATTACAGAGCGTAAATCACATGAAGTGTATTGACAATGAAATAAATCTCTCAAGCTGTTGACACTATTGTTCAAATACCACGCTAATTAATATCGAAAACAAAACAAGAGTTGTTTTTATTTCTGAGGGTCTATGGTATAATTGCTCAATCCTGAAGGAGGAAGACGACATGAACTACCGCTAGTTGAGCTGTGATTTAATTGAGCAATTGAAGCAGTGTGCTTCCTTACATTGAGAAAACTTGATATTTACCAATTAACCGCAAGACCCGAGGCAACAAAATGAACTAATGTAAATTTGAGACCAGGCGGCCTTTGGAAGGACTTCGCAAAATTTAGCACAACTGTGACACAGCTCGAGAAAAGATATCTTTCACGGTAAGAAGCAATTGAAATTCTTTAGATTTTACATTGATTTTGATCCACTGGGGATTCATTAATTTTAAAGAAGAGTATTTGATAAGCCTCACTCTTAAAATCTACTGCGTCTCTCTGAAGTGAACGTAATATTTGAAATTGCCAATCGCGTAGAATACTCATTCACTCAGTCTAACGTTTTTGCATGACATGCCAAGCGCGAAGGGCTAAATCGCTTTTTCTACCCTCCAAATTGGCGAGACAAACAACCGCCAATTCTTGGTGACCCGAACAGCCAATCTTAGGGAAAAAACCGTACAGGAAATATCTCAATTGCGTGAAAAGTAGTTTTGATAACCTCACGCGACGAAGTCAGTATTTGCGTGTGTTCGCAGCGCCAAGATTCTTCATTTAAAGACTTTAGAGCTTACATTCGCGGAAAGATTTATCCCTTTAGCGTTCCTGTTCATTTGCCAGGAAGTAAAAGGCTTAATAAAACAGCGAGAGCTTATTCAATAAGAATCTTGCAATGCGATCTCGAGTAATTGACAAGGGGATCATTGGGTTTTATTCACTCAAATCATCTGCTAACCGCTATCTGTCTCGGATCAAAAGCTGATCGATCGGGCGACAGAAAGTAATTTTAACCCCTAGATATCTGTATTTCGGCGTGCTTGCATGCCCTTTGCTTTTTAAAAACATAACGGAGACACGATAGTAATTTATTTACAAAGTAATTGTAAGTGTTTGTAAAACTTCTCGATTTTTCTGCATCTCAATTTCCTAATTTCTTCACTCCTGTGAACTAAATTTAGCACTAAAGATTATTGATGCTATAATTGATAAGGAAAAGAATAGCGCTGTTCTTTAAACGACAAATTATATTCTGGATCGTTTTGCGCATTTCAGAAAATTGTGGTTGCTTCCATTTCAAAGAAATAATATACAACACCGCCGGGCTTTGCAACGCTGTTGACAACATGGACTTGACCAACCGCCGTGCGGCGTGTAAGGCAGTTGAAGAGCCGGTGGTAATAATAATAACTACTCGAGTACCTTGCGGCAATGCAGAAGAGTTATAATAGTGCTGGGGTCACGTTCTTCGCTTCAATAACCTTGTTACCAAAGCCAACGTAGCATTTTAGGCAGACGGTCAGTAAATGACGAGGATATCCATGAAATGATTTTGAAATGAACAAGCAGCGGTTTCTCGCTTAAGTGGCACCATAACCTTCGCACTTTCTTTTTTTCTTAATTTTGCTTTTTATTTCATATTTATTTTATGGAGAATCATCCAGGAATCAGAGCCCTCCATAACACCAATAAAATAAACTCGCAAAGTCAGCAACTGTATCGGTGAATAGCAATTAAGTAAACTGTGGCATTTTCTTTGAGAACAAAATTCCCTCTTTGACTGACGTTTCACCGCACTCAAGAGTCACTGGAGACGAATAGCGCTTTTTCAGTTTCTTCTGAGCAGGCCTTATAGTATTGGGGAAAGAATCTATTCAGTTACTGTTTTGGCATTTCGCTTCCTTTTCGGAATTCTAACGGTTAAAGGAAAAGGAAACTTCCTTCTGATACGTACAAAAATTTGTGTGCTCAACAGGTTGTTACGTAACGTAAGCTTAGCGTATCTTATGCTTACTACGCATGCGGACAAAACACTAAAAGAGATTCTGTCTTCCATCGTTGAACATGTGCCAATTCTCGTAAGAAGACAGCCTGATGGTTGATTTACTGTTCATTAATTTTCTGTGACACGATATCAAAACGGTCCCTGTTTGTGAGTTAAGAAACGCAAAAAAGGTGAAAGTCTCACCACGGAAATCAAGATACCCTCAGTTTTTTTTCCTGTGACGAAACTGAGGTAATTTTTACCATCTTACCAAAGCGAGTCTTAACTTTCGAACGGAAACGTATAAAGAATCACTTGTAAGATTCAATCAATCAAAGTCGGTAAATTTTATTTATTTACTTTCATTTTTTGTCTCAAGGGACTAGTTGTTATTAAGTACAGTTTAACCATGCAAATTAGTCACAAAGTGGATCTAAATAAAAAAATGTTTTAAATCTTCATCCTTCCGATTAGGATTATAGATGATTTATTTACGTGCAAAGCGAATTGACGTCTAATACTTCCTTTGTGGGCTCACAGTGTAGCACCGCTGTTTCCAACAATACAAAGGGAATGGAAAGTGAACAAACTGTTCAAAAGGAAGCCGGCTTTAAAACATGGTCAGTGGAGCAATCTCATTAGAGCGCTCTAATCAACCTTGCTAACAAAAACAAGCATTGTTTAAGAAGCCATTAAAATCTTCAACTGACTCTTACCTGCTAAAATACATTGCTCACTTCGTCGATCAGGGCAAGCTGATGTTTCCGTCTTTTCATATCATCACTCATATTTCTAAATTAGTTTGTGCGGCAAAGAGAGTAATGAAAGAATTATATTTTGTTAAATACATCATATTGTCATTTTTAAGACTGGCCGCTTGTTTACCTAAATTGCGTTTAATAATACACCGGCCATAAAGAAATGCCCTAATCACGCCTCCTGTATGACTTTTTCTAAAAGAAACCGAGCGACATCATGTTTCCAGTTTCTCAATTGTTTGCCTTGTCACTTAACTTCTTAAGTACCTACTGACATAAAGCCAAAAATTTTGGTGACACACATACAATCGCACTTAAAAACTGCTGAAATTTATTAGACAGTTGTGTTCCTCCTGCACGTCCAATAAGCGAGTCGGCCTCTTCAAAGGAATCTGATGAATGGATTTAATTTATGTTTGTTTGCGCAGTGGACTGTAATCCAATCGCAAACAGCACTTTACATACACCTCCGATATTCTTAAGATTCGAAGCCCAAACTGTGCATTTTTGTTTTCCAACAGTTTCGTCTCAACGTCAAACAGTAAAAGGTGTTCTTCACCCAACAGTCATGTACGAAATTTCATTCGTTGACGATGACTCCGAGGATTTCAGGATCCAGGACTTGCTGGGCGAGGGTTCTTTCGCTCAGGTTTACAAATGTGTGGAAACCAAGTCACAAACCGTGTTCGCTCTGAAAGAATTTGACCAGAAACACAAGGAATTTGATGAGAAAACTGTAGAACAAGAGGTACTTGTTTGGACTGATGTTGTGCACGAGAACATCGTTCGCTTGTACGCCTCCTTTGCCACAGGATCTTACATGTACTTTGTCCTGGAATACGTGGACGGGGGAAGCCTTTTTAATCACATGATGCAAAGGCACAAATATAGCGAAAAAGAAGCTGCAAACATTTTGAAACAGGTAAAGTTCAGCATTTTATCTATAGACTGCTGCGGTTAGCCCACTGATGTAAGCTTTCATCGTGTAAAATGCAACTCAGCTGCCCTGGTCTTCTGTTTCTAATTTTGACATTTTCAGTTGCGTTAGCGGTTCCATTTCAGCATTTAACAAGTAATGCACTACCCATTTCACGTCCTGTCATAAGCAGAAAGGAGTTTATTTTAATTTGCTGAGCACGTCGCCTTCGAAGCATGTTGCACCGTCAACAAAGACGATGTTTGAAGAGCAAGTTTATCAGACCTCTTGAAACAACTATGGCAAAAATGTTTCAAGATTGTGGTGAAATAGACCGGACTACCTTGTTCACTCTAGTACTCTTCAATATGTGACAAGGTTCGGTAAATTCTGTTAGAAAACACGACGCACATTTCGCTCTTGCGTTTACGATCTTGTATTTAATTCCAGACTCATTCGCAAAGCTAACCTTGCATTTACTTTTGGTGAGCAATTTTACAACCGTTTTACCTCATTGATTAATTTATCTGACAGAATCAAGTCATAATCAGTTCCGGTTATCTTGAAGATAAAATCAACATTCTCTAAAATAATACAGCTAATCAAACAGCGGATTCTGATAAAAAATATCGGCGATACCTGCAAAATTTCCGCTTTTTTGTCTCGGATGTATTTTACCTTAAACGGGGCAAACGTGCTTACTTTTATCACAAGTCATTATATATTCAATTTAGGGTATAATTATCGGATTAATTTTTATGTTGAAGCGTTTCAAGATCAAAAACAAGATTTAAACTAGAGCTCCGTTTTTTTGTCGCATGGATTGTCGAAAGTTTAACGAAGTCCTGATGTTTTCGTTATGTTTATACAGTTCATTCATGTTTTTAATGGATTTCTTGGCGAAGAAAAATCAGCATAGTCTCACTTTGTTGTATAGTTGTCAAAATTTTTAGCCGTGGAATAGGTACGATTATGTTTGTTCCCTACTGCTTATCTAGGCACAGACTAAAACCTTTGTCCAAGAGCGCAATGTCACAAACGTGCATGACAACAATAGGCCAGCGCGTTATTTCAGCGCAGTTTTCATTCAGTTGATATTTTTGGCATCTTCAATGTAATTCCAACTCTGACCTCTAACCCTTTCCAACCAATTCAATTAATTTCTTGCTGCTTACCGTGGGTTGTATATACAACCAATCTATTAGTGTTGTATCACTTCAAACTGTTTTGTTTGTCTCCGATGGCGCCCACACTATGGTAAATCGTGTTAGTTTATGTAAACTGAAGATGCATCAGAGGAGCACTGAGCACTGACTGGTGACATGAATGCTTCAAACGTTTGGTTCAAAACTAACCGTTCTCGATAACCTTCGTGAAACTTGCTAACTTACGACTACTGTACAGCCTACGACCAGAACTTGGCGTTCTAGGACGCGGGTTTCTTTCCCCGCGGGAAGATTCGAGGCGAGTTGTGGAGAAGTTTTACCGGGGATCTGGCACTAACAATCAGTGCTAGACCTCTAAAGGCGGGCGAAGAACGCTCGTGCTACGCTAATAACGAGGACCTGTTCCCAAGGTCATCATCGTGCGTCGGAAAAACCAGCGCGTTTTTCCGAGTAGACAGTGAAATGCGTTAGTTGCCGGCTTATAGTTATCGTAGTCGTCTAAAACCTGATATTTAGGTATTTATTTGCACTAGTCCTAATTTTTGTTACGAGAACACTGCAACAAATAGTTAACTATTAGCATCTTTTGTTAGGCTCTGAGTTCCACTCCTTTTTTGTTAAGTCAACTTTTAAAATTTAACCCTTCATTGGTATCGCTTCGCAGGTACTTGAAGCCCTTCATTACCTTCACAAGAAACGAATCGTCCATCGAGATGTCAAACCGGATAACCTACTGATCAAACAGGTTCCAGATACCGCTGGCAAATCTAAACAGCACCTTACAATCAAATTATGTGACTTCGGATTTGCTTTCAAACTCCCACCTGGTGTTGAGGTCACGTGCTGTCCTCCGCGGGGCGCGCCGATGTTTTTGGCGCCAGAAACAATTCTCGACAATCCAATTGGTCGACCTGTGGATATGTGGTCCACGGGTGTACTTCTTCACCTCTTAGTGGCGGGCTATCCACCATTCTGGCACGACAACAGCGAGAAAATGTTACTGGCGGCAGTGCGAGGCCAGTTTAGTTTAACTACTCCCACTTGGAACAAAATTTCTAAGTCCTGCAAAGACCTGGTCAAATGTATGCTTGCAGTGCAGACATCCCAGCGTATCGCGGCTGTCGAGGCTTTAAGACATCCTTGGTTTTTTAAGTTGTCGGAGTTGGACTCACCGCGCCCGCGAAGGAAACACAGTAGTGAGCTGTCAAAAAGTTGTCGGCTGACAGAGAAGCTCAAGTGTACGATCAGCGAGATGCATTCAAGCATGAAGCTGCACCGCTTGGGTCTCGATCCTTTGAAAGGAAAATTTTCCCCGCTATATCACTCAGCCATGAATCTGTCCGAGGTTAGCAGATGACAGCAGCTGCGTTTGTCTCGTACAGTTAAATTTGTTCACGCTTAACAGTTCGGCATCTCATGACAATGTTAACAGATACGTTAAAAGTTGGTATCGAGGTCAGACGTTCTCCCTCCTGGGGAGCGCTACGAAGTCTTGACAGTCCTATTTGTCCACCTGCGGGGTTATGGTCTACCGGTGTTTCCCCCTTACTCACTCTGGAGAGAATGATTCCCTTAAAGTCCAGTCTCGTTTCTCGTCGCTGTGCTTGACCGAGGAAGCCTAAGTTTAGGAGCTTGAAGCCAAGTGGGAAGGCCCACATGCGCGTTCAAAGGCTGGCTTTTTCAAACGTTTTCGCTTCATATTCAATTTTAAAAACCAGGCATAACCAGTTTCTGCACAAATCAATGTCTTGATCGCATGCTTTCATGTACAATAGAGAATGTTAATGAAGTTGAATATAAAAATTTTGCTCATTAGACAGTGTCTATATTTCCTCTGAAATTCCAAATCATGGGATAGTCCGGTGATGGGACATAGCATTTCAAGATGATGGCTAGAGATGAGCAGGCATGTAAATGGGGCTGGTCGCAGTTGCCCAAATTATTTCACTGAACAATGACTACACCTTTATCACTTTATCATTTTGTGATAGGCAGATAACTTGAGTGTTCTTACCTTGACATTAGTGATTGTTTAACTAGTGTAATGATCAGAAAGGTAATCTTGGGGTGGAATTTCAAAGTGTGACCAACATCTTCCTTTCAATTCTTAAAAATCGACTCCTAAATGGTTCCAGAGAACCACAGACGAAAAGAGCTAAAAAAGTGACGATAAACTTGTTTGTACTTCAAATTACGCATTTCAACTCACTTTTCACATTGAGGATGCAAAGATTATTCTGCTACTAAGCAAACAAAACAACAAAAATACGTTTGACTGTAACCCTACATAGTTAAATAATAAAAAATTCAAATATCTGTCACTGTGTCTACCTTCTTCTACATTCTCTTAATGGTTACAACAATGATTGCATCGGCCCTCTTTGTGGGACATGACATAAACAACCAACCACAATCAACAAACTAAAAACACCAGATGGGTAGAGAAGCATGTCTCCTTCACTTATGACAACTTCACAGCTGCTAGACCAATTGACTGTAAGAATTGCCAATATGCAAGAAATTTCATAGAACAGACAAAACTTCACTAGGTAATCATTAACATGGTACCATTTTGTTCAACATCAATTCGTGCAAACCTTGTCAAAAACACCTTGACTACAATCCTGCTACACATCCAGTTTCTAAGACACTGTGGTGCTGCATAAGTAACGAAAGGGGGTGGGGAAGGGGAGGAAAGGGATGGTGGGGTTTAAAGAAAACTTTGTTTCATCATCTTAGTTAAAAGTGTAAATTGGTCACCATTAAGACTTCCTAAAGCTGACCTTTCAGGCATTAGCCCTACCTGTTGGTTCTGATGAAGAGCTAATGCTAAAATATGTCATCTTTAGAAACTAATTACGATGGCAATTTTACATTATTAACTCAAATGATAAAAAATCATTTACTGAACATCAGGACCAGTTGTATAAAAGGGCAGACAACACTATCCAACAGATAAACTGCCAGCCAGCAGATAAGTGATAGCAAAACATATTGCATTATCGACTGTATAGAGATTTATCCAGTGGTTAGCGATATCCAACCTTCAAATAACCAGGGCCAGTTGTATTGAAAGATGACTAATTGAAGGAGCAAAATTAGGGGGAGTGGCCTGCCATGAGACATTGTTGGCTAAAATCAGTGTTTAAATCAACTTTGAAACATGCCTGAATACAGTTTAGGGCAGATTCACTGAGCTGTTGTTCCTCCAAGCTATGACCAAAATAAGACTATAACTTACACCAAATGACAACCAAGATACAGAAATTCAAGTTTCTTTAATTTAAATCCTTCATCTATTTGCCTTCCTGTGCCTTGCTATACACATACGTTAAACAGCATTTTCCACAGTACTGGCGATCAAAGTGACTGGCCATGAAAACTCCAGCGCCACATGACTCATTTGGACATTCCCGTCGAAGACGAGTGATCTTTCCATTTTCATTCACCTTGTAGTATTTCAGGACAGCTAGCTTAACCTAGTGATGTAGAAGTAAAGTATGGTTAGCATACAATCTAAAGTACAACAAGGAAATGTTGAATTCTACAGAAAAAAACATTCACTTCTGCAACTCTCTTACAAGTCATTATTATATATTATTCTAACAGTTTAAAAAAAGTTCTAATGAACAGGTAATGAGAAATCTGAAAAGGAAACTAAGGAATAAATTGTTTTAATATCTTGCCGAATTCTTTGGACCAGACAACAAAGAAATAAATGGTAAATAGTAAGGAAATTGAAATTTTCAGATCTTGGAATGAAAAGCCTCATTCTACTCAGCACTGAAGAAAGCTTGTTAGCAGTTAAAGTTATTTTGATGATGTCTATCACTCATGTGTCATAGTTTTTTTTTTTCCAATTAAGATTTTACACTGATAGATATATGAAGATCATGATGTCACAGTAATACTTGATAAACTTTCTACTCCTAAGATATCATTGATAATTCTCCTTACTATCTACTAGACAGTTCTTATGATGTTTGTTCAGAGAATTTGGTAATGGATCATTCTATAATCCCCTGATTGATATTTTTCTTTACACTCATCACTTGCCTGCTTGGCAATGTATCAATACTTTAAAGTGAAATTCTGTTGTTCCTGGGAATTCTTTACACAGGAAATTAGACACGACTCTTACCTTCTTCTTCTTGTGCTTGATCTTCTTGGGGGTGGTATAGTTCTTCTTCTTCCTTTTCTTTGCTCCTCCTCTCAGTCGCAGCACAAGGTGAAGAGTTGATTCCTTCTGGATGTTGTAGTCACTGAGGGTACGTCCATCTTCCAACTGCTTGCCAGCAAATATCAATCGTTGCTGGTCAGGAGGGATTCCTAAGGTAAATGGTGTTCTCAGTAAACTTATTTCTTGTGCCAAAAGAAAAATCCACACAGGTGTGTACATGATAATGTACATCCAAAGAAACAGAAAGAACTTAAATCTTTCATTTAGCTTACATCTCTTCTCCTTACCCTCTTTGTCCTGGATCTTTGTTTTCACATTCTCTATTGAGTCACTGGGTTCAACCTAAAAAACAAATACCAATGGTATTCAAAAACAATCTTGTATATTGAATCTTTGAGGACCAGTAGAAATTAAGGTTACTCATTTCATGAAACGCATCTTTGCATTCTGCATGGATGCCTCATTCTCCAGCAGCCACTTTTAACCATCAACAGGTGTATTCATAATTTCTCCATTTGAACAGAAGTTTGCTCAAGAGGGTAGCATAAAAAAACTTAAATGAAATAAATTGACAAGCCAGTTTACTGACACTTTCCCTGGTCTCGATTCACAGCCTAACATGATCATCTTACTTAAATGTTTAACTTGGGTTAAATATTGTTTTACCATGCACAAATTTCTACAGAATACCGCGCCACTTATTGCCATCTTAGTGGTGACTTTTGAGGAACACTTTCTTCAATACTTCTACTGTTAATAAGTTTTGTGATTCCCAAGGAAGTGTTTGTTGTCTCAAAAACATTGACAGGCCTGTAAGGAGTCTAGTTTAAGTCTGCGAGCTGTGTTAGTTTTTCATTCAATTTAGTTTGTAAGGAGTAAAATTCAGGGACTGCGGTTCCAAGATTCATCCCTTTTTTTTAAGGAAAGCCAAGAAACTGACGTAGATTTAGGAGCATTTGAAGACATCGATTGACTCTTTCTTCGATCATGGACAGTCGTATCAAGGAAACAAAAAATAGGAAACTTCCCAACCACTTCAAGAAGAAGATTCAAGTGCCTTATGCAAAAAAAAGATGCGAAAACGAAAAGACAACTGTTCGGTGGATAAATTCACCTAAAACACTTTCTTAACTTGCACGTGTCATAAACATATAATTACAGACCTCAAGAGTGATGGTCTTCCCAGTCAGAGTTTTCACGAAAATCTGCATGGCTCCGCTTGAAAATTCTCTAAGGGATAGAAAAGCTATTAAATAGTTGTTCTGTGGAGCACAATTCGAAAAATTATCCCATGAAGACAAGGAAAAGTTCAGAATTCTGAATAAGTTTCATACCTCTTACCAAGATGGCGGAGAACCACGAGAAAAGAGAACTATTAGGGGTGGTCTGCCTCTAAATCAGGGGGCTCCGACCGCTGATCAAAACGTACGCTGTTGAAAATCAGTATTCGTTCAAGATGGCGGAGAGACGGAATGTTTAAATACGACTCAAAAAAGTTATTGCCTTCCATGATGGGTCCATCGACTTCTCGAAAGAAATGAAACGTTCTAAGAGATATCCAGTAGGAGAGATTTCTGGACGTGAACGCTCTACTCCGATAGGTTCTGGGTATCATGATTTCCAAGATTCATTTTCCGAGCGATTTAACGCATCTTCTTGGGATATTTGCCTGTTTTTGGATTATTAATCTCTCTGAGTAAACGACGGTAATGAAGGGATCATTACATGTTTTGTCATGGGACAGAAAAGTAGAAGACCAAACCAGCAAGTCTGTTTCTGATGTAAATTAATTCTGGGTATTACCAAGTTTGTTTTGTTTTCTTCTTTTTTTTTTTTTTTTTTTTTAGCGAGGGGCGGGGGTTCACCTGTGAACGTTGAATTTCACTCCCTTCCCCCTTATTCATTGTATGATGTACTGAAAAAAGTTTATGACTCGTGATTTCATTGAAAAAAAAATTAATAAATAAGAGACTAAGATAAGAAAAATCTTTATTTGAGGTCATTAGTGTCCAACTATTAGGCCAAGGTGAGCATATAAGGGACAAAGCTTTTCTGCTTGATTTTGACAATAATAAGAGTAAAATGCAGGCAAAGGTGCTAAGAGAACATTAACTTGAATTTGGAAGTCTAAAACTTTTGAAAAAAAAGGAAGAAAAATATTTTAATATTTGCAAAGTTATTCTTATTATTAAATAATTAAATGATATCAATTTCGTTGTTGCGATCAAAATTCTCCTGTCACAAAATCAGCTTTTGAGCTTTGGTTTCTTCATGGGTACACATTAAAGTCCTTCACGCTGGAATCCGCAACGGCGGTAAACTGAGAAAATAAAATTAAGAAATGAAATCAAGAATAATCAGGAACAATAGACAGCGCTTGTATAGTTGTTACGCACAACACAAGAGAAGAAAACAAGCATGCAGTTGTGACTTTGTTACCTGTTGTGTAAACTGGTCAATACAAGCCATTCTGATACGCTCACTGGTGGCAGGACTGTCCAGTCTGAAAATCCCTTCAATACCTGATTCACGTCTGTGAAGAAAAAACGATGAAATTAATTTACACTTTAATCTTTAACTTTGCCTCGGTCAGGACGTCAACATGCTAGCGCAACTCATGCCCTTTCGGTCAGCCAATTTCCTTATGATTATTAAAACTAGAGCTAAAAATTGTTGCCCTAGCCTGAGAATTTGGAGCTCTAACATATTTATTAATGTTACGCTTCGCCTCACTTTGCTGCAGAATTTAGGAGATAAGTCTCACCTGGCGTCGGTGATGGCCTCTTTAATGGCGAAGAATACAGATGCAGCTAAAAACAAAGAAGGTTCTCCAACGCCCTGAAATTAAATACGAGACTCTATTGTTTACCAGTTTGGTTTAAAATGTGATTTATTCCAGTTCCAATAATCTTGCATCCGTTCAACAGGTCCAGTGACAAGACAAACGTGGTGCTGCGTCGGTAGGAGAGAATAACAGGGTGATTTAGTATTATTAACTGAGTTGATAGTGTAAATTGGCCACCGTAAAGAGTTTAAAAGCCGACGTTTCGAGCGTTAGCCCAATCGCTCTGAAGGTGGCCAATTTACGTTATCAACTCAGTTTATAATACTAAATTACCCTGTTATTCTCTCCTACTGATGCAGCACCACAGTTTCTTAAGAAACGTACCCCCTTTATTCATGATTGGTCAGTTAGCCGGTTAGTTGGTCAGTCAGACAGTCAGTCAGACAGACAGACAGGTAAACAGACAATCACTTTGTTGGTCGGTCAGACAGTCAATTGGTCAAGTCCAGCAGCTAGTCTGTCAGGGACTCAAGCGGTGGGTCAGTAAGTAAATCAGTCTGACTGTCAATGAGTCAGTCAGTGAGTCAGTTAATGAGTGAGTCAGTAAGGCAGTCACTGTCGATCGGTCGATCATCATTGAAAAAATAGAGTACCCTTAAAAGGTATCCGCCGCTTTCGCCCCCTATCGAGTTCGCCCCTACCTTATACCGTGTTCGCCCCCACACTTTTCGAGTTCGCCCCCAGATTGAGTCATGTCTAAATTAGTTGCTATCGAACATTGCAAACAAGTTAGAACCAAGTTTATCTACCGAACATTTCGTGTTCGTTAGATAAACCGAGGTTGGTTTGCATCTTTTCCAGTCTGAATAATAAGTTAAGCAATGTTGTTTTGATTAAGTGTGGTTCTCTTTATCACAAGTTCAGTTTATACAGTTATTTCTGGTATTCCCAGATCCCACGCATAGTATTTAGTTGATTCCGTCAACCCAGTTCCCAAGCAGGTTCACGCAATTTCCGAAATTCAAAATGGTCGTCGCTGACGTGACATTTGGCACATTCTACTAGTGCCTTCGTCACAAATCAACTCATCTGGATATCACTCAATCAAGGGGCGAACTCGACTTGATGGGGTCGAACTCGAAAAGTGTGGGGCGAACACGGCATAAGGTAGGGGCGAACTCGAAGGGGCGAACTCGATAGGGGGCGAACGCGGTGCAATTCCCCTTAAAATATAAGCCCTTGAGTGTGTAAAATACCTTCGAAGAATAAATGGCCATGTCGTTTGGAGCTTTCTGAAGAAGATGGACATTGAACTCTACCGGAATGTCTGCAAATCCAGGAATCTTGTAGGTCCCTGGCCCTGTCGTCCATAGGGTGCCATTCTGAGAACATCGTACTTCCTCTAGCGTAAGCATGCCGAGTCCCTGAACAAAAGCGCCTTCGATCTGAGGACATAACCAAAACATTTATGACATGAGGAAGTGCAAGAGTAACAGATAATTGCAGACTTTGATATAAAAGATTAAGTCAGCTTTCAACAGATTGATGAAACTATCAGGAATTGCAATGGTTTTGCTTGACACGTAACATTTCCGTGCATTTTGATTGGCCATTTCAATTGCGAATCACCGGTAGTAAGTAACTTACCGGAAGTCAGACGAACATCTCCGCCAGCTAAGAGTGACTTAGAGTAAAGGCATTTACGATTCTAATTAAATAAATAACACCGAAGTGAAATATATTGATACAAATAACGTCCTCGCAGGGTATGATGGGATAAGGTTACTGACCTGGCCGATGTCGATAGCTGGATTGAGACTGGTACCGACATCCATCACAATGTCTGTGCGAAGAACCTGTTCACACAAATTCACCCCAAAAAAGCGTTACAAGTATTGAGCGAATAGTTTGAAGTTAGAGATGATTGTCAAATCAACTCAAAAATGTTTTATTTGTTAAAAGTGACTGGGGTTAAATAGAGAGACTGCGCACAGACGAGCACTCTGAAGTATGGCTACGACCTTTGTTAACTTACGCGTCTCCTCCCAGCTCAAAAAGTTTGTTTGAAGAAAAGCAAGTTATGTAATTTTTTTGACAGGTGCAGTTTCCTTAGTTCTCGAGAGAATTGAAACATGTTTAACAGTCCGAGATTTGGAATTTTGCTTTCCCTTTTTTAAGTTGCGACCTTGTCTAATACCTCTAATACCTATATCTTCTAAGGCCGCCAAATAGTGTAAAAGATCTAGGCAGACGTTCACGTATAAGGTGCTTAGTTACATTATTTAGTTCGAAAAGACTTGCAATAGCGATGCGAGTAAGACGTCACCCACTTGATGATCTCCTGTTAGACAATCGATTTCCACTTCAGAACAGGCAGCACCATAAGTGTAATAATTGTACAAACGCCCTGAATTAGTTTTCCAATCGTAATTGAGATCGGGCACTCTGTAAGATTTAAAAAAATGACCGAATCAATATCAGCACAAACTTTCATTAAAATCGGCTTAACTTAGAAAATCGTCATTGAGTTAGCAAAAAAACAGAGGGAATTTTTATTTTTAAAAACAAAAAGAACACGAATTAGGAACCTTACGTAAGAGATTGTGGGAGTGGTGGGGCAGGGGAGGGGAGGGGAGGGGAAGAAAAAAGGCAAAAAAGACTCTGAACCCCAAAACAGAACTTTATGGATGGGGGGGGGGGCACATTGTGGAAAGTATATACTTGACATAGCTTAGACTGTAATTATTATCCTTACTTGTAAAACCCACTTGCAGAGAGGTTCACGCGGTCAAAGTAGGCCGCGTGTACCCAGTCCTCCCACTTTCCCTTGGGATCCTCCATCTGATAAGGCTTGAGTCTGTCCAGTATTTGGTCACAAGCATTCTGCAAACGACATTAGCAAGCGTACTGATGCTTTGTCCATCCTTTTACTCATTCAATTTTTTTTCTGTTTGTCAATAGGTTGTAAGTCCTTTCTTTGGTGGAAACTTCATCAACCCCTTGAGTGTGTCATTTATTTTCCATTCTCCCCCACCCCTCCCCCTCAACCTTACACTCTTTTGGTCGAAAGTTTCTTTAGGGCAGGGCATAACCTGTACGTCGATGGCGGGAAAGATACGAGAAAAAGGAAAGCTAGATGTATGTTGCACAATTGAACAAATTGTTATATGAGCGTTTAACGGTTGGTTTTGCTTTACGACGCTCAAAGTTGGTCCAGGAAACGCACGTAACTCTCACGGCTGATCGAATGAAAAAAAAAACCCATCGTGACTCCGTTGCTCGCGTTTTTCTTCACTCCAGGCACTGTACTTTTACCTGTCGTTCCTTTGAGTTTCTATCCGCTCCCTGAGCTGTGATTGTTTATATCGAATCTTTCAGTTTTCAGTAATTCTATATGTACAGATCTCACGAAAAAAGCGCTCTTGCGCGACAAAGGTGTTGACAATTCTTACTTTAACCGCCATGCCGTTGAGATCAGAGGAGGCAGAACTTCCTGTCTGGGTAGTATTAGGAACTGTGTTTGTACTTGTTTCACTTATTATGATTTTGGATGCTGGAATACTTAAACATCTAGCTGCTACCTGCAAAAATATAACATAGGAAAGTTGAAATTTGAGTTCATGTCGTCACGTTTTGTATAACCTCACTGCACTTGTCGTTTCAACGACATGAAGTCATAAACAGGAACAGCTCATCAGACTGACAGACATCTCACCTGCACCATTTTGGTGTGTAGTCCTTGGCCCATTTCTGTTCCGCCATGAGTTAAAAGAACTGATCCATCTGTGTAAACATGCACCAGAGCTCCAGCCTGAATATAAAAAAAATCACGTACTGTTGATACGAGGCGATTAACTGAGGAAAGTTGTTGACGGAAGCTTTCAATGCAGATTTCATACCTGATTTTTGGCGCGTAAAGCAACTCCAATACCGAGCATAGTGGGTATCAACGAAATTCCACGTTTCCTCCATCGATTTTCCCTTAAATCAGTATAAATTTTGTTTAAAAAGGTAATAACTTTTTTACATTTCAGGATTGGAAAGAATATCGTGAATCGTTTGTGCTAGCCCGCCTAACCAAAGCACGAAAAAGCGAGATGGGTGAAAATAGTTTCAGACGTTACCTGTTAAAGGATTGGACGAGTTTTCTCCGTTTCTCGTACTCGCATTTCTCTACTAGTTCATTCCATACTCGCTGAAGCTGGCAATTCGTCAATTCTTGGTTAATGTGAGTTAAATCTCCTTCTGTGTAAAAATTCAGTTCCCGCACCTGTTGGTGAAACGAAAGGTGACTCATTATGCGATTTTCAAAGATTTGAACAAAACAACACGTGATCCTCACCGAATACCAAACCTTCTACTCTTTGTTGATTCTCGTGTGTCGTTATATTGATAAGTTCTTACTTCAGTCGGTACATCTTTTTCTTAAGTAAAAATCACTTCTCTACTTAAAACAGTTTGTCGGTAGCTCAAAATGAAATTAATTTAATTTAATTTAAATTCCTAAATCGTTTTCCATCTGTTTGACCGAATAGGGTGGAATGGGGTATAGAGGGAATTCCACATAACGATCAATCCTAATCAGACAGTTTCTCACGTTTTTGTTCTTTATTCGAGTACGGTAAGTCTAACAAGCCTTCTAATGTAAGAACAATCATTGCTACATCGCTCTAAATAAATTTAATGTCTATTTGATCGACGGTTAGGACACACAACTGACCTCTCTTTGGGAAATACCACAGATGGTTGCAATGTCAGAAATCAGTGACTCACAAAACAACATACTCTGCAAACAAAATCGTTAGCCATCAGAACGGTTTATCAATTTCTCTTTTTCATCAGTGGACAATTGAAAAAATAAGCATGAGCGAAGCCAGTGGCGATTGATGTCTCTTGATGTTCGAAGGTTGTTTACAGGACTTTACCAATCTTTAATCATATTCAATACTAGTTAAGGAGAATAGAGCGCTTTTTGGTTGAGTGACATAAAACCAAAACCAATGTAATCACAACGGCCAATCAGAAGAGAGGAAATACCTTTGCGAACCAATGAGAACCCAGAGGAAAAACAACCAAATTGCCAAAAGCGCGGGAAAACGCGAGCGACCAAGTCGTGATGATTTTAATTTTGCATCTGATTGGTTGGGTGAGTTGCGCGAGTTTCCTTGACCAATCACAGAGCGAAGTGAAACAAAACTAGTCTCGTATATATTACTTTCGACCTTAAACTGAAAATTGCTCTGAACGGTCGATTCGATTTCTTGGTCTTATTTAAGACATTCTACCGTTTGTTTTGTACATACTTCAAAAGCAAGTTTTTTTCAATGTCTTACCTGTGGAACACCAAAGCCCCTGAACCCTGTGGTTGATGCAATGTTAGTTTTACAGAGGCGGCCAACCCCACGAATGTTTGGAATGAGGTAGCAGTTTGCCATATGGTATATTGATCTTTTCATGACCTGGCAAAGTGGATATGAAAAGCCAGCAGAGTTACAAACCCGTTAGGCTGATAACAATAAATGCCATTAAATAGTCTTCCCACTGATCTTCACGTTGGTTAATCGCAGAAAGAGTATATGCCCTTTTGCAACATACCCCGAACGTGTCGGGTTCTCATCTGAACAAATGAAACAAATTTTAATTTTTGAAAGGCCATTAGAGTTTATCACCGACTTCTTCGGAAAAAAATGGAACTCGGAAATTCATAACAGTTCACGAAATTCTAACCGTCTTCTTGTCAACATCTGGTAGTCAACGAATATTTGAATCTCGCGCTCGGAAATTGGCAAAGCGTCGGTTCTTTCAAACCTTTGTTCTAGAAACAATAGAGCCTCTAAGCTGTAAACAATTAAAATGCCCATAAAAGGAAGGTAATCCAGTGCCATTGTCTACCAAAAATTAAACACAAAGTTTGATATGCTAATTATCTCACGAGTTTCTTAAAAAAAACCGCTAAATGGCAACGCCTTAATGGGATCACATTAGAGTTCATGGATTGTCCATTGCAACGCGCAGACTCTACCTAGAGTTCCATTAAGTGTCTGTGCAGAGTCCAAAAACAAATCAGTCCTACCATTTCAGAAACATCCAGTGTGTTTCCAGCATTATTGTACAACTTGACGTCATAAGACTTTATTTTTCCATCGAATGTAAAACCCACCTAGGACAAGAAAAACGTAAACATATAATTCTCGGGCATAGTTTAAAATTCTCCATTTTCATGTTGAAAATCAATTACAAACCATTTCATGCTCAAAGAAGTATTCTTCTTGACAAAGATCTATCGTAAGGCATGAATGTGTTGGGAAATGGGAACACAAGACTTTACCTTTCCATCGAATGTAAAACTCAACTAGAGAAGGAAAAACGTAAACATATAATTATCGGGCGTAGTTTAAATTCTCCATTTTCACGTTGAAAATCAGTTACAAATAATATCATATTTAAAGAAGTATTCTTCTTGACAAAGGTCTATCGTAGGGCATGAACGTGTTTGGGAAATGGGAACGTTTAAAACCATTTGCTAGCACCTATGTACATGCGTCTTCGGGGAACGATTTCTCAATATTGAAACCTTTTAGCTAGACAATTTTAAAAATATACTTATAATAGCTACCTTGTACTTCGCTAAGAAAGGATGCCGCGTTCCAGTGCTCTTCATGTCTTCATCTCGATCAAGCATGCACCTAACAGGTTTACCAGTTCTTTAAAAAAGATGAAAAAAGAATTCAGGGGCCTTCCTCAAACTAGGATAACTTCCTAGACACTCAAGTTTACCGTGTCAGAAAAAAAAATTATTTAGAATGAATGCGATAAATACGAACAGATTTGTTACCTCTCTCTGAACCTTTGAATGGATCCAAATTGTGGTTTTATCAACTTGAAATTCCAACAGAGGTAACGACACATTTAAATGCCGGTTTGTACTGAAAGTAAAGGAACACTTACCTTGCAGCAGCAACAGCGACTGCGTTTGTCAGAAAACAGTTCCGTGATTCTTTGCCTCCAAAGGCACCACCTACGGGAGCAAAAGCACCTTCACGAACAAAGACAACTGCACATTTCAGTTTGTCAAGTTCTCAGAGCTGGAATCGAAGCCCGTTTTCTTTTTTTGCCTGTTTTCTATTTGTTTGTTGTACTAGCCAATCCAATGGTATGCCGATTCGCGACTCGGGGTCGAGATTGGATTTTTGTTCGACTGTCAACGAACCAGGAGCAGCCATTAGCTTAACCTTCTTGAACTTCACCTTGAGAAGGACGTGTTCAAATTTTCCTTTTTCCCAAGAACTGCTAGAGACTGGAATCAGCTCCTTCCTGATATCCCTGATATTACTCTCGTCGAATGCAAAATTACCTTGGTTTATTAGCTTAATAAGAGCGTGTCGATTTGAAGAGTTAATTTTTTATTCTGTAATGTAGTTATTATTGTAGCATATGATTTGTACTTTTGCATTTTGTAAGTGGTTGGTGTGTTGCCTAATCGGCTTTCACCGACCTCATAGAGATGGTGATGGATGAAAGATGTTTCGCAATTAAAGACTTCGCGATTCAAGGAAATGCAAAGAAACTTACCCAGTCGTTTGGTTCGCACCACAACTCTGTTGTGCGGAACTCCAAGAGCTCTTGCAGCAAGTTTCTACAGATACACAAAGAGAAGGTTACATAAACCTCTCGCTTGTGCGGCTGGTATAGAGTATGAAAGTAGGATGATTTTCTTCATGGATAATCTGTGGTGTTGATTGCAAATAGCACCCAACTTAGTGTTGATTATGAAGAATTTATTGTGACCACCTTCCATTACGTTACGTTATGTAAGTAGCAGTATAAATATGTTCCGTTGTCCACGTTATTTAGGTTAGGTTAACTTAAGTAAGTTATTATTTGTGTATCTAGCGATTAGAATCAGTTTTTTACCGTCGTTCTTTTAAACATTGTTCTCTGCTAAAACACAACCAGCCGATGTAGTAACATGTTACTCCCATTTCACATAAAATTGGCTGTTTGATCATACATCAACATGCCTAGCAATTTTTTCCTGAGATGAATTGTATTGCCATACTTGTCAGCAAATATGCAGGAGAGATTTAGAAAGACTGAGTATCTCTCCAACATACCTGTGTCAATGTTGGATTTTGTGTGGAAACAAAAAGTTCCATCTCGCCATCTTCTCCCTTTGGAACAGCGATTGTAACTTGCGTCTCCAGATAGAAGTGTTCCTAGAAAAAACACATCTATAGCTGCTTCTGTAAAAGTTAGACATGGTTAGAGATCAATTAGGCTTTGTAGCGTAAGTCTAAGCCTGATTCCAAAACTCTTCAATAACTTACCTGTCCTCCAAATCTCATCTCTCCTTCCAACAGATGTTCAGATTCAGCAAATCCAGTTTCCAGGTCTCCCTTCTCGATGCTCAGTTCACAATCGTAAAAAGAATCTGCCGCTATAGCCTCCTGTAAAACAGCGAGTTAAGGATTAATGACTTGTTTCGAAAAGTGGCGCGAAGAACTTGTGAGTTTTACTATGAATGAGCTGAAAGTGGTCATATTAGTACTTAGTCCATTGTGATCGCCCGGGCAAATTAAGTAGAAAAGCCCTGGTAAAAATATCCTGTGATCTCATTGTGATCAAATATCAAACCCGTGATCGCGGTCCGGATATGATTTCCTCAATCATCGTGATGACCTTTCCAAGGCGCGTCGGGGGTGATAACAACAGTAGTTAGAGTGATAAAAGTCGTGATTACTCTTCCAAGAGTGATTGCTAGTGACGATGTTGTGGTCACAAGGTGATTCAAGCCGAGATCTTTCAGATTTCAAAACCGCTAACATAGTGCTGCTTCTAAAATGGCTGATTTCAAGAGTCAATCTAAACACTTTCAGAGACAAAGCATTGCCATCTTATATACACACATAATGGCAGATGGCAAATGGCAATAATTAGCACCTCAAAGTTCAATATAAGCCACGAAACTTAAAGTTTATTTTTTTGTGCTTCAGGAGCGCTGTCTCAGAAGTTTGATGATGGTGGAGATGTAACACAAAATTGTTAACAGAACTTTCCAGCAATGTTGAAGTTGCCGCCCACCTCAATGGTCAGTATTCTTGGTAAGTCTTTGTATGTTACTTTTACCATCTTGGCTGCTCTTTGGGCCTGGGCTTGAGTTTCAGCAGCTATTGCCCCTATGACTTGTCCGACGCAAGACACCTGAGAAACAAAACCATACATTATTAGAGCATTCATATCCTACGTGTGAAATCATTGAGTAAGATACACACCTTCTCTGTTGCAAAAATCTCCTCATCATCTGCAGCATACCCCGTGACGTTATCTCCAGGGACGTCTTCTGCGCTAATGTACGCTTTCACTCCTGGGAGACATAACGCTTCTCCCGGGTCTACAGAACTAAAAGGAAAAGGATCAATGTCAGTATGTGAGCAACTGCATGCGCACCTACCCCTCCCCTAACCTGACACTAAACCTAACTTCTGCATTAGTTGACAAAACAATTTATAACAAACCCAAACCGTTTGGGTTTGTTATAAATTATAAGGCAATACAACCCGACAATCTTATACCCCTCACCTCTAGCCGCGGCTAGTAAAGGCAAATGTGGGATTATTTTGCTTGAAAATTCTATCAACCTTACAGTTACTTAACATTGCTTTGCTTCGTATCTGTCCAGTGATTAACGAAATCTGATTTCATTCAGAGACTTTCACAGATGCTATCACCAGATGTTTTAGTAAAAGTGTGAAGCGAGGAAGAAAATTCTTAAGTACTTACACAATATTGGCATGTGCACGTGTGCTCCAAACAATCCCCAAATACAGTTCTCCTGTGAAAAGACAGCACATCAAAACAGATGACATACTTTCTTACTCAGAAAGTTCGATGACCTACTTCTGAACAAACCGAAGAATGGTAAAATCGAGGTTATGCAAAAAGTTATTTGTAAATAGGAAAAATCGTATTTCGCAAAGCATAAGGGACTAAGATTGTTGAAGTAACCCCTGATTGACGTTAAGGTCTAAACATTGTTTTCAGCCATACATAGCTTACATCGATTTTCTAGTGTTTATAGATGCTCAGTCATTCAACTAAATGTTCTGGTGCTTTAAATCCACTGGATTTTGCGGGTTGTCCGATAGAGCTGTACTTATCAGTTACTATAGTGTTCTCTATCAGGACGGCTGAACTCGCTGTAGAAGCTTTACACAACCTTTTCATCCCATTCAAAAATGTTATAGAAGAAAAAAACTCATTCCAGAGAGAATGCGAAATGGAAATTCGGCACACTTGATTCTGTAGCCTGTTGACGGCGCATTGCACATACTAATTCAGGTACAGGGATTCCAACCATATTTTTTATGGTCTCAGGGTTAACTGTACCTGCATATTGAGGAATGTCATCACAATAAACTGCCTCCCCCGTGGCGTGTTTGGCAGCTGCCAAGTGAGTCACAGGCCTGCCAACTAAATCTTCCTCGAACTGATCGTCGGGCACCTCCTGAATCAACCAAAATCGGAGGGAGTAAATGAGAGGAGTATAGAAAATATTTACTTGTCTGGATATGCAAACAAACAAACAAAAACAACAACAATATCGACAACTTGCCGAGACTTTCAAAACGATTTTCTAACTCTGTTTGTCAATCTAAGTCACAGCATACCATCTAAATCCTAGACGCGGAGCTCTGAGGATTACTTCTTGCACGTTTACACTAACTCTGAAGAAAAACGTTGTTGAACGAGGCTCGTACTTTGATAGGTTACTGTACATTGCCATTACACGTCATACCGGCATATGATTCCCAGACTTTGGCTTGCAAACTACACTCTTAAACAACAAGAAATTGAATTCAACCCTTTGTTTACCTGGAAAGTCTGTATGCTCCGGGTATCTTCTCGGCGAAAAAAATTTCTTCCTGTCCCATAGCTTTTGGGTACAAAATCGCCCAAGACGGGCTGAATTTCCTATTAAAACATATGTGTAAAAATTGGATCAATGTCAGTATCTATAGCGACTGTGTACCCACCTCTCCACTAACCCAACATTAACCTTAACTTGTTATCAGTTGATTGTCATTGGGGAGAGGAGAGATAGGTGTGGAGTTGCTCAAATACTAAGCTACATCGATACTAAACATAGGCACGCCTAGCATGCAAGAGCTATTTTTTGGCTGGGTGGGTTGAGATGGGACAGTTTGTGTACTTAATGTTTTCAGTTTTGTCACCGAAAAGAGCATTACTTTCAAAAAACGAAAATATCGCAGAAAGACAGAAAACAACCCAATTTATCTGAACTCACACAGATATTATGTGATCTACTGTCTCTATAATCTAAATACTTCTAAGTTAAAATAAAACCCATCGGTGCCACGCTTACTGTTGTCTCCTTCGCAGTTGTTTTGTCTCCTCACAAAACGCCCTGGATTTCCCGTTTGAGAGAGAGTGCGTTGCGTGACGAGACCAAATAACGATTTCGAAAGAGACTACGCTTACTGCCGTTCCTCCAACAGAGACAAAATCAAAATTATTCGTCTAAAGTTAGTTACCTAAAAAAATATAAAAAGACACGTTTTAACTTAAAAATTTTAAAAGCGTCCCCTTCATATCCGGATATCTCGACCTTAATCGAGCCCAAAATTTCTGGTTAATGTCATTCTTTGATCCATGACATCATTTACAAGAAAACAATACCCAAACGCTGTGATTGGTGCAGGATATTTAAATGCTATGATATGATTGGTGCGAGATAAATACCCTAATGCGGCAATTCTGACTGGTGCGAGATACATACCCTAATGCGGCGATCTGATTGGTGCGAGATAGATACATACTTTCCGCGCGAGCTGATTGGCTAGTTCGGAAGTGAAAGGTAAATATTATTCACCTCCGAACAGCCGATGAGACAAAAACGCGCGTCAAGAGTGTGATTTTCGACCATTTTTCGGTATATTAAGAGAAACAAACTAATTCTTTGGGTACAAGTGTGGTGTATACTAAAACAATTATTAACCTCAGCGTCGGTGAAAGTTGTGGATGTTTGACGAGCCGTGACACCTCCACTTTGTTGAATAATGGTTCATTATAGCACTTTAAGGTCAGTGATAAAGATTAGTGATAAAGAATCAAGGTTAGTTATAAAATAAAATCCTGAGTGCTGACCTCTTCATGGCCAAGCTGCTGAGAGACATTCAGATAGAACTTGAAAAAAAAGCTTGAGGCGAGCGATCTCCTGTACTCGACCTGACCACCGGGTGCTCCGGGTGCAAGCGGCAGATCTCCTGCTAACAACTGACAAGCTTCTTGTACGATATTTTCATTCCAGGTTCTGTGCGTGAATAACAGTAGGGAAGGTTTATTATTGGTGAGTGATGTAACCTGCGAGCAAGCCCAAACTATAGGCACTTCAACACGAGCTTCTCTTCGTCCGCGGGAAAGGATGAGGCCTGGAGCAAAGGTCTGCAAGAGGTCTGGCACTAAGTACTAGTGCCAGACCCTCGGCAAACTTTTCCCGATTCGTCTCAAATCTACCTGCGAGGGTGGGGGGGTAAGGAGGTGAGAAACGCACGTCCTGCAGCGCAAATGAGGGTGCGCACGCTATAAAGGATGCGGTGATCTCGTGGTTGACCCGCGGACTCCTGATGTGAAGGTCAGAGTTCCGAGTTTTAGGCGAGTACAGGCGAGACATTTTACCCCGACAGAGCCTCTCTTCATCCAGGGTACTGATGAGTATCAATGCAAAAGGCACAGCAAAGTGTTAAGGGAACCCAGTCCTTACCTCCCAGTTAAGCTCTTCATGGTTCTCAAGGCCATTACTGTTGTGGGAGCCATTCCTCCGAAAGTGAAACTGCAGTCCATGATTTGCCATGAACTTGCGTTTGTTTGCTTTTCAAGCTGCACTCTCATGGCTGTATTTACTATGGCAATGTCATCCTCTCGCCTGCGAGCTTGTTTAAAAGCGAATATGTGTTCGCGCTGTTAAACGTAACGAAACAGGCATTAAGATTACGCTGCTTTTTATGACAGTTGAAAAAGTGAAACATAAAAAAAGGAGCGCTATTTACTTTCAAAAAAAATGCATAAGTTACTTTTTGTAAGAGATCGGTCATAATTTATCGCCGCGGGGGACAGTGGGTCGGAGGATGCTGGTTATGTCACGACAAAATTTTCCTCATGCCCCCATAAGGCTCTGATAATATTATTATAGGGCAGATACATATATTTTCTGTATTCCTCCTTTATACTTTGTTGGGCGACGACTGATCCTCCTTCTGTTCCCCCTGAAAGCCATGTAATCCCCCTCCTGCACTAACCCCCCACCAAAATCCTCCTCGTCGCCCCCCCCCCCCCCTGCCACCAAAATCCTCTACTCACCCCGCCCACCAAAATTTTCCACTCCCCCCCTTACCAAAGTCCTCCACCCGCACTCCCCCAAAAAATCTCCACTCGCCCCCACCCTCCCTCCTCAAGCGATAAATAACAACTTGTCCGCTAAAGAACAACCTTTTTCATCGGACTGTTCTCCTGGAACAAAACCAATCAGTGGGATCAGTGCTAACAGAGGGCGCACAAGCAACGGATGTTGCTCTAATTTCAAACTCCTGAAAATATAGATATTGTTGATAGAAAATTATTACCTCCTTCGAAAATGGAATCAGAACGTTGACCAACACCTCGGTTGAACCTAAAATAGTTTTTCTGTATCCCGTGAAGAAATTCTCATCCAATTTGACCGACCTTGTTTTCCCTGTAAGTTTGTAATACATAAGAACAAATTATGATTTTTTAAGAAGACAGAAGTGAACAGATAGATAGATAAATAAAAAAAAGCATATAAATTAGGCAGGTTTATGATAACCAATACCTCCAGCACTCGCCAAAATCAAAGTACATCTTGCCGCCATTAGAACTGGATTTAGGTCTGATATCGGACTTGCGGTCATGATATTTCCACCTATGGCCTGACACAAAATAAACAAACGAAAAACAGTTTTAGAGGTAAGATTAGAAGAACAGACGATCTCTTGCGTGTTACTTTAGCGTCTGCTTGGGGTCTCAGGTCGAGTTTTGGCGGATTTGAAAGCCTGATGACGGCTTAGATGGAATAAAAAATTAGTGTTTTGATTACTCTCTGGTTAACGTATTATCAGGTTAAAGAATCTAAAAACTGTCTAGTTTCTCTTAAGTGGACTGAAACATCGTTAGAGGAATCGATAAAGTCGTAGAACAGTTCACTCCAACGGAGTTTATTGACGAGATGTGAAAACATCAGCAGCATACTCACCCCAACATTTCTAATCTGATGACCAGCAAACCACTTGAGCATGTGAAGTATTGTTGTAAACCATCTGGTCTTGCATTCTATAGAGCAGGAAATGAATGATAAGGATATTGCGATCCTAGCAGTACGCAGGACGTTTGTCACGTTCCGAACCGTCTGGTTCACTACAAATTTTCTTTGTAGGCCCAATGGTAAAGCATTGGGGGATGGGGTGGGTCGGGAAGTGCAAGTTCATGTGAATAACAATGTTATCACCTCATACAAGCAATTCGTTTAAGAAAAAATTCCATACAGACGTGTAACCAAAGGTTTCTGACTAACTTTTTTACATAATATGTTAAGCAAATTACTTTGCATGAGCTGAGTCCGAAAACGATCATCACCATATCGACCAATCAAAACGCGAACAACTTCATATTCACCTAAGCGCATTTCCTCACACGAACTACTTTACTCCCAATTACGCCGACTAACATTTTCATCAGAGATAAGTTAAAGACAATTTGTTCGAACAATAGAGGTTCCCTTTGAGTGGAAGGGGCATAAAATTAAGTTTCTCTTAAATACCTGGCATAAACTGACAAGCCTCACTGAGAACCTCCTCCAAGGTAGACAATGTCACAGACGCACCAAACCTGATGCCCTCTGCAGTGTGTTCGACAGCATTCAACTCCGGGATGTGAGAAGGAGCTATCAGGATTGGATAATTCTGATTTTTAAATTTTACCTCAATTCCTGCAAATATGAAATAATTTTGAAATACGCGAATTTTGAAAATATTTAAAACTGGGACGACCACAAAATGATGGGACGACCTTTCTTTAAATTTCAAGAAAATATCATGCAACTTGAAAGACTGGGACAAAAGAAATTCAGGTTGTTAGGAAAAGGCTGGAGAAAATATCAAAACTGACTGGGACAAAAGGGAAAAGGCTGGGAAAATATCAGTATGGTGACGACATAAACCTGGTATAATTGATACTACACCTTTCTTTAAATTTCAACCTTACAACGTCTGATTTCTTTCTCGGTCATTCAGCTGCCTCAACTAGTTTGCATATAGACCGATATCAACGAAGAATTCTATTCAGGTTGTTAGGTTTATTACCTATTTCAGTGTTACCAATCACAAGTTTAGCTTGCGGATATTTTGCTCTGAGTTCCAACAATTCCTCCAAAGTTGTGGGTCTGATCCAAGTAACAAGGTCTCCTTTAATGTGCAAACGTCTTGGCTTGATAGCATCTGGAAGCTTATAAGACACAAAACAATAAAAACACAGTGGTATGAAAGATTCTTTCTGCGAGAAAAATTGAAGAGCCTTTTTTCTTCTTTATGCGCGCCTGTTTAGGGCTATCTGGCATTTCAAGCGCTTCCATTTATAAAAAAAAAAAAAAGAGCAACAGAAAAACGAAACAACAACAAAAAGAGACATCATAAGCTTACAACTAGCCCGATAGAGGGGTTTGATGTTTGAGGCAAACGCGAGGAAAGTTTAAAAGGCGAATCGCGTGCGAAAAGAGGAGTGTGTACCCGAGCGTGTTGTGCAGTTACCTCCGTTCGCCTGAAACACGTAGTGGAGTTGTACCTGCTTTGCAAGTTGGCTTACCATCAGCTCTGGTGGAAAGATCGCGTCCTGTGTTGGATCGTATGGTGTAAACTCTTCAGGCTTGACAAGTCCACTGGTTGACTCCTGAGAGATGAAATAAGGGGCGAAGAGTTGGTAAGTATGCAAGAAACTCTTTAAGACAAAACCAATCGTTCTTTCTCCTGAACCCAACACATTTTTGTCGTGAATTTTAACATCAGAAGATCCATTACAGCGCTTTTCAATCGAGTGTCGTAAACCGAATCTAGAGTAATCATAACGGTCAGTATTAGAACAAAAAAAATATCACGAGGGGCCTATGATAATTCAAAGCTAAAACAAGCAAAAACAAGCGCAGAAAAACGCGGGCGACCAAAACGGGGACAAGCAAAACGCGAACTACCAAAACACGGACGACCAAAACGCGCTTTTAGGGTTTTTCCCACCCCCCCCCCCCCCCATCAACGGAGCACCAGTTTCTGTAGAAACCTACCCACTTTACTCAAATCTGAACTTACATTGTCTACGTTTTCTCCGGTAATATTTAAATTATTGTCAAGGCAACATCCGTTTCCACCTTTGCCGCAACATTCCTGGAACAGATGAGAAGGTATGGACGAAGGTTTACGTTTCTTAATAATGCAATTTCTGTGCGTTTAAAAAAAATGTATGGAACCAGACCTTTTGAACAGGAGAGGATGATATCGATTATTTAGTCGTGGCAGACTAGTTCCCTGGCTGTTGTTATTTTCATTATTTGAAGGCGATAACCAAACTGACGAGAAATAATCCACAGGAGAGAATTTTATATGCGAAAGATAGCGAAGAAATCTCACTTATTGTGGTGCGTTCTCGTCATATACTTTCCAGGATGGAAAACGGGAACTGTTAGGGTGAATGTATGACGTTGTGGCGCTGCTTACGTACTTCTTGGGCACTCTCTTCTTCTCGCCCTAGGAATGGGAGGGGAGGGTAGGAAGAGAGACCCTTGGAAAAAGATCGTCAGAGTGAAATGATTGACCAGCACTAACCTTTGTGAACGTTTTAAAACCCTCTACAATTGGTCTGTAGCCAGTGCAACGACATAAGTTACCTGCAGATACAAATTTGAGTAAGAATAATTGCGACGACGTTCTTATTACAGATTTATTCTGTTTGATTTTCAAAACCAGCCTAAAACCTGTCTCTTCCTTCGTGCCTTTCTCTCATCCAGGAGAATTCAAAAGTCCGCGTTATGCGCATTACAGAATGTAAAGCTTTTACCCCCAAATGCACTTTCCATCTCTTTATACGATGGCAAAGGGTTGTTCCTCAACAACGTGTACATTGACATCACAATTCCCGGAGTACAAAATCCACACTGCGAACCATGAGACTTTGCGATCCGTTCCTAGGGTACATAATAGAAAGCAGACAACTACAAACTTAAAAGTTCTAAATTTCAGTCACACCATGTCAAACCATTGAATAAATCAGCTGTGGTGTTCGCGAGAAACCACATGGAAGCCAGAAACTGAACTAAACAATCTGAAGGGGAAAAAAATTATTTTCTTTGTCCCTTCCAAATTATGATCGATCTTGAGCATGTTCTGATCTCATCAAAATTTGTTTTGAATTTTTAAATTGTTGACAGAGGGACCTACCAAACTGGCCATACAAGCCAAACCTGTTTTTACCTGCACAGGATGCAAGACAGTTTTGGTGCTTCCAATTCCTTCCACTGTGGTTACAGCCATTCCATCGACTGCACACAATGGCATCAAACAGCCATTTGCTGAGAAATGTCTTTTTAAGGTTAAAGTTTGACTTTTTTCCGAAAAATCTCAGGCTTAAAGTGAATTTAATTAGTACTTCTACAGCACTGAAACAAAATTTTTTACTTTGATGTTAAGGGTTGGTCGGCCTAGCGGACTACGTGTCCAGCTTAGAAGTCGAGTGCTGAAAGGATCTCCGTGTTATTGATGGCCTTTTACACCATAGTTAAAACCGAGCCAATTGTTAAGGTACCAAAAGCTAGAAACTGATTAATAGATCATTTTGCAAAACAACTACCTGGATTGGAAATTTCCCGTAAGGGAAATCCTGACACATCCTCACAGTTAGAAATCACGTCTTTTACACAGAACACACTGAAAATTTCCCGTCAGCGCAACTTATAATAAGAGACCATAAAAGAGAGTAGACATTTGTGTGAATGGTAGAATGACAAAACCCCTATCAGCAAAAAAGCAAGCATTTTTTCAAACTTGAAATTACATTTTCTCGGCTGAAACGACAACCAGCTGAGTAAGATCACCCAAGTCTAGGTGTTACTGTCTGACATACAGACAGGTGATATTAGTTTGGAGAATTTGGTATTGGATCAACTTATATTCTCTTATCTGTTATTTTACTTTATCCTCATCACTTGTCTGCTTGATATTGTCTTGATATTGTAAGGAGAAAATCTATCTTGGTCACTTGTGGGAGTGAAAGGGTTAATGTGTTGTTGCTGTCAATTAAGAGAAGCACTCCTAATGGGGCTTATAGGATGTGGAAACTGCAACACTTCTCAAGAGTCTCCTTATATAATAAACAAATGCTTACTTTCTTTAATTTCAAATTCTTGCTATTTCATATAAAGGATACTTGATTTTTTTCATTTTATGGTCGTATCTAGAGATCATGACTGTACATGCTCCACAGCCGCCTTCGCCACATCCAAGTTTAGTGCCTGTTAAACCCACTGAAGAGACATTAAGGCCAATAGCAATAGCAGGCCGGCGACATTCCTGGTGATTTTATTGGCCGATATCTGGCATGTCAGATATCAGCGAATCAGCGAATCGCAACGGGCATACCTGGCGATTTATGCCTATCAACGCAATCGGCGTATGAAATCGCTAGGTTTGTCACCAGCTTTAAGCTCTTAAAACCTGGAGGAAACGTCTTGAGATAAACACGGCTTTCGTTCTCTGCTAGATGTACAACAAATCACTTAATGTCTGGTTTCCTGGGAAAAAGTTAATTTTGTTTTCCCTCAGGTCTTAATATCTGTTATAAATAACAACCTTTCTGAAGTTACAATGGTAAGAATCATTGTAAAAATTCCAATTACGAAAAGAGAGGCTAGATGTCTAAACTCTGTAGAAAATATGCATTAAATTTGCTAAATGAACCACAACACTTGGCTAAAAGGAAAACTTCGAAACTTCTTAAAATTCCAAGCAAAGAGGTAACAAATTTGCGCCACGAAAGCTCAAAAACAATTAACTGAACTCGCAATCAAAGGATACAATAATTTCGAAGGTATTGCAGCAAAGACATTTCTGGCTGCGCATTGCGCTCCACAACCTGAAAAAAAAACATATGTTGATATAACAACATAGTCACAGCCCGACACACGCAGTCAGTTGAGATATAAATAACAGGAGCAGAAAATCAAATGATGTTTTATGGAATTCTAACGAGGAATAAGACAACTATGATCAAAACTGACTTAACGATGGCATTTATACCGATTTCAAATCCTACGGTTTCTATTCGAGGAAAGTGCGTCATGGTACTAATAAAATATCGTCTCTCTGTTGTAACGAAATCTTAGCGAGAGATTATGTCCATGGACTGAAGAAGTGGATCAGGGAGCTCAGCACTGGAGTGTGGGATTATAATGAATGGAATAAGGCGTTATAATGACTGGGGAAAATCAGGAATGACTTTCACTGGTTTGCTGAAAAAAAAGCCATGATTACTGGATTTGTGGAGCACTTACTTTAGCATTTTAGCGTAAACAGTTACAGTTGATCAACCTCCTTCCCCACTGATCTATCGTTCATTGTTTCGATTTTAAACAGAATATGAAGAGATGTACAGCTTAAGTATTCTTGAAATAATTTGTTTTTGAACTGCACCCAACTGAGCTCGTTCATAGTCTGCATCCAGGTATTTGTCACGTACTATAACATGAGTAAAAACTTATTTTCCAAACCTTTTTTCCGTTGACGAAGAAAACGATTGCTTGATTAGAAGAACTTGGCATCTTTTCTTGTTTGTTGCTTTGTTCAACTGAAGCGACACGACAAGACCTCATCCTTTTACAACAGAGAGCTTTAAATTTGATTACGAGCACGATTTGGCCGGGAGTAGAGTGGCACTAGTCCCTCTTAGTCGTCGTCTGCCGTGACGAATTTGTGACTTTCGAAGAACATGTTGCAACACATAAGAGCGTAGCTTTTTCAGAATCAACTGAACACTTCACAAATAAATGTCAGGCCTTACTGAATACACTTTCTTTGCAATTCTCTGCCTTTTTTTTTATTCCTGAAAAAGTCTTATCTGGAAAGAGGAGAATTTTGACTTACCTCTCAACTCGTAGTGCGACTACGGGATTTCCAGAAAAACTTGTAGCTAGTAACGAGGCGGCTACGACTTTTTTAGAGTTTGCGTGACCTGTCACGTTGTAAAGCATACGCACTACTCCTGGCAGGGAAATCTCGTAGTCGTACTCGCACTCGTTTTCAATTCTAAAGCCCTTAAATAACTCAATCTATCCTGGGAGTTACTATATCACGGGCGACAAGCGGGCAAAGGAAAACAGTGTGAAATACGAGTGGTCAGCGGTGAAATAAGTTTAATACTTCATATAGAGACGGATCATTTGTAGTTGCAGAAAAAAATCGTGTTGGAAAGCCGAAATGTAAACAGTTTACTTCGCTAAATAAAATGTTACGCAATTTTTCAAAAGTGTTGATTGTAAAAATATCTTTTACTGCTTTAATAAATAATGGAGGCATTGGAAAAGGCATCGGTGGCATCCGATAAGCACCAAAAAGAATTATATTTACGTTTTGTAGTTGCAGAAAACAATCGTGTTGTAAAGACGAAATGTTACCAAGTTATACTTCGCTAATTAAAAAGTTAAGCAAATTTCCCTGAAGCTTTGACTGGAACAATATTTTTTACTGCTGTATTAACCAACGGAGGTATTGGGAAAGGCATCAGTGTCACCGGGAAAGGCATCAAGAAGAATTATATTTACGTTATGTAAATTGTTGTGACGAAAAAAAAGTATCTTGACTTCCTGTCGTTCAAGGCTTTAATCACAATTGGCTTGTATTTCACTTGAATTTTGCAATCTCGACTGTCGTTTCCGGAAAAGTGAAAAGCTAAGCAACACTAAAAAAATTTCGTTCTCGATTTTTATATTTTAAGAGTCATTAGTAAGTTTGTATCCACAGCCCAAGATAAGAAATTTAAAATTTCAATCAGCTGAAGTACTTTTATTGTATATTACATATATTCAATAGCCCCCATTTCACGTGAAAAAAAGGCAAGTAGGAAAACATTGAGCTTTGAAAAACAACCAAGTTAAGGCTAATGTATTTACCATTCCTTAAATATTTATAATCAAGGCCATTTGTTTAGGAGACCTTTTCTCAAAAAAACCAGACGTTAAAATAATGCTGTTTTCCGTTCGAAATGTTTTTTTCCCATCCAATTCAGAACAAATGCACTCGGGATGAAAACTTAACGTCCGAACCGAGCAAAAATCAAAAATTTTGAATTCTGGGATGTTCTTCACTATTGGCTCCATCACGTTACGATTCAGGACCATTGACGCTCGCAAAAATCTATTTTAATTGACTACCAAGGACTGTCGAGTATTACTTATCTTGGTAATTAAGGTCTGTACATGACATTAAATTCATCATCTGGTTCATTGTTTAAGTCAGCTTTAAAATTTTAACTCTACTTTTTCTGACAAGAAGCCGCCCTGACGGCAGGTGGAATGTTGTGTAAGCGTCTCCGCGAAAGGTACATCCAGACAACTTGCAAGGAAAGACTGGCCACAGCTATCGTACTCAAGCCAATCCTCTCCATCGTCGTCCTTGCAAACCTTACAGACCGCGGTATTTCTCGTATAACTGAGCAAAAGATATGGGAAGTGAAAGAGAGTGTTGCGGCGTTTAAGAATCAATGGTATTTGACACCATCAAAACTTACCCATCAAGTTCATTGTAACACGAGCCACATATGACAGACTTTACTCTTTCCCTTTCCACGTCCACATCGTAACTTCCATTGATATCTAACCTCTCACACGAACACCAAGCAAAGTAAAAACAAACAACAGTAATTTTATTACATTCGAAACCAGGATGCAGAGTAAACCGTAAATAACCAATCAAAACTCGAGGCGAATGCAAGCAAGGGACACGAGGCGCGAAAAACTCGTAAAGTGACCAGTCAGAAGCACAATGAAATGAAACCTAAAATGTATTCATATCCTGTCGAAATAAGACCTGATTTTTGCTAGATTTCGGTTTACATCAATTGGATACTTGGAGTAAAAGTTGTCTAACAGGTGCTGTCATTTTTCATTGTCAAACTTTATAACCGACGTTCACATGGACTTATCCAAGTTTTGATGAAGGGATCGACCCTTCGTATAGATTCTCTTCTCCTGTCACAACATAGCTTTCTGAGCATTGATTTCTTCATGGGTACACATTAAAGTCCTTCACGCTGGAATCCGCAACGGCGGTAAACTGAGAAAATAAAATTGAGAAATAAAATCAAGAATAATCAGGAACAATAGACAGCGCTTATATAGTTGTTATGCACGACACAGCAGAAGAAAACATGCATGCAGTTGTGACTTTGTTACCTGTTGTGTAAACTGGTCAATACAAGCCATTCTGATGCGCTCACTGGTAGCAGGACTGTCCAGTCTGAAAATCCCTTCAATACCTGATTCACGTCTGTGAAGAAAAAACGATGAAATTAATTTACACTTAAATCTTTAACTTTGCCTCGGTCAGGACGTGAACATGCTAGCGCAACTCATGCCCTCTCGGTCAGCCAATTTCCTTACTATTGTTAAAATTAAACTAGAGCTAAAAATTGTTGCCCCAGCCAGAGAATTTGGAGCTCTAACATATTTATTAATGTTACGCTTCGCCTCACTTTGTTGCAAATTGAGGAGGTCAGTCTCACCTGGCGTCGGTGATGGCCTCTTTAATGGCGAAGAACACAGATGCAGCTAGAAACAAAGAAGGTTCTCCAACGCCCTGAAATTAAATACGAGACTCTATTGTTTACTAGTTTGGTTTAAAATATGATTTATTCCAATTTCAATGATCTGGCATCCGTTCAACAGATCCAATTACAAGACAAACGAGCAAACCAACAAAAAATATGAGCAAGGGGTACGAACAATTGGACAATGTAAATCGGTCACTTTGTGAAAGAATCGTTCATCAGTCAATCAGGGTATTAAATCTTATCAACTGAGTTGATAACGTAAATTGGCCACCGTAAATATTTTAAAAGCTGACGTTCCGAGCGTTAGCCCAATCGCTCTGAAGGTGGCTAATTTACGTTATCAACTCAGTTTTTAATACTAAATCACCCTGTTATACTCTCCCACCGACGCAGCACCACAGTTTCTTAAGAAACTTACCCCCTTCATTCAGGATTGGTCAGTCAGCCGGTTAGTTGGTCAATTGGACCGTCAGTCAGACAGACAGGCAGATAAATAGACAATCAATCTGTTGGTTGGTCAGACAGTCAATCAGCCAGTCTGTCAATGACTCAGTCAGCTGGTCAATCAGAAAATCAGTCTGTCAATAAGTCAGTCAGTGAGTCAGTTTATGGGTGAGTCAGTAAGTTAGTCGCCGTCGATCAGTCGATCATCATTTGAAAATAGAGAACCCTTAAAATATGAGCCCTAAAGTGTGTAAAATACCTTCGAAGAATAAATAGCCATGTCGTTTGGAGCTTTCTGAAGAAGATGGACATTGAACTCCACCGGAATATCTGCAAATCCAGGAATCTTGTAGGTCCCAGGCCCCGTCGTCCATAGGGTGCCATTCTGAGAACATCGCACTTCCTCCAGCGTAAACATGCCGAGTCCCTGAACAAAAGCGCCTTCGATCTGAGGACATAACCAAAACATTTATGACACGAGGAAGTGCAAGAGCAACAGATAATTTCAGACTTTGATATAATAGATTAAGTCAGTTTTCAAAAGATTGATGAAACAATTAGGGATTGCAATAGTTTTTTCTTGACACGTGACATTTTCGTGCATGTTGATTGGCCATTTCAATTGCGAATCAGCAGTAGTCTTGATCTCTAAATGCCTTATCCTCGTGATGCAAGTGGCATGAAAGGCATAAATGTCTAATACACACGATGGAAAAATGTGATTTTCCGATGGAATAAGTAAAAGTTTTTCTCGTAACACCTGTCCTTCAACGAAAGTAACTTACCGGAAGTCAGACGAACTCCGTCAACTAACAGTGACTTAGAGTAAAGGCATTTACGATTTCAATTAACCCTTCAACTCCCACGAGTGACCAAGACAGAATTTCTCCTTACAATATCAATACAATATCAACGAGATAAGTGTCCAGAATAAAGGAAAATATCAATTTCAGGATAATTAGTTGATCCAATACTAAATTCTCTGAACTAACATTATAAGAATCGTATGGTTGATAGTAAGGAGAATTATAAATTTGAGCTGGGAGTTAAAGGGTTAAATAGATAATACTGAAATGAAATATATTAATACAAATGACATTCTCGCTGGGTATGATGGGATAAGGTTACTGACCTGGCCGACGTCGATAGCTGGATTGAGACTGGTACCGACATCCATCACAATGTCTGTGCGCAGAACCTGTTCACACAAATTCACCCCAAAAAGCGTTACAATGACGAAAAGAAAAAACAGTATTGAGCGAGTATTTTGAAGTTAGAGATGATTGTCAAATCAATTCAAAAATGTTTTATTTGTTAAAAGTGACTGGGGTTAAATAGAGAGACTGCGTACTGACGAGCACCCTGAAGTATGGCTACGACCTTTGTCAACTTGCGCGTTTCCTCCCAGCTCAAAAGGTCTGTTTGAAGAAAAGCAAGTTATGTCATTTTTTTGGCAGGTGCAGTTTAGTTAGTTCTCGAGAGAATTGAAACATGTTTAACTGTCCGAGATTTGGAATTTTGCTTTCCCTTTTTTTAAGTTGCGACCTTGTCTAATACCTCTAATACCTAGATCTTCCAAGGCCGCTGGATAGTGAAAAAGATCTGGGCAGACGTTCACATATATGGTGCTTAGTTACATTATATAGTTCGTAAAGACTTCCGATAGCGGTGCGAGTAAGACGTCACTCACTTGATGATCTCCTGTGAGACAATCGATTTCCACTTCAGAACAGGCAGCGCCATAAGTATAATAATTATACAAACGCCCTGAATTAGTTTTCCAATCGTAATTGAGGTCGGGCACTCTGTAAGATGTTAAAAAAATGACTCCGAATCAATATCAGCACAAATTTTCACTAAATCGGCTTAACTTTGAAAATCGTCATTGAGTTAGCAAAAAGAAAAAGAGAGAAATTTTTTTTAAAAAAACAAAAAGAGCACGAATTAGTAGCCTTACGTAAGAGATTGTGGGAGTGGTGGGGCAGGGATGGGGAAGAAAGAAGGTGAAAGGGACTCTGAACCCCAAAACAGAACCCTATGGATGGAGGGGCGGAACACATTGTGGAAATTATACTTGAAATAGCTTAGACTGTAATCATTATCCTTACTTGTAAAACCCACTTGCAGAGAGGTTCACGCGGTCAAAGTAGGCCGCGTGTATCCAGTCCTCCCACTTTCCCTTGGGATCCTCCATCTGATAAGGCTTGAGTCTGTCCAGTATTTGGTCACAAGCATTCTGCAAACAACATAAGCAAGCTTTCTGATGCTTTGTCAATCCTTGTATTTATTCCCTTTTTTTTTCTGCTTGTCGATAGGTTGTAAGTCCTTTCTTTGGTAGAAACCTCATCAACCCCTTGAGTGTGTCATTCGCTTTCCATTCTCCCCCACCCCTCCCCCTCAACCTTACACTCTTTTAGTCGAAAGTTTCTATAGAGTAGGGCATAACCTACAAGTCGACAGCGGGAAGAACACTAGACAAAGGAAAGGTAGACGTATGTTGCATAATTGAGCAAATTGTTATACAAGCGTTGAAAAAAATGCGGGGTTAATTTCTTTCACGGTTGGTTTTGCTTTAAGACGCTCAAAGTTGGTCCAGGAAACGCATGCAACTCTCTCAGCTGATAAAATGGAAAAAAGAAAAAAAACCATCGTGACTCCGTTGCTCGCGTTTTCCTTCACTCCAAGCACTGTGCTTGTCGTTCCTTTAGTTCAGTTCTATCGGCTTCCTGAGCTGTTTATTTCTGCTATGATTGTTCATATCGAATTTTTTAGTTTTAATTCTATATGTACAAATCTCATAAAAAAGCGCTTTTCCGCGAAAAAGGTGTTGACAATTCTTACTTTAACCGCCATGCCGTTGAGATCAGAGGAGGCAGAAGCTGCAGTCTGGGTAGTATTAGGAACTGTGTTTGTACTTGTTTCACTTATTATGATTTTGGATGCTGGAATACCTAAACATCTAGCTGCTACCTGCAAAAATACAACAAAGGAGAGTTGAAATTTGAGCTTATGTCGTCATGTTTTGTATAATCTCACTCCACTTGTCGTTTCAGTGACGTGACGTTGTAAGCAGGAACAGCTCACCAGGCTGACAAACATCTCACCTGCACCATTTTGGTGTGTAGTCCTTGGCCCATTTCTGTTCCGCCATGAGTTAAAAGAACTGATCCGTCTGTGTAAACATGCAACAGAGCTCCAGCCTGAATAAAAAAAATCACATACTGTTGATACGAGGCGATTAACTAAGGAAACGTTTATTAAAGTTCACATGGCAACCAGGTGTACAATCAGACATGCTTTGATGCTACACTGGTTTAAAGATTCAATGTAACTTCTTCGGTTACATTCATCAAATCTTTAAACCAGAGTAGCATCAAACCATGTCTGAGGAAAAGTTGGTATAGCTTTCAATGCAGATTTCATACCTGATTTTTGGCGCGTAAAGTAATTCCAATACCAAGCAAAGTGGGTATCAGCGAAATTCCACGTTTCCTCCATCGATTTTCCCTTAAAACAGTATAAATATTTTTTAAAAAGGCAATAATTTTTTTAAATTTCAGGATTGGAAAGAATATCGTCAATCGTTTGTGCTAGCCCGCCTAACCAACGCACGAAAAAGCGAGACGAGTGAAAATAATTTCAGACGTTACCTGTTAAAGGATTGGACGAGTTTTCTCCGTTTCTCGTACTCGCATTTCTCTACCAGTTCATTCCATACTCGCTGAAGCTGGCAATTCGTCAGTTCTTGGTTAACGTGAGTTAAATCTCCTTCTTTGTAAAAATTTAGTTCCCGCACCTGTTGGTGAAACCAAAGGTAGCTCATTATTTGATTTTCTCACATCCAATACGTTTCAAAGATTTGAACAAAGCAACACGTTATCCTCGCCGTATACCGAACCTTTTACTCCGTTTGTTGATTCTTAAAAGTCTTGTGTCGTTATATTGATAAGCTCTTACTCCAGTCGGTAAATATTTATCCCAGGTAAAGATCATTTCATCATTTAAAACAGCTCATCGGCAAGTCAAAATGAAATTTATTTCATTTGATTAAAATTCCTAAATCGTTAGTTGTCTATCTGTTTGACCGAAAAAGGGGAAATGGAGTAAAGTAAAATTCCACATAGCAATCAGTCCTGATCAGACAGTTTCTCACGTTTTTGTTCTTTATTCGAGTTCGGTAAGTCTAACATGCCCTCTAATGTGAGAACAATCATTGCTACATCTCTCTAAATAAAATTAAAATCTATCTGATCTACGGCTAGGACACACAACTGACCTGTCTTTGGGAAATACCACAAATGGTTGCAATGTCAGAAATCAATGACTCACAAAACAACATACTCTGCAAACAAAATCGTTTGCCATCAGAATGGTTTATCAATTTATAGCAAAAGTAATCCATTTTTCTCTTTTTCATCAGTGGATAATTGGAAAAATAAGCATGAGCGAAGTCAGTGACGATTAATGTCTCTTGATGTTCGCAGTTTGTTTACAGAACTTTACTAATCTTTAACTATATTCGATAAAAGTGAAGAAAAGAGCGCTTTTTGGTTTAGTGACGTAAAACCAATACTAATATAATCACAACGGCCAATCAGAAGAAAGGAAATACCTTTACGAACCAATGAGAACCCAGAGGAAAAACAACCAAATTGCTAAAAGCGCGGGAAAACGCGGGCGACCAAATGCAAGTCGAGATGGTTTTAGTTTTGCATCTGATTGGTTGGGAGAGTGGCGCGAGTTTTTTGACCAATCACGAGCGAAATGAAACAAAACCAATCTCGTGTATATTACATTCGACCTTCAATTGAAAATTGTTCTGAACGGTCTATTCGATTTCTTGGTCTCATTTAAGACATTCGAACGTTTGTTTTGTACATACTACAAAAGCAAGTTTTTCAATGTCTTACCTGTGGAACACCAAAGCCCCTGAACCCTGTGGTTGATGCGATGTTTGTTTTACAGAGGCGGCCAACCCCACGAATGTTTGGAATGAGGTAGCAGTTTGTCATATGGTACATTGATCTTTCCATGACCTGGCAAAGTGGGTATGAATAGTCAGCAAAGTTAAACCCGTTAGTCTGATAACAATAAATGAGTCATTGATTAGTCTACCCACCGATCTCTACGTTGTTAAATCACAGAGAGAGAGTTTATGACCTGTTGCAACATACCCCAAACGTGTCGGGTTCTCATCTGAACAAGTGACACAATGTTTAACTGTTGAATGGCTGTTAGAGTTTATCAGGCTTTTAGAGTTTGAGGCGACTTCTCCTTTGTGGGTGCGAAAGCATGGAAAAATAGAACTCGGAGATCCATGACAGTTCATGAAATTCTAAGGGTCTTCTCTGTGTATCTCACGAAGTTCTTAAAAACCCGCTGAATGACCATGTCTTAACGAGATCATAGTGGAGTTGATGGATTTTACATTGCAACGCGCAGACTCTACCCAGAGTTCCATAAAGTATCTGTGCAGAGTCCAATAGGAAAAACAGTCCTACCTTTTTAGAAACATCCATTGTGTTGCCAGCATTACTGTACAACTTGATGTCATAAGACTTTATCTTTCCATCGAATGTAAAGCCCACCTAGAACGGGAAAAACATAAGTATATAATTTTTAGGGCATAATTTAAAATTCTCCATTTTCATGTCGAAAATCAGTTATAAACAATTTCATGCTCAAAGAAATATTCTTCCTGACAAAGATCTATCGTAAAGCATGAATGTGTTTGGGAAATGGGAACGTTTAAAACCATTTGCCAGCACCTGTATATATGCGTCTTCGTGGAACGATTTCTCAATCTTGAAACTTTTAACTAAACAATTTAAAAAATCTACTTATAATAGCTACCTTGTATTTCGCTAAGAAAGGATGCCGCATTCCTGTGCTCTTCATGTCTTCATCTCGATCAAGCATACACCTAACAGGTCTACCAGTTCTTTAAAAAAGATGAGAAAAGAATTCAGGGGCCTTCCTCAAACTAGGATAACTTCCTAGACACTCGAGTTTACCTTGTCAGAAAAAAAAACTACTTAGTATGAATGCGATAAATACGAACGGTTTTCTTGACTCTCTTTGAACCTTTGAATAGATCTAAACTGTGGTTTTATCAACTTGAGATTCCAAAAGAGGTAACGAAACATTTATATGCCGGTTTGAAATTAAAGGAACAAATGTATGAGTAGTCACTTACCTTGCAGCAGCTACAGCGACTGCGTTTGTCAGAAAACAATTCCGTGATTCTTTGCCACCAAAGCCACCACCTACAGGAGCAAAAGCACCGTAACGTACAAAGATACCTGCACATTTCAGTGAGTCAAGTCCTCAGAGCTTCAATCGAAGCCCGTTTTTTTGCCCGTTTTCTATATTTTTTCCCAAGAACTGCTAGAAACTAGAATCAGATCCTCCCTGATATGCCCGATATTATGTCTCTTGTCGCATTTAAGAATTACCTTAGTTTATTAGCTTAATACGAGTGTGTCCATTTGTAAAGTTAGTACTGTAGTTATTGTGACATGTAATTTTTTTTTTTAATTTTATAAGTGGTTGGTGTGTTGCCTAATCGGCTTTTACCGACCTAAATGAGATAATGATGAATAAAAAGATATTTCGCGATCAACGACTTCGCGATTCAAGGAAAAACAAAGAAACTTACCCAGTCGTTTGGTTCGCACCACAACTCTGTTGTGCGGAACTCCAAGAGCTCTTGCAGCAAGTTTCTACAGATACACAAAGAGAAGAGGGTTACATAAACCTCTCGCTTGTGCGGTTGGTATAGAATCCCTGGTCTAGACTAGGAATGTAGGGTGATTTTCTTCATGGATAATATGTGGTGTTGATTGCAAATGGGACCCAAACTTAGTGTTGATTATGAAGAATTTATTTTGATCACCTCTCATTACGTTATGTTATGTAGGTAGCAGAATAAACATATTCCGTTTTCCACGTTATTTAGATTAGATTAATTTGAGTAAGTTATTATTTGTGTATCTAGCGATTAAAGTCAGTCTTTCATCGTCGTTCTTTTAAACGTTATTCTTTGCTAAAACACAACCAGCCGATGTAGTAACATGCTACTCCCATTTCACATACAATTGGCTGTTTGATCATACATCAACATGCCTAGCAATTTTTTCCTGAGATGAATTGTATTGCCAGACTTGTCAGCAAATATGCAGGAGAGATTTAGAAAGACTGAGTATCTCTCCAACATACCTGTGTCAATGTTGGATTTTGCGTGGAAACAAAAAGTTCCATCTCGCCATCTTCTCCCTTTGGAACAGCGATTGTAACTTGCGTCTCCAGATAGAAGTGTTCCTAGAAGAAAAAAAATGGCTGTTTCTGTAAAAGTTAGACTGTTAGACATAACTTAGGCTTCGTAGCGTAAGTCTAAGTCTGAATCCAAAACTCTCCAACAACTTACTTGTCCTCCAAATCTCATCTCTCCCTCCAACAAATGTTCAGATTCTGCAAATCCAGTTTCCAGGTCTCCCTTCTCGATGCTCAGTTCAAAATCGTAGAAAGAATCTGCGGCTATAGCCTCCTGTAAAACAGCGAGTTAAGGATTAAGGACTTGTTTCGAAAAGTGACGCGAAGAACTAAGTAGTTTTACTGTGAATGAGTTGAAAATGTTCAGCAGTTCGATTGAGGAGATGCAGCACAATAATATAAACAGAACTTTCTAGCAATGTTGAAGTTAGCGCCCACCTCAATGGTCAGTATTCTTGGTAAGTCTTTGTATGTTACTTTTACCATCTTGGCTGCTCTTTGGGCCTGGGCTTGAGTTTCAGCAGCTATTGCCCCTATGACTTGACCGACGCAGGACACCTGAGACAAACAACCATACATTATTAGAGCATTTATATCATACGTGTGAAATCATTGAGTAAGATACACACCTTGTCTGTTGCAAAAATCTCCTCATCATCTGCGGCATACCCTGTGACGTTATCTCCAGGGACGTCTTCTGCGCTAATGTACGCTTTCACCCCTGGGAGGCATAACGCCTCTCCTGGGTCCACAGAACTAAAAGAAAATGGATTAATGTCAGTATATGACCAAATGCATGCGCACCTACCCCTCCCCTAACCCAACATTTAACCTAACTTCTGCAGTAGATGACAAAATAATTTATAACAAACCCAAACAGTACAACCTGGCAATCCTCTGCCCCTCCCACCTTGCCGTGGCCGGTAAACGCAAGTGTGGGATGATCTTATTTGAAAATTCTAACTACTAACTTAAGAGCTACTTAACATCGCTTTGCTTCGTTTCTATCTATTGATTAAATAAATCTGATTTCACTCAGAGACTTACAAAAGTGCCATCACCAGATGTTTTAGTAAAATTGTGAAGCTCTGAAGAAAATTCTTAAGTACTTACACAATATTGGCATGAGCACGTGTGCTCCAAACAATCCCCAAATACAGTTCTCCTGTGAAAAAAGAGCACAATCAAAACAGATGACATACTTTCTTACTCGGAAAAGTTCGATGACCTACTTGTGAACAAACGGAAGAATGGTTGAATCGAGGCTATGCAAAAAGTTATTTGTAAATAGGAAAAATCGTATTTCGCACAGCACAAGGTACAAAGATCGTTGAAGTAACCTCTGATTGAGATTAAGGTCTATACATTTCTTCACCCATAGCTTACATCGATTTCCTAGTGTTTTTAAACGCTCAGTCATTCAACTCAATGTTCTCTTGTTTTATATCCATTGGATTTTGCGGGTTGTCCGAAAGAGCCGTACTTATTAGTTACCATAGTGTTTCTCTATCAGGACTGCTCGGTTTTTGAGAAATTGAACTCGCTGCGAGGGCTTTTCACAACCTTTCTCATCAAAAATGAAATACAAGAAAAATTATTCCAGAGAGAATGCGAAATGGAAATTCGGCACATTTAAATCTGAAGACTATTGACGGTGCGCTACGCATACTGATTCAGGCACAGGGATTCCAACCATATTGTGTGTGGTCTCAAGGTTAACATAACTGTACCTGCATATTTCGGAATGTCATCACAGTAAACTGCCTCCCCTGTGGCGTGTTTGGCAGCTGCCAAGTGAGTCACAGGCCTGCCAACCAAATCTTCCTCGAATTGATCGTCGGGCACCTCCTGAATCAACCAAAATCGGAGAGAGTAAATGAGTCTTTTGCGAGTAAGAGAGGAGTTTAGGAAATATTAACTTGTCTGGATATGTAAACAAACAAACAAACAAACAAAAGCAACAACAACATCGACAACTTGTCATAGGCTTCGAGGGTTACTCGTCAAAACGATTTTCTGACTGTTTGTCAATCTAACTTGCAGCATGCTATCTAAATCCTAATAGCGGAGCTCTGAGGGTTGTTTCCTGCACGTCCGAACTCTGAAGCAAAACGTTTTTGAACGAGGCTCGTACTTTGATAGGTTACTGTACATTGCCATTACACGTCATACCGGGCTATGATTCCCGGGCTCTGGCTCGCAAACTACACTCCTGAATAACAAGAAATTGAATTCAGCCCTTTGTTTACCTGGAAAGTCTGTATGCTCCGAGTATCTTCTCTGCGAAAAAAATTTCTTCCTGTCTCGTGGCGTTTGGGTACAGAATCGCCCAAGATGGGCTGAATTTTCTGTTGAAACATATTTGTAAAAATTGGATCAATGTCAGTATCTATAGCGACTGCGCATTTACCCCCTAACTCGACATTAACCTTAAGTTGTTATTAGTTGATTGTTGTTGGGAGGGGAGAGATAGGTGCGCAGTTGCTCAGATACAAAACTACATCGATCCTAAAATTCTTGAATGTATGTATCGCACTAAAACAATACAATAAACTTAGTCAGTCTATACCACACAGGTAAATAGTACTTTTCGCGCGTGCTGATTGGTTAATTCGAAAGTGAAAAGTAAGTACTATTAACCTCCGAATAGCTTGAGACAAAAACGTGCGTCAAGAGTGTGATTTTCGACCATTTTTCGGTATATGAAGAGAAACAAACTAATTTTTTGGGTACATGTGTGGTATATACTAAAACAATTATTAACCTCAGTGAAAGTTGTGGATATTTGACGAGCCGTGACACCTCCACTTTGGTGAATAATTGTTTACCATAGCACTTTAAGGTCAATGATAAAAAATTAATTATAAAGAATCAAGGTTAGTTATATTATAAAATTCTGAGTGCTGACCTCTTCATGACCAAGCTGCTGAGAGACATTCAGATAGAACTTGAAAAAAAAGCTTGAGGCGAGCGATCTCCTGTACTCGACCTGACCACCGGGTGCTCCGGGTGCAAGCGGCAGATCTCCTGCTAACAACTGACAAGCTTCTTGTACGATATTTTCATTCCAAGTTCTGTAAATGAATCATAATAGGGAAGATTTATTATTGGTGAGTGATGTAACCTGCAAGCAGGCCCTAGCTATAGACACTTCAACACGACGCGGAAAAAAGAAGAGGCCTGAAACAAAGGTCTGCAAGGGGTCTGGCTCTAGTAATAGTGCCAGACCCCCGGCAAACTTTTCCCCGAATCGTCTCAAATCTTTCCGCAAGGGTGGGGGGAGAAGCGCGCGTCCTGCAGCGCAAACGAAGGGCGCGCACGCAATAAATGATGCGGTGATCTCGTGGTTGGCTCGCAGACCCCTACTGTGAAGGGTTCAAGTTTTAAGCGAGTACGAGCAAGACATTCTACCAATGAGCATCAATGCAAAAGGAACAGCAAAGTGCTTGAGGAACCCAGTCCTTACCTGCCAGTTAAGCTCTTCATGGTTTTCAAGGCCATTACTGTTGTGGGAGCCATCCCTCCAAAAGTGAAACTGCAGTCCTTGATTTGCCATGAACTTGAATTTGTTTGCTTTTCAAGCTGCACTCTCATGGCTGTATTTACTATGGCAATGTCATCCTCTCGCCTGCGAGCTTGTTTAAAAGCGAATATGTGTTCGTGCTGTTAAACGTAACGAAACAGGCATTAATATTACGCTGCGTTAATTGACAGTTGAAAAAGTGAATCATGAAAAAAGGAAGCGCTATGCAGAAGCAACGAATGTTGCTCTAATATCATATAAAAACTCCTAAAAATATAGATATTATTGATAAAAGTTAATTACCTCCTTTGAGAATGGAATCAAGACGTTGACTAACACCTCTGTTGAACCTAGAATAGTTTTTCTGTATCCTGTGAAGAAATTCTCATCCAATTTGACCGACCTGGTTTTCCCTGTAAATTTGTAGTAAATAAGAGCAAATTATGATTTTTTAAGAAAACAGAAGTGAACAGATAGATTGATAAATAAATAAAAGGATCTAAATTAGGCAGGTTTATGATAACCAATACCTCCAGCACTCGCCAAAATCAAAGTACATCTTGCCGCCATTAGAACTGGATTTAAGTCTGATATCGGACTTGCGGTCATGATATTTCCACCTATGGCCTGACACACAAAATAAACAAACAAAAAACAGTTTAGAAGCAAGATTAGCAGAACAGACGATTTCTTGTGTGTTACTTTAGCGTCTGCTTGGGGGTCTCAGTTCGAGTTTTGGCGGATTTGAAAGCCTGATAGCGGCTTAGATGGAATAAAAAATTAATGTTTTGGTTACTTTCTGGTTAACGTATTATCAAGTGAAAGAATCTCAAAACGTCTAGTTTCTCCTCAGTGGACTGAAACATCGTTAGAGGAACATGTAAAGTCGTAAAACAGTTCCTTAAAACGGCGTCTACTGACGAGGTGTGAATACATCAGCATACTCACTCCAACATTTCTAATCTGATGACCAGCAAACCACTTGAGCATGTGAAGTATTGCTGTGAACCATCTGGTCTTGTATTCTATGGAGCAAACAATGAAACGAAAAAGATATTGCGTTCTTAGCAGTACGCAGGACGTTTGTCACGTATAAACTTAGTGAACCACGGTTTGTTCACGACAGGACGGAAACCTCACGCTCTGTAAGTACCTTCATAAATCCTTGAAAAAATTTTTTAAGGATTTTCGAAGGACAACGAGAGGTATTTACAGTACACGCGGTTTCCGTCTCGTCATTAAATCTATTTTTGCTTTATGGTAAAGCATCGGTTCAAGTCTGTTCAAGTTCATGTGAATGACAATTTGATCACCGCATACAAGCAATATAAGAAAATCCTTACAGTCGTGTAACCAAAGGTTTCTGACTAAGTTTGCACATGTTCTGTGTTAAGCAAATTACTTTGCATGAGCTGAAACCGAATATGATCATTACTATATCGACCAATCAGAGCGCATACAACTTCATAATCACCTCAGCGCATTTCCCAACACCAACTACTCTATTCCCAATTACGCCGACAAAAATTTCCCTCAGAGATCATCTTTATAAGTAAATGAAAATTCGTTTCTTTGAGTGGGCGGGGCATAAAATTAAGTTTCACTTAAGTACCTGGCATAGACTGACAAGCCTCACTAAGAACTTCCTCCAAGGTAGACAATGTCACAGACACACCAAACCTGATGCCCTCTGCAGTGTGTTCGACGGCATTCAACTCCGGAATGTGAGTAGGAGCTATCAGGATTGGATAATTCTGATTTTTAAATTTCATCTCAATACCTGTGAATATGAAATAGTTTTGATTTTTAGAAATACGCGACCACACAATGAAGGCGAGAAGAGAAAATATCATGCAATTTAAAAGATTGAGACAAAAGACATCAGAAAAGGTTGGAAAAATCGACGAGGAAAAATAGACGACGACATAGACCTGGAATAATTGATACTACACCTTTCTTTAAATTCCAACCTTACCACGTTTGATTTCTTTCTCGGTCTTTCACCTGCTTCAACTAGTTTGCATTTAGACCGATATCAACGAAGAATTCTATTAAAATTTCCTTTTTAGATCTTAGTGCTGTGCCTAAATTTCCGAGCTGCCTGGCCGTTGAATCGATGTTCGTGGCATTTTTTTATCTCTATCCTGCCGCTGTAAAAAATTTTTACATTCTTGAAGAATAGATAGACAGCATCATGAGAATTTTTTTCAGTTTGTCGGCTCAAGCATTAATCACAGCTTTTTAGGTCTATTACCTATTTCAGTGTTACCAATCACAAGCTTAGCTTGCGGATATTTTGCTCTGAGTTCCGACAATTCCTCCAAAGTTGTTGGTCTGATCCAAGTAACAAGGTCTCCTTTAATGTACAAACGTCTTGGCTTGAAAGCATCTGGAAGCTTATAAGACACAAAACAGTAAAAATACGTGGCACAACACATTCTTTCTGTGAGAAAAACTATAGAGCCTTTTTTTCTTCTTAGTGCGCGCCTGTCTAAGGCTACCTGGGTTTTTAAGCGCTTCCATTTATAAAAAAAACAGAAGCAACAGAAAAACAAAAGAACAACAAAAAGAGACATTATAAGCTTACAACTAGCCCCATAAAGGGCTTTGATGTTTGAGGCAAACGCGAGGAAAGTTTAAAACGCGAATCACGTGCGAAAAGAGGAGTGTGCACCCGAACGTGTTGTGCAGTTACCTCCATTCGCCTGAAACACGTAGTGGAATTGTACCTTCTTTGCAAGTTGGCTTACCATCAGCTCTGGTGGAAAGATCGCGTCCTGTGTTGGATCGTATGGTGTAAACTCCTCAGGTTTGACAAGTCCACTGGTTGACTCCTGAGAGATGAGATATAGGGCGAAGAGTTGGTAAGTATGCAAGAAACTCTTTAAGACAAAACCAATCGTTCTTTCTCCAGAACCCAACACATTTTTGTAATGAATTTTTATCATCAGAAAAGTTATTACAATGCTTTTCGATTGAGTAGTGTAAACCGAATCTAGAGCAATCACCACTGACGCAGCACCACAGTTTCTGTAGAAATTTATCCACTTTACTCCTATCTCAACTTACACTGTCAACTTTTTCTCCGATAATATTTGAATTATTGTCAAGGCAACATCCGTTTCCACCTTTGCCGCAACATTCCTGGAACAGACAAGAAGGTATGGATGAAGGTTTACGTTTCTTTATAATGCAATTTTTGTTCGTTTAAAAAAAAAACGTATAGAACTGGACCTTTCGGACGGAAGGGGATGATCATTTAGTCGTGGTGGACCAGTTCCCTGGCTGTAGTTGTTTTCGTAATTAGAAGGCGATAACCAACCCGCGGAGAAAAAATCCACAGGAGAGATTCTAAAATGCGAAAGACAGCAAAGAATTCTCACTTATTGTGGTGCGTTCTCGTCAAATACTTTCCAGGATGGAAAACGGGAACTGTTAGTAAGGGTGAATGTATGACGTTGTGGCGCTGCCTACGTACTTCTTAGGCACTCTCTTCTTCTCGCCCCAGGAATGAGAGGGGAGGGTAGGAGGAGAGACCCTAGGAACGAGTTTTGTGGTGTGGATATTACCATCTTTTGAATTGGCTTTTTTTTAGTTCAGGATTTACTTCGCAACACCACATACAACTTCAACCTAGACACAGTCATGATCACGATTTCTTGTATTCCAGCTCAAAGATTCTAAATTACATGCGGTAAGGCGAGGTAAATTTATAGTCGTAACCCCTTCACTCCCAAGAGCGACCAAAATGTAATTTCTCCTTAAGATAATCATACTCTATCAATGAAAACGGGTGATGAGAATGTAAAAAAGGGAATATTGTTTGATTTAAAACCAAATCTCAGAACTGACAGTACAAGGAATTTATGGTAGACAGTAAGGAGAATTACTGTTGAGATCGTCAGAGTGAAATGGTTAACCAGCACTGACCTTTGTGAACGTTTTAAAACCCTCTACAATTGGTCTGTAGCCAGTGCAACGACATAAGTTACCTGAAGATAAAAGTTTGAGTTAAAATAATTGCGACGACGTTCTTATCACAGTTAACCCTTTAAACCCTAAGAGTGACTAGCATCAAATTTCTCCCCACAATATCACCCCTGAATCACACGTTAAGGTTATAAGAATATAGGAAATGATCACCAACGAAAGAAGCTTTTGATTGGTAAACAAATTCTCCTTGTCAGCACCTTAGGAGATGTATAAAGAGCAGTATGGAGAATATGCATACTGATTTTAGGGTGTAAAGGGTTAACATTTTCCTTCCTGCACCCGACTCCATGTGGAATTAGTATACATATCCCTGGAAAAGGAGAGATGCGGAATGTGAAGACAGCTTATGGCTGTTCACTTGAGAGGAGGATTTTCTCGACCGGAGCTTACCCTACAGACAACTGTTAAAAACAACAGTTTAAAGCCCTTGCGATCGAGAGCCGTGAAAACAAAAGCTAAGTTATCACAACGACCAACAAAGACAGGGAAGATAATACAAGGACCCCACAAGAAATCAGTGAGATATGAAGAAACAACCAAAGGCACGTGCAATGACGAATGAGCAAGCTACGATTAGCTTGACTTTTGTCGCAGCTGATTGGTTGAGGGGGTTGTGCTATTTTTTTTCCGGGCCAATCAAAGAGCCAGCAATGGAAACTAATACAACTTGGGATAACTTTTTATACTCAGGCTCACTCAGTAGATGAGCCTAATCTCAGATTTCCTTCGGAAGGGAAAAATAAAATGCATTTTTCGATTTATTCTGATTGATTGTCAAAACCAGCCTAAAACCTGTCTCTTCCTTTGTGCCCTTCCCTCATCCAGGAGAATTCATAAGTCCGCGTTATGAACAATAAAGAATATAAAGCTTTTACCTTCAAATGCACTTTCCATTTCTTTATACGATGGCAAAGGGTTGTTCCTTAACAACGTATACATTGACATCACAATTCCCGGGGTACAAAATCCACATTGTGACCCATGAGACTTTGCGATCCGTTCCTAGGGTAAAAAATGGAAAGCAAACAATTACAAACTTAAAAGTTCTAAATTTCATTCACAACAAGTCAAACCATTGAAGAACTTAGCTGTGGTGTTCGCTAGAAACCACATGGAAACCAGAAACTCAACTAAATGATCTGAAGGAAAATAAATTTATTTTCTTTGTCCCTTTTAAGTTATGGTCGTTCTTGGGCATGTTCTGATCTCATCAAAAATTGTTTTGAATCTTTCAATTGTTGACAGAGAGACCTGCCAAGCTGGTCACATCAGCCAAACCTGTTTTTACCTGCACTGGATGCAAGACAGTTTTGGTGCTTCCAATTCCTTCCACTGTGGTTACAGCCATTCCATCAACTGCACACAATGGCATCAAACAGCCATTTGCAGAGAAATGTCTTTTCAATGTTAAAGTTTGACTTTTTTCCGAAAATCTCAAGGTGTAAAGGGAATTTAATAAGTACTTCTACAGGTCGGCGCAGTGGACAACGTTTCCAGCTTAGGGATCGAGTTCTGAGAGGATCTCCGCTTTACTGGTGGCCTTTTACACCATAGTCAAAACCGAGCCAATTGATAAGGTACCCAAAGCTAGAAACTAATCAATAGATCCTTTTCCAGAACAACTACCTGGATTGGAAATTTTTTGGTAAGGGAAATCCTGACACATCCTCACAATTAGAAATTACGTCTTTTATTTAGAGCACACTGAAAATTTCACATCGGCGCAACTTATAATAAAAGATCGTAAAAGAGAGAAGACATTCCTGTGAATGGTGAAATGACAAAACCCCTATCAGCGAAAAATGCAAGCATTTTTTCAAACTTGAAATTACATTTTTTCGTCTGAAACGACAATTGGCGGGGTAAAACTTTGTAAGATCACCCAAGTCAAATTAAGGATTGGTCTTTGGATGCTAGCGTCCCTTTGAGTTTAATGTGTTTTTGCTGTCAATTTAGAGTACTCCTAATGCTTGATATTGTCTTGATACTGTAAGGAGAAATTCTATCTTGGTCACTCATGGGTGTTAAAGGGTTAATGTGTTGTTGCTGTCAATTAAGAGAAGCACTCCTAATGGGGCTTATAGGATGTTGAAATTGCAACACTTCTGATGAGTCTCCTAATATAATAAACAAACGCTTTCTTTCATTAACTTCAAAATCTTGCTATTTCATAAAGGATACTTGATTTTTTTCATTTTATGGTCGTATCTAGAGATCATGACTGTACATGCTCCACAGCCACCTTCACTGCATCCAAGTTTAGTGCCTGTTAAACCCACTGAAGAGATGTTAAGGCCAACAGCAGTTCTTGCTATATACCTGCGATTTATCTGGCTCTTAAGACAATCATGAATGGCTGATTGGTAATTATGAGACCATGCGATCAATTTCCAGGTTTGCACGTGACGTGATTGGTAATCGGGTGTCATAAATTAAAACGTATGCCTTGGGAGATACATTTATTGATTACCACTGAATGTATTGATATTTCTTAGGACGGCGACATTCCTGGTGATTTTATTGGCCGATATCTGGCATGTCAGATATCAGCGAATCAGCGAATCGCAACGGGCACATCTGGCGATTTTAACGATCGCTGCGATCGGCCTATGAAATCGCTAGGTGTGTTGCCAGCTTTAAGCTCTTTCAACCTGGAGGAAATGTCTCATGGTAAATACGGCTTTCGTTCTCTGATAGATGTACAACAAATCACTTATTGTCTGGTTCCCTGGGAAACAGTTAATTTTGTTTTTCCTCAGGTCCTAATATCTGTTATAAATAACAACTTTTCAAAAGTTACAATAGCAAGAATCATTGTTAAAAAAATTCCAATTACGAAAAGAGAGGCTAGATGTCCAAAATCCGTAGAAAATATGTATTAAACTTGTTAAATAAATGGCTGAAAGGAAAACTCCGAAACTTCTTAAAATTCTGAAACAAAGTGGTAACAAATTTACCCGAACGAAAGCTCAAAAACAATTAACTGAACTCCGTTTTTTACCTAACAACAAAAGTACTCGCAAAATGTCCACGTTAGTTATCCGGCGAGTTACTAAAACAAGGAATGGCCTAAAATGACCTAAAACGACCCAAAATGACCTTGAATGATTTGTAAAATGTCCTAAAACGACCTAAAATGACTTGAGTTTGCATATTGGATCACGAACCGGATCACGGATCGGATCACGGATCGGATCACGGATCGGATCACGGATCATGGATCGGATCATGTAAAATAAAATTAGAAATTTTGCACGACATGCCAAAATAAAGTCTGCGTGACAAAATAGAGCGTAGGCCGCTCTGGGAGTTTTTCTTTTTGCCCAAAAACCCCACGTAATCACTTTCAAGGCTGTGTCGAGGAGTGTTGTGTAGGGCCACCATAGACGAAGGCAAGCTAGAAGCGTGTATCATTTCATCAGTCAGTTAAGAAAAACGCGAGACAATCCACAGTTGCTTCTTAAGGTCTTTGAGCTTCTTCCGTTGCTGATACAACGACCTAAGTGCTCTACTTTACAAGGTCAAAGTCTCGGGTACTATTCAAGGCGCGTGACCTCCTATAGACCCTACGATATTCAACCAACATTTGGTTTGTCACGCGTTCCTCCCAATAACATTTGCATTTCGCGGCTGTTCGAGATCAGTGGAGGCGCTTAATTGCCACTCAGATCGAAGACAAACCGGAAAAAATTTTGAAATCCCGTTTGAATTTTTGACGAAAACCGAAAACCGAAAACCGAAAACCAAATGTTACATTACATAATATCCGCAAACCGAAATGAACAATCCGATCCGATCCGGTCCAGTCCGGTCCGATCCAGATTTTGTCGACGCCGCATTGTTCACATCACTTTAGGTCATGTTAGGTTATTTTTAGTCATTTGAGAATTCACTTAAGGTCATTTTGAGTCATTTTAGGTCATTTTAGAAATCGCTTGAGGTCATTTAGATCATTTATGTCATTTTAGGTCATTTTGGGTCGTTTTAGGTCATTTTAGGTCATTGTAGGTCATTTCTTGTTTTATTAACTACCTAGTTATCCTATGTCAAGCTTAGAGTTCTTTGACGTAATTGGCTTATTTGTGAAATCACGCTCGCCGTGCGTGAATACAAAAAGTATTACAGAGGAGGAAAGGAAGAGAAAAATTGTTACTTGAAATTTAGAAGAGAAAGAAATTTTCCACAATCATAAGTACCTCAGAAATTACGTGACGCCGCGGCGATCTTTTAACCTAAGAAAGGATTGCGTGACGGACCAAGGAAGCGACGTAACAAATCTTTCGCAATCGAAGGATACAATAATTTCGAAGGTATTGTAGCAAAGACATTTCTGGCTGCGCATTGCGCTCCACAACCTGAAAAAAATATATATATGTGGATATAACACACTGCATAATAATACGCAGCACCCGATATTTTAAGTCGATTAGTAGACATAAAGGCCAGTGAACTTACAACGTAAACATGTTTCAAGTAGTTTGACCGATGCGACCTCGTTTATTTGCATAGTGAAAACGCAGGAAGGAACGTTTACCTAATTTATACCTACAGAAATGAAGGACTCGATCGGACAAAGCTGTTTTGAAGATACATGCACAAAGAATTCTCTGGTGAAGGTTTTTTGGCGGGGGGGTTTTCGGGGGGGGCAGAAAATTCACTTTTTTTGTCCTGTCCAGGAAAACAATACGGTCACAGCCTGACACACGCAGTCAGTTGAGATATCATTGACAGGAGCAGCAAATCAAATGATGTTTTTATGGAATTCTGACGAGGAATAATACAACGATAATTAAAACTGATTTGACAATTGTATTAATACCGATTTCGGACCCTACGATGTCTATTGGAGATAAGTACGTACGTCATGATACTAATTTTTAAAATATCGTCTTTCTGTAGTGACGAAATCTTAGCGAGAGATTATGTCCATGAACTGAAGGAGTGGATCAGGAAGCTCAGCACCGGAGTGTAGGATTATAATGAATGGAATAAGGCGATATAATAACAGAGGAAAATCAGAAATAACTTTCACTAGTTTGCTGATAAAAAAAGCCATGATTACTACATTTACGGAGCACGTATTTTAGTAATTTAGTGTAAACAGTTACCGTTGATCAACCTCCTCCCCCTCTATCGTTCATCGGCCCGATTTTGAACGGAATATGAGGAAATGGAAAGCTTTAGTATTCTTGAAATAATTTGTTTTTGAACAACACCTAACTGAGCTCGTTCATAGTCGTTCATATACCTCGTTCATCGAGGTATTTGCCACGTATATTAAGTAAAAACTTATTTTCCAAACCTTTTTTCCGTTGACGAAGAAAACGATTGCTTGATTAGAAGAACTTGGCATCTTTTCTTGTTTGTGGCTTTGTTGAACTTAAGCTTTTTGATCTAAAAACGACACGACCTTGTCCTTTACTATGACTCAATCTGAACTGGTGATTGAGCAACGTATAGAAATTAAACCAGTTAATCCACATTACGGAGAAAACCGAGACTGATCAAACTGCCATTTCAATCAGGAATTTCATTACCTGATTACTTTCTTGCACCAGGTGTGGTAACAATAGATTCGTAGCGCCTGCGAAACCGGACTGATCTGTTTTATACGGATAATGATTACAGCGGCTGATGATCGGGATTTTCGAGAGCTAAATTGATGAGATTGAGAAGGTTAATCTCTCCTGTAATTACGGTACATAAAGAAATGCTAAATACTAAAGGAAATGATCACAACAATGTAAAGTGTAATGGATCGGAACCGAGGTGACAAACAAACTAGAATACGTGATATTATTTCCACGCTCCTGGCAACACTAATTATAAACAAACCCCAAGTGGTGTGCTCTTTCAAAGGTCATGGCCGATTAATTCCTAGGGGTTAACCGCTAGCCGTGAAGGGCAAAAGAAAATTTGCCGTTGGTGATAAAAATTGTGGACGAATTTTAACAGTTAGTCGTTAAAGACGTTAACCATAAAATTTTCCTTTTACAAATAATGGAGAGAAATAAACCGTTCGCTGTAAAAGTCATCACCCCATTGAGACCCGCTTCACAGTTATCTTCTGCAACTACGCCTGAACTGTGCATTAGTTCATCTAGAGTCTTATATGAAACATATAGCTACCGAAGCTTTTCCCAATTGTTTTAATAATATAAAAGTGTTTATTTAACCACAGTTCGAATGCAAAATCATGCCGGATAAACCACAGAGTTGGCCCGTCTAACAACCATGAACTTGCCTAAACCAGAATGTTGCTGATGAGACCGGTATATCGGCGAGTTGACCAAAGGTGGGTGAAATTTCCGCACAGTCCCATACTATTGTAAAACAAATCTGTTTTCCCAATGGCAATGTATTGTTTTTGTCATTGTTTTCTCTATGCAAGAACTGAATGCATATTGTCGTATAGGGCTGTGCGGAAATTTTACCCCAAAGGTGTCAGTGAGTTGACTAATTATGTCGGTGAGTTGATTTTTGGCGAAGTGAGTGAAGTGGGCTCTGGCATATGAACATGCTAGAGCATCCAACCATAGACCAACTGCTTACTCTAGAAGGCCTAATATTTTAATTTCTTCGACTGATTGTCTAGCGTACACTGGTGCACAGTCACAAATGCTAGAGGGCGTACCTCTGTTACCTTTTTGTCGGTTGTGTCCTCGTGTACCGGTACACAAAGGAAAGAAACATTAACGAACTGCGTCATAACTCCATGTATGGTTATGAAAACAAAAGGAATTCCCTCGTGTACCGGTACACCAGGACAGCCCCTTTTTGTCTCCCATGAATTCAACAGCATAGCAGATCCACAAACAAGGGTGATACTGCCTCCGTGCTATCAAGCACGAAGTCTCCTACATGTTTCTCAGACAACGGTCAGATACTATAGACCCTATGTATAAATGGTGGACTTGATTGGCATTCTTTTGCATGATGCAGATCTGCCCAACTGCCCTCGTCAGTATGCTAAGGAACAATGAAACCATAACCCAGAGATGAGCTGAGACTTATTAAGCAAAGTCATATGAGTCCAAAAGAATATCGGATCAATATCAGTATCTGGGCAACTGCCCACCTACCCCTCCCCTAACCCAACAACAGTCAATTGATGACAAGTCAGAGTTAGGGGAGGGGTAGGTGGGCAGTTTCCCAGATACTGATATTGATTCAGAATATCAAGGAGGTCCCCCATTTATGCTTACTGTCTCAATGGCAAATCCAGACCTTGAGCTAAGGAGGGGTGGGGGGCGGTTTTTTGTCGCTTGCCCTGCCGGCTTTTCTTCCTTCTGCGATTCTTTTTTTTTTTTAGCTAAAATAAGAGGGGGGGGGCGTGGGATAGTTTTTGCAGAAAACCGTTGTAATTATCTGAGAGGGAAGATAAAGACAGCATGACAACGTTGTACAGCGTGAAACCATCAGTTTAACACACACCCACGGATGGGATCCTCATGAACTAAGGTTTTAGCGCATTTCGATTGAGTGTTGTTAAACCAAAACCAAAGTAAGAAGAAAGAAACTCCTACCTTATGGAGCCAATGAAAACTTAATACAAACAAACCGCCTGAAGCGCGGGAAAACCCATGCAACCAAGTCATGACTGGTGTTAGGGTAATTTAGTATTATAAACTGAGTTGGTAACGTAAATTGGCCTCCGTAAAGAGTTTTAAAGCTGACGTTTCGAGCGTTAGCCCCTCGTCAAAGCGAATGACGAAGGGCTGACGTTCGAAATGTGAACTTTAAACTATTCACGGAGGTCAATTTGCGTTATCAACTCAGTTTATAATACTAAGTTACCCCGTTATACTCTCCCACCGACGCAGCATCACAGTTTCGTTAGAAACTTACCCCCTTTACTCATGATTGGTTTTAGTTTTGTATTTGATTGGTTGAGATATTCGCGCGAGTTTTCTGGACCAATCACTGAGCAGAGTAAAGTAAAACCGATGCAACACCGGATAACTTTCGAATTTAAGTTGTAAATTGCTCTGATTTAACCCTTTAACTCCCAGAAGTGATCAACATGAAACTTCTCCTTATGAAATTCTTACATTATACAGCAAACAGCTAATGAGAATATTCAAACTTATCAGGTGGAAGTTGTTATCTTGATCTAACACCAAATTATCATAACCAATTTACAAGGATGTGTGTACAAGCTATAGGGGAGAATTACCAATCATATCTTGGGAGTTAAAGGGTTAATCAGTATTGCTACGTGGTAATTGAAATCTTTTTGAACTTCAAAAATATTTAAGCTAGCTAACCAAGCTCGAATCCTACGGCGTGAAAGAGTCCAAACTTCGGTGGTTCAACAGTTACCTATCTGAGAGGTTACAGTATGTCGTCTACAAGGACGTTAATTCAGATCCCATGCGTCTTTCTTTTGGCGTCCCGCAGAGAGCAGTTTTAGGACCAACGTTATTAAATATTCATATAAATAACATATCGAAGGCATGTCATTCGTCCACTCTCTCGTTATAAGCAGATGATACTGAGATGCATTCCAGCTTGAAGAATATTGATTTAGCTGTGTACAATGTCAACAAGCATCTCAAGAGCGTCAGACACTGGTTTTGTAGGAATGGCCTCATTTGTAATACAAAAAACTCGAAAGCCATGATTATTGCGTCCCTCAAAGCACTCAAAACCAACCGAGACATTAACATTTTTTACGGAGGCTCATTATTAAAACAAGCGTGATATTTCGTACGTGATAGTAAGGAGAAAACCGCAAACAATCCACACAAAACGACGGTGAGATACTACTGTGTGTAGATTCAAGTGGAAACCGTCTTTTTTTCCGGAAAAAGAAAAGTTGAAGGGAGAATGCATACTGCGAAGTACCAGCAAAGGGAAACTAGTCCCTCGTCACGTAACCAAAGGTGAAGACGAACCTGGCAAAACATTTAGTCGCTTTTTCTCTATATTTGATGTAATCAACATCCATCCTTATTCAAAAACTACATCTAACATATATGTTCAACCATCTTTTCCACTGCACAGAAAATATATGTAATTCTCAAGAAAAAGAGCTGTCTATTATTTTATTTGACATGATCCTAACCCACCTTCCCGCACAAGGGGCCCAAAAAAAACAAAATAAATTATCATAATTTTAACTTCACAAAACATGCGGAAAAGACACGACACATACAGACAGGTATACGTAATTCTTCCCAAAAAGGCTTTTTAGAAGAAAGGTACATAGTACTATTAGAATGTAAATACATAAAAAGTGTATGCATTCTTGTAAATGAAACAGCTCTCCTAATGATTAAATGAACAATAAATAATGCAGAAAACTTTAGCCCAATTCCCTTACCTACTTTCTTTTGTAACAGAAGCATTGATTATTAAAAAAAAAATGCCCACTAATAAAACTCATACGCTACAAAATATACTGCCTTTATTGACATGGTCATTTCTGTTATTTTGCAAAGAACCTCCCTCCCCCACCCCCTCAGGATATAAAAATAACACGCCCTTCCCTTACAATGTAGCCCCCTAAACAAACCACCACTTCATCTGACCATGATAGCCTTGCGTTACCCGCCTGCGCAGTAGCTGGAAAGTACTCTGACATTTAACGCAATGAACCATAACTTACACAGCAACATGACTAAATTGAACACTCTGTGACGAAAATATTGTCTGCCCTAAGAACTAACTTAAGAGAGGAAAATGTTCAAATTTCTTGCCAGTACCGAGATCGCATCAGTTGTTTTCAGGGAAAACAAAATCAAAGCTTACTATTTGAACCAATTCTCAACAATACCAAGCAGTTCCATCAGGGACAAAAATTCTTCGCTGGTGACACGCAATCTGCTTAACGCTCTGCAGACTTAAAAGAAATGCTAATAAGTTTTGTTTACAATACAAAATTTAAAGTTAAAACGACATATTCCAGGTTCGACTGGAACCCGAATACTTAAACAACCTTCTCTAATGATAATTTTAATCACAATCCAAAAAGCCGACAATTTTATTTATGATTTGGCTGCAGTCAATACGCAGTAATAATCTCCTTCGTCAGTATAAACCGTCAACGGTTTAGAATTTTCTCCGCTTGAGTACTGAGCACAAAACCTCGATACCTTATCTCCTGTGGCTAGCTCTGAAATAAACCTGCCTTGATTAGTTGCCAAGAAAAATGAGCACAAACTTTCAACATTTTCGAACTCAAAATCATCCATTTTGACGTCGACACTTTTTATGATTTCGAATCCTGCAGCCGAACACATCTCTTCCATGTTCGCCCTTCTCTCGTACCAACGTTTGCTTAACATACGTTCCATGCTTTCTGAGTTTTGAAGTTCGCGATAAATTTTACTGACGATGGAAGGTAAGCGATCGGTGTAACTCACGACAATTTTCCCTGCTGGTTTCAGGCTCCGAAACATGTTCTTGAATGCTTCTTCTTTATCCTTAATCCAGTGGAACACAAAGTTGGAGAAGACGATGTCGTAAGTCTTCAAGCCCATACCTGGAAAGCTGGCAGAGCTTCCTTCATGAAATGCGAGATTTTTTACTTCCCTATGTGATTCTCGCGCCACTTCTACTCGATAACTGTCGGGATCAACGGCAACGACTCTTCCATCTTGTCCTACGAGCTCGGAAAGATACACAGACAATTCTCCAGTGCCGCATCCCAAATCTAGGATAACATGTCCGCGATGAATCTCTACATCGTCGATCAGTTTTTTTCCTTCCTCTCTTTGAAAAAGCGACACTTGCTGGTAACTCTTTGCAACATCTTTGGAAATGGACATTTTGATTACTTCCTCAAGCCTGGGCGACCGAATCCTGCGAGAGGTCTGCAGGGGATCTGGGACCAATAATTAGTGCCAGACCACCCGAAGACCACTCACCGTCTTGTTCATGGTAGCCTACGTTTAGTCGTACCCTCCCCCCCCCCCTCCTGTCTAAAGTGAAAGGGAGGCAAGTACCTAGCACCTCAGGGGGGAGGGTATGTTCAAGGCCCCTAAACTTATGCAAGAGCGAAGTTACGCTCGTACATTGGACCCCCTTATAATGAGGGCTTGCTCAAAGGCTATCAATTTGAGAGAGTTTTTGGTGTCTGCAGGTCTGAACTAATCTGAATTTTTCGTTAACTTGTTTGAAAATGTATTTTCTATATTCACCATGCAATGACAGAGGTGACAGAGTCTTCGATCTTCTGTGTTATTTCTAACCCTAGTAAATCAGGTATCAGGTCCGACTCAGGCCCCCAGGTGGTGGAAGCGAAAGAAAGAGCGACCACACTATTGTTGACTGTGGGCATGATTGTCAAGAAAACGGCAGCAGAACGACAACACTTTCCAAGGAGTAATTATTCCTTGCTCCAAGTTCACGATAAATGTGGAACTCCTCCCTTTACTTACGGCCAAAAAATTACATGGTAAAGCGTAGTTTCTCTTGATCTAAAAAGGAGAGATAAAAGCAGTCAGTTAAGTCCTCCTCCAACCTCGCCCGAACAATTCAAAACACGGAAGTTACTCGTGAGGGGTTGAGCGATCACATTGAGTGGAAGAATGCAAACAAATCTTCTTCCTCGACAGACTGCTGACCACTAAAGTGTAAATAAGTATGGAGCATCATACGAAAAAACAGTGCCACGCCACAATAGCCATATTGAAATGCTACGAATTGCGTCAGATCTGTAATACCTTTTAACAACTTGCTCTAATGATATCTTCAGTCATGTGTACTCACGTACACCTTCAAAACAGGACGAAACGGAAAAACGGTTACGCTAGAATGAAGATACACGTCAGTTATAAATCTATTTCCATCTTCCAAAAGCATTTCTGGTTAATTCATAGGTACTGACATTTCCTTTCACGATATTTTCTTGCAATTATCTAACTATCTAACTGTTTAAGTCTTTTTGAGAGAAATCCAAACATTCTTGTGCTGTTCTCGCTATTTATCCCAAGCGTATAACCAGCTATTCGATATGTTTTATGAGAAAAAAGTTAATTACTTACAAATGTACTCAGTTGTACCTGTTTTACAGTACGACTGCATCAGAGTTAGTTAAAAGTTTCATAGAGGGTAATAAAGTAACATTTGGAAAAAGCATCTTTAGGAAGTGCTTCAAAAGAGCGAATATGATTTCTAAGTTATATTAGAGAAAGCCGCGGAATCAAGGAAGTAAATCAAGAGCTACATTAGTTCTAATAAAGTAAAATGTCCGTATGTTTCACTGCACTTACTCGATTCCGCCATGATGCTTCCTGCCTGGACAAAACTGGTTACCAGTGCCATAGAGGGCTTCACCAGATTGTGTATGTATGGTAATTTGGTGGTGTTAAGCAATTATCGACATTAGGCAATCCAGGGGTGGAGGACATATTGGATGACATGAAATTGCTGCGAATTGCAATAATAGATTGTGTCAAGCCCGACCCAGGCCCTCAGTGGAAGCGAGGTGAAGAGCGACCGCATGGCTGTTGACTGCCGGTGTGGTTGTCAGGGTAACGGCCACGAAATGACAACGTTTTCGAAGAGAGTATAATTTTTCTTTTTCCAGAGTTTACGAGTAAAGTGTAACGCCTCCCTTCACTGGACCATGTGCCCAAACAACGCTGATGTTCGGATAAATTGACTGTGATCACACCCCAACTTCATAACTTGTGGGTTATAAAAGTTAACATAACGGATGGCAAAGTGTTTCCATCTGATTACATCGCAGCTGAAGATGCCTTACACGATTTAATAAATTATTCGTCTTTCTTGGGAATGACTGTAAGCAGTTAAAATTCTTTTAGCGAGTTCTTCCGCATCGTTTTTATGCAGTTCCGCTAAGTTTATTGTTTTCGTGTCTTTCATCTACCTCAACAGGGCAGGTAATCAGTCTCTTACAAACAGACTTAACTCTGAAACCCAAAGAGTGACTAGCATCTAAATTCTCCCTACAATATCACCCCTGGATCACACATTAAGGTCATGAGAATAAAGGAAATGATCACCAACGAAAGAAGATTTTGATCGGTCAACAAATTCTCCTTGTCAGCACCTTAGGAAATGTATAAAGAACAGTATGGAGAATATGCATGCCGATGCTAGGGTGTGAAGGGTTAACGAGGCTAGTTACACAACTTTTCTTGAAACAGCTGTATGTGTAATGCTACTAATTTTCATTTGTACATTACGGCACAGCCGCGAACGCAAGAAGGCTCGCACTTAAAATGTTTTATCCAACGAAAGCTACTGTAATTCTCTCATTTGTCTGCCATGAGCGGAAGAACCTGACCGACTGGCAAACAAGCGTGATATTTCGTACGTGATAGTAAGGAGAAAACTGCAAACATTCTTTATAAAACGACAGTGAGATACTACTGTGTGTAGATTCAACTGAAAACCGTTTTTATTCCGGAAAAGAAAAGTTGAAGGGAGAATGCATACTGCGAAGTACCAGCAAAGGGAAACTAGTCCCTCGTCATGTAACCAAAAGTTGAAGACGAACCAGATGAAAACTTAAGTCGCTTTTTCTCTACATTTAAAGTAATCAACACCCATCTTTATTCACAAACCACATCTAACATGTATTTTCAACCATCTTTGCCTCTGCACAGAAAATAAATGCAATTCTCGAGAAAAAGACCTGTCTATTATGTATATAATAAGCTCAGTTATGCACGCATTCTGATTGGTTCTCACTTATGATGTATTGGGGACAGACATATAGATGACGTCATCATTAAAACTTTTTTTTTCCGTATATTTTAATTCTTTATTATATAAAAAAAAATAGATTCCAAGTTGCCGTGCCCACATTTTGACGTCCTCTGTGATCTATTACTGAACAGACGCACGGCAACTTGGAATCTATTTGTTAAATTTCACATGAACCTTACCCACCTTCCCGCACAAGGGGGCCCAAAAACAAACAAAATAAATTATCATAACTTTATCTTCACAAAACACGCGGAAAAAACACGACACATACATACAGGTATACGTATTTCCTCCCAAAAAGGCTTTTTAGAATAAAGGTACATAGTACAATTAGAATGTCCATAATACATGTAAATATAAACAATTGAAGTCAAATTAAGGAGTAATTAATATTACATCGAATTAGCAAAATGGATAATTAGCAAAAAGTCTCTAAAATCTTGCAAATGAAACAGTTCTCCTAATGGTTTAAGGAGCAATACATAATGAAGAAAATTTTTAGCCAAATTCCCTTTTCTACTTTCTGTTGCGACAGAAGCGCTGATTATTTAAAGGGAAAAAAACGCTCATTATTAAAACGCACATGCCAAAAAATATACTGCTTTTATTGACATAGTCATTTTTATTATTTCGTAAACAAACTCCCTCCCCCACCCTTTTAGGAAATAATAATTAACACGCCCTTCCCCCACAATGAAGCCTGCTAAACAAACCACCATTTCATCTGACCGTGATAACCTTGCGTTACTCGCCTGCGCAGTAGCTGAAAAGTACTCTGACATTTTACGCAACCAGCCATAACCTACACCGCAACATTACTAAATTAACACTCTGTGACAAAAATATTGTTTGATGTAGGAGCTAACTTAACAGACGAAATTGTTCAATTGCCTACAAGTTCCAAGATCGCATCAGTTGTTTTCAGGGAAAGCAAAATCAAAGTTTACTACTTGAACCGATCCTCAACGATACAAAACAGTTCCATCAGGGACAAAATTCTTCGCTGTTGACACGCAATCTGCTAAACGCTCTGCAGACTTAAAAGAAATGCTAATAAGTTCTGTTTTCAATACAAAATTTTAAATTAAAAACGACATATTCCAGATTGGACTGAAACTTGAAAACTTAAATAACCTTTTCTAATTGCAATTTCAACTATAATCTAGAAGAGCGACACTTTCTTTATGGTTTGGCTGCAATCAGTACGCAGTAATAATCTCCTTCATCAGTATAAACTGTCAACGGTTTAGAAACAAAGCGGTTCCATCCGAGACAAAAATTCTTTATTGTTGACACGCAATCTGCTTAGCGTTATGAAGCTACAAACTTTAAGGTTAAAAACGACAAATTCCGGATTCGAATGGAACCCGAATACTTAAACAACCTTCTCTAATTGCAATTTTAATTACAATCTAAAAGGTCGACACTTTCTTTATGGTTTGGCTGCAATCAATACGGAGTAATAATCTCCTTCATCAGTATATAACGTCAACGGTTTAGAATTTTCCCCGCTTGTGTACTGAGCACAAAACCTCGATACCTTATCTCTCGTAGCTAGCTCTGAAACAAACCTGCCTTGATGAGTTGCTGCGATAAATGAGCACATACTTTCAACATTTTCGAACTCAAAATCTTTCATCTTGACGTCGAAGCTTTTCACGATGTCGAATCTCGCAGCCGAACACATGCCCTCAATTTTTGACCTTCTCTCGCAATAGACTTTGCTTAGCATACGTTCCATGCTTTCTGAGTTTTGAAGTTCACGATAAATTTTACTGACGATGGAGGGTAAGCGATCGTTGTAAGTCAGAACAATTTTCCCTGCTGGTTTCAGGCTCCGAAACATGTTCTTGAATGCCTCTTCTTTATCCTTAATCCAGTGCAACACAAAGTTGGAGAAGACGATGTCGTAAGTCTCCGAGCCCATTCCTGGGAAGCTGGCAGAGCTTCCTTCTTGAAACTCGAGATTTTTGACTTGCCTGTGTGATTCTTGCGCCACTTCTACTCGATAACTGTCGGGATCAACGGCAACGACTCTTCCATCTTCTCCTACGAGCTCCGACAGATACGCAGACAGTTCTCCAGTGCCGCAGCCCAAATCTAGGATAACATGTCCGCGATGAATCTGTACATCATCGATCAGTTTTTTTCCTTCCTCTCTTTGAAAAAGCGACGCATGCTGGTAACTCTTTGCAACATCTTTGGATTTGGACATTCTTGTTACCTCCTCAAGATTACGCGACTGAGTCTTGGTAAAGCGTGCCTGTGAGAGGTCTTCAAGGGATCTGGCACTAATAAATAATGCCAGACCACCAAAAGAGCTCTCGCCGTCTTCTGTTGTTCAAGGCACCTAAAGTTATTCAATGAGGGCTTTCTCAAAGGCTATCAATTCGAGAGGGTTTTTGGTGGCAGCGGCTCTTTCCTAATCTGAATTCTTCGCTAACTTGTTTGAAAATGTATTTTCTATATTCACGATGCTATGACAGAGGCAATAGAGTCTTCTGTGCGATTTCTTGCCCCAGTAAATCAGGTATCAGGCCCGACTCAGTCCCTCAGGTGGTGGAAGCGAGGAAAAGGGCGACTGCACTATTGTTGACTGTGAGTATAATTGTCAAGGAAACCGTCACGGAACGACAACACTTTCGAAAGAGTAATTATTCCTTGCTCCAAGTTCACGATAAATTCAGATATTCAGATAAATTGACTGTGATCACAATCCAACTTCATAAAAGTTTATATAATGGATAGCAAAGTGTTTCCATTTTTTCGTGTTTCCACGCGGTTTAATAAATCATTCGTATTTCTTGGGTATGACTATAAGCTGTTAAAATTCTTTTCGCGGGTTCTTCCCTATCGTTTTAACGCGGCTCCGCTAAGTTTATTGTTTTGCTCCCTTCCCTCTTCCTCAGCAGGGCAGGTAATTAGTCTCTCATAAAGAGACTTGACCCTTTAACCCAAAGAGTGACTAGCATCTAATTTCTCCACACAATATCACCCCTAAATCACACATTAAGGTCATGAGAATAAAGGAAATGATCACCAACGAAAAAAGCTTTGATTAGTTTACAAATTCTCCTTGTCAGCACCTTAGGAAATGTATAAAGAACAGTATGGAGAATATGCTTACTGATGTTAGGGTGTGAAGGGCTAATGAGGCGGAATTACACAAGTTTTCTGGAAACAGCTGTATTTGTTATGCCCTAATTTTCGTTTGTACAACAAAAGCTATTGTAATTCTCTACTCAGTCTGCTCATGATCGGCGGAACAACACGACCGACCGGCAATTCGTATGTGATTGTAAAGAAAAAACCGCAAACAATCCTTATAAAACGACAGTGAGATACTACTGTGTGTAGATTCAACTGGAAACCGTCGTTATTCCGGAAAAGAAAAGTTGAAGGGAGAATGCATACTGCGAAGTACCAGCAAAGGGAAACTAGTCCCTCGTCACGTAACCAAAGGAAAAGACGAACCAGGCAAAAAATTTAGTCGCTTTTTCTCTATATTTGATGTAATCAACACTCATCCTTATTCACAAACTACATATAACATGTATGTTCAACCATCTTTGCCACTGCACAGAAAATATATACAATTCCCGAGAAAAACAGTTGTCCATTATTATTTTTCACATGAATCTAGCCCACCTTACCGCACAGGTGGCCCAAAAACAAAGAAAAGAATTTATCATAATTTAAACTTCACAAAACACGCGAAAGACATGGCACATACCTACAGGTACACTTAATTCTTCCCAAAAGGACCTTTCAGAATAAAGGTTCATGGTACAATTAGAATGTACGCAGATACGTATAAATATAAACAATTGAAGTCAAATTAAGGGGTAATTAATATTACATCGAATTAGCAAAATGTATAATTGGCAAAAAGTCTCCACAATCTTGCAAATGAAACAGTTCTCCTAGTGGTTTAAGGAGCAATACATTCCCTTTTCTACGTTCTGTTGCAACAGAAGCGCTGATTATTTAAAAGGAAAAAAACGCATATGCCACAAAAAAAATACTGCTTTTAATGACATGATCATCATGGTCGTTAACAAACTCCCTCCCCTACCCCCTTATAAAATAATAATTAACACGCCCTTACCCCACAATGAAGCCTGCTAAACAAACTACCACTTCATCTGACCGTGACAACCTTGCATTACGCGCCTGCGCAGTAGCTGAAAAGTATTCTGACATTTTACGCAACCAACCATAACCTACACCGCAACATTACTAAATTAACACTCTGTGACAAAAATATTGTCTGATGTAAGAACTAACTAAACTGACGACATCGTTCAATTGCCTACAAGTACCGAGATCGCACCAGTTGTTTTCAGAGAAAGCAAAATCAAAGTTTACTGCTTGAACCGATCTTCATCGATACAAAGCAGTTCCATCAGGGACAAAAATTCTTCGCTGTTGACACGCAATCTACTTAGCGCTCTGCAGACTTAAAGGAAATGGTAATAAGTTTTGTTTACACCACAAAATTAAAGTTAAAAACGACATATTCCAGATTGGACGAAAAATTTAAACAACCTTTTCTAATTGCAATTTCAATTATAATCTTAAAGGCCGTCTTCTTCTCTATGGTTTGGCTGCAATCAACACGTAGAAATAATCTTCATCCATGAAAAACGTTAACGGTTTAGAATTTTCCCCGCTTGTATACTGGGCACAAAACCTCGATATCTTATCTCTCGTGGCTAGCTCTGAAACAAACCTGCCTTGATTGGTTGCCGAGATAACTGAGCACAGGCTTTCAACATCTTCGAACTCAAGATCCTCCATTTTGACGTCGACACTTTTTACAATTTCGAACCCCGCAGCCGAACATATCTCTTCGATTTTTGACCTTCTCTCGAAATAGAGTTTGCTTAGCATACGCTCCATGCTTTCTGAGTTTTGAAGTTCTCGATAAATTTTATCGATGATGGAAGGCAAGCGATCGCCGTAACTCACGACAATTTTCCCTGTTGGTTTCAGGCTCCGAAATACGTTCTTAAAAGCCTCTTCTTTATCCTGAATCCAGTGCAACACAAAGTTGGAGAAGACGATGTCGTAAGTCTCCGAGCCCATTCCTGGGAAGCTGGCAGAGCTTCCTTCATGAAATGCGAGATTTTTGACTTCCCTATGTGATTCTCGCGCCACTTCTACTCGATAACTGTCGGGATCAACGGCAACGACTCTTCCATCTTGTCCTACGAGCTCGGAAAGATACGCAGACAATTCTCCAGTGCCGCAGCCCAAATCTAGGATAACTTGTCCGCGATGAATCTGTACATCGTCGATCAGTTTTTTTCCATGCTCTCTTTGAATAAGCGATAATTGCTGATAACTCTTTGCAACATGTTTGGAATTGGACATTCTGATCACTTGCTCAAGCAACAGAATCTGGGTAAAGCGTGCCTGTGACCCGTCCGCAAGGGATCTGGCACTAATAAATAGTGCCAGACCACCTGAAGACCTCTGGCTGTCGTCAAGACCCCAAAGCCAGGGTCAATTTGGCTCCTTGTCAGCGGCATGGTCGCCAAATAATGACCTCTGGGAGAATGGATTAATTCTACTTTTTTTATTGCGTGGTTGATAGAAAAACGATGGACTCTACACAGTATGAGTGATTTACGCAAGGAATCAATCGAGCCGGAAAAAGAGCGTTTTTTCTACGGTTGTTATTGCTGTTTTTTTTCACTTGTTAACTACCAAGCGATGCGTGAAAGATATCCAACCAAAGCCGTTGCGTGCTCCAGTGGCGGAAAGCTGTTCTTCATAGAACAATGGATTGCTGCCGTTGTTGTTGAAGACACACAAGTAGAAATAAATCATTATATTTATTGTTTTGAATAAAAAGCAGAAAAGAAGGTATCGTAGAGGCCGTGCAAGCGTAAGGAAATGTACCAGTGTAAAAGAGTTCGGCAACGACTCTTCCATCTTGTCGGACGAGCTCGGACAGATACGCAGACAATTCTCTTGTGCCACAGCCCAAATCTAGGATAACATGACCGCGATGAATCTCTACATCGTCGATCAGTTTTTTTCCTTCCTCTCTTTGAAAAAGCTACACTTGCTGGTAATTCTTTGCGACATCTTTGGATTTGGACATTTTTGTTTATTGCTCAAGCTTAGGCGACCGAATCTTGGTAAAGCGTGCCCGTGATATGTCTGCAAGGGATCAGTAACCAGTAATTAGTGTCAGACCACCTGAAGACCTCTCGCCGTCTTGTGTTGTTCAAGGCCCCCAAACTCATTCAAGGGCGAAGTTGCGCTTGTACATTGGACCCCCTTATAACAAAGGCTTGCTTAGCTTAGGTCCTTTTGGGTCATCTCTTTTAACTAATGAGGTCCTTTTGGGTCATCCCTTTTAACCACGACCCTCTTCATATGACTGTGAGAACCCTGCGTTAGCCGCCTGCGCAGTAGTTGAAAAGTATTCTGACATTTTGCGCAATCAACCATGACCTATACCGCAAAGTGACTAAATTAACACTCTGTGACACAAAATATTGTTTGCTGTAAGAACTTGGTTCACAGAGGAAAATGTTCAATTTCCTGCGTCATAAATGCTACCGAGATCGCATCATCACAAAAGATATGATAATAAGCCTTGTTTACACTACAAATTTTAAAGTTAAAAACGACATATTCTAGATTCGACTGGAACCCGAATACTTAAACAACCTTCCATAATTACAATTTTCATTATAATCTAAAAGATAGTCACCTTCTTTACGGTTTGTCTGCAATCAATACGCAGTAATAATCTCCTTTATCAGTATAAGCCGTCAACGGTTTAGAATTTCAAACTTGAACTTAGCTGAAAAGTTTTCTGACATTTTGCGCAATCAACCATAACCTACAGAGCAACATGACTAAATTAACTCTCTGTGACACAAAATATTGTCTGCTGTAACAACTAACTTAACAGAGGAAAATGTTCAATTGCATGCGGCATAAACGCTTGTACCGAGATTACATCGGTTGTTTTCAGGGAAAGCCAAATCAAAGCTTACAACTTGGACCGATTCTCAACGATACAAAGCAGTTCCATCTGGAACAAAAATACTTTGCTATTGACACGCAATCTGCTCGGCGCTCTGCAGAATTAAAAGAAATGGTACTAAGTTTTGTTAACACGACAAAATTTAAAATTGAAGACGACGCATTCCGGATTCGACTGGAACCCGAATACTTAAACAACGTTTTCTAATTGCAATTTTGATTACAATCTAAAAGGTCGACACTTTCTTTATGGTTTGGCTGCAATTAATACGCAGTAATAATCTCCTTCATCAGTATAAACCGTCAACGGTTTAGAGTTTTCCCCGCTTGTGTACCGAGCACAAAACCTCGATACCTTATCTTTCGTGGCTAGCTCTGAAACAAACCTGCCTTGATTACTTGCCGAGAAAAATAAGCACATACTTTCAACATTTTCGAACTCAAAATCTTTCATCTTGACTTCGATACTTTTCAAGATGTCGAATCCCGCAGCCGAACACGTGCCCTCAATTTTTGACTTTCTCTCGAAGTAAAGTTTGCTTAGCAACCGTTCCATGCTTTCTGAGTTTTGAAGTTCACTATAAGTTTTATGGTAGATGGAAGCTGAGCGATCGGAGTAAGTCAAGACAATTTTCCCTGCTGGTTTCAGGCTCCGAAACATGTTCTTGAATGCTTCTTCTTTATCCTGAATCCAGTGCAACACAAAGTTGGAAAATACGACGTCGTAAGTCTCCGAGCCCATTCCTGGGAAGCTGGCAGAGCTTCCTTCATGAAATTCGAGATTTTTGACTTGCGTGTGTGATTCTCGCGCCACTTCTACCCGATAACTGTCGGGATCGACGGCAACGACTCTTCCATCTTGTCCAACAAGCTCGGAAAGATACGCAGACAATTCTCCAGTGCCGCAGCCCAAATCTAGGATAACATGTCCGCGATGAATCTCTAGATCATCGATCAGTTTTTTCCCTTCCTCTCTTTGAAAAACCGACACTTGCTGGTAACTCTTTGCAACATCTTTGGATTTAGACATTTTTATTACTTGCTTAAGTTTAGGCCACCGAATCCCGCGAGAGGTCTGCAAGGGATCTGGCACCAATAATTAGTGCCAGACCTCTCGAAGACCTCTCGCCATCTTGTGTTGTTCAAGATAGCCTATGTGTAGCCATACTCTCCCCCTCCCCCCCAAGGTGGCGAGAACCTTGGGGGAATGGGTACGTCTTCACTTAGGCTATGTCCAAGGCCCCTTAACTTATGCAAGGACGAAGTTAGGCTCGCGCATTGGACCCCCTTATAATGAGGGCTTGCTGAAATGCTATTAATTTGAGAGGGTTCTTGGTGTCAGTAGTTCTTTCCTAATCTGAATTTTTCGTTAACTTGTTTGAAAATGGATTTTCTATTTTCACGATGCTATGACAGAAGAAATGGAGTCTTCTGTGCGATTTCTAGCCCTTGTAAGTCAGGTATCAGGCCCGACTCAGGCCCTCAGGTGGTGGAAGCGAGCGAAAGAGCGAACGCACTATTGTTGACTGTGGGCATGATTGTCAAGGAAACGGTCACGGAACGAGAACACTTTCGAAGGAGTAATTATTCCTTGCTCCAAGTTCACGATAAATGTGGAACTCCTCCTTTTACTTAAGGTTAAAAAAATTACAGTGTAAAGCGTAATTTTTTTTTTTTAATTCAAAAGGGAGAGATAAAAGCATGCAATTAGTTAAGTCCTCCAACCTCGCCCGAAGTTATTTCTGAGGAGTTGAACGATCACATTGAGTGGAAGAATGCAAACGAATCTTCTTCTTCGACAGACTGCTGACCACCAATGTGTAAATAACTCTTGAGAATTAAACGAAAAAACAGTGTCACGCGATAATAGCCATGTTGAAATGCTACGAATCGCACTAGGCTGCTGACTGTGGGTATACTTGTCACGGTAACGGCCACGGAACGACAACGATTTCGGGAGAGTACAATTTTTCTTTTTCCCAAGTTCATGAGATAAGTGTAACGCTTCCCTTCACTTGACCATCGGCCAAAACAACGCAGATATTCTGATAAATAAACTGTGATCACAACCCAACTTCATAACTTGGGGTAAAAAAAGTTAATATGATGGATTACCCCTTTAAAACATAGGAGTGACTAGCACCTAATTTCTCCCTACAATATCACCCCTGGATCACACATTAAGGTCATGAGAATAAAGGAAATGATCACCAACGAAAGAAGCTTTTGATCGGTAAACAAATTCTCCTTGTCAGCACCTTAGGTGATGTATAAAGAACAGTACGGAGAATATGCGTACTGATGTAAGAATGTAAAGGGTTAATGGGGCGGAATTACACAACTTTCTTCGAAACAGCTGTATTTGTAATGCTCCTAATTTTCGTTTATACATCATGGCACAGCCACGAACAGGAGAGGGCTCGCACTTAGAATGTTTTACTTAACGAAAGCGATTCTAATTCTCTCTTTCGTCTCCTTAGCCCAATTCCCTCTTCTACGTTCTGTTGCAACAGAAGCACTGATTATTAAAACAAAAAAAGCCCACTAATGAAACGCAAACGCTATAAAATAAGATGCCTTAATTGACATGTTCATTTCTGTTATTTCGCAAACAACATCCTTAGCCCACCCCCTTAGGAAATAAAAATTAACGCGCCCTTACCGGGCGTGAAATAAATTTTTTTTCTGATAGCCAATTGGCTCCTAAATTCTTCAAAGTGGTAGCCAATTCAGGAAAAGTTGGTCGCCATTTTCAATGACAAACAAAACCTTTTGCTAGGCTGTTAGCGTTTTATACCCCATTCACACCAGCAAAACATGTTTTGTTAAACTGGTTTTTATTGAATGAAAATTATAAACAGAGAACTGAAAAACTTGATTTTCCATAGGATTCAAGTACTTGCTAACTTGCATTTCCAATGTGCTACATTCAAGTCAAAAAATATTTGGTTAAATAGTTTCTATGAAGAAAAAAAAAATTAAACTGTGTTTAACAAAACAACTTTTAAACATGTTTAAGCTTTGGTGTGAATGGGGCATTAGATAGACCCTCCAAAATTAAGTAAGTTAGGGAAAAGATCTTTAACGTGCTACAAAGTGGACACTAGGATGGATGATATACAACCTTCAAGCTCACCTAAATCCAAGATGGCGTATAGTTATCGATCGAGATGCGTGTGCTGCGTTTTGAAAACAAACTTAACGAAGAAGTTTGACACGGATTTATCTTTGCAAATCTTTTTAATTCACTATATCTCTTGGTAAGGTTATTATGAAAAATTCTAGTCGCCAATTTGGCGACTAATTTTCAGTGTTTGGTCGCCAAAGTGAAAAATTTAAGCGCATTGGCGCCTGTATTAGGCGCAATTTCACGCCTAGCCTTCTCTTGCAATTAAGCGGCCTACTAGACAAACCACCACTTCATCTGACCGTGATAACGTCGCGTTACCCGCCTGTGCAGTAGCTGAAAAGTATTTCGACATTGCGAGCAATGAACCATAATCTACACCGCAACATGACAAAATTATCATTCTGTGACACAAAATATTGTTTGCTGTAACAACAAGGTTAACAAAGGAAAATGTTTAATTGCCTGCGTCATAAATACTACCGAGATCACATCAGTTATTTTCAGGGAAAGGAAAATCAAAGCTTACTACTTGAACCGATTCTCAACGATACAAAGCAGGTCCATCAGCCTGATGGAGACAGAAATGCTTTGCTGTTGACACGCAATCCGCTTAGCGTTCTGCCAAAATGGTAGTAAGTGTTGTTTACACTACAACCTTCTATGTTAAAAGCGACATATTCCGGATTCGACTGGAACCCGAATACTTAAACAACGTTTTCAATTGCAATTTTGATTACAATCTAAAAGGTCGACACTTTCTTTATGGTTTGGCTGCAATTAATACGCAGTAATAATCTCCTTCATCAGTATAAACCGTCAACGGTTTAGAATTTTCCCCGCTTGTGTACTGAGCACAAAACCTCGATACCTTATCTCTCGTGGCTAACTCTGAAACAAACCTGCCTTGATTCGTTGCCCAGAAATATGAGCACATACTTTCAACACTTTCGAACTCAAAATCATCCATTTTGACGTCGACACTTTTTATGATGTCGAGTCCTGCAGCCGAACACATCTCTTCCATGTTTGCCCTCCTCTCGTACCAACGTTTGCTTAGCATACGTTCCATGCTTTCTGAGTTTTGAAGTTGACGATAAAATTTATCGACGAAGGAAGGTAAGCGATCCCCGTAGGACAGGACAATTTTTCCAGCTGGTTTCAGGCTCCGAAACATGTTTTTGAATGCTTCTTCTTTATCCTGAATCCAATGAAACACAAAGTTGGAAAAGACGATGTCGTAAGTCTCCGAGCCCATTCCTGGGAAGTTGGCAGAGCTTCCTTCATGAAATGCGAGATTTTTGACTTCCCCATGTGATTCTCGCGCCACTTCTACTCGATAACTGTCGGGATCAACGGCAACGACTCTTCCATCTTGTCCTACGAGCTCGGAGAGATACGCAGACAATTCTCCAGTGCCGCAGCCCAAATCTAGGATAACATGTCCGCGATGAATCTCTACGTCATCGATCAGTTTTTGTCCATGCTCTCTTTGAAAAAGCGATACATGCTGGTAACTCTTTGCAACATCTTTGGATTTAGACATTTTGATTACTTGCTGAAGTTTAGGCCACCGAATCCCGCGAGAGGTCTGCAAGGGATCTGGCACCAATAGTTAGTGCCAGACCACCCGAAGACCTCTCGCCGTCTTTTGTTGTCCTATGTGTAGCCGTCCCCGCCCCCCCCCCCCCCCCCCACCTAGGTGAAATGGAGGCGAGTACCTTGTTGGGGTGGGTACAGCCACACGAAGGCTATGTTTAGGGTCTCTAAACTTCTACAAGGGCGAAGTTACCCTCGTACATTGGACCCCCTTATTATGAGGGCTTGCTCAAATGCTATCAATTTGAGAGGGTTTTTGGCTTCAGTAGTTTTTTCTTAATCTGAACTTTTCATTAACTTGTTTGAAAATATATTTTCTATATTCACAATGCTATGACAGAGGTAACAGAGTCTTCTGTGCTTTTTTAGTCCCAGTACATTAAATCAGGTATCAGGCCCGACTCAGGCCCTCAGGTGGTGGAAGCAAGCGAAAGAGCGAACTCACTATTGATGATTGTCGAGGAAACTGCCACGGAACGAGAACACTTTCGAAAGAGTTATTATTCCTTGCTCTAAGTTCACGATAAATGTGGAACTCCTCCCTTCACTTAGGTCAAAAAAATTACAACCTAAAATTTTTGGTGCGTACAAAGAGACAATACGTTTAACATTTGCTTGCAACTCATCGTCACGATTGGCTCAAACAGGGCTGATATCCCGACATATTAATTGTAAAACCGCGGACCACGGAATCCGAAGGTCTGAGGTTCGATTCTTCATGGGAACTCGGATGTTTTTCTTTTTCTTTTCCTTTGTCCTACGCTCGTGACAAGACTGAAAATATCTTTCTCTATTTCTTTACCTGTCTCAAAACTTACCATCTTCCTTATTCTATATACAAACAATTGATAATAATTGACGAGGTCATCTCCATAATTTCGCTATATCTACAGCTCCCCTCCATTAAGAAAGCATTGGCATGGAACGCATGCAAGAGTTATTTTTTTGGCTGTTTGGGGAGGGACACTCTATATAACTGATGTTTTCATTTTTGTAACATTATGAGAGCGTAACGAAAAATCTAAAAACGAAAATTACTTTACCTTAAGAGAAAGAAAAAAGATCTGATTTATCAGCGCGGATAAACATTGCTCCGTAACGAGAGAACGTCATCGGACCGCAATAATAATTACCTTGTGTTACCCGCCTACGCAGTAGTTGAAAAGTATTCTAACATTTTGCAAATTCAACCATAACCTTACTCATATGCATATGACCAAATTTACACAGTCTCTGACACGAAATGTCGCCCACTGGAAGGACTAGGTTAACTGAAGAAAATCAATCAATTTCTGGCTTCATAAATGTTACCGAGATTAAATGTGTTGTTTTCGGGGAAACAAATTCATAACTTCACGCATTCAAAACAAAAACGGTTACATTGATGCCGATTCTCATCGCTTCACTGACATTGTTTTTAATCAGGGACATAGTGCTTTACTGTTTCCACACAACAAACTAAATGGTCATTTCGTTTACACTACAAACGTTCCGGCCATAAACGATATATTACGGATTCCACAGGAACTCGAGTACGCAACCAAGCTTCTCTGATGCAAATCTAACAATAATCTAAAAGGCCGTCACGTTCTTTGTGATTTGGCTGCTATCAATATACAATAGTAATCTTCTTCATCAGTATACAGTTTTAGCGGTGTAGAATTTATCCCACTTGTGTACTGAGCACAAAAACTCGATAATTTGTCTTTCGTGACGAGCTTTGGATCAAACGCATCTTGCAAATATACCGAGTAAAATGAGCACATACTTTCAACATTTTCGAACTCAAAATCTTTCATCTTGACGTCGACACTTTTCACGATGTCGAATCCCGCAGCCGAACACATGCCCTCAATTTTTGACCTTCTCTCGAAATAAAGTTTGCTTAGCATGAGTTCAATCATTTCTGAGTTTTGAAGTCCACGATAAATTTTTTGAAATCCAGAAAGAAAGTGATCGCCGTAGGACAGGGCAATTTTCCCCGCTGGTTTTAGGCTCCGAAACATGTTCTTGAACGCTTCTTCTTTATCCTGGATACGTTGAAACACATAGTTGGCGAAGACGATGTCATAAGTCTCTGAACCCATTCTTGGGAAGTTTGAAGAACTTCCCTCATGAAATGCGAGATTTTTCACTTCCCCGTGTGATTCTCGAGCCACTTGAAGCCGTTTGACATCAGGATCAACGGCAACGACTCGTCCATCTTGTCCTACGAGCTCGGCCAAATACGCAGACAACTCTCCAGTACCGCAGCCCAAATCTAGGATAACATCTCCGCGATGAATCTCTACATCGTTCATCAGACTTTTTCCTTCCTCTCTTTGACGAACCATCTTTTCTTGGTAACTCTGTGCTGCTTGCTTGGAGTCGGACATTGTGAGTAATTTGGGAGTTACTACATCACGGGCGACGAGCGGGGGATGAAGAAATGACCGAAGTACGAGTGGTCAGCGGGGAAACAAATTTAATAATTCATATAGAGACATATCAGTTGTAGTTGCAGAAAACAATAGTGTTGTAAAGCCGAAATGTTAACAGTATACTTCGCTAAATAAAATGTGAAGCAATTTTTCAAAAGTGTTGATGGCACATATATCTTTTACTGCTGTATTAAACAATGGAGGCATCGGGAACGGCACCAAGAAGAATTATATTTACGTTTTGTAACTTACAAAAAACAATCGTATTGTAAAGCCAAAATGTTACCAGGTTATACTTCGCTAATTCAAAAGTTAAACAATTTTCTAAACGCTTTGACTGGAACAATATTTTTACTGTTATATTAACCAATGGAGGCATCGGGAAAGGCATCAAGAAGAATGATATTTACGATATGTAACTTGATGTATGACGGAAAAAAGTATCTTGACTTGTTTAAGGCGTAAATCACAGTCGGTTTGCTTTTCACTTGAATTTTGCAATCTCGACTTTCGATTCCGGAAAAATGAAAAGCTAAGCAACTCTAAAAAAATTTCGTTCTAGATTTCTATATGTTTAGAGTCATTAATAAGTTTGTTTCCAGAGCCTTTAGATAGGAAATTTTAAATTTCCATCAGCTGTAGTTCTTTTAGTGTTTATTATATATATTCAATCGCCTCATTTCACGTGAAAAAGGCATGTAGGAAAACATTGAGCTTCGAGAAACAGCCAAGTTAAGGCTAACGTGTTTACTATGCTTAAATATAATCAGGGCCACTCGTTTAGGAGACCTTTTTTCAGAAGATCCAGGCGTTCAAATAATTCTGTTTTCCGTTCGGAGTTTTTTTTCCTATTTTATTTAACAATTGAACCCGGGATGAAAACTTAATTTTCGAAGCGAACGGCAGGTGAAATGTTGTGTTGGTGTCTCTGTCCCCCCCCACGTCCCTGCGAAAGGTACATCCAAACAAGCTGCATGGAAAAACTGACCACAGCTATCGTGCCAAATTTTAAAAAAATTCTTGTAAACGAGCGGACGGAACTACGAACGGTAGCTGTAAAATTTCTTTATTCCCTGACGCGTTTCGTTTAACTGTCGTAGACTTCTTCGGGGAGTTTTACAATTTAACACTAAACACCTGTATTTATAAGCCATAGTTAGTGGCTATACGGGAGCCAATGACCATAAAGGCTTGGCCGGACCTACGAATAGGAAAAGGTGAAGTTGCGGAAAATTTGAAAATTTTTTGGCGCAAGGTGGGAGAATTCATTTGGGGACCACGGTTTTTGTTTTCTTTTTTCGTCACACAGCAAGTTACAAAACGTAAATATAATTCTTCTTGGTGCCTTTCCGGATGCCACCGATGCCTTTTCCGATGCCTCTATTGTTTATTACAGCAGTAAAAGATATATGTGCCATCAACACTTTTGAAAAATTGCTTAACATTTTATTTAGCGAAGTATACTGTTGATATTTCGGCTTTACAATACTATTGTTTTCCGCAACTATAACTGATATATCTCTATATGAATTATTAAATTTGTTTCTCCGCTGACCACTCGTACTTCGGTCTTTTCTTCATCCCTCACTCGTCGCCCGTGATGTAGTAACTCCCGAGTAATTTGCTCACGTCACTCAGAAGAGCAACAATTCATATTTAACATTTAATAGTTAATAGTTAATTTGATAGTTTATTTAATACAAGATTACTAAATACATGAGATTCATAATGGCCGCAGCGCGCGAGACTGGTGATTATTTAAACATGAAACCGAGGTCAGAAAGGCCACGCTTGAGGACAACACTGTAAACAAAAGGTCAATTAAGTTTGAATAAGTTATCTGTTTTGACTCGATTCGGTCGAATTATTTTCAAGAAGAGGAAATGCCGACTCATTGTTGTGTTCCAGAATGTACGAAGAAATGCTACCAGAAAGACGATGGGACAAAAGTGTCTTATTTTTAATTTGCGACCGAGAACCCCTTAACCCGTTAAGAAGAAATAAATTACCTTCCGCTACACCTACTCCACGACCCTATCCCGATTACAGCAAACTTCCTGACTTTCACTGCTTACCAGGTACGAAAACACCAACGACTGGCCGCAAACCTGATGATTATCAGCCTAGAGCTCAAATAAAACAGATGTTTCAAGAGGGTACGCTCAAAGCCGGGGATAAAAATGCGATCAAAGATTTTTCTGAAAAATATATTGTTTCAGAAAAGCTAGTTGCAGACTATATTGATCATCTGACTGACATTGGACTAAGAAAAGATAAGCGGAGAACAGAGAATGACAGAAAGCGTACAGCAAGAAAGCGTACAGCAAGAAAGCAACAGGAATACAATGACATTGACTGGCAAGATCTTTATCACAAAAACCAATTGTTAACCCTAAGAGTAGGTGAACTTGAACTGTATATTAATCATCACAATATTCTATTTAAAGGGAAGAAAGATGAGAAAGTGAGGGTTGTGAAGGCTCATATTGGCAGTAAGATTTTGACTTCAATTGTGCGGGAAAAACAGACAAACATTCCGCTAGCCTCTGACTCAAATCTAGAATCTCCTGACAGTGACAGTGACAGCAACAGGGTAGAGGGCATTGTTGGATCTTCTAGTAACTCTTCAGAGCTTAATGACTCAGGAGATCAGGCAGCGGATAGACAACAGCTGGAACAAGAAACCATACCCGAGTCAAGCACGTCACGATACGGACGGAAAAGGACACGAGTACTCCGAGAAAATTATGTGCCATGGAATAATATACATGTAGACACCCAGTAACCTTGTAAAATTAGTACCTGCACCGAATTAAAAGAAACAAGTAGAAAAGAAAAAACTTAGTCTGTTAAAGAAAAATGGAAAATAACATCACAAAAATCTCCATCAAAAATTCTGGAAAAGGTGTGACCCCCCCCTTGAATAGCTGAAAAAGAGGGTATGGCCCTCCCCCTTTGGTGCTCACTTTCACTGATGACCCTCCCCTCTGAGGCCCCAGCCCTTAATATCATTGTTTTGATCGTACGCGGTTTTTTTGAATAAATTATTTTTGTACTTGATGCGCCCGCTTTGCTCCTTCATTATTATGATAGGCTATCTTGTATTTTTTCATGTTATCAAAAACAAGCATGGTTTATTACGATTCCAATATGTAATCGGAACATGATTTCGCGGTGCAATTTGGAATAAATTGTTTTACGTACGCGGTTTTTTTTGAATAAATTTTTTTCGAAGACTTCATTATTATGAAATCTTGTATTTTTCATGTATATTATCGAGCCCTGAGGGGCTCGTGAATAAATTTTGTTAATTTTTTTTCGAAAAATTTATGCGTGCTTATTTATTTCAAAATGCACTCGAAATCATGTGGTCACCTATACTAATAATGGTAATAGGGCTAAGTAGAGTCCAATCCGGTCCAACTCGTGATAAACAAATCACACTCCCGCTTCGCGGTCGTACAATTTTGTGTATAACTCGTATGATTACAGACAAAATTGGACGACACGAAGTCAAAAAGTCATGTCAAAATTCGAGAAAGTAACTAGACATAGGTTATACGTTTTCATAAAAAAAGGAAACCCAGGAATGCGCAATAGCGCACGCATATGACGCGTTCTGTCCACTTACACAGCCATGACGTGTTAACTGTCCCTTTTACACTGTTCAATTACAAGCACGACGCATGCATTGTCCTATTAGTAAAGGTAACATGATTTCGAGTGCAATTTGGGTTTAATATGCACTAAAAGACCACAACTTGCACTCGCTCTACGGGCTTGTGCAATTTTATTGTCTTTAAAAAATGTATTCGTGCTTATTAACTCCAAATTTCAATCGAAATCATGCTGTTACTTGTTAATAATTGACATAAAAAACGCATCACACAGAAAGTCAAGACGGACGAAATTTTAGCTACGCGCACTATTTGAAATTTGCACTCGTGTTACAGGAGAAAGTACTCGTTTTCAGCCAATTAGAAGCGCGCAAATTAAGTATATTAGTGCTTAAATCGGGCTGGTGATGACCAATCACGTTCGAGAATCTTGTTATAGTTTTGATTAAACACGGTATATCAGACATGGCTTCTTATGGTCGATTTAAACGCTTTTCTTCTTATGCGGAGAGGTCGAACAAAAGGCATCAGAGACACGCTTACACTCAAACATCGAACGAGTGCCTTCCCAGCCCCTCCTGGAGTGTGCGCGCAATATTGGAATTGCCATGTCGCACTGAAGTGCCATTAGTGCAGTCAACGTTACAGTGACCCCTAATTAAGCACTCCCAAGTTTAATGTTAAAATTTTATTTAGATTCATGCAGAGTTATCACCAGGCTCGAATCAAATTTCGAATTTTTAGTCCATCTAAGATGAAAAATATACTTTATTTACGCTTGAACTTTCGGCGTCTCTCACGAGCTGATCTCGCAATCACTTTGCTTTCTAAAAACCCAAAGAAGCTTGTTAAGCTTCTAAGGGACAGACATAAATCCTTCGGTGGTTTGTTTAACCTGACGGAGGATAACGAAATATATATATAATATATATCTCAACGTGAATTTGAAGAGCTATGCCTGTTCGCATTTCTAATCTCATCTCGTTCATTTTAACAACTACAAGTTTTTTCAGGAGAACCATACTTCTTTCCAAAAATAAGAGATCAAAAGGAAAAGAGCGCGATTCATCGCAGCGTTAATCATCTGTCTCTATAGGTTCACATCCAGTGTCACATACGGGGTCTTTTGCAACGTTTTCAAGGACGGGGTCTGACAGAAAGTCGTCGAGGGAAAGAGATGTACATGTACTGTCGACGTCTTCAAACAACGGCAAACGATAGGTCACGGCAGGTGCATGATCTGGCTTAGAAATGTCATTTATTTCGCTTGCAGTGCTGCTCTCTTGTGTTGAAAGCTCACCTGAACTTTTGTTTACATTCTCGGGATCAAGGTTTGCATGCACTGTGCTTTCAACCACAATAGTAGCACCATCGTCTCCCGACGTTATGACTGAAGAGGCACCGCCAAGCCGAGCTGTCTTCATATTGGCGATTTCTGATCTGAGCTGAGACAGTAAGGTTGTGGCTCTTTCACCCAAGCTTGAAACGCTCTCATGGAACACGGAGCTGCTTGTAACGGTGGCATCTTCTTCATCATCACCCGGTTTTCCGCGATTAGACTTTGCCCAAGGCAAACTACCTTCTGCTCCTCTCAAAGACTTCACCTCATTTTTATGGAGTTCTTCATGCATATCTCTCTCCTTCTTGAAGGATGTGTCGTCTCTAGTTTCATCACTACTTGCATCACCTCCGGAAAGTTTCTGATCTAAATTCTTCACATGGAACGAGCTCGAGAACTTCCAGGCTAAATCGGTGTAAGAATAGTTTTCAGCTGTGCCTTTCCTCTCCTTTTGGTTCCTGTGAACTTCCTTCTGGACATTGCTTGTGTCCCCGTCGTCACTATCTTCATCATCAGTTGGAATTGGACTACTAACAATTATTTCCGGTATGCTGGCTTGTAAACTCTTTCCTTCAGATGCTCCCCAGTTCAGGTCCTTTTCTGTTGAATCAGATTCTTGAGAATCCACAAGCGAGCAAAGAACACGTGGAGCCGTATTCTCCATCACTTGACCTGTTTCAACGTGAGGTTTCGAGGTGACTTTCTCAGAAAGAGGCTCATTTTGGTCAAGGGAGGAAGGAGATCTCCTACCCTCGAAAAATTCTCCTACATCGCGTGCAACATCATTATTTCTCTCCGTTTCAAGATCTAAAGGTCCTTGGGGTGCTTCCTCAGTATCGTTCTCGCTATGTTTCGTTTCAAGAAGGGATAACTGTTTCTCTTCCATTCCCGGTGCGGCTGATGACAATCTGGTTTCCCCTTCAAAACTATTCGATGAATTCGCGATATTCAGTCCGGAGTCCTTTTGATCACACTTTGTAAGAGCTAATCCGAAAGCGTCCTGATCCATTCTGCCTGCAAGTGGAGCTTCTTTGTTTAATTCAAGATCTAATAGAACCGAATCGTCTGTGAACAATAATTTGCCTCCAGACTCCAGTTCACCTGACACGGGAATATTTTCATCACAATTTTTAAGCTCTCCTTTTTCGTCTCGTTCCTCAACTAGGGAGCGTTCAGGGGACGGGCCTGAGGTAGCATCGGAATGCTGAACAGGAGGCGATAACGTAGGATCCTCGGCGAACTTTGTTTCTACGCTCTCCTTTGATGTGTTGAATGTGTCGTAGAACTGATCCTGTCCTTCTGAATCCGTCTTTTCAGCTTCGTGTTGAGATTCGTTGTCTTGGATTTTACCTGCAATGAATAGTCAGCGATTGTTGAGAACCAATATGGCAGGTGTAGATAAAAAGCTTCAAGCTTTGCAAACTTTTTATTGTTCCAGCGCCCTTTAATTCTGTCGTCAACACCAATACCCAAAGTAACAGTAACGTCCAATCAGAGTACAGACCAACATCAGAGAGGGCCAATGAGTAATTGCATATAAACCGCGTTTAGCGCGGGAAAACGCAGGTGACCAAGACGCGATTGGTTTTGGTTTTGCATCTGATTGGTTGAGAAGGTGGCGTGAGTTTTCTGATCCCATGACAGAGCCTTGTGCGTTTTAACCCTAAATAAATTCTTGGTAAAATCATATTTTCTAAATCACGCTTTCAAAATTTCACCCTCCCGAACTGGATGTACTTTGAAACGAGAGTCCGAATCCTCAAAAGACTCTGCAAAATCTTCAGGTTTTCCATAAAAAGCAGTAATTGCGTCCACTACTTACCAAATGACAATTAGTTTTTATCAATATCTCGAATCAGTAGAACATTGACATTCCAGCCAAAAGTAACGGGCATAAAACAACACAGCATTGAAATCAAGTTACCTTTAGTGAGATCATTTATCTGGGATGTGACAACATTCAACTAAAAACAAAGAAAAGAATACGAGAGTCACATACATCACAAACTTGACCTGTTAACGCCTTTACCCAACAACCGCACATTTTGACTCAAAATTTATCCTTTATTAGTTTTGAGACTACTCTTTGCTTAATGTTAAAATGATCTCAAGAAACAAGATTATCAGGGAGAGAGACCTAAAATAGGTTTTTGAGCGAGGACATAAAGAAGCGTTCATCACCTGTGTCTGTAGCTGGCGACACATAGCAAAGAGCATTGCCACTTGATCCTGGTTCATCTTCTTGCGGGGAAACAGCTAAACCATACGGAATAAAAACACTTTTACTGTTGGTCGATGGTCTTGAGCATTTTTCATACGTTTTTTTTTTCGATTAAACTTCCCTAGCAGGCGTTTAAATTAACCCTGTGCGGATAATTTAGGACGGCACACGCAAGAGAGGGGATACGAATGCGAGAGAGTCATACGGAGTGTCTCTACAGCATGATTGTTCTCTCGCATGAGTTTTGACCGCGTTTTTACGGGTGCTTTTAGGACTGGCTGTGAACGATACTTCTTGTCAGTCAATGACATATAATATATGTTAATTTTTCGAGCTTAGTGATGTATTGTAAGTTACAAATAGGTTGTAGGATAATAAAGCAGCTGAAAGGGAAAAATGTGTTATTTACCTTTCTGGCCATACATCCTCTCCTAAAATTAACAGAACAAAAATCAAACCAAGGAAATTGAAAACGAAATTGACATATTTTACAACATATCGTGGGACAAAAATTTTGCGAGTTTAAATAAAATTTTTGCAGGTTTTGTGGATTTTGTGGATAGTCCTTCGTGCTCAAAAGTAAGTTCTCACTTACATTTTTGTTTTTTTTTTTTGAACCAAGCTAGGTACAGGTGACATCGGGTTCCATTCAAACTGGTGCAAACGTAGTCATGTGAACAGATAAAATTAAGGCTTTTATTGCAGTGAAATAATATAATCTAGAGGTTAACATCTTACCACCAAGTCTGAATTTTGATGGCTGCTTTCATTTGCTCTCTGCGAAGCTGGACCTCATTCAGTTTGGACTGTTCCAAAATCTACATTTAAAAAAGAAACAAAAGAAAATCTTTACACCCGGATTGTCTGTCATGATAAGTATTTTTAACTTTACAATGTGATATCATCATCATTACTATTATAATTATTACTATTGCTATTATTACTATTGTCATTTTTACTATTGCCATAAGTAATATAATTATTTCTATTGCTATTATTACTATTATTATTATCATTACTGTCGTCACCATCATTATATCATAATACAAGGCTTTAAATTGTCATTGTCAGTAAACAGATGAGGCAAAACAAGACCATTCAGAGATCATAATTGTTATGTTACATGCAATGTAGATACCTGAAGCCACAGATATTCTATTGCTTTCTTAAACTGTTCTCTACTTTTAACAGCTTCCTCATGTTCCCTTGAAAGCAGGAAAGAAGAGCCTTATTAGGAAAGCCAGTTGGAGAACTACTTGGAAAAATTACAGGTAAGCACACAACACAAGTCCATACAAATATTTTTATGCTTACCTGTCTAATACACCATATAAATGGTTTATAAGGGATATCAACCTTCGCACTCTTAATTCATTCCTTATGTTGACAATTTTAATGTCTCTAGTACGAGCACGATATCCCTTCCTATAATATTTAATAACAAGAAAAATCAATGTTATTAATCATAGCAGTAGTAAAACAAAAGAGAGGATCAAAGGGCAGTAAGATAAGAGGGAAATGGAGAGAGATGAAAGTAGGAAAGAAAGACAAAGAGGGTTTTGGGTTTGGGAGACAAGGAGGCATGAGGGTAAGAAGGGAATGAAGGAGGGGTATGGAGGGAAGTAAAGAAGAAGGGAGCAGAGGGAAGGGAAGGAGGGGAGAGGGAGTGAGGGTAGGAAGAGATGGATGAGGGAGTGAGGGAAGGGAGGCTGTTGAGGGTAGGGAGAGACAAAGGAGAGGATGGAGGGGTGAGGCAAGGGAAGTAGTAGGAAAGAAGGTACTGTAGGGAATGAGGTTAGGAAAGGGAATAGGGGAGAGGGTGAAGGTAAGGAGAGAGAAAGAAGAAAGGGAGCCAGAGTAAGACGGGAAAAAATGAGAGAGGAATTAAAGAAAGAGAGGGAGGGAGGGAGGGAGGGAGGGTAAGGAGGAAATTAGAGAAGCTATAAAGGTAGGAATGGAAAGAAAAGAGGGCTGAGGGTGGGAAGGGAGAAAATAAAACATGGAGCAAAGGTATGAAGACAAGTGAGGGGGAAGGCTGGGGAGTGATAAGAAAGGAAAGATTAAGCTTCATAGGTTTCTTACCAAGCTGCCTGAATGCAGGCCGCTGCATATTTCCTTTGTCGGTACTGACAGAAGTCAAACTTCTTCCTCACCAGATAACCTCGCACATGAGCTTGAATTATTGTGGCTGCCAAACTAAACAGTCGCAGAGCTTCTTCTTCTGTCATAATGGGATCATCTTCAAAGATGAAAATAGACTTGATTAGCTTTTACTTATTCAAATGAAGGTTTTTGATAATTTATAGGAAGGTTTTGCAAATGATACAGCATACCTGATTCTGTTTGGTCTTCATCAGAGATAGGAACTGGAATGAAGAAACTTTCTGATTCCAATAAAGTGTTGCTGTCTGGAAGAATAAAATCTAATGACCGATAATCGAATAATAGACATGTCAAGAGGTGCAAATAAATAAAGGTATTGCGTGAGGAAGCCTTTGTCATACCTGGCAATGTCCAAAATACCCAGTGCCCATAATAGAGAGTCATACATTATGGTATTTATTACACACAAAAGAATATTTTTAAAAAAACCTTAATAAAATTTGCAATAATAACAATAATAAAACAAGAAACAATCTTGTACTGTTTACCAAAAATTCCACCCTAAGTAATGAATCATTCAGAATCAAACAAAATGGTTCACCTACCCACATCTTCCCCTGCATGTGCTCCTGCTCTCTGTAAGAAAAAACAGAAAAAAGGAAGCTAGTGTTCACATAGATGGTCTTGATTCCAATAGCAGCTGATAGAACTAATATTTCTGTAAATCAACTGCAATAAAACTCTAAGTACAATACCTGGGTATCTTCCTGGGATTCTGAGCAAATATGATGTAAAATGGACACAAGTTCATAATGCTCTCCTGAGGAAGGATGGCCAATGCGACTGAATGCCTGATCCAGCAGTCTCGCAAGTATTCTGCATTGATCACAAAAACAAACAGGATAACAGAGAGAGAAATGTAGGGGTAATAAATGGGAGAATGGGGCAATTATTTGGGCAAGAAATGAATGGTAAACAAGGGAGGAATAGACAAACAAACAAATGTCAAAGGAGAAGTTGTAGCCCTAAGAGACAGGCAAATCAGACAAGATTAAAATATGGGCAGACCTAGAGATAGTTTCAAGACTTAGTACAGATAAATGTACATTCAAACAAGAAACAGAGCTGCAGGCAGATAGAGAAGGAAAGAGACTAGGAGGAACATGAAGAAGAAGAAGAAAATAAGAACACTTGATAGATCAATAAACTTGGCTGATGCCATTTAAGTTGAGAATCATTACTTGCAAAAAGGCTGTTGATAGGGACATGTTGGGCTGGAAAATAAGATCAAGTTAGCAGTAATTCATGCAGTCAGTACTAGACTGAACACTAAACTCCACTTGAGTTTACAAATACAAGAAAATTACATGAACTTGCCTTTCATCATTGTTCACCAAATGTCCATCCAGATTCCTAAGGTTTCTACAGCAATATACCAGATAAGGCCTGTAGTTCACTTCTCTGAGGCAAAGTTAAGAGAATAATTTAAGATATTTCTGGGTCAACAGCGTTAAAATAGAAATGGCCACTTGTGTAAACCAGTCTTCTCTTCAATTCACCAGAAAGTTAAATTGGTCAAAGGGTCTGACAGTTGATGAATATCACCAATGTTTGGTTCATGTGTGTGTTGGGGGGAGGGGGGGAAAGGGAATTTTCAGTGGTAGATCCAGGGGAGAATCAAGGGGTCCACACCTTCCTCCATCAGACCTGAGGGTATTTTCTCTACTTGTCGGAAGCCAAAATTATTTCAGAGAAGGATTGCATCTTACTACTCAACTTGAAGTATAAAAATTTACTGAATATATTAAAATATATTTTTAGCTTTTTTAGGCTCTGGCGTAAAAATGTTCTGTGCTTTCTGAAACAAAGTTTGAATCCCCTCCCCCTTGCAAAGAAAAATTCCTAGGTCCATGCCTCAATTTAGCAAAGGAAGGCATAAGATACATTAATGTTATCTGGTAAGCATTTAACATTTTAATAAAAGATACAGTCTCCAGTTTCCATTAGTCAAGATGCAAGGATTGTTCAACAGTGACAACTGCTCCAAATTGATTAGAGATGACAAATGTAACATCTGAAAGACATCAATATTGCTGATTATTTTAGTTTTTGGTATGCATATAGATGTTCATGTACTCAAGGCAGTGTACCTCATTAAGGTCTGATATATCATTATCAGCCAGAGAGAGTGTGCAGACTGTGCGTGCTACTTCTTCTTTAATGACTTCCAGGGAAGATATCAGATTTCCATGCAGCAATAAAGTCTGTGTCAAATGAAAGTATGTTAGAAAAATTAAAAACAAGGTAAACATTCTAATCCCTATGCTGTCACAAACCTGCAATGCAGTTAATAATTTATGTTGGAAATCATCCCATGGATTCACATATACCTTTAAAATCCTGAGCGATTTCAATCCTGATATGACAGCAATACTGAAATTACACAGCATAAATAATGATAGCCATATAATAATTAGAGTTGATCACTTAATACAAGTTTGCATTATTTTACAATTTATATCAATATTATCATAAAAAATTAGTGATTACATTCAATTTGTTTATACTACTTGTATCATCATTATGATCATTTATACATCAATGTCAGAATAACATCTCTAGAGGTCAGAAATTATTCACAATTAATTACAAGATTAATTCAATTCACCTTCAATTATGAATACAAATATCTAATTTTGAGTACAACCTTACCTATTGTCTGACAAATCCAAGTGATACAGGTTGGTATTTCTATCAAGGTTTTCGATTTTCTGCAGTGATAGAGAACAAGGAAAATATATGGCTATTATTATTGGAGATATAGAGTCCTGAATGTTGGCTTCCAGAAATTGAATGTATCTGTCTGTTTATAAATGATAGTCAGTGAACCAGAAAATTTGCATCAGTTTACCTCAATGTTGTTCCCAGAAAGATTTAACCATTCAAGATTTGTTAACCAACTGATACCTTCAAAACATGGACAATAAAATGTAAATTCTAAAGTACTGGTACATCAACACAGTTCAAAGCACACATCAACTTTTTCTGTGACTGCAAATGTCAATGGTGAATGAACACTCTATCTCAAACAACTATTTGGCCGATCATAAAATTTGCATATGATCATCAGATAAAAGCATGCAGGATCAGAAGTGTTAGTGCTAGTAGGGTGTATCTGCTAAAGAAAGGTGCACAGCTTCAAACCATGTCTAGAGAGGCAAGTGAACAATATTTACAGAATAATAATCAGTAATAAAGCAGAAGGGAGAGAATACCTTCAATTGAGACAATACTGTTGTTACTAAGGTCAAGAACTTTCAAACCAGTTGCTGCACTGACCCCTTTAATGTCAACAATGTGGTTATTAGCCAAAGATAACTGAAACAAAAGAAAGTAAAACAATTTTTTCTTTAAACCATTCTGGTATGCAATTATTTAAGAAGGAGAAGCTTCCATCTTTTAAGTGAACTTTCTGTCCCTTACCTGTTGCAAGTGGATGAAGTACTGTAAATTTTCCACCTTTGATATTCCATTGTTACTTAAAAGGAGAGTGTAAGGAGAGACCCCTTTTGGAAGATGCCCAATTGTCTTCAAATTACGATCTGCAATAAAAAAGGAGACAAGGTTGAGGCAGGAGAAGGCAAGTCCTGTCATTTCCATGGGATCTCACCCCTCAGTGTTTTTGTCTCCAGTGTTAATGTTACTGTGAAGTTATATCAACCCTCATATGGATAAGGACTGTGAGATAAGAGTGTCTTGCCCAAGAACACAACACAATGCCAGGTCTCAAAACCAGAACTTTCCACCCTGGAACCAACAAGCTCATTGTAGGACCTTTGTCTTTATGCAACTGAAGACAAAGCTTTAATAGTACTCTGTAAAAAGGAACCATTATTGACACTCACTTGAAAGGTTAACAACACCACCATACTCCTCTTCTCGTTCCCCATCATTCTGAATCATAGCTTTGTTCAACATCATGACAAACTTGTTCATCTAAAAAATTTATAGTATAGATTTTTGTATAAATCAACCAATGTATGCAATAAAATTTATCAGACCTTCTCATGACAAAAAAAATTTCAATTGAAGTAGTTGAGGAGCCCATAAAAATTTACTGGAACTTTTCAATATTACTCATCCATTCCCCATCCACCTTAAAACACCCAAGCTAGTCATCAAGTTAGCTTTGTTGGCATACCTCAGCAAAAGGAGTGAAGGGGGGAGGGGGGTCAGGAATTGCCATACATAGTGAGTTACTGCTTGAAAATACACAAATTAACTCCACCAACACGGCGACAAGAAATTTCATCAATAGCGTGTACACAGGATCGATGAAACAATCACTCACTGTACATGACGGAAATTCAAGATGGCTGCAGTAGAGCGGGAAATTTAAACAAGGCTACAACTCACGAATTGTCCTAACATCACACACAAAAAGTATTTTCTAATACAGTTGGCAAAGCTTGATATCAAGAAAAGTCAATTTTAATTATACTCGCCACAAATTTAAAGTGTGAACGCCCACTGACAAATCAGTAATTTCCAGTGTTGACAAGACGCGTTTGGTATGTACAATTTGTAAATAAAGTTTATATGCATTTGAAGATCCCAATCGGCGGGCTACGGCTAAGACCTGACAGAAAAGGATACTCATCAGCCTAACGAAAACTAGCATTTACGTTTATTTCTGAGAACTATTTTTAAAGCAACAAATTTAAAATTTTTAAATCTGAAGAGCGAAATTTTAGATCAGAGAGAAAGCGAAGGCTCTTCTGCATATAATAACGCGATAATTCGCTACAATGGAATGACTTTTTCGATTCCTGTGGAGGTAAGAAAGCCATAACCAAACTTACCTATGAGCAACTGAAATCAGAGCAGATGTTGTCTCTTTTCATTCTCAAAGGCCCAAAATACCTGTGATAATTCCTTACATACACTAATTACAAGCGAGATCTTCAATTCGCGCGTAGTCAAACATTTCTCTCGCCAGTCCTACTCGATCTGAGACGAATGCGAGACAAGTAGGTCCGCAACGCTTGCATGCGCAAACTATTTCAAAAGGTAACTCAATTAGTGACTTTTGAATATTCAGAACCAGGCAAATTTTGTGAGGCAAATGATGCAGACAGGATCTTCTTCTTCCTAGTTTGCCTTGTAAAGGAATTTTGATTTATTCTGATTTTACCATTATATACCCACAATAGTAAAGCAAAGTGCTAGTTAAAACTCTCCGCAAAAATCCACGTAGTCATGATTTTCAATGAGATTTTCAGTTCCGCAATGTAACAGCTGGGTTGAAATGTGCACGCCAGTGATGCGACTGCAAAAATCATCAAACATAATAGAAATCGAAAAGGTCGCAGCCAAAAAAATAAATAGATAAAAAAGAAAACTGGAAAGAAAGAAGGAAAAAAAAAAGGCAGTTTGATTAGGACCTGCCCATTCGACAACATTGTTCTTCAAGTGCGATTCCTTGTTCTTCATTGTACAAACGGATTAAAGTCAGTTTCTTACCAAATGCGCAGCTAGCCCTCCCTTAACTCATCAAAAGTCACCTGATCTAAAGCTAGGGTCAACATGCCAACATTCTAGTTGGTTGCGCAACTTTACCGTTGTGAAAATGGCTCAACAATATACCCCAACCACAATTTTTTTTAATATTTGAATATATGGTATACATGAAAAATAGTATGAAATTACAACTGATTTGATGTAAATATCATTAATTGCTACCCCTTATACATTTGTTTGGGTTCGGTAAGGTAGAAATCATTCTTACATAAAATCGCTCATTAATCTCTTACAAATTACACGTATGGGATATAATAACATTCTAAGTAGAGAATATGATGTAATCAAATCAGCTTTTTAGCCGCCGAGAACGCCACTGGGGACCGATGAATGGTCGGCAAAACCGAAGTAAAATATATTTTCTTGTTATTACTAAACGAATTAGTGAGGATGGATACCAGTAAATTTAAATTTTGATCTAGGTTACAATACTACTCACTGAATTCAACTAGATTCACCCGGTCAAAATATATCTTTGTTGTCCAAGCCAATGCGATACAGATATCTTTACTCATATATATATATATGTTTGTAGACAGACCTTGATGCACAAATATACTATTATTCATAGTCTCCATGTTTTCTTCAAAAAATAACTGAATTACTATGGAATAAAATAATTAATGTTGCTTTTGTTGTAAGCCTAAAGTACGCCTCAGTTCATATTCATTTTCAGGACTTAAATATTAATACCGAGTTTGATTTTGGTCCAATCACAATTAGTTAGCTTCGTATCTAACTAATCACTAACGAGAAACTTAATAAAATGTAAACCGCTTGGTCCAATCACAATTAGTTAGCTTCGTATCTAACTAATCACTAACGAGAAACTTAATAAAATGTAAACCGCTTGGCCGTGGAAGGTCTGGATACGAGACTACGTGAACCTGGAAAAGGAGTGTAAAACTAGCAAGGGCGTTAAGTGGATTGTTATATGACTTCCGCAAGGGGGACTGGGATCAAAATCCTCTCGTGGATCGGGCCTCACTTGAAGTGAGCCGTAAGTAAATCAGGGGAAGGGAAAATGTAATTTATCCAGGGATATTTGGTCTCAATCTTGTAGCGAAAATATAATTAAGACCATCTTTTTTTTTCAGGATCGGGTGATAGGGAAAAATTGCAAGAATCTCAAGGAACCAGGTAAACCGAACGATTAAAATATCCACATCTAATTTGTAATTACTTAAATATTGGTAAGCAATCGATTAAATGATGAATGAAATTATGTAAACCACATGTTATTAATTAGCAGTCTTCAAGTCCTCATGGATAAACATTGAAGTCTTTCACGGTTGGATCCGCAAGGGGCGTAAACTATGGAGGAAAAAAAACAAACGTAATGGAGTAGAATTTATTGACAACATAAGTGTTTCACGAGCTTTTGATACCTTGTTCATATACGTCTCACTAGAAACGTACACTCGATGTGATTTCAAGCATGCGTGTATTACACAATACGTCAACATCACACATTTTAAACGCATGCTTAGTTCATGAGAAAGTAAACTTTCACAAAGTTGTTCGGAGTATTCGTAACGCTCTCTTAACTTGAAGTATCGCCATTACCGACACGCTGATCAGATACTCGGGCAACATGTGTTTGCCATTGGCATGAGTTGGGGCGATAGCAAGGGGGTACTTCTCACCTGTTGAGTAAACTGGTCAACACAAGCCATTCTGATGCGTTCACTGGTAGCGGGACTGTCCAGTCTGAAGATTCCTTCAACACCTGATTCACGCCTGTAAAATTTAGAATATATTTTTAATAAGGTACGAAATGTTTAGAACAATAATTGAGTTGTGAAGTCGTTTTGCCTGTTGGAAAGTCGATGAAGGAGTCATTTGGTCAGACAGTCAGACCTTGAGTCAGTCAGTCAGTCAGTCAGACAGACAGACAGACTGACCAACAGTCATGAATAAAGGGGGTGTTTCTGAAAAAGCTGTGGTGCTACGTCAGTCGGAGAGTGTGACAGAGTAATTTAGTATCATCAACTAGGTTGATAACTTAATTTAGCGACTTTAAGAGTTCCAAAGCTGAAATTTCGAGCGCTAGCCCTTCGTCAAAGCTCTCACGTTCCCAGACTGACAAGTAGACACAGTCAGTCGGTGCGTCCGTCAATTCGTTGTTGAGCTAACAATGATAAAAGTTCGATCCTGTGTCCGCGTTCGATCAAAAAGCAATTGCCCCAAGACTTCTATCAGCCACACAATGTCCAGTTGATAACAATAAGAGGTAAGGACATTTTTTTACCTGGCAAACATAATGGCATCTTTGATGGCGTAAAACACAGAAGAGGCAAGAAACAAAGGTGGCTCTCCTACAGCCTATATAAACAAAACATCAAAATGTCATGAGAAGGAAAAAAACTTTTAAACGTCAAGTTAAAACTCGACTTTTATTTCAACCAAAGATCACTCTCAATTTGAGGTAGGTTCATAATAACAAAGCATAACAGACTTTTCTGGCAATCTAATCCCTTCGAGGAACAGAAACTCTTCAAACCTTGGAAGAAAAGACCGCCTTTTCGTTCGGGGCACTCCGTAAGAGGTGAACATAAAACTCCACTGGAATGTCTGAAAATCCAGGAATTTTGTAGGCACCAGGCCCTTGCGTCCATAATGAGCCGGTTTGAGAGTAACGCACTTCTTCCAGGGTGAACATACCCATTCCTTGAACAAAACCTCCCTCCACCTGAAAAAGCGCAGATTAACACAAACTGAATATAAGAGAGAAACACACGGCAAAAGTTTCTGCAGAATCTTGCTCGTAACAAGAGTAGAAATTAGTCCATAGCCAATGATTACATCGGAAAATAAAACAATTTACTAACCTGGCCAATGTCAATGGCCGGGTTGAGACTGATACCGACATCCATCACAATATCTGTACGAAGAACCTGATGAACAGAAAAAAAAAACAATACAAGTTATGGAGTTTATAAATTCCTGCGCTATACAATGATTAATTTCACGCAATGTAGACACTAGTTCTACATAGAAAGTGTTAGCTGTTCCGAAAATTACAACTCTTGACCCAAAATGAGTTTGGAATTTATTTCCGTTCGGCCAAGTTCGAATCTGAGTGATATGTGCTCTGCCGCACCTCGAGGAACGAAATATTTGTTCTCAAGGTTTGTGAGAGTTAGTAACCTCTTTGACAAACAGCATATGTCTTTTCTGCCTCTTTTCTATTGGTGAGCAGTTTTTCTACACATCACATGTAGGTTTTTCTGGTCAGTTACGTTTCGGCAATTCGTTTTAACCCGAGTGTCATACAGTCGTGACAAAAGAAGCCACCACTTTGTTTTGAGAGCTTGGTCACGAAATCGTTGCTATACGTTTCCCAGGATTCTTTTTTCTTTCCATGGGTCGTGTCACAGTTTAAAAGTAAATGAAAGAGAAAACCTTAGAGATGTGTGCCTATTAACGAACCTGATGATCTCCTGTGAGGCAGTCAATTTCCACCTCTGAGCAAGCCGCACCAAAGCAGAAATAATTGAACACTCTGCCAGTATTGGTCTTCCAGTCATACCCTAAATCCGGTGTTCTGAGAGGCAAAAATAACAAGAAATCACTTCCGGAAAATTAGAACTGGCAATTTTACTTGGATTTTCACTGATGAACCATTTACACCTTGACATCAGAATACATTTTCTCCAAAACGTAGTCTGGACATTTTCTAAGATTGGGACAAGGAGAATTTGTTTAACAATCAAGAACTTCTTTGGTTTGCGATCACTTTCTTCATTCTTATGACCTTTATGGTTCATTATGCGTTAATATGGTTGTGGAATCTGGTGACTAGTAGTTTAGACCGCAATCCTATTAACCTGCGGTGTGCGTGCGGCACATGCGCAGAGACAGTTAAAAAACGTGCTTCGTTATGCGTTAATATGTTTAAGAGAAGTGAGATACTAGTCATTCTTAGGGGTTGAAGGTTTTAAAAAAAAAAAGAAAAAAAATCTAAAGTATGCAATTTTTTAATTGAGTTCCGATTTTCAAAAGATTTATGGAAGGAGAATTGTTATTTACAAGAGAGGGGAAGCCAGGGGATCACCCACTACCCCCTAAAATCCACTGGTATCTTGCTGATGGCCTTTCCACTTGAATTTCAGAGAGAGCAAAATCGGTCAGTTTCTAGTAAAAGAGTTTACACACGTACTTAAAAGTGCGTAGTCATAGAAAACTGCATTAGATTTCAAATTGTGAAAAGTGGTTCTTACTTGTAAAATCCATTCGCTGAAAGATTGACGCGGTCAAAGTAGGCAGAGCGAACCTGGAAATAAGCAAGAAGCTATATCTGTGTCTAAAATCCCATTTTAGACACTAAGGTCTGATTTTAGACCCTAGTGTCCGATTTTAGACACGAGTGTCGATTTTAGACATAATGGTCCGATTTTAGACATTAGGGTCCGATTTTAGACACTTATATCTGATGTCAGACATAATTGTCCGATTTTAGACACTAGCGTCCGATTTCAGACCTAAATGTCCGATTTTTGACACTAATGTACGATTTTAGACACTTGAGTCCAGTTTTAGACACAATTGACTGACTGCCTAACTGATGACCGGATTGTCGTACAGACAGAATGACTAATTACGTGACTAACTTACTGCTTACTAAATTAACGAAAAACACAGATAATGACTGATTAACAGACAAACCGTAAAGACATGCAAAACTGACCAGCAGACCACAAGCGGACTGACTGAAAAATTGACTGCTGATTGACAGACAGACAAACAGACAAAGAGGGAGACCAACTGACTAACGCTCAAAAGGTAACCTGAAGAAACTCTTTACGGTGGCCAATTTACATTATCAGCTCAGTTGAACAAATCAAATTATCCTGTCTGACGCACGAATGAACAGAATGATTTACCGACTGACCAACCTGGCTAACAAGCTAACCAATACACTTGCTTAATTACCGCCTTACCGATAGGTTGAACAAGTTAACAGGTAAAATACTTACCCATTCTTCCCACTCTCCTTTTGGATTTTCCATTTTATATGGCTTTAACCTCTCCATAACTTGCTCGCAAGCAATCTGCCGAATCCCAAAACATACATCTTATCAATAACTAAACATAATACGTCAGTAAATTAGTCACCACGTGTAGAGGCGCACTAGTCAACGCGGTCACCAAATTGACACTCAAGTTATCAAGTGAAAAAATCCAGGAGCAACTCCCCCCCAACAATCAGTGTAACGAGCTATCTAGGTTATCATATTACAGAATTGAAAAGATAGGGCCAGTTGTAACGTCTTTCAGCGGTTTGTTGGCCTCCCATTTCTGTGTGGTGCTACCATAATGAAATAGTTTTCGCGCCTATAAATTATCAGTCAGAATTTTTCATTGAATGTTTCTATGTCGTTTCGTAAAAGTACTCTAACCGTCAGGTATATTCTTGCTGTCCTTTTTCCGTTTGATTTTCATTTACCTTGTTTGATATCGTTGTAAATTACTGTTATTTTAAAGATTTCTTCATGTATTTCAGAAACCACTGGTTAAGTAATTAGAATTTGAAAATATATCGGTGCGTTCGCTACAGGGCCTTTCCCGTCTTGAAAAAGGTGTTTTACCTTCACCGCCATGCCATTGAGATCAGAGGAGGCCGATGCTGCTGTTGGAGACGTGTTTGCAACCGTGTTCGTGCTTGTCTCTGAAATGTGGATTTTACACACAGGGATACCAAAGATACGAGCGGCTATCTGCAAAAATGAAACTTAATTAGAAAGTTGCGGCTTTCCTTAATCTTATTTACGCATTTCTTTCTCCTTTAGGTGACCCCTGGAAAAATTTTTGACATCTACCTGTATCATTTTTGTGTGCAGTCCTTGGCCCATTTCTGTTCCGCCATGAGTTAAAAGAACTGATCCGTCTGTGTAAACATGCACCAGAGCTCCAGCCTTGAAAACAAGACCAAAAAAGACAAAACACTGATCAGTTGGGTTCACGCAGTTCGTATTAACGCTCATGTAACTAGAAGCGTTTCCGATTGATCAGATCTACTGAGACAGAGCCGGGAAGGGCGAAAGGCCAGCGCCCGTGCGTGTTAGGCTATCCCACGTGTTACAAGGTTTCAATCAAGCAATGAAGTAACTTAAGAACAACGTCTTTCACCGTTCAAACAAATATAGCAAATGGAAAGTGGGGTTCAGTTCTATCCAGCGCGACTACAGCAATATGAAAAGCAAGGGGTTTGTTTTCGTACCTGATTCATAAAAGTAGCTGTGAAACTAATGCCAAACTTGGTAGGCGTCAGTGCAAGGCCTCGTTTTCGCCACCGGTTTTCCCTTGGGAGGAAAGACATTAAGGAAAGCATGACAATTCGGTATCATAAAAAGCCAGGTTATATAGTCAGTGTGGGTGATATTAAATGAGAGTCAAAATGTAACGTTTACTGGTATGGCAAACGGCTACAGTGAATTATCGTTTTTTACGATATAAAATCTTTAAATTGCAACAAATACGAATATTTTCATCGACCAGCTTGCATGCATTGTGTCATTCTTTCCATTTGATTTTAACTTCAAGTTTTAGTCTCTCCTCTATCAAGGATTCGAGTGTCGTCCCATGTTTACACCACTTAAAACTCTCACACCTTTTCAAGAAAACAGATCTTAAAAAATGCTTGCAGTTCTACTACCTTCGTTATCGTCAAATCTGAATAATTCCTTGAACCCTGAAGATCTGATTCAAAACTCTCCCTTAAAGCTGTTAACATTTCCTTGTTAGTTAGTTATAAGAATTTGGTAATAAACCAAGACAATTCTCGCTGGCGGATATCTTAGTCTATTCTCATCACTTGTTTGCTAAGTAATGTATTGTTTTTGTGAAGAGAATTTACACGTTGAACACCTCTAGGAGTTGTAGGGACGAATAAAAGGAAATAAGGATGCACCCAACCTGTTGAAGGCCTCGATGTGCTCTCTTCGCTCTTCGTAGAGACACCTCTCAACTAACTCGTCCCACACGCGCTGGATATGACAACTGGCCAGTTCTTGGTTGAAGTGAGTTACATCACCTTCCTGATAGAAGTTCAACTCTCTGACCTGTTCGCAGTCGACGTATAGAAAAATTAAAAGAGAAATGAGAAAAAAAACTGACAATTTGATACCTGGAGCAAATAGCATGGGCAAATTTCAAACTTTGCAAAACATTGCACTGGGGATGGTTTGTAGAAGCAGAGAACACGATAGTACATGAAAAAATTCAGCTCATTTTGACTACCCCCCCCCCTCTTCCTTTCTTTCTCAATTCACCACTAGTGAGCCCGAGGTCTAATAGTCTGCAAATCGAGGTTTTCCTGTGAGCTGTCAATCCATCCTTGAGGTGTAGAGCGACAAAGGAGGAGGGGTGCGGGAGTACTAGCTAGCCCTCGTCCCTTTTTTAACTGAGACTATTTTTTTTTTAAGTCAACAACATACAAGCCTTACAATTCAGTTAGTAGAAGAATGCGAATCTCTGTAATTAACGAGATATGCAGAGCTCACCCCTAAAATTTCACTTTTTCATTGGACAACACGGCGTGGATGTCGACATGACAGTTAAGTAGATGCCCTAGGTGTGATGTGTTTGATTATTCCCGCTCTCCTCCCCCCACCCTGGAAAAATCCCAGCTAAGCCCCTGTATCATCTCTAAATCCTTCGGAAACCAGTTGCAGGCATCAGCCTCTTGGCTGTAGAAAAATTCAATACATGTTGCGGTGACAGAAGTTTGTCCCAATTAACCGTGTAAGGTTTTTCGCTCACTCACCCGTCTTTGTGAAATACCACAAGTAATTGCGATATCACTTATCCACGATTCAGCAAACATCATACCCTAAAAAAAAGGGTAATCACAAATTGATTAAGTTGTAAGTTTGGTATCTTTAAAAGTCAAGTTATGATTTGATTTCGGCCCATTAAATTGACCAGTCATATCGCACGTAGTAACTGAGAGATTCAACAAGATGTATGACCTTCAAGCTAGTTTTTGAAATCAAACTAGAACTTTTTATTCAAATTCACTCGTAGTCTTCACGCGAAAAGAAAACTCCTGACTGGCAAAGAATACCATCTCAGTTACTCTGTTGTCAATCGCACAAAATCAACCAATAGAACAAAAGTATTTCAAACCTGCGGCCCGCCGAATCCTCTGAATGCAGTGTTGGAAGGAATGTTCGTCTTGCACAAATACCCATGTCCCCGAATATTTGGAATAAGGTAACAATTTTCCATGTGGAAAATCGCGCGCTCCATAACCTGCGGAAAACAATCATGCGCTTATAAGGGAAGAATTCAAGGACGGAAGCTGAGCGAATGAGATTTTTAAGGGTTCCAGATAACAACTCACAGATTTTGACAGATCCAAAGAATTTCCAGCATTACTGTACATTTTGACATCAAGAGCTTTGATTTTCCCATTTGCTGTGAAGCCGACCTAAAGAAAAATAAGGAGTGAAGAGGAAATATGTGTCATTTTTCATCACTTTGAAAGGGAATGGGATCGTTAAAAGTTGTCATAATTAGAATAACACATGGAAAAAATCTCTTTCGAAGTAGAAAACCGCCAGAGGCAAGAATAAACGGAAAATGGACAACCTCCTAAGAAGATGAATAAGATAAACACGAGTTAAATATAACAAAAGACCGTGGACAACGCAGATCACCTCAATAATCCCAGTTAGGATTTTTGGCAAATCAGCCTGCATACTGATTCATACTGATTGGATCAGTATGGATTAGTATGCGTCATCGTAGAATATGTATTGTACCTTGTATTTGGCTAAGAACGGGTGCCTAGTGCCAGTACTCTTCATGTCTTCATCTCGGTCAAGCATGCAGCGCACAGGTTTACCAACCCTGAAACACAAATGACACAGGAAAACTCGTATATTCGTTGTAATGAGTTAGAAATTTTTGGTGTCTCCGTCTTAAGATAATTACAGGCTGTACCAAACCGCACATGCTACAAACTGGGAAATATTTTCTACTTCCCTTTCAAGATTTGAAGACTGCCACTTACATCTCAAATACAAAATATACATAACTAATAAATGAATAATAAAATAGAAAAAACTTAAAAGAAGGTAAATAACTTACTTAGCTGCCGCCACAGCCACAACATTGCTCAGAAAGCAGTTACGTGTCTCTTTACCACCAAATCCACCACCTGATTTATCAGAGCAAAAAAATAATTAAGTCGTATTCGACTACGAGCAGTCCCTCCTTTTCTGCGAAGTCCGTAGCGCGAGTAAAAAAAATCGGATCAATATCAGTATCTAGGCAACTGCCCCACCTACCCCTTCCCTAACCCAACAATTGAGTTAGGGGAGGGGTAGGTGGGCAGTTGCCCAGATACTGATATTGATCCAAAAAATAAACGAAAAAAAAACCAAAATTGATGTTAGCGCTCCGCACAGCATTTTGAGAGTGGGGCACCTCACTCCCAGAGTTCCACGAAGTGCAATAGCATCAATTTTTTTTTCACCAATTCTTTTTCTACTCGCGAGACAGACTTCATCATAAAGCAAGGATTGCTCGTAGTCTAAGTCCTATCAATTTTCCATTTAAGGAGTGTGACGTCTTAACGTAGCCAATGGCATTGAAGCAATTTTTACGTCTCCCTTACCCATTCTCTTGGTCCGCACGACTATTCTGTTGGCAGGTACGCCCAATGCGCTGGCAACAAGTTTCTGTGGATTTTCAAAAAAAAGAATGATAACTTGCAATTGAACTTCGACAATAGTGGATGGAGATTACCACTCTCATCCGACCCTAAAGAACACATTTATGTCCGCTGTGTAGAATATTGACCCACCACTGTCAACAGAGAAGATTGAAGTAATTCAAGACTGAAGCGAAGTGATCGAGAACTTGCAATTTATGACGTAAGTAATCAGGTAGAAGGAAGCTGGAGAATTTGATACAATTTAGCAAACCAGATAAGCAGTTGAGGGTTTGTATAACTTTCGAGAATTCTTTCACCTTCTTTTACTGAAATAACTTTCTTAAAAAATGCAAGTGAATCTAAAACGTGACAACCACGTTTAAAAACTCTCATTCAGACACCAACCGCGTTTATAACTTCACGTCCAAACACCAACCGCGTTTACAACCTTACGTTCAAACACATCTACCGACAACTAAAAGCGCGTAGTAAGGAAACAACAGTAACAAAAAATGCTCTCCTACCTGTGTCAATGTTGGATTTTGTGTAGAAACAAAAAGTTCCATCTCGCCATCTTCTCCCCTTGGAACAGCGATTGTTGCTTGTGTTTCCAGATAGAAGTGTTCCTGAAACAAAGAGAAAGTAATCAGTTTTTGTGCAAAGGGGGAATTTTTTTTCACGAATATTGATAACCGTTTCTACTGGATAGTGTTTCATCGGTTTTGTCCGCACAGAGTCGCCGAAATTTCGGCCAGAGAATTAGTTCTCATCCTTGAAAGAGAAAGAAAGTTGGCTATACAAAGATGACTCACCTTGAGAGACTACAGTTTCAACATTCTGCCCACTTCTTGTACACAAGCGTCTTTAAAATTTTATCTTTTACAATCATTTGATTCTAACCTGTCCTCCCACTCTCATCTCCCCTTCTAACACATGATCTGATTCAGCAAATCCTGTCTCTAGGTCTCCTTTCTGAATGCACATCGGTTCAGGGTTCAAATATGACTCTGCAACTATAGCTTCCTGTCCACAAATAGAACAGATGCTTAAGTTTGTAGCTCTTCACTAAAAGTAAACTGTGAGTCTGGAGGCAATGGAAACTCTTAAATCAGCCTGCAGGAAAGGCGGCATTTTCTTTTGCGTTTCTAGGCCAACGGAGGCGCGGCGAAAGCCAGGCAAGCTCGAGGAAGGCATGGGGCGAGCGCAAACAGGGAGACACGAACGAGGGGAGCGGCGCGAAATATCCCCTCCTCTCACGCGTGACTAGCCTTCAGCATATTCCTCGCGTTCGCAAAAAAAAAAAAGAAGCCGCCTCCCTTTGCATCAGAAATGTAAAAACCATGTAAAAGTGAACATTTTACCTCAATGGTTATTATTCTGGGCAGGTCCTCATAGGTGACCTTCACCAGCTGGGCTGCTTTTTGGGCCTGGGCCTGAGTTTCAGCGACAATGCCACCTATTACCTGACCCACGCATGTCACCTGTAGTAGAAAAAAAGGATAAATTTATGCAGAGGGAAGGGGTTAGTGCAGTCAAGTGCAAACTTTTTAAGTTAGAAATCTTGTGTTGCTTCTGCCTTAATTAAGGGTCAAATGAAACAAAAGCAGGATTCCACAGCTCTACGATTGAGCTTTGTATCAAATACCATGATTTGGAGAAGAAAATAAGACGGGAATTATAACGCTGCATTCCACTTAATCTACCAGTTTAACGTCAACGGCATTTTTCTATTCACCTGCGAGCTAATACTCTTTTCAAATAAAGCACAATGGCTTCAAGATTAAGGTAACCTTCTACGGCGCCTTTCAATGACACGCGAAATCTGAGGTTTTAGAAATCAAACTGGCTCGCAATTGTGAAACAAAACAAAGTCAATCCCGCAGTGTGACTAACATCTAATTTCTCCTTACAGTATCATCCCTGAATCAAACATTTAAGTCATGAGAGTAAAGGAAATGATCGCTAACTTGAAAAGTTCTGATTGTTTGGCAAACTCTCCTTGTTAATAATACGAGAAATGCGAAGAGGAAAGTTTGGAGAATATGTATACTGATGTTAAGGTGTAAAGGGTTAAACCCTCGAACACTCCACATTTTTACCGTGAGGTATACGACATAACTGACAGCCGCGCGACACGGAACTTCGATGATGCATTTCCAGCTTTGTAACTCACTTGCAACTCGCGTGTTTGCAGTTCACGTGTAATTTGCGAGTTGTTGCAAAATACAAATCACATCACACATCAAAACGATAAAGAAAAAAACATACCTTTTCTGAGGCGAAGATCTCCTCGTCAAAGATTACAGGCCCTGTCGCGTTGCGACCTGGTACATCATCCACACCAACATATCTTTTAACCCCTGGTTGACGAAGTGCTTCACTTGGGTCAACACCCCTGAAAATATCCAAAAACTACAAAGTTAATATCTTATGTATCAGAGTGCCCCCTTTATTATTTTAAATAAAGCTCTTTAATCCCGGGAAGTAATAAACATGTTCCTTTTCCTTACAATTGAGAGACATACTGTGAGAGTAAAGTGTTTTACCTATGAACACAATCCAATAACATGGCCAGGTCTGGAACCCAGACCTCTCGACCCAGACCTCTCGACCCAGACCCCATCGCACTAACCATAAGGTCCATGCGTCTCCGCCCCGTAATAGAAAGCAGGCAGCACCACAGTTTCTTTGGAAACTTATTGTTAAAGAGCTTTTTTTTTTTTTTTAAGTTTTGGGTGGAGAGTTTGGCACGACCTAATTGTTTGGTTTAAAATGAGCGCGTGACGCGAATAAAGTGCGATTCTTTTTCTCTTGTACGAGAGAAACTGGTCTTGCTTGTTAGTAAAGTTCTCTCTCCTGAAACTGCCGTAGTTTCGACTCGAAGCCAAGGAAACCTGATGAAATACTAGGGGGGTAACGTTATAATGGACTTGCATCTCATCGGGGGAAATTAGTGATACTCCTAGTCGCTGCACGCTAAAGGAACCTGGAGAAGCACTTTACTGGATGGGCCGCTTAGCTCAAGTCCTTTTTTTCAGACAGTATCAAAACTTTATTTAAAAGACAACAAGCAATTTTCTTACAGGATTTTCGCATGTGCACGCTTGCTGAAGACGACACCCAAGTAAAGTTCTCCTTGAAAGGGAAAAATACGGCAATTTAGCTTTAAATCAACCTTAACTTGAAGTTTGAGAAATTAATTATTTGGATTAGAAACGTTTTTTTTTTTTTTTTTTTTTTTTTTTTTTTTCTCATGGTACCTTTAGTAAATTCATCTTTATCAAAGTAAAATAACTACGCAATCCTTAAATGAATGATTGATCCTTTTTTCTCACGATGTAAGAGTCAGGCTGAACGATATAATCGTGCAATCGATACACGATTGAAGAGCCTGACTCTTTCATTGTGAGACAAACGATTAAACGTTCAGCTATCTATCGAACCTCGCTGAATAACAACATTTTTCTATAACCTATGTAATCCTTTAACTCCCAAGATCTAATAGTTAATTCTCTCCTCTAGCTGCTACACACTTTATTTTCAATTAGTCAAGAGAGTTTGGTGTTAGATCAAGATAAAAACTTCTTCCTGATAAGTTTCAGTGTTCTCATTACCTGTTTGCTGGATAATGCATGGATGTTATTGGGAGAAGTTGCATGTTAATCACTTTTGGGAGTTAAAGGGTTAAATACATTACCTGCATATTTAGGAATGTCATCGCAATAGACTGCCTCTCCTGTGGTTTGTTTAGCAGCTGCTAAGTGAGGCACAGGCCTACCAACAACATCTTCGATTAACTGATCACTGGGGACTTCCTGAAGTAATGACAATTACAGATGCGTGGACGTCAAGATAATATTTGTAACCCCACCCCCACCCTATTAAATGGTTTTCTTCAAAGATAAACACTTACCTGAAATGTCTGGGTACTGTATGTTGTATCTCTTTGAAAATGACCAGTTCCGCTTATAAACGACTTGGGTATATCAGCCTTATATGCTACCTATAAAACGAACAAACACTATTTTATTCATTTGAGTCTGGGTGCTTAATCAAATAAATATAGCAACACTAAATAAAGTAAAATTTTCTTTCCGAAAAAGATTGGAAAAGGTGCACAAAGTATACCTCTTGATTACTCAGCTGCAAGGTAACGTTTAAGTAGAACTTGAAGAAGAAGCTTGAGGCGAGCGATCTCCTGTACTCCACCTGACCGCCAGGTGCTCCGGGTGCAAGCGGCAGATCTTCAGCCAACAGCTGACAAGCTTCCTGTACTATGCTCTCATTCCAGGTTCTACAAGAGAGAGTACAAACTTGATTACCATAATCGGTCTTAAGGCTACCCTCCCTCGCTCACATCATACTACTCAAAGAAAAGTTAAGTTCATATCAGAGTATAAGTGATAAAGAGAGCACACTACGAGCAGTCATTCCTTTTTGCGAAGTCCATGGCGCAGGTTTAAAACAAAAATCAGTGAAAAAAAAAAACAGATTGATACTAACGCGCCGCACAGAACTCTGAGTGTGAGGTGCAGCAAACCGAACCTCGCTAGTAAACCTTTCTTTTCGTGCACCTCACCCTCAGGGTTCCATGCAGCCCGCTACCATCAATTTTTTTGTTTTTTTTTTTGACTTGCACGACGGGATTCGCTGAAAAAGAGGGAATGCTTTTTTGGAACTATACCCGAAAAAAAATGACAAAATACCCCGACCCCAAATTCGCTCCAAAATACCCAAAAATAAGAAGGAATACTCTATACCTGAAATTCAAAGAAAATATACTGAACATATTCAAGCTGCACATACAGAACAAAAAGTGCACAAAAGTGAAAGAATCCCAGAACAAAAGTTAGAGAAAGATCCCACAAGTTAGAGAATACGTCAGTGTTCCTTGGTTATCAAAACTTAACCCAAATAGTTTATTAAAATGGAGAATTCCATGTCTATTCACAAGTTTAAAGGATCAGGAAAAACCCTTAGCAACCCTGAAATTAGCCTGCAAGATAGCTTCACTTGTTTCTTAAGCAAAGGTTTACGGTAACAAGCCTTAACCCTTTCACTTCCAGATCTCATTAGCAATTCTCCTTACTGTCTGTTGTACAATTCTTATGATGTTACTTCAGAGAATTTGGTATTGGATCAACTAATAATCCCCTAACTAATATTTTTCTTTATTCTCATCACTTGTCTGCTTGATATTGTTTGGATAGCGTAAGGAGAAATTCTGTCTTGGTCTCTCAGCCACAGTAAGCAGTCACCAAATTGTCTCAAAATACCTTCCAGTGAGCCCTTTCACAGTTTTCATTGCCATGACTGTTGTGGGGGCCAAGCCTCCAAAGCTGAAACTGCAATCCTGGATTTGCCATGAGCTGGATTGTGTTTCTTTATCAAACAACACTCTCATGCCTGTATTGACTATAGCGATGTCATCTTCACGCCGTCGAGCTTGTTTAAATGCAAACACATATTCGTGCTGAAAACAGTAATACTTATTTACAAAATGAAAAGACAAATTTAGGGTAAAAATCATACTATTAGAAACAAATGCACTAACAAAGAAATGCAAGTTGCACCTTTTCTGTGAATGGAATAAAAATATCAACCAATATTTCATTTGCTTGCAAAATTGTTCTTCTGTAACCAGTAAAGAAATTCTCATCCAGTTTCACTTTTCTTCTTTTTCCTGTGATGCAAGAAACCAGAAATAAGATTCATGCTTCCAAGATAGCTTGATATCAAGATAAAAAATAGCAGCTTACAAGGTTTAAATGAATGCAGTGGGGGAAAGGGGGGTTGTGGACACCTGAAGACCTCCCCTAACTATACCCCCCTGAGGAACTCTGCAAAGGATTGGCATTCCATCTAAGGGGGGAGAGGCAAAACTCCTAGTTTCTTCATATGACAGAAACTGACATCCCATTGAGCTCCAGCATTATTGGGCCTACATTAACAATTTCCAAACAGCAGGTGTACCTCCAGCAGCAGCTAATGTAAGAGGGCATCTTGCAGCCATTAACACTGGATTTAGATCTGATATCGGACTGGCTGTCATGATGTTTCCTCCAATAGCCTGGAAGGAACAAATCATGTCAATATCTGTGAGATAAGTCTCGTAAAAATCCAATTTTATTTGAACAATGCAATGGCAAAAGAACTATAACTGAATAATTTTAACTGACATAAACTAAGAAGGTTCTTTCATTATAAAAGAAAGAAAAGGTATGGTTTACTCGCCCCAACATTTCTAATCTGATGACCAGCAAACCACTTGAGCATGTGAAGTATTGCTGTGAACCATCTGGTCTTGAATTCTGTAGAAATAGAATAATGTAACAAAACAGTTATGCACAATGACCAAACTCCCAGTGCTGAACAATACAACAATTATCATTCAGTTCAGTCAGTCGTAATGATCTTAATTAGCCCTTTAAAGCTCCTACTTCCAAATTCATTCTCTATTCCAAGTCGCGACTTGCCAAACTCAATAGCTCTAATTACAAAAAAAATTGACAGCTTAATTAGAATGATAAGATATACAGAACAACAGGACAGTGATTTTCCCAAAGTTAACTATTTATTTAAGTTAAGTTCACAATTCAAAGAAATCTGTTTAATTTAAGACTACTACCTGGCATGGATTGGCAAGCCTCAGTAAGAACCTCTTCCAGAGTAGTCAGCGTCACTGATGCACCAAACCTGATGCCCTCGGCAGTGTGTTCCACAGCATTCAGCTCCAAGATGTGAGTAGGAGCTATCAGGATTGGATAACTCTGATTTTTGAATTTCATCTCGATTCCTGTCAATGAAATGATGTTAATTTTAAAAATCATGATTAATTAAGGTGATAAACAAAAGTTTGGAAGGGGAATTTAGCTGTCTGTCTTAGGTCACTGAGGTTTTTTATGGACCTTGTTCAGTTAGCAATATAAATAATTGAAAGGCTGAGTATTTGGTGAAAAGACAAAACTGCAATAAGACCTCTTGATGAGAGAATTGGACCCAGAGGCCAACTTTCAGTAAGCTGGACACTGAATAGTGAACTAGGGTGTCAAACCCTGGCTGGTGACACTGTGGCATGCTGCTAGACAAGGCACTTAAATCTCACACAGCCTGTCTCCAACAGGTTTAAAAGGATTATGGGTACTGCAAAACTGTGAAGAAACTTGAGAAAGTGTCCATGAGGTAGGGAGGGGGTCAGGGGGTAGCCTTTGTTAGGCCACCATCCCATTTAAGGATATCAGGGGAGGTGTGAATTGATTTATTATCATTAATAGCTCCTCAATAGAATTTTAATAATGTCAATACTGTATCATAGATTAGTTCTGACATCTCTCACCTATTTCAGTGTTACCAATCACAAGTTTAGCTTGTGGATATTTTGTTTTCAGCTCCAACAACTCTTCCAGTGTTGTTGGTCTGATCCAAGTTGAATTATCTCCTTTGATATATAGAGTTCTTGGCTTGGCAGCTTCTGGGAGCTTTGGAGAAAAATCAGTGAATTGAAAATATTATACTACAATTTTGAATGTGCTAAATTATCACCCTGTTGGAGATCTGTATTTGTGCTAAATTCTCCAAACATTTCAGCACTCCCCTGAACAAACTGGTAACTATGAAAATTAGCAAAACCCAGAATTAGTAAGAATATCGTTCCAATTTAACCCAAAATTCTCTCGAAAATCCAAGAGAGAAAGAGAGTTTCCTATCAGATAATTCATTAAGAGTCACTTTGACCATTAAGTTTCATTTTTACTGGTGGACAGGGGGGCCACATTTGAGTCTACTTAGAATCTTAGATTGCTTGAGAGCTATTAATACTCGGTAATCCAAAACTGGGATCATGGCCATGTTATAATCTTAGGTGAAATTGGGGTAGTGACAACATTCCCATTTTTCCCATGTATGATGACATGTGAAAACTATATTTCACTGATGTTACAAGCTGGAGTGGAACTCCTGCTTATTACAACTCCAGCAATGTAGTTCAAATTAGATTATAATGAGCAACAGGGTAACATGATAGTATTCTGCTTCCAATTCCACCAGTTCTACTTTTATTAAATCACTCTGTACTTCCGATAACCTCTCTAACATTTAAGCTGAGTGTGAACAAACTCACCATTAGTTCAGGTGGGAAGATAGCGTCCTGAGTTGGGTCATATGGTGTAAATTCTGTTGACTTGAACAACTCATTGCAGCCCTGTAAGCATAGAAATAAAGCAACTTATTTATTTTTATTTCTTTTCGACAACAAATCTGAGGTAAGGTTCTACTATCACAGTGATAATAGTCAATCCTTTAACCCTTTCAAACCCAAGATCTCATAAGTAAATATTCTCATTATTGACTGTCATGCTTATGATGTTAGTTCAGAGAATTTGGTATTGGATCAACTACTGTTCTTATCCCCTCATTCATACATTTCTTTATTCTCATCACCTGTTTGCTTGATAACGTATTCATTAGATATTGTAAAGAAAAATTATGTCTTGGTCATGATTACCCATGAGAGTCAGAGGGTTAAGACTAAGCAGCAAATAAAGTCGGAAAAATTTGTAAGAAAATTGGAAAACAATCATTTTCTCAACTCACATTTAAAACTCCATTCTGTGATATGCCATTAGTGGTTCCATTTTGGTCCATTTCAGAGCAGCAACCATTAACACCTTTACCGCAACATTCCTTTCACAAAGATTGGAATTAATAAACATGTAAGTAAAAAGAAGATTGAAATGATGCTAAAATTTTCATACTGCACTGAATTTAAAAGAAAAGAGCTAAACTGAAGCTTGCTAGGTCCAGTGCTGTAAGTTACAAGTGGAACACTACCTTTGTGAAGGTTTTGAGTCCTTCCAAAATTGGACGATATCCAGTACAGCGACATAAATTACCTGGTGGGAAATTGACAGAGGTATAGATGTGACGTCTAAAGCGACTTTATGATAAGAAGTACATGGTTCAAATGAGAAGTCAATATGCTCAAGAAAAGGTATCTGTAAAACCTCTGCCAAAAAAATTGAAGATATATTTGTTACTGACCTACTCATGTTCATGACACTTTGAAGATAACACATTTTAGATTGATGTGTTTCAAAGAAAAATTAGAGGAAAAACATGATTCTCATCTCTATCTTCATTATGAAAAAAAACCAATTAATACTTTTCTCTATTTTTCTTCTGGTTTAAAAAAAGAATTTCAGACACTGATTATCTGCCTTGTACACAACCTTCCATGGGCAAGAGGGAGTTATGTGAGACTTCACAACTCTGGTCAACTGAACACAAGAGGACCAATGCAAAGGCAACTTTAATGTACAATTTCAAAAATGAGTGTGAGGGTTTCATCTGGGTATCCAAACACAAGAAAACTGATGAGAGCACGAGGCTGCACAGGTCACGTGCTTTTATTGTGTTAGACTGTTTGGAAACCCTGATGAAACCCAATGCACAAGTCTTAGAAATAGCTTCTCAGTCATGCCTCAGGAATAAAAAGAAAATGGAAATATTCCAATTTTTCACATGTTGTCAATTAATCACATGCTGTCATTCAAATTAAGAAATGAGTTCACTAAAGTTTGATGCTTTATCACACGCAAGGCTTTGATACCATATGAAACTCAAGGATAGCATGTCATTCCAGTGTTTCACCAGGGTTTCAAACAAAATGCACTTGACAAAATTGGCATTTATGTGATAAAAAGGAAATAAGTTTGATTTCCTGCTACTTCCCTCTTTACCTTCAAAAGCACTTTCCATCTCTTTATTAGTTGGTAAAGGGTTGTTTCTCAAAAGCGCATACATTGACATCACAATCCCTGGAGTACAAAATCCACACTGTGACCCATGACACTTGGCAATCCGCTCCTTAGAACCAGAATAAATATCAATAAACCAACCTGTTTAGCACTTTTAAGAACTAGTTTCTAAAAGGATCATTTAAATAACTTTAAAAATGAAAATTTTCAAACCCCCTCTAAAATTGTTTTTCATGCAATAGACACTCAGAGAGGGTACACAAAATTGCCATCTTTAAAGGTTGCATTCTTGTTGCTAAAGAAACAGGGCTACTTGTTCTTAGAAATTACGGTCATTACCCCAACTCGCCGACGCCAATTCGCCGACGTATAAAATCGAGTAGAGACGTCGGCGAGTTGGTCCTCAATCCAATACAACTTATTAGAAGTTAAACATACAGAAAAGTAAACGATATTTAGTGAAAAAACACTGGTGAACATTGGTGAACATCAAACAGAAGCTTGAACATTGGTGAACATCACCAATGACTATAACAACTTAAGACGCAAACGAGTTATTGTGCGACAATAACACCGTAAAGACTCATCATGTCAATCGCTCAGATTTTTTAAAAGAAAACTTGGCTTTCTAGATCTTTAGTAAAAAGCAATTCTTTCTATTTGCAACAAAGTTTATAAAGATATCAAGGCGAATAAAGCGAAGTAAACATCGCCAATGACTATATCCGCTTCAGACGCGAACGAGATAATTATTGTGTGACAACAACACCGTTTGTGCGTTGACTTTTTACCAAGCGACTTGACTTAAATAAATAAGACCGATTGACATGAGATCCTTATAAACTTTGTTGCAAATAAAAAGAACTGCTTTTTACTAAAGATCTTGTCTAGAAAGCCAAGTTTTCTTTAAAAAATCTGAGCGATTGACATGATGAGTCTTTACGGTGTTGTTGTCACACAATAACTTGTTCGCGTCTAAAGCGAATATAGTCATTGGCGATTTTTACTTTACTTTATTCGCCTTGAGATCCCTTTAAACTTTGTTGCAAATAAAAAGAATTGATTTTTACTAAAGATCTTGTCTAGAAAGCCAAGTTTTCTTAAAAAATCTGACCGATTATCATGATGAGTCTTTACAGTGTTGTTGTCACACAATAACTCGTTCGCGTCTGAAGCAGTTAGAGTCATTGGTGATGTTTACTTCGCTTTATTCGTCTTGAGATCCTTATGAACTTTGTTGCAAATAGAAAGAATTGCTTTCTACTAAAGATCTTGTCTAGAGAGCCAAGTTTTCTTTAAAAAATCTGAGCGATTGACATGATGAGTCTTTACGGCGTTGTTGTCGCACAATAATACCTAGTTCGTGTCTTAAGCTCTGATCTGCCATTTAACTGGATTATTTCATCACCTCACCCTGAGTTATTGACTCTCTACATGTTCAAATAACTTTGCACTCCAATTATAGTTAGGACTTTAAAAATTGCTATAATTTAACATTCTATTTGATCCTATACATCTGTCCATAATGTTTCCATCAGTGCACATGTGATATACATGTTTTTAATGCTTTAACTCCCAAACTCCGATTGTTAAGTCTCCCCTCCAGCTGCTATACACTTCCTTGGTGTTAGATCAAGATAACAACTTTTATCTAATGAGTTTGACTATTTTCATCATTAAGCTGTTTGCTGAATAATGTATGGATATCATAGAGAAAATTTTCTTGTTGATCGCTTCTGGGATTTAAATGGTTATAATAAGTAAATTATTTACCTGCACTGGATGCAAGACAGTTTTGGTGCTTCCAATTCCTTCCACTGTGGTTACAGCCATTCCATCAACAGCACACAATGGCATCAAACAGCCATTTGCAGAGAAATGTCTAGTTAATGTCAAGGTCAGGGGACACAAAGTTAACTCTACTTGAAATCTGTAACATAGGCCATAGATGCTTCAGATTTTGACAACCTTCTCCTGTATACAGCCAAACCTCTTGATTCAGGAATTTTTATAAAGATGGGAGGGGGGTTGAGCTTTGACTCAGAAAATAAGGATTCTTTTTCTCTTATAAAAAGGCCTCAGAAAAAGTAAACAAATATTTAAGACAATTAAATTTCAAACAATTCTTGTTGAATATTAAGTGAACATGACATTTGGTTGTTACTAGAGTTTTGGTTTCAGACAAGAAGTAAGCACATAAAATAGGAGGGGGATCTGAAACCCCATGAAGCTCCCCCTAGTTGCATCACCATAACCATTAAACCTCTTCCAGTTTTCTGCAGACTTCGAGTTTCAAAAGGATACTTAATCTTGTTATTTCCATGATCATACTTAGAGATCATAACAGTACATGCTCCACAGCCACCTTCACCACATCCAAGCTTGCTACCTGTCAAACCCACTGATTACCTTTGTAAGGAATATGAGATATATCTTCCCTTGTACACATATTTCTTGAGCAAAATGGAACAGAAAATAAAAATTGTCTCAGGTTTATTCAAAATATTCACTTTGCCTTCAGCAAATAATTGTTGAATACTACTCAGTTGAATAGTGCTTTTTTTCCTGCATGTTGATTGGCTACCTTGAAGACAATATCTTGAGGCAAGTATAATAATTATTCTCCTTCGAGCTGCCAAAGAGCATGAAAATTAACATAGTAGGAAATAATTGTTTTGTTAAATATTGTATCATCCCACAATCATATCCTAAGCTGAAAATCATAATTTCCATCTGCTGTCAAGCACTATATAAAAAAAATTAAACATCTTTTGTTGAAAAAAAAAAAGAAATTTGAAAAAGTTTAATCCCTCAGAGATGCTTCAACAAAAAGCATCTAGAAAATGTGTTCATTTGCTTGATAAAGAAAGAGGAATTTGGAATTTGGATTGAGGATTTGCTGATGGCTGATGAGAATCACTTCGTGCTACAAAGATTAACCAGTTTCATATAAAATCCAACTGAGCATCTTATATTTTTTTTTCATTTTGTGAGGTGCGTACCCAAATAATTATTTACTTCATTGTTTCTGTTAACCACTTGTCTCCAACAGAACGGTGGATAACTGTTAACTTTGTGGAATTAATTCATAGTGAATTACAAAAAATAAAAACAAAACAGAACATAGCAAAATTCTGAAAGTCACGTTACTCTGCATATTCATGCATGATTTTATTGAACCAACATGCAAATATTTTCCTTAACCTTTAATCATAAGTTTGTACATTATTCTAGTGGAAAGAACAAAGAACACCTGTATAGACAGCCACAGACATCTCCTTCGAACACATGTGCGTTCCATGCATTTAAATTTGCCAATAAAATTTTACTCACGTGCCGATTTTCATAACATATAATGGCCAAAATCGAAACAATGAGCTCTATACGTGTCACTATCAATAGCCAGTCAGTGATTCACATGTTTGCTGATCATAATGGATCAAATTACAATTTCAGTTAGCCTCAGGAAGGTCCTAAGGTCAGGAAGGCGTGACATTTGTGCTTAAGACTCACAAAGCATGCACAGCACGTCAAGTTTACGATCAGTAAGTTTTAGTCAAACCATCTTGAATCATCGAATTGAAAAATCACCCCGATGACTTGCTAATATTTTTGCAAAGCGCCCGTCCACAAAAATCCAAAAACAGAGGGATCAAAATGTGCATGGTAATGAAAGGATACAATGATTTCGCAGATAACAGAGCAAAGTCATTTCTGGCTGCGCCTTTGCTTCGACAACCTGCGATGAATAAAATTAGACTAAAACTTGTAGATATAAACCAGATCAAGGGTGTGTGGCGTGCGTGCATTTGAACTCAAAATCGTGTATCTCTTCGCAGTCTATACGTGAATAACGTACCTTTCTGCTATTGACAAAGAAGACAATCTCTTCACTGGCTGACGAAGGCATCGTGTCTATAAAACTTATATTGGTACAGCGCTACAGTTTACCCATTTAAGAACTGAGGGCACCTCGCGATTGTAAACACGACACAACTTCGAAGATCTCTCACCGAACTGCGATTACATAACCCTGCGAACCCAAAGAAAGCAAATGCAGATTATTGAAATATTCTTATTTGCTCTTTTTCTAGCTAACAGCACAAACAGTCATAACCTTGTTCTGATAAGTCTTCCACAGATCAGAACAGTGTCAGGCTAAAATCAGTTTAGACTGATCAGGTAGACTGATCAGGTAGATCGAGTGCAGTCAATAGAGAGCAGTCAACCAATCAGATGCTCGATTGAGAAAACAAAACATAGGAAAAAATAACTTTGTGGGGTTACGTGGGGATCCGAGGGGGACGGTCTGAAGGACCAAATTGCCCCTAGCTAACCTGTTGCGGGTGATCAGTAAGTAAAACAAAGCGCAATTGTAAACGGCGTGATTAGTAGCGGCTGAGTGAAAAAGCGAGAGAGTTTTGGTTGACCCGACCCGACCCGACCCGACCCAAAGATCTCTCGTTTTTTCACTCCACCGCTGCTATTGTGCTGTTCCATATTTCGCTCCGTTTTACAAACTGAAAGTCTGGAACAAACCAACCCCAAGCCCCAACTCCCCGATTCCTAGATCTGGCAAATGTCAGCGCCAGAGCTGTCGAAGACGATCTAGTAATACTACAGACCGGAAAAAAAAGATAAACAAAAGGAAAAAGGCATTAAGTGAACCAGTACCTCCAAATAGTATTGGTGGAGACAGAAATTATGAGTAAAGGGAGACAGAAAACCTAATCTGACGAGATCTTTGTCTGACTGATCATTATTGATCATTGTTGATTGGCAGTCTAACCAGCTCTTCGCCTAATAACACGCCGAGATTTATTCTATAATCCGTCCTAATGAATTTTCATTCGATAATGAATACTTTAATTCTGGTAAGACAAGTTAGTCTTGGGTAGACTGTCTATCATCCACCGTGACATAAAAACGCCTAATAACGCTAATCGTATTGAAACGAATAATTTTGTCTGTTTCAAGTAGAGCCTTTCAACCCTCATCGAATTCTTTGGATTCGACAGCGTATCAGCATTTTTCCCTCGAACCGGAAGAACGCAGATAAGGACTAATTAAACCGTCTTCAAGGACAGGTGTTCTGGAAGTTTTAGCAAGAGACAATCAAATCCTATAAAAAATGCTTATACATTTCTTCAGTTGCCAAGAAACTTGGAGCTAACACCTAAGCGAGAGTTGACCATCATCAATTTAAAGGCATTGTATTGAATATCCATTTATTGACTATCCCATGACGTCTTTCAATGGGAGTAGTTGTAGCTGATGACCCTCGGAAATTCTTGTTCATGGCAGATTGCGTACAGGAAGAGCAGAAGTTAACTATTCGACACACACCTGGCCTGTGAATTAAATTTTGCGTGAGTGTTGCCTGACGAAATTCCTGCTAGAATCCCGGGGGGAGCATTTTTTCGGTGTTGTCCAGATAATTGGGAACGCCCCTTTTCAGTCTTCTCAAATTTTGCTCACTTTGCGAGAGCTAAGTTACAGAAGCACTGAGATAAAATGGAGAAAAGAGTTAAAAATGGAAATGACTCTCTATGAAATTGCGAATTCTTCCGATTATATGCTGACATCATAATCACATGCAAATTTCGAAATACCACCCTCCCCCGCGTGGAGGCTCTTCCGGGGCAAGTTTCTAATAGCAACTACGTTTGACATGAGCCAATCAGAGGAACGCAATTGTTATTATGTCTAAATTTGGAAAAGAGTCTTTCAAGGCCGCCCTAAAATGCGCTGTCTGCCCCCAATCGCCCCTCTTCCCAACGTTAAGATTCGGAAGCGTCGTCGAAAACGTAAGGGTGTAAAAACCCGACCATTTTTTTAAGAATTTTACCGGACAAGTCGCCAAAATACCTCCCTTAAAGGAACTAGATTTCCCCCTCCCCATCTTTGACGGACTGGAACTGAAGCAAGAGCCAGAATCTTGCGGATATTCATCATGTGCTCCTATGGATGTTCTCGATCTGTATGAGTCAGGCGAATGGTCAGCAGCGAATTCTCCTTGCTCTGAGCTGTTCGAAGATGTGGATCTGAGCTCTGCTTCTGATCTGGATGAGAATTGCTCGTATCTGAATGACATCGCGATCGACTTTGCCTCTTACCTGGATCCTGCCACCTTGAGTACCAGTCCCGAAGATTTGAGCAAGTATTTAGCACCCAAAGAGCCCAAGCGTAGAGAAGTAGTGGAGCCATATTTACCCGAGGTAGAACGGGGGTACTCTCCCATTAAGATTGTAAAAGTAGATTCCAAAGTAAATTCCCTTAAACCGGCTGTGACGTACAGATCAACTAACCTGGCGAAAGAACCTGAGCTGAAGTCGAACAGGCTGCCTTCCATCTCTTCGCAACTCAAGGCGCCGAAATCCCGTCGTGGTTCGTTGTCTTTGAAGAAAGCGGTTGAGAAAGGAAGCGATGAATATCGTTTGAAACGAGAGCGAAACAACATTGCGGTCCGCAAGAGCAGATTCAAGAGCAAGCAGAAATATGTGGAGACCCAGCACAAAGTTGACGAGCTGCAAGAGGAGAATGCCCGCCTACAATCCAAGGTGGATTTTCTCACTAAAGAGCTCAACGTTCTCCGGAGCCTGTTTTCCACCACTGGTGCCTACAAGGACCCTTCGGTCAATGCAGCACTGATGTCTCATGGCATCCCGACTCATCATGGACTTGTCGCCTCCCGTTAACCATTTTCCAAATGGAACTCTTTTAACTGATTGTGGACGTTTAAAGAAAAAAATCATGTAGATCTCTGCTTTTGATGAATTGGTGTAACATCACAGCCTAATAAATACAGATTGATCACAGAAATGGACTTGTGGTTTTACTGCGAGTTTTTGGTGAAGCAGAGTTGATATGCTATTGTTCAATGTTTGAATCTATTAGCTGCGTCATTTTGCGTATTTTCAATTCCTATATCTGCAGCATCAAATTCGTGAGACATCTAACATGTTTAGTAGAGCGATGGCAATAATGGAACGTGTGTGAAAGTGCTAAAGTTTTGGTAAAGTCTGAGCCTCGAATATTGCAGATGAGGTATGCTTCGAATTAATGATTGTTGATTTGCATTCTAGAACGTTTGATCACATCTACAGTGCTCAGTCACATGCGTATGTAAACATTGTCTATCCTTTTCGACTGGTTAATCTTCCAAGGAATTGAAAAAATCTTCCAATTTAAGTATATTTGTGGAAATTTCCGTAGATATTGGTGTAGATTTGCTTTGATTCCAAAGTTATTCAAGTCAATTACAATTTTCTGAAACGCTCTGAAACTTATACAACAGAACAATGAAAATTGGATTTGTCTAGACCTAGATCGTACCGAACATCCTCTATCCTTTTATTCAGGACACTAAGGAGTGTTAACGAAGTATCCTGTTTTTTTTTCGCCCTCTGTTCCAGTGACGTGAAATTTGGCATCAACTCTCGAAATAGGCATTCTATATTTACATCAGTGAATTGTTCCATTCGGCATATTTACCAAAGACTGACAATAATTAGGCAACCTACAACTAAAGATAACTTCGTTTATTATTCTCTATCCTTTGTCGGAGTATAATTTCGGCAATTGTCAAGTAGACGTGAAAACGTTGTTGAAAATTTTTTTGAAGTGATAGAAGGAAAGGTATTTAGCATTAAATTCTCCACCACATTTTTAGAGGTCAAATTTATCCCTTCTAGGGAAATCAAACATATTAGGTGAATATTAATGGGTGATGTGGAGATTGATGGATTTTTTAGTTCATCTCAGTGGTTGTGTTACTAAGTTACCACAGTTAACTTCTGTCTAAGTAGAGCAAAAGGTGATGTATTTAAACAGTGCACCACTACAACAGCAGCACCAGCTGGTTTGAAGTAATAAGTCTAAATCATTTGATAAACACTTCTTGCATCTTCCACTTTAGTTAAAAATGTTTGGACAAGCTTGCTCTCGCCCAAAATTCTTGAGCAGACATTGACAGTGGTAGGCATGTTTTGAAACATAGGGGTCACTTTGTATGGGATAGTTTTTCCTTATGGTAATATCATGTTATGTTCGAAGAAGAAACATTTTTTTTTCTTAAACAACATATTCTGACAATCCTATCCCAATTTCAGTTGAAAGCTTGTATTATATTTAGAGTATGACAGAGCAGTTATGAACATGTTACTCCACATTTCTTCAAACAATGTATTTCACTCCTTGGCACTGTTTAGACAGGTTTGCAAACCTTGAAAACTAAACTTTAAAAGATGAAACAAAATTTGTCTTGAGTCTGGAGAAGCAGCTGGTAAAAGATTACTATTAGAATTCTCATAAATTTTTTATAACCACAAAGTGCATCATAGTATACAATCCAAATCTGACTAATTCCTCGTGGTAGAAATGACCAGTGTACCTTGGCAAACACCCATTTTAGGCCTGTGCAGTGTAGAAAGTTTACAATCTACCATTTACCTTTGATTCCTCTTGACCTACATCATCACTGACATGTACTAATAGATCAGAGGTTCTTTCACAAACAGACCACGAGTCTAAACAGACTGAAAAATTATGCTTACACTGACTATGTCAATGAAAAGAAACCAGCCCTACATTATCATTGTAACCTGCTATCATTTTGCCAAGCCCCCACCACTTGGAAAAGGCAGAACTCTTTAAAAATTGATAGCCTGTTGATCTTGAACACTACAAATTCGTTGGTACTTGATATAAAAATACCGGATATTTAAGGAAAACAATAACTTTTAACACTGATGTTTAACAAATTCAGTGGTTTTAAAATGACAGTAAGCTCAAAAATTCTATAACAAATCATCATTTGCCATAATTACACAAAAATTTTTCAAAGATGTTTTCTTGGAAATAGATAATTGGCACTACTGAGATATTTATCAAACCTTTCAAACAAGTTGCTAATTTTACCCTAGTAGGAATAAAAATCTTGAGAAAGATTCACTAAAACAAAGTTCTCTCTGAAAAACTAATATACACTTATAATATCTAATAACTGTGTTAATATTGGTGTGTTGTGAAATTCACTTTTCATAATAATACTTTTAATTTTGCTCTGGGAATAAGTCTGTGTTCATAAGTTTGTAAAGAGAACATCACTCAATTCAAAGTAAGAGGTGGGTCACTGAGACCAATAACAAGAGAACAAAATTTGCCTTGAAGACAAACCCCAGCCACATGAAGGAGAAGTCAGTTTTTATTAGTGCATGCTTATATCACAAAATAATTTACTTTGCTATACTTGGGAACGACCTGAGCAAGTTTTCTCCTTCCAATTAGGGTAATGTTGTCTCTTTTTCATAAACCTCAAGTGGTAAGGCATGTATGCCGAAAATAGAAGATGCTAGGAAAAGAAAACTAAGGAAGCAGCTGGTCCCCAGACAACTGTGTTTTTGTTTGTCTCCGTCAGCCTGAACTAAGCCATTTCCCCTTCTTGCTTCTTTATTGTTAACACAACAGAGAAGATTTTCCTTTTCTACAAGGATCAAATTGAAAAAGTTTAATTTCTAGTCTGTGATATGACATTACACCTTAAAAAAGTAAACAAAATCATTTTATGTTCTCTACTCTTTTGCAAAAATCCACTTCTTACAGTATAAAGCAACTGTCCAAGATAAAGATGATCAGGCCAAGATTGAGAATTAGTGATTGATTACTTATTAATCCCAATCATCACTTCCCCCTGAATGCAAAGAATCTGTGTGATCACTCTTTGGAGGAGCCGGAATCATTGCTGAGATCCTGTCCATTGCAGAGCCTCCACCTGTGGACACTTCAGATGATCCACCAGATTCACCTTTAGACCCGGAGATACCCTTTCGACGCATGGACAGCTTAGCAAAGAGGTCACCCATGAGGTCACCTCCTCCCCCACCACTGACGGCAGACTGCTCTTTCTCTGCTTTTTTCTTCAGCTTTCTCTCCTTTACATTACGTAATTTAGCATTGCCCTTGCCACCTGCTTTGCGAATGGATTCCATTAAAGATGCCCTACCATCAGATGCTACTGCTTCAGGGACATCGGTGGGAAGAGCTGCAATGAAGATGTGGAAACATAAAGAATAAATGGTTTCTGCTGACCATTGGAAGATCACATTTAAGTACCATCAGGGGAACAATGTTTAGTTCATGCGCATAGTTGTTTATTGATAGTTTTAAACATTGCTAAATGATTCACCTCGTAAACAACTTTTGAAATTTACTTGGTTGATGGACATGAAGGCAAGAAACATAAAAACAATGTCACAAATATAAAGAACCAAAGATTGTAACAGTGATGAATTTTATCAGCAACCAGAACCAGTAAATCACCTAGATCATACAATCAACATCAGTAGAACACCTTCAAGCTGCATTATTGTTATATACAGTGGGTGGTGAATGGAAAAAAGAAGAATTTATAATTTTTCCTGCAAAGGTTTTTGCCAAAAAAATAGCTATTAATCTTTTTCTTCCTTTAATAATTTGGCCCACAGAAAGTTCCACATTTAAACTAGGTCCAAACTAGTGGTAAGCATGAAAGAAAATGTGCATCAAGCAGATACTAGTGAAGGTATCTCTAACGTTCGCTTTACCGTTAAATCCCTAAAAGTGACTTGCATTCAGTTACTCCTAACAGTATCACTTCTCAATCAAACATTAAGGTAATGAGAGTCAAGGAAACAATAAAAAATGAGGATGCTTTTGATTTTCTAACAAACTCACCTTGTCAATACCATAGGAAATATATGGAGAACAGTAAGGATAATATTTGTACTTATGTAAGGATGTGAAGGGTTATAAATACAGGTTTCACTGTAAGTTTTTAACTTACCTCCTGAGGAGCCATCCACTGGAGGGGGAGGAGGAGGGGGAGGTGCTGATTCCGGTCCTGGAGGAGGTGGAGGAGGAGGGGGAGGAGGGGGCGGTGGAGCATCAGGTCCAGGAGGTGGTGGCGGAGGGGGTGGGGGAGCTGGACCAGGTGCTGGAGGGGGAGGAGGGGCTCCTTCTGTCTGTGGTATTTCTCCCTCCAGGACATCAGGTAATTCAGGTATATTTGAACCAGGTAATGATGGTGCTATGGAAGGACCAAGCTCTGCACTGTAGATTGAATAAAGACAAAACTTAGACTCATAGTGATGCAAGCATTAAAATGGCTAAAATCTATTTTGTGCGTTGATCACAGAAATGGATTTAGCTCTTCCTTGATTCAATAACTCTCATAACATAATTAATGAGCTGCTTGAAATTTCTCATGGACTGCTTAAATCACCACAGGAGTTCTTATTGAGACAAATGGAGACCGGACAACTACGGCGGAAACAAGTGAATGCTGTACCTTAACCCTTTCATTCCCAAGATCTGATTGTTAATTCTCCTCTCTAGCTGCTACACATTTCCTTGTAAATTAGTTATGAGAATTTGCTGTTAGATTAAAATAACAACTTCTACCTGATAAGTTTAAGTTTCGTTATGACCTGTTTGCTGAATGCGATGAGGATTTTTTTTGAGGAGAATTTAAATGTTAGTCACTTCTGAGTTAACACTCTACACTAACAATATTTCATAATGTTGACCTGGTCTCTGCCAATAAACAAACAATTACCTAACTGAATACCTGACTAACGAAATCAATAAATACATGCAAAAATAAAAAAAAATCCTCAAGAAGTACTTGTAAGAGAGGTCATCTGCAATCCCAGGAAGATCCGGAAGGTACACAGGAACATCAATCTCCGGTACATCTCCCAAGTTTGGAACGTAGAAGTAATTTTGCGCTGTCAATCTGTCGAGCGCTTCTCCTTGAGTGATGGAAATGGGTGCTGCTCCGATGTCTTCCTCGTCTTCTTCAATGTTGGCCCTTGTTTTGGTAACCGCACCGGCAAGCGGATCTAACATGACATACTTCTTGTACGGATTTTCAGTAGTATTGAAAAGCAACAACGAACTGACGGAATGAAGATTCTTCGGAAGGGAACCCAGCCCTTCCCCTTTCATTTCGTCCTGTTTCTTCTTAACATTCAAGTGTACGTTGTAGAATTGCAGTTTATCCTTCAATGTTCGTTCATCAACTGGGACAAACTTCGAATTCAGGTTGTACGTTTGACGCTTTATTTCAGACAATTCATTTTCTTCAGAATACAGCGTTTCATACGGCTCAAGTTTCTCCGGAGCTGGGTATTTCGCACTCGAAAACACCCTCGTAGCTTTCTTGATCCCCTTTATTTTATCGATTCTGGCTTGTGCCAAATCAGCCCGATAATTTATGGCCTCTAATCGTTTCTTGTTTTCCGCAACTCGATTGCTGATTCGGGTGAATATGTCTTTAGACACTTTCTCCAAATATTCCAACGAATCCACTATTTGGTTAATCGATTCTTCTCTTCGAAGACTCGGTAACACTAGTGGAATGTTGTAGGTTTGAACAGGCATGGCGACTAATTCAATAGAGAAGTTCCTGCTTGGTACCTATGATCCTGATTTAGTCGCCATTTTGGTCACGAGACGTAAGAAACGAAAGATTAATGAAGAGATCTGGGGAGAGTCAAGATATGTTTGTTTTGATTTACTATTCCTTCCTTCCCCCCTGGTTAGGTTGATGAGATGACTAATGTTAGCAAGGTGCCACAGCATACTACAGTCAAGTTTGTCTGACAGCAACTGTTACAGGAGCCTGTGGGGACTAACTCAAATTCAGTCTTGACCCAACTATTATCTGGGAGGAATGGGTTTAGAATCCCATCAAAGTCTTAATTTTTTTTTTGCAGGCTTCTCTTCTGCAATCGCTAAAATTGCAGCTCACGTGGGAGGGTCATGGCTGTTCTTGACTTTTTAGACTGCTGATCATCATAGTTTGCAGGACATGTCACATATGAATCTAGTAATGGTGTAGCTTGTTGTATGTTCTCTATGGCTTGTTAGTAGAGCATCAGAGCCTTAAGTCTGATGGTCTACAGTTTGATTCCCCATGAGGACTCAGGATATTTTTCTGGTCCCATCCATACGACAAAACAAAAATCATCTCTCTCCAAAAATCACATTGTTTTATGACTTGCAAAAATAGCCCCCAAAACCCTCTAACTATTAATTTTGTCGTGAGTCTTTAAATTGCAGAGATTATGATGATGATAGACCAAAAGCTACTTTTGGTATATATCAGAAAAATATATTTAATTAAGTTGTGATACAGGAGACCATTGACCTAACAGAGACTGTGACTTGATGTCAGCTGGCTAGATGCTGTTTGCTAACCTTTCAACTGCTTAGAGTGACTAGCATCTAATTTCTCCTTACAGTATCTCCCCTGAATCAAACATTATAGCATTACAAGAATAGAAGAAATGATCACAAACAAAAGAAGCTCTTGATTGTTTCAACAAATTCTCCTTGTCCACACCTTAGGAAAGGTATAAATAACAGTATGGAGAATATGCATACTGATGTTAGAGTTTCAAAGGTCAGATGTGGTTTGACCGTTTTTGATGGTGATGGTGATGATGATGACAACAAGTATGACAGCAGGCAATTGAATGAGATGTCAACCACTGATGATTTTGCTAGCTACAAAATACAGAGTCCCCTACATATAAATTGATTTCTCCAGTTAATTAGCTGAAACTGCTCCAGCTCCAAATTTCAATTCTCGTTCAAACTGCTCTGCATTCAGAGTTCCGTCGATGGCTTCACAGTTCTCGTTGAACACAGAATAAGCGCTGGGTTCCCACGGTTTTCTGCTGTTGGCTTGCATGCTTGAATAAACCCAATAAAACATTGAAAGAAAGAAAAACACGGTTCCAAACTCTATCTGAATAAAGAAACCCCATAGTAAGATCCAGAAGAGAACTTTCAAGAACAAAATAAACCAAGGCAAAACTTCCTCATCCCGATGATCAACTGGATGGCTCTGAAACCATGACCTTAATCTGCTGAATCCCAAACCTTGAACAGAAAAAGAGGGTCTCCATAAGATTTTTTTGGTCTCCCTGTACTTTTCAGCTCGACTAGCGCGGTATTTTTCCAGTTCTTTTTCCATGAAAAACTTAGTTGGATCTCAAAGTCAAACAATGTTTCCAAATTTCGACATGTTGTTATGTTACGTGTAGAGAATATGACCTAGATGATGCTTATACCACCGAAAAACTTATGTCTCACTGAACCGCTGGCTAGTTAAAACTCTTTCTGGGAAATTCCAGGCACGAGTCGCACGACTCGCAATAATCTAACACAATTTTTGATTGGTAATATCACGACGCTGAGTAAAAATACTTGCCAAACTGACCATTCATACCAGGCCTTAGATTCTTCTAAATATTGCCTAACCTTAGTACCCAAGCTCCGTTAATTTGTGCAATTTACCATGGCGGGACGGATACATTTATATGATAGTGACAAAAATAGCCGGCACATTACTTAGAAGAAGACTTCCCATTCGACTGACTAACAACACTTCATTTCTATTCTCCAAAATGCCTCCAACTATTAGAGTAAACGACCCTTTAATTGACTCCACAGGTAAGAAAGTGAAATTGTAAAAAAGATTCTTTTTTTAATATGTTTACGATGCGCAGCTGTTCTCTGACCTTGAGCTGTTGTTCGTTGGGATGTTTGTTCCATCAGACTTGGCAGCAGAAATAGAAGCAACCTTAAAGCAAAGAATAATGATCCTTGATGGTGGAATGGGGACCATGATCCAAAGTTATCATTTGGAAGAAGAGGATTTTAGAGGTAACTTCAGTTTTCTGATACTGATAGTTGGCCCAGTAACAGAGCGAAAAAACGGTGTGTGACGTAACTAGTGATCAGAATTCGATCTTCTTTTAGGGGTATTTTTAATCTAAATTTGTACAAGTAGTTGGATTGTTCAATTTTCCAGTTTACTTCAAAGGCTTTTTGTTATCACTGCATCAAATAATTCAGTCGAATAGGCCTTGTTCTAGGTAATTGTTGCGTTCATCTGTTCATGTCACGCAATGTTGAAGGTTGTGCAAGTTTACCATAGATCATTCAGTAAAATCACTGCACGAATTATGTGACGACTGATTGATACCACGGTTTTAGAAAACTGACAAAAGTAGTATGGGAAGAATATTAAGAAATCGATGTCCTATGACTTCCTACGGTGTCCCATGAAAACGTAATTTTGTCCTCGTAGAGAAAAATTAGGATCGTACAACTGAGAAATCGATAACTGTGCTAAAGTGTGTAAGGCTTGACTTAATTACACATTTAGACAAAGCAGAAATTCTCAGCCGTGATTTAATGCACTATTTGTTTAGCCGATCTGCCTCTTGAAGGGCATTTGTTGCTGTAATTTTTATGTTGTAGTTCAACTTTTTTTTTTGACATAAAAATTTCGAAACCACTGTGTTATTATGATCTTTTGGATTAATAGAATAATTACCTTGACAATTCGAATCTGCGTCGATATGTGTCTGTGCATTAATAGATCACAAATGACATCAAAATGAGGTAACAATATGTCAGTGATGTTCTTCACCCTTTAACTCCCATGAGTGACCAAGACAGAATTTCTCTTTACAATGTCAATACAATATCAACCAGATACGCAATAAGAATAAAGAAAAATATCAATTTGGGACTGATTAGTTGATTCAATATTAAATTCCCTGAACTAACACTAAGAATTTTATGGTTGACAGTTAGGAGAATTACAAATTTGATCTGGGAGTTAAAGGGTTAAGGCATTTTAAGGTCTTCTGTGATTAATCATTAAAAGTTTAATCATTAAAGTGTCACACAGCAAAATGGAATATATTTGTTTTGCATTGTAAAGAAGCAAAATGTTTTAATGGTAACTTTATCTAGGTGTCTGTCCTCCAAGACATTATAAGCATGAACCAATCAAATTTAGTGTATAATTCAGTTTATTATAAATCAGCTGTAAAGAGACTTACAAGCAAAGCACTGTTTAAAGTTTAAATGCAAGTATCCAAAACCCTGTGCATTCTAATATCAGCATCCATATTCTCCTCATTGTCCTCTTTATTTTTTCTATGGTACTGACAAGGAAAACAGTCATGAGCTCCTTCAGATATTGATCAATTCCTTTATTCTTCTGATCTTATGTTTGATTCAACAGTGATCATGTGTGCAGATTCTCCACATTGTCCTCCATATGTTTCCTATGGTACTGACAAGGAAAATCAGTTTAACAATCATGAACTCCTTCGGATATTGATCAATTTCTTTATTCTTCTGATCTTATGTTTGATTCACCAACAATGATGTAAGGAGAAATTAGATGCTAGTCACTCTGAAGGTTAAAGAGTAAACCTTGCACATATTATTATTATTTTGTTTGTGAACTGTCGTTTAATTTCTTGATTGCAGGAGAAGAATTCAAGAATCACTCACACAATTTGAAGGGAAATAATGACTTCCTAAGTTTAACAAGACCAGATATTATAGAGGAGATTCACAGGGTATGGCCAAATAACATGTAAACTCTGTTATTGCTTTGTGTAGAAAAAAATTTTTGAACAGGATATTTTAAATGAAGTGAAGTATTGAAACTTTTATATGTTATGTTTCTTCCCATTCTTTAGAAGACAAATCTAAGTTGTAAGGAAGATTAATATTTAAATACTTCTGTTATCCATGATCAAAAATTCTTTTTTTGGTTAGTTGTGAAGTTGTTTGTAAAAAAGAATATTTTATTAGAATTTATTAATAGCAGAAACTGTTGAAGGGATAGATGTGTAAAGGAAACTGCAAGCAATGAATTGCTGGGAGAGTATTGGGCTGGGCTGGGGTGTTCATAAAGTAATTCCTGTGTCAATTATATTAACATAGAGTGTAAGATTATCTCCAATGAATTATATTAATTACAGATCCACCTTAACATACTTACATGTTTAAATTAAGTTCTTAAGCGTGTTATCTATCTCTGTATTCACTCCAGGGTTACTTAGAAGCAGGATCAGATTTTATTGAAACCAATACTTTTAGTGGAACATCAATTGCACAAGCAGATTACGGAACTGAAAACTTGGTTAGTGCAATTCTGCTGCAATAAGTACAGATACCAAATGAACACTGTAAAGAATGTTAGAGAACTAAAGGCTGTACCTTAAATTAACAATCAAAATTTATTGTTAACCTATGATAATTGTTGGTAATAGTTTTGAGGAATATTAATTGTTAATGAATGACAAAATCATCATCATGATTTATAACTCAGATAATAATGATTTTTATTTGTCAGTAACAATTATTAGTGTTATGATATTTTTATTATTTTAGTCTGACAACTAATACAATAACTGTTTACCTTTCTTTTATTAGGTGTACAGATTAAACAAAACATCAGCTGAAATTGCTAAGAAGGCAGCCATTGAGGTTGCTGTTGCCACAGGTATAAAGTCCATCAGAGAATAATGCTTGATGTTGTTAAGCTTATTTTCATGTGTTTGGAAAATCTTAGTTGATTGGCCATTTCACTTTTTCCCAACTTTCTCAGATTTTGTGGATATAAGGGAGATTGACACATGTCTTTCCCAAATCCTTCCATATGCCATTTTTATTATTGTGTAACTCAGGGGTATTTTAGCTAAGCAGCTAAAGTGCTACTAGCAAGTTCAAACTATTGCCAATGTCCCAGACAGTGGAAATTGAAGTTTTCATACATTGTGAATGATTGCCAATTATTGTCGTTGAAATTTGGGGCACATCAGGAAAATAGAAACACTACCAATTTTCCAGATTTGTCACCAACCATCCCAGACAGTTGGCAATCTCTATGGTTTCAAGTTTCATTTGTCAGAATAATCTGGGATTTTCCTGACATGAAAGCCAAACTTTACTGAAAGAGAACTGCTCCCTCACTTTTAATTCAACATTTTTGTTTGATGTGAATTAAACATTTTTTAGTTGCAGATTGAAGTTTATGAAATGTATACTAAATGTCAATGAATAGTTTCAACTGTTTACTCTAATTTACAATTAATAAAATATTTTTAGGTGTGAAAAGATATGTGGCTGGTGCAATAGGTCCAACCAACAGGACACTTTCAATCTCACCCAGTGTTGAAAATCCAGGATACAGAAACATCAGTAAGTCTATTAGGCCTTTAACTCCCAGATCAAATATGTAATTCTCCTTTCTGTCAACCATATAATTCTTATCATGTTAGTTCAGAGAATTTAGTATCAGATCAGCCAATTATCCCTAAATTTATATTTTTCTTAATTCTCATCACTTCTCTGGTTGATATTGTATTAATATTGTAGGGAGAAATTCTGTCTTGGTCACTCATGGGAGTTAAAAGGTTAACACCCAAACATCAATATACACATTCTCCACAGTGCCCACTATTCATTTCCTATGATAGGCTGAGTTGGAGAATTTCTTTAACAAAAAGACATTCTTAAGTTGGCGATTATTATTTTTATTCTCATGACCTCGTTGTTTGATCCAATGGCAATAATGTGTGAAAATTTGTCAAAATTGTCGAATCAACTCAGCTGATTATGCTTACATTAATTTGACTAGAAATTGTCAATTCCACCAAGCTGATTTTGCTTTGAAGAATTTGACTAAAATTCACCAAAATCGTCAAATCCATGAACATTCACTTTGGCTGACAAAATTTTGTCAAATCTGCCATTTTTGTTACTGCATGCATTTCTGGACCTATGCGATACATTGAGGAGTAATTGAAGGCTAATAACTCTTAGAGCTTAAAGGGTTCTTGACTATCCTTTTGCTACTCTTTGGTCATGAAATGCTGTAACTAATTGAGGCAAGATTATAAACAAAGGTCTTTTTGTTTCCAGACAGTAGATGTAAGACAATATGTAGACAAATGGTTTGTGTACAAGTTTGTTTTGTTTGTTCATCAACTGAACTAATTGTTTTTTTTTAGCCTTTGATCAGTTGGTAGAGTCCTATGCAGAACAAGCCAGAGGACTTTTGGATGGTGGTTCCGATGTTCTTATGGTGGAAACAATATTTGACACAGCAAATGCTAAGGTAAACAGGACACATATGTCAGTGTGGTTGTACTGTCTTGAGATTCAAGTCTGCCTAAAGGCAACCTCCAAAATAAATTGCATTTTTGCTGGTGAGGTTTTTGAACTGTTTGCTGGTAGTTAAAAAAAAAAAATGACAAATACTTGATGAACTGTTGCTTTTGCTCATGGTGACTTCAGCAACTAACAAAAAATAAGGGAAAACTCCAAAGGGGAGTCAGAAGCGACAGCATGCAAAAGCTTGTCAGGGGACCTTCACCTGTGCCTGTGGCTTTTATTATATTTTGATTTTTGGAAGGTTTCTTTTGACAACAAGTGCCACAGAGTAATTCTGTAGTTTTTGTATCTTGATTTAACACTGTAACTCCCACGATGCAAGAAGTCATTCTCCCAAATGGGAAACTAGACAGGAGAATTCATTTTGAATCATAACAAGCCTCTCTTTTCTAATAACCTGTTTCCTAGATAATGTATCTGAACTGCAATGGGAAGTTACAAGTTAATTTACAAGGTTAAAAACCTGTGTTAAAGTTTTAAACATGACTATTTTTCAGGCAGCGTTATTTGCTATTGAGCAGCTCTTTGAAAAGGAATACAAGCCAGTTCCAATATTTGTAAGTAATCATGAAAACAAAATGTGTGGAAATTTTAATGATTATTCTTACAGACAGGCATGTACACCTTCCATTGACACATACAATTATTGATATAAAATATTTTATTTTATTGACAGTATGAGGTGTGGTTGAAAGGATTAACTTGTCTTTGACAGTTGTCAGTGGCATATTTTGGTTCACCATATTTATAAATCATTTCCTTTAGGTGTCAGGCACAATTGTGGATAAGAGTGGTAGAACATTATCTGGTCAAACCACTGATGGGTTTGTGATCAGTGTGTCCCACTCCAAGCCTCTGAGGTAGGTTGAAGAAATGGGGACTGTAGAAATGCACAATGGGGACAGCAATGAGAATGTAGTGAAACAAAAGATGTAATGAGCCAAACGATAGCAAAACATGTGCGTTTTAAAACTTTGTACATTTCGTAGCTGTCTCATACAGGAACAAAAGTGTAAAATCATCAATTTTCACTTCCTCTTAGCAAGGAAACCTCAACAGCAATTTAGTCACACTTCAACTTTGAACTCAACACTACATATAAATGTTATGTCGATGTGAAGATGTCATGCTGTCAGAAATGCAGTGAATTAGATTTTTTCAACCAGTACTTGTTGCCATAATGACATCCTCTACTCCTGAAGAACAATGCGCATGTAACAGATGCTTCACAAGCTAATTTTAACCCCTTAACTTCCATGAGTGACCAAGATAAAGACCCCATCCAAGCCCCTCCTCCCAAACAAAAATACCAAATTTATTAGATGATGATAAAAATTAATGTCTAAGCCAAGGGGGGGGAAGAGGAGGGAAATCATCTTGTTGTGGGCATTAATGTTTCTGCACTTGTTTATTTGCAGCATTGGACTCAACTGTGCCTTAGGAGCTACTGAAATGAGGCCATTCATAGAAGCCGTGGGCTTGTGCACAACATCCTATGTTCTCTGTTATCCTAATGCAGGTAATTGGAGGACTTCAATTTATTTTTTTTTCACAACTTTGGTGAGGGTAGGAACCCCTTTACACCCTAACATAAGTATACATAATCTCCATACTGTCCTCTATACATTTCCTAAGATGCCAACAAGTAGAATTAGTAGAGCAATCAAGAGCTTCTTTAGTTGGCGATCATTTCCTCTCTTCTTGTGACCTTCAAATGTTTGATTGATTGACTAACGAACTAATCAACCAAAGGCAACTGACTTTGCGGTTACCCAGCTAAGCAAGAACTATCCAATTTTAAACAAAGTAAAAATGACTGCATGGTGTAAATAAACGATTATTTGCCTTAGGACTGCCAAATACTTTTGGAGGTTATGATGAAACACCAGAGATGACAGCAGAACATTTAAAGGTAAACCATGTGTTAACACATATCTTAACAGCATGTAGATACACTATCATCTTCTTCTGTGCACACCATTCTATGCCTTAATTATTTGCACAGAATTATTATTAATCTTGTAATGACCTTAGTGTGCCTTTCAAAAATTTCAGAATTTTGCTAAAGATGGTCTTGTGAACCTTGTGGGAGGCTGTTGTGGTACAACACCAGCTCATATCAAGTATGTACATTAATTCGATAAAAGATTTATTGATGCATTAGTGCAACACAATTGTCGCACTAGTCTGTTGTAAACTTGGTCATCAATGTTGCAGTGTCTTCCAAGGTACAACATGTTTTTAGAATCAGGAAACAATCTCTTGCCAGACCACCTTCCCAATGGGACCTGTCACTTGAGAGGCAAATTGCTATCCAGTGCACCAAGTTTACTTAGCATTTTTGACTACAAGAATGTGCTTTCATTAAAAAGGCCATATGTGTGAAATGTAACTTTTGCTTAACCAAAAGCTATAAAAAACAGTGGACTTGATATTTCACCCTGCATAGTTTGTTTTCCAAGTTCTCTGGCTTTACATTCTCTCTGACTGCATTAGTATAGAATTTGCACTACTGGAAACATGCATTCTTGCTAACTGCCATATTCTTTGATACCTTAGTAAAATCTCTTTGATGCCATTCCATCGTCATAATCCTGTGAAATTAAATCTCTTCAATGCTGGCTGCTCTAACAACTCTTTATTAAAATTTTTATCTTATTTTGGTTTAGAGCAATAGCTGAGGCAGTTAAACCTTTCAAACCAAGACCATTACCAGAAGATCATTATGCTAATGCCATGAATCTTTCAGGTACGTGTCTTTTCTTGAGCAACAAGGAATTGCCTTGCTTGTACCTGTTGAACTTGCTTTTTTTTCTCAGAGTAAATGAAATTTCCTTTGGTGGCATTTAACATGTAGGTCTTGAACCCATGAGAATTACACCAGACACCTTGTTTGTAAACATTGGGGAGCGTTGCAATGTTGCTGGGTCCAGGAGATTTTGCAGGCTGATTAAGGAAGGGAAATTCGAGGTAAGGAAACTGAATTATGTCAACCAGACAAGGTGATCAACACTAGCTTCTTAGTTTCTTCAAGCACTGAAAAATTTGCCACTCTTGGATGTAGTAGTTGTGTATTTATTTTTTAAGCCTTTATTTCTCTGTATCACACAGGAAGCACTAGCTGTAGCCAAGCTGCAGGTGGAGAATGGCGCCCAAGTTTTAGATGTTAACATGGATGAAGGCATGTTGGATGGAGTGTCGTCCATGTCAAAATTTGTCAACTTGATTTCGTCAGAACCAGAAATTGCAAAGGTATCAGTATATAAGATTTGAATACTTATTGACTTTGGAAAAAAGAATTAAAAAAATGAAACTAAAACGATAAAAATGGCTACTTGAAGTATTGTTTATGTTCACATCTCTTTGCACATTTTTAAAATGTATGTTTTGGTAGTATTCTAAGATTTTATTGAATATTTTTCCTGCATCCTTCTTTACTTTGTGTTATATGTTTGTTTGTTTGTTTATATGCATTGTTCCTATCGTCTTCATATTGTTTTTGCCCATTGTAATTTACAGTTTTACCACTGCAGTGAAGTGATATATCGAGCCGTACTTACGGTTATTGTCATTTTTTTTTCTGCACCAGGTCCCTCTCTGTATTGACTCGTCCAACTTTGACGTGATAGAGGCTGGGCTCAAGTGCACTCAGGGAAAATGTATCGTGAACAGCATCAGCTTGAAAAACGGAGAGGAAGACTTTTTGGAGAAAGCAAAGATCATCAAACGTTATGGTGCTGCTGTTGTAGTGATGGCATTTGACGAGGAAGGACAGGTAAGCGCTGCGGCTGGGAATAGTTTTCATTTGACTATACATCTAGTCAATCAGTACTTCAGAAATAATTTGTTGACAATTGACTCCTTTGTCTTACAGGCTGCAGAATTAGAAGACAAGATCAAAATTTGCACTCGTTCTTACAACTTACTGGTGTCCAAAATAAACTTCAACCCCAATGACATCATCTTTGACCCAAACATTCTCACAGTTGCCACAGGAATGGAAGAACACAACAACTATGGAAAGTACTTTATTGAAGCCACCAGGGCTATAAAGGTTCGTGTTTTTATGGTTATCGTTAAGCTAGATGTAAAGTAATTTCGTCATTCATTTTTCAAACCGTGGGTTGGAACCAGCTATTTACACATTCGCGTCCACTTATCCAAAATGGTAATTACAGTTCACATCATAAAACGTGTTTACAGAAATCTAGAACGTAATTTGTACAAGATTAAAAGAAATTGATTTACCATGGATTTTATTTTCTTTCTAGCAAACCCTTCCAGGTGCAAGAGTCAGTGGTGGCCTCTCCAACTTTTCCTTCTCGTTCCGTGGAATGGACGCAATAAGAGAAGCCATGCACAGTGTATTCCTGTACCATGGGATTAAGGTTAAATTAAATTCCTAATGTAATCCATGGTTTAGGCAATATTGAGTTTCTTTCAAATCTCACCTCAAAAAGAGAGCGTTCCAAAGATAAACGGGGAGAAATAATGATCAAAAATTAAAAAAATTAGTACAGTTGTTAATAGTAGTTTGAGTCGTGGCACATCTTGGTCCACCGATTCTTAAAGGACTGGTCCCGGAGAGAAAGGCAAACCTAAAAACCTAGAAAAAATCTGTTACCGAAGGACACGAAACAATTACAAGCTCAATCCATATTTGACTCGCCTGTAAGCACGCTCCTTTTATTAGCGCTGCAGAACGTGCGTTTCTCCACCGGCGGAGAGATTTGAGACGAGTGGACGAGAGTTTTTGGCACTGCCTGAAAATGCTAGACCCCTTGTCGACTTCTCACCAATTTCCGTCGCTCAAGGCCTCGTACTTTCCCGCCGGCACGCTCGTGCCGAAGGATTATATTTGACATCAGATCCAAGAATCAAACACTGACCAGTTATGGGAGGGAAGTACTCCCACTCAGTGACATCCTAGCTCTGCTGAAGATTTCTTTCTTTATTTGCAGTGAGGTTTTTACAGTCATGATCATGTGATTTTCTTGCAGGCTGGCTTGGATATGGCCATTGTGAATGCTGGTAATCTGCCTGTGTATGATGATATCGAGCCAAAGCTTCTACAATTGTGCGAGGATTTATTGTGGAACAGAGATCCAAACAGCACTGAAAAACTGCTGCAGTATGCTCAGGTACGTATACTTTGGTGTATGATAAGATAATTTGGTTTTATCAACTGAGTTGATGATGCGAATGGGCCACCGTAAAGAGTTTATAAGCTAACCGGCGTTTCGAGCGTTAGCCCTTCGTTAGGAATGATTCGCTCTGACAGAGGGCTTACACTCGAAACGTGAGCTCTCTACGGTGACCATTTTGCATTATCAACTCAGTTATCAAAACCGAATTATTTTATTATTATTATTATTATTATTATTATTATTATTTGAATTATCTCACCCCTCGAGTATAAAACAAGAAATAAATGTCTCTGTCTGGGGTTTTAGTGAGAGCCGGTTATAGGAGGAGTAAACTCACCCCTTCCCGAGGGGAAAGGGGCCTCACCTTCATTACCACAGCCGCCTATTAACCATGGGTAGATGCTTATGGGAAAAGTTAGTGAAACCTCTGTCTATATGATATTTCTGTGATGCACAGGGAATGGGCAAAGGAGCGAAGAAACAGGTAACCACAGATGAATGGAGAAATGGAAACGTGGAAGAGAGGTTGGAGTATGGCTTAGTGAAGGTAATAACACAAAAACATTAGTTTAACTCTTTACACCTTAACATCAGTATACAATTTCTCCATACTGATCTCTATACATTTCCTATGGTACTGACAAAGTGAATTTGGTTAACAGTCAAGAGCTTCTGTAGCTGGTGATCATTTCTTTTATTCTCATGACCTCAATGTTTGTTTTAAGGGTGATACTGATAGGGGAAAATAGTTACTGATCACTCTTTAAGGGTGAAAGGGTTTTGAAACAAGCAATTGTTAAATGTGAAAAAGTGATACAATTTAATTTTGCAATCTTCTAGGGCATCGACAAATTTGTGGTAGAGGATACCGAGGAGGCCAGGCAATGTTCAGAGAGATATCCCCGTCCGTTGAACGTAATCGAAGGACCATTGATGAAGGTAAGGTTTTGTCACAATTCATTGTCCCTAAGTCGGTTGCTGAAAACGAGAAAAGAAAAAGGTGGGACATCTTGATAGCAAATTATAGATGACTTACTTTGGGTCGAGGATCCGTCGTTAAAACTGACCTGTGACTTCTGTTTCCTTATAGGGTATGGGAGTGGTTGGAGATCTGTTTGGTGCAGGAAAAATGTTCTTACCTCAGGTAGGAAGAGCAAATCCACTCCGTTTCAAAAACATAAAGAGACAGACTAATAAGGAAGGACTGACTGTCTGACTGACCAACTGACTGACTGACAGGCTGACTGACTGACTAATTGACCGACTGATAATTGACAGTTTAATAATTCATTTCTCTGAAGCACACCGTATAATAAAAAATCATACTGCGTTCAACAGGTTATTAAGTCAGCTCGTGTTATGAAGAAAGCTGTGGGTCACCTGATCCCATTTATGGAAAAGGAGCGCGAGGAGAAACTGGCCGAGAGGGGAGTTGGGCCCGAAGATGACCTTTCGGTAAGTATGAGTCCCTAGTATCACTTAAGTAACTTGAGCTCAGTATACTTTTGGCTAATGGAACCCTGTTATGGAGCGCTTCAAGTTTTCATGTCGCGGTGGAAATCAAAGACGAGATGACAATGAAAAAAAAAAAGCTTTGAATCATTACAGTCAGTCAAACCAAAAGGTGATGGTAGACAGAAAAATTGAAAAAAGAAGGAATCTGAAAAGGCTCCGTTGGTCGTCAAACATTTCATTTCTCGGAAAAATACTTCTAGTAATTATTATTTTATTCTTTATTTGTCTGTTTTCAGAGCCGTTACAATGGAACAATTGTCTTGGCTACTGTCAAAGGGGATGTACACGATATTGGCAAGAATATTGTGGGAGTTGTGTTGGGCTGCAACAACTACAGGTAAAATGATACACGATTGTTCTTAATTTAAAGAAATTACAAGGAAATTGTTTTATAACTTTTTCTCGTCTTTATTGTCTACAGGGTTATTGACCTTGGTGTGATGACGCCGTGCGAGAAGATCTTACAGACCGCGATGAAGGAAAAGGCCGACATTATTGGTTTGTCAGGTCTAATTACTCCGTCACTGGACGAAATGATTCACGTCGCCAGAGAGATGGAGAGACAAGGTCTCAAAATACCACTGCTTATTGGAGGAGCAACAACTTCCAGGTAATTTTTCTTTGTATGAGCTGAATGCAGGCGACACTGGGCAATTTTAGGCGCAACAACTTTGACCGAAGGCTATACGATGGCATTTTCTACTTTTGTCCATACACTGGGCATCCTAAAAGATTTTCGCCTATGGCCTTAATTGACCCATAAAATCTTCTGTGTGTCACTGGCTGAAAGTTAAGAATTCAATTTGAGCTAGAAGTATAATTCTGTATTACTTCTCTACACTTTGATAAGCATTCCGTATTTCGCGGTTTTGTTTTGGTTTTTTTTTTAATCCAGGACGCACACGGCTGTGAAGATCGCTCCGCGTTACACGGAGCCTACTGTCCATGTTCTCGACGCTTCCAAGAGTGTTGTGGTGGTAAGGCAGCTTGATCGTACTCTTACATTTCGTGTTGTGTTTCGTGGCTTTTTTTTTATCGATTTGTAACTTGATAATCTGTTTGCATAGTGCTCAGCGTTGATTGATCAGAGCGCTAAGGAGGACTTCATGGAAGAAATCAAAGAGGAGTACGAAGAGATTCGAGACGAGCATTACGATTCTTTAAAGGTGAGAGAAATGTCACTGGGTGTCACAATAACACCCACCAAGGTTGCAGTGTTCGTCTCTTTTCTCTCTACAGGGGATTCAGCCAAGATGCTACGTCCTTAATTTGTTTTGGTTTAGAAGGATTAGAAGTTGAATTGGATGCAGACGTGTTTGACGTGTTTAAAATCTATGTCACAGTATCACTAAGGTATTTCAACACTTCCCTTGAACCTCCGAGAACTTGAATTCTCTTAAAAATCGCTCAGAGAGGGTTTTTCTGTAGGGAGAAGCCTCTGCGTAAGATTTGGGGGCGTATACTTCTTTATCTACCCTTCAAATTTGATACGTGAAGCGCTACTACCTTTGACTGGCAATACGTTTTGTTTTTCGTTCATGAAAGAAAGAAGGATTAAAACCTCTTATCTTTTTTCGGCTTCATATTTCAGCACATTTACTAAAATGGTATGATTTTTTTCTTTCTTTTTGGCAGGATCGCAAGTATTTGTCCCTTGAGAAAGCCCGCACGAAGAAGTGCAATCTGGACTGGGTTGACTTCACTCCAGGTTCTTACTTAAAACTGCTTTACAAATAACTTGAAAGTATGATTCAGTCCTTTCCGAAATTGGAACGTCGTTGTTGTGTAACATATATTGTAGCTGGTTTTTGTAGATATCTTCAGTAAACAGAAAATTTCTCTGCTTGAAGCTCCATTCAAGGATTGTTATCCAATGACACCTTTGATTGGCTGGTGCTCAGAAAGAAACAGCCAATCAGAGACGATGCGCAGATCTCTAGAGAGCTACGTCATCAGCTGTTTTTCTGGTAAAACTTTTCAAGGGGAGATAAACTCGAATTTTTTTAACATAACTGATTTTTTTCCTTGTTTTTCAGTGCGGCCTTCGTTCTTGGGTGTCAAGGTGATCGATGATTGCGATTTAAATGATATTATTCCTTATATTGACTGGAAACCTTTCTTTGACGTATGGCAACTGCGTGGAAAATATCCCAACAGGGGGTACCCTAAAATCTTCCAGGATAAAACTGTCGGTAAGTGTAAGAATATGAAACTTAAAACTACCTGAAACTTAAAATTTGTATTATCACCGATTGTTTCATTTTTGTTAGGTGTTTACTCGTCTTCCATTAGTGTCCTTTGTCCCAGTTTTTCTTGTTATATTTATTTCATATGGTATATATAGTAATTTATTTGGTTAGTTGTCTAGTTTTAAAATGCAACATGTTTTCGTATTTATGTGGTTTGGTATCCATACGAGTGATTAGCGTTTACGTTCAACACCGAATGTATTGGTATCCATACCACACCGATTATTTGGCAATCAGGTAATGAGAATTCTCAAACGTATCAGGTTTAAGTTGTTATCTTGATCCAACACCAAAATCTCTTAAATGGTTTACAAGGAAATGTGAAGCCGCTAGAAGGGAGAATTAACAATCAGATCTTGGGAATTAAAGGGTTAACCTTGGATTGTGTTTGCTTCCTCCTCAGGCGAAGAAGCCAAAAAATTGTTTAACGATGCCCAAGACATGTTAAAGACGATCCTTGAGACGAAATCACTTCAACCGACTGGAGAAGTGGCCTTCTTTCCAGCTAACAGTGTCGGGGATGACGTTCATATTTTTGAGGACGACAACAAACGAGAGGGTTCCCCACGGGCTGTGTTCTACGGCTTGAGACAACAGGTAGGCAAGCGCAGCGTGCAGACTCTCTCTGACCTCGAGATAACACTTTGTTAAGTAGAAGTCTTCGTGCCCTTTTATGGAAATTTCAATAACTATACCTAGTATTTAAGCTATGTTATTTTAGTAAGTAGTTAGTTCGTTCTTCTTAACTTTCCCATTGTATTAGCTCGGAACAAAAGAAAATGTTCGCCCTACCAAGCCGATACAGAGTTGTCACTTCGTTTGATAAAGAAAATATACGTGAAAAGAGGTTTCGTTTCATTAAGGAACCATCAATGATTTATCACCTGTTGGGTGGAGGATTTTGGGGCGGGGGGGATGGAGGGGAATCAGTCGTAGCTAACAGAGTATAAAGAGGGGACTAAAATAGTTGACTGCCAGTAAGGGGGGGGCTTAAGAGGGATCAGGTAAATTTAATTGTGACATTACCAAAATTTTTCTTCCCTATCCCCCGGCGATAAATAATGGCCGGTCTCTAAGTGAATGATTTTAAACACACACTGAAAACTTGTGATACTTCCGTAACTTAGTGAAAATATTAGAATAAAAATAAATATCACTTTTACGATAGTGCTTTCCGCGTGACTCGCGCCACCATCAGTTTACTGTGTCTTCACAGTTTACTTTGCTTTTACACATTACTGAAAACGGAATTGACCCCAGCAGAGCGCCAAGGCACTTTATTTGTGTGCGAACTTAACCTCTCCTCACTCTAAGCAAACATTTTAAGTCATATTTCCGTTCTAAACGAATTGTGTCTCATTTTCAGGCCGAAAAGGAGCATGGTGTTGAAGATCCATATCACTGTCTGTCTGACTTTGTAGCACCGCTGGACTCAAATATCAAGGACTACGTCGGATGCTTTGCTGTATCTATTATGGGCGCCGAGGAGATGGCTAAAAAGTACGTAGCTAAACGGCATATAACCCCTTTACATCCTAACATCAGTATGCATATTCTCCATACTGATCTCTATACATTTCTTAAGGTGCTGAACAGGAGAATTTGTTTTATAAATTAAGAGTTTCTCTAGTCGGTGATCATTTCCTTTATTCTCGTGCCCCTAGTACTTGACTCAGAGGTGATGTTGTAAAGAAAGTTAGTTGCTAGTCACTCGTAGGGATTAAAGTGGAGAAAATTGACGTGGATGGAATCTTTAAACGTTTTGATATAGAAACCAAGTGATAGTACATGACTTGTTGTCATTGAGGTCGGCTGGTATAAAAGAGGTAAAGCGTGGCGTTTACGGCAAATGGCAATCATTTAGTTTTAAGCTGTCTCCTTTCAGTCGATTTCACACTGAAGTCAGAGGATTTGAATTTATGAAGACGATTTTTCCGTATTTTTCACAATGTTGGTGTTAAGATTTAGAGCCAAAAAAGTTCTTTCAATTAGAGTTACTTTTATCGTTTGCTTAAACTCACTAAGTTAAATCAATGATAGTTAAACATTATAAATTTGCCCTCGGAATGCCGATATCGCCCTCAGTGATAAATAGCTTATTTTTAGAATTTAACGGAATGTAATGTTTATTCTCTGCTTCTCAGATTTGATGAAGATCTTGACGATTACAGTGTTATTATGGTAAAGGCACTTGCTGACCGCTTGGCCGAAGTGAGTAACATTTCCTCCAATTCAGCGACGTTTAAAATCCTTTCGGAAATATCTAAACTGTTGTGTTTATCGAAGGAGCTACTCTGCGGCCTTCGACCTGTCTGAATCGTCCACTTTAAAGTCATAGATCCCCCACTTGGGCTTTCCTGTTTCTCTCGAGTTCTTCCTTGGTCTTAATCATCAAGTACTTAAGTTATTTTAATGTATGAGTTGAATTGTAAAGTCTTGTAATTGTAATTGTAAGCCTTGCTCTATTCTTGTATTTTTCCTTGTACCAGGCCTTTGCAGAGGAACTTCATGAACGTGTGCGCAAGGAATTATGGGGTTACTGTAGCGATGAAGTTCTGGACGCGAAGGACTTACTCCGAATCAAATACCAGGTAAGTAGTGGTGTGTGATTCTGAACAATGGCTGACGGTGATCGCCGTCATTCATGGCTGGAAGACTGGACCCTAGAATAACGATCAAAATTTTAAGGTCTCTCTCTTAAAAATAGACCTAACAGTGAAAAAGAGCGTGGTTCCAATAATGATATATCCATAGAGTACGTCCCTAAGTCATGAAAATATTTGTCACTTTTTAGAATTAAATTTCCTCGGCGTTGACAATGCTTGAATTTGAAGACTGGACAACATAAGTAATGCATAGCAACCTCTTTACTTTACTTCTCCAGGGAATTCGGCCGGCACCGGGTTACCCAAGTCAACCGGACCATACAGAGAAAAAGACCATGTGGGATTTAATGAACTGTGAGAAACTAACTGGAATCAAGTTGACAGAGTCGCTGGCCATGGATCCCGCTGCTTCAGTATCGGCGGTTTTCTTCGCTCATCCTAAAGCTGTTTACTTCTCAGTGGGAAAAATCTGCGAAGACCAGGTAGGACACAAGTTACGCTTTGTGAAATAACAGAGCGATGAAAACCAAGCGCCTTTCCTCGCTCTCTCCCCCACCGTCCACTCGAGCTCTAAATTAAACATGGCCGGTCGAATAAACGAACGCGAGCTTTTTGACGTTCACTCGCCTTAAGATGACGCCTTCAATGCAGGCTATCTGCTTCAGTGATAGGCTCCAAAACAAAAACTCGCGCTAAAGCTGGGTAAAACGGATCATGCCTTGGAAAAACGCTCAAGCAGACAAACTAGACGAAAGTTAACTTTGAAGTGTTCTTCACATGCGGTGGCTATGATACAGTTCCCACTAATAATTGCGCCTTGTTTTCCTCTCTTTCTCTCTCACTAAGGTGAAAGATTATGCGGAACGAAAGGGAATGCCAATTGAGGAAGTCGAAAAATGGTTATCTCCTATCCTCTCCTACGACAGAGACTAAACGCAAACAGAATAATATTTATCAAGAGAAACGCTTGTCGCTGTCTTGTTCACGTACTCAATCTCGTTCCAAGATGATGCTCTTGAGAGCAACCTATCCTTCGCAGATCTGATGTGCACGTGCCTTTCCAGCGGCGTGTCTTTTTCGCACGTTTTGGGATCGTGTTCTACGCGGAAATGGGCAAATAACATTAAGGACCCGAATCTTTGTAAATGAAAGGTGAACTCGATAGGAAACGCTTGATAGGCGGAGTACTAAGTATAAAAGTATCAATTATGTTGGTTCAATCCTCAAAAGTCTATTTAAATTATAATGCACTACTGCAAGGCATAACGGGTTTTCTGGGCTATGTCAGCGTTATATCCTCTGACGAGGTGAGTTTGGTAAAATGAAGTAAATGTTTTCGAAATGCACGATGTTGGTAACTATCCGTAATGGATTACTGTTGTCTAGGAGTTCGCTATGTAATAGTTTACCTTTGAAAATATGTTTTGTGGGAAGTATTATACTGAAACTGCTTATAGTATCGTGACATTTAACAAGCATGATTAATAACCTTGAACTTGAACTTTCAGAATTTCAAACATGTTCCTTCTCCCGCCGTTTCAGTACTTAAAATCTTGCAAGTAGACACGGGGAGCAGGCTAGCGAATCGGCAAGAAGGTGTTATCTCGTTCTAACACTAAACAGTGTTCAATAAGAAGCGTAGCGAAAGGAGAAGGCAGATAGGAATGGAGAATTCATGTTATTTAAGGTTAATGATATTCTTTATTGTACATCATAATACGTTTTATATCGTGGCTCCGATTATTACGCACAACAGCCCTTGCATAAACTCCAAATGGTTTAAGTATGTTGCGTGGAGTACCATTTGTAATGATAGCCACTGAGGATAATGATTACTCTTAAGTAATAAACTTCTGTATAAAAACAACATTTTGCGTGATTTTAAAAGTGGTTGTGTCCAAAGTAACAAGGTCTGTGTATAAACGGATTAAAAAAAGGTGAGTTTTGAGCTCGGTGAGGAAATAGTGGGAGATGTTTTTTTCGCCATGTCGCGTGCGATGAAGAAAAAAATTCTGAGTCTCTATGAGGGCGAGTCAAACCACAGACCTTCGGATTCCGCCTGTGACATGACAAAAAAAAAAATATATATATATATATATGTCTTTCTCAAAGGTCTAATTTTCTTAATTTTTTATTATTAGCTGTAGAAATCTCGGGCTTATAGCGGTACTCTGTAAGTCAGGCTCTCTCATTTCCGAACATTTCTTGCATAGTAGGCAAACATATACAAATGGTAGGGAGTGAAGAAAATTCGAGGGGGAAGCGGAATGATATTTAAATCTTCCAGGTTTAAATGATCTGGCTAGTTCGCGCCTGCATTGAACTAGCCCTAACTTTGGGGGCTGGTTTCTGCGCGTCGTGTGTTCTTACCACATTTTAACGTCATATGTGATCTATTAATGAACAGGTAAAATGGAATCATTTGTTTAACTGACAATGGCTCTTGAACAATGAGCGCGCGAGAATCTCTACTGTCGCTTTAAAAACCAGCTAAATCAAAACCAAAATCGAGAAACGACCACTAGGGTCCAAAATCAAAATTCGCCTATTAGTGTCCAAAATCAAAAATCGGCCACAAGTCTCCAAATTAAGAAATTGGCCACAAGTCTCCAAAATCAAAAACCGGCCACTAGTATCCAAAATAAAAAAAACCAGCCAATAGTGTTCAAAATCTAAAACCAGCCACTAGTATCCACGATCAAAAATCTGCCACTACGGTCCAAAACTAAAAAAATGGCTTCTAGTGTCCAAAATCGAAAATCAGTCACTAGGGTCCAAAATCGAGAATCGGCCACTTGTGTCTAAAATCAGACTCAGCCACTGTATCCGTAACAAAAAGACAACCACAAGTGTCCAAGATCGAAAATCGGCCACAAGGATCTAAAATCAAGAATCGGCCATTAGTCTCCAAAATCGAAAATCGGCCACTAGGGTCCTAAATCTAAAATCGGCCACTAGTGTCCAAATTCTAAAATCGGCCACTAGCGTCTAAAATAAAAAATCGGCCATAACTGTCCAAAAATGTAAAAAGGTTACCATCACTTTTAAAGTGTCACGGCAAGAACTGAAAAAAATTATACCTTCGTATCTAATTAACCTGTTTGCAGCCGCCCCTACGTTCCAAAAAGAAAAGCGGGAAGGAGCCGATTTTCTTTTGGAGGGTATGGGGTGGCTGTACATAGGCTTGATCTACTTGACATAAATTGGGGATTCAAACGGTAAAATGCTCTCTCTTTAGATAAAACTATTTTCCTTTTTAAGGAAAAGCTTTGTTTTTCACGCGCCTTCCTGAAATGATTATGAGATGTTTTAAGTCTTCTGTAGCACTGGGAAACATCGGGTCAAAATTGAAACAAGGTCGCGATTATATTGTTACTATCACTCACTCACTCACCTGCCTACCCAATCACTTATCTTAAAGATAAATGTGGCTTCGCCTCCTATAGGAGGCAATAACTAAACTGGAGAAAAATGGATTTATAGCATATGAACAAGGGTAATATTCTGTGGTGATTTTTAAAACTGATATTTGGGTAGCCACAGCGAAGTTGAAATTTATTATTTTAATAATCAGCTCGCTTTGTAAAATTGAGTAAGGTTTTGACTCAACAAAACCATGTTAAGACTAGTTTACAGTTGTCCGACAAGCAAAAGACAATCATCTTGGTTGCTGGGGAGAAATATCTGTTTTTGTAACCGAGGGAGGCTGGGTAGAGAGAGAAAGATAGCTTCCAGGGGTGAGACGGAGGGGATAGACAGCAGACGAAGGGCACCGATCGGTGTAGTATTGTTGAAGCAAACTTTTAGGGTTTCGAAACAGGTTAAACTCACTTCCTGCAGTATGACGGTGAGAGTTATGGTCACTTATTGGTAAGCATGTTTTTAGGACTTAGGACTACTCTCTGTGGGTGTCTGTCGCTCCAGTTTTGCTTCCGTATATGGTGCTTGCTTCCGAAAGTTTTGATGTCATTCGTAAGCTGAAATTTAGATCGTAGAGCGCGTTGGATCTTACTCACAGTTTTACCTGTATTCAATTGCAGTGGAGGATGAGGGTACAAACCTAAGGTATGAATGGCACACCGAAAACTCAGTTAGCTTAAAATGACTGCTAGAAATTAAAGCAATTTTCGTTGCTTAAGTAGAAGTCAGTACAAAGTCATCAAAAAAATAGGTTAAATCGTAACTTTTGCCTCTATTTTTGCTGCTAACTGCGAACTCTGGCCTACTGGATTTGTTTTCATAAATTTCTAGCTTCCCTGAAGGAATGATCAAGGCGTCCATTAACTAAGAAGGTTTTATCCCTTTAATCACCAACCCCCCCACCATCTCCCCCCCCCCATCCCCATCCTGGTATCAGGGTTGGAAATTGTGGTGGTCTTTTCTGTTTATAACAACAATGTAGATTATCCAAACATATTTTCCATCAAAAACAATGTATGACTCTTATACTGAAAATAATTGGTATGATAATATTTTAATAGAATCCAAGCACATGACAAGTGCAATAATCTGATTGAAATGTGTGCAGTTTCTGCATTATTGTTATAATTATTATTATTATAAATAATATAGTTAATTTTTATTGTTATTACTACTGTTATGTTTTCCACATTTATTTACTTTGTTTTTAGTATCAGAAGATCAAACAGACGATCCTCAAAAAATTTGCTGGTAGAGAAGTGAAAGTGGTTAGTAACATGTACGCTATAGCTGTAACTCTTACTAAATTTTTTTATATCTTAAATTAAAAGAGAAGGTTACTTAAAGTACGCTGGAAATTTTTTAATTAAACTCCAACATTTTGCAATAACCTCTACATTGCATTCAAAGGAGAAGAATTTGGTTGTTTTTTTGCCCATCTGAAAAAGTATATTACCAGAATTCTTTTGGTAATGAGAGAAGTTCCATAATTAATATGTTAATTTTTATGGATACACCTATATATTTTTTCCCATCCTTTGCACAATAAACATTTTTTAGTTTTTGTCATGTGAAGGTCATTTTTTTTCTATTTGTTCTACAGCACGGATTTGCAACACAAACTGTTACTGGTTATTTAGAGGTAGAAGTGAATGATAAGCTTGTTCATTCAAAAAAGGTATGATAATTCTATGGAAACACCCCTTAAGATTACAGTTAACTTACTCAATTTTTTTTAGTCAAGTACACATATTCCCGGTATATATATTTACAGAAGTGTGTGTTTAGAATGTGAACCAGCTTTATGCAATCCAGTACCCCTGGTACAAATGCCCCTCTTCCCCTTTAGTAAATGAAATTGCCATGTGGACTGACAGTTTCAAACAAGCCTTATTGTGCAGATGGTGGTATTGGTAAAAGAGGAATAACTCATAGCTCTACACAAATATGTAGTTTCTATTATGGTGTGTTCTCTGTTTTGTTTTTGTTTTTTAAAATCACTTTATGAAAAAGTGGAATTTTGGAACTGAAACAGCTTTGAATACATATGGATTAGCCCTAAAATATTATCCTTTCCAGCAAAGTACCTTTTTTTCAGCCTTGTATAACATAATTTATATGAATATGATCTACTGGAGGACAGACACATACATGGCATCATCATCAACAACATTTTGCTTTTATATCTTATAAAATAAATAGATTCTACATCGCCATCGATCTGTACAGTAGTAGATCACAGAAGGCATCAATATGTGGTAGAACATCTGCAACACATGCAGCCACTACCCAATTGTGCCACATGTTTGTTCTTACCCCTTTTTGCATCATCTGTGATCTATTACTGAACAGATACACAGAAATGTTGAATAAATTTGTGAAATGTTAATTTTCCTCTCAGAATGGCGATGGATATGTAGACAGTGACAGCAAAATGGATAAGATTATACAAGCAATAGATGCTGCTCTAGAGGCTAACTAACCATGATCATTGCAAGGTAAAGGTGTACTGTGTTCATGTACTGATATTTGAGATTTAATTAAAAAATTGCAGCTTTAGAAAATATCAATGCCTCCCCAGAAGAAATTCAAATGGAAAATTCAATTGGGAGAAGCTGAGATCAAAAGAAATCTGTAATTTATTAGGCAAATATGCAGGAAATCAGAAGGGTCAAATATTATGGGGTATTATATACTTTTAGATTTGAAAGAAATACCCTTATATGCTATCTCTCCTTGTTCTGTCTATGGTCACAGTATGGCATTTATCTGAGTTGTAGAGATTTTACACCTTCCCCTCCACCCCACTGATAAGGTGACCACAAGGTGTTTGATAGACTCTACAATATGTAGTTGTCCATTTTATTTATCTGACAATAATTCCCTTATTCTTCTCAAATACTTACTTTCAGTTTGAACCAGCTGTTCGTTCTAGAAGGATGACTTTGAATGATGGGAGCAGCTTAAAAACATTATGTTTGGCTGACTTCTTGATAAAGTGAAGTGATTCCGTCTAGCAGCACTGAGCTTGTTATGTACTGGTAGCAGCACTGAGCTTGTTATGTAGCAGTAGCAGCACTGAGCTTGTTATGTACTGGTAATTCAGTGGTTAAAATTGTATGACAACTATTTTTCAAGCTTTCATTTAGTTTATGTTATATTTCATTCTACACTTTGCTCAAATTTTCATGGCTGATGTTAGTTTTTTTTTTTTAATTTTTTATTTGAACCAAATAAAAGTGAGCTGTTTGTTTCCTTTATATGATGTCATTACGTATGCAGGGTTTAGGGGGAGGGAAGAGGGAGGTTGGACAGAGGGATATTGAAGGATAAAAAAGGCATGAGGAAAACTAGAGAACTGGCAGAAAGTGGGAGACAAATGAAATGTGTTATGGAAGAACGGGTGGAAGATAAGAGAACAGTTAGTAAGAGGAGGTAGATTTTCACCTTTCCTCCTTCCCCGGAAATCTTTGTCAAGAACTGACTTGGTCTTAAGGGAAAAGGAAGGCCATAACAAAATTTGAATTTTCTCCTGCAGCATGTATCACTAAGTGAAAAGATTTCCTGCATGCAATCACATTATAGTTTCAACTTGCAAAGAATGGTGTGCTATCAACAGTGTTAAATTTTTCTTAGTGAGCTGTTTTTCCACCTAGCTATTACCGCAAAGAAAAGGGCCTCTCCGTTGGTAGAGATATACTCAGATGAAAGGGAAGGCACAATTTGTTTTTGGTGAAGGCCCTTCACTCTCACCCTTCCGCCCTCCTCCTTCCCCACTCACTCCACCCCTGCTCACCCCAACTCGGATCACATAAAATGTTAACGCAAATGGTCTTTTGGGACAGTTAAGACTGCAAAAGTCTGTGCTTTTAATTTGCATAAAAGGTCAGTCGTTGCATTGTGTTAGTGACCCTGTAACAAAATATTTGCAGGAGAAAAGATATTGTAGAAGTCAACTTGACCTATATGGTAAGTTTATGGACATTAGAGATCAAAATTTGCGTTACGTATGTGTGTACTCGTGTGCTCGATCGACGAAATTGCGATGGGTCTTTTCCTGTAATTCGAACGATTTTAGCTTCATGTAAAATTTAGCCAGTTTTCCTTCGAAAGATGACAGTAGTCAATGTTTTGATTTTGAAGCTAAGCTTTTCAATCTTCTGGTAGGCGATCAGGTTGAATGATCACGCGCGTCACGCACTCGATGTGTACGTAGGTTCTGACATTGCCATTTAACCTTTTTACTTCATATGGCTTTCATTCCATCTTTTTTCAAGTAATCTTGTGCATTATAATCCTTGGTAAATAGATATAGGTAACACAATGGTCTCCTGTGGGATGAGTTTCAGTCTCTCATACCACTTGATAGATACTTTAGGATAAAAACGAGGGATCATTTGAGAAGTGAGATTGGGTGAGAAGAGGTGGGAAATTTAAAGACGCATGAATTTTTTCACACAATAATTCGTGAAAATATTTTGACACCAATTTACCGCGAAAATTCCAAAAACATCTCTGCTGAAGAGCACATAGCCATAGGCCAAATAAGGCAGTGTTTGTTAACCCTTCCCCTCACAGAGTCACAGATAGCTCTCTGATGAGATTTTGTTTTTTTTTTTTTTTTTTTTCTTACATGTTTTGTTTTTCAAAGAACTGGTTCCACTTGATTCTGAAGTAGCTGAAAATGAGGTTATAAAGCTGATGGTATAAGTTGTGTCTGATACATATTTCCATCTTTATGAGGGTAGCAAAGGGCAGGGGGGCATCCTGATCCTGTTTCATGCACAAATTTTTAGAAAAATTCAAGATTATGATATTTAAAAGAGACAACTTCAAATCTATTTTCTTGTGTACTAGTTTCAGGGAAATCTTCAGGTTTTCATATGAAAGAAACAATTCATATGTCGTTTGTATTTCAGGTGGTAAATCACACCTCACGCTGATTCATAATTTCATGAATTGTGCTCTCTTTTCTGTAAAATTCATGTCACAAATTAATTTAGTCACATAGAAAATCTTTGCCACCCTCAACTGAATCAGGACTGATGCCAAATGTCCAGTTTAGACAGGTGTCTTTCATCATCCTTAAACTCCCACAAATGATAAACATGTGACTTGTAGGTACCATTTCAGTGCTCTTAGTGCTCAACCATTTTGAATTCAGAGGGAGGTAAACATTTAACTATTTCTAGAACTTATAGCCTTGCACATCAGTACACTATCCAAGAAAAACATCATGAGAAGAGACATCTAGAGGGTATTTGCTTGATTTTATTTACCCAGATTATAAAGAAACTTTTAAAAGTTATTATAATAGAGACTGGAGCATAACAATAAGATCCTTCCAGCCAAAGGGTCAAGGAAGGCTGATTCATTAGAAAATTATCACAAATAAAAATTAAAATTATCATGAATGAGAATCTGAATGACGAGATCTGACTCAAATTAAATTGCTTTTTAAGAATAGTCCAGTGAGAGAAAGTTAATTATTCCATTATCTATGTTTTATATCTTTCTTTTGACTAGTTGGTTAATTGCAGTTCAGAGTTCAAGATGAATTCTTTGAGGCCTCTTCAACTTTTTAGAATTTGACTGATTTGATATCTTAGGTCGGTGGAGTGCTTTTTTTCTAGTTATAATTTATTGTTAAACTACTATAATATTTTTATATTTTTATTTTTTTTTAATTTGGAGAATGTTTTCTACTGATACCTAATTTTCTGAGGTTTCTAATAATTAATTTTCTTTGTCCTTTTGGAGAAGGTAGCTCATGTCTTGTGACAGTAATCAGTGACTGCAAATGATGGGATTGACTGAAAAACATCTGTTAGGTCAACACCTTGAAGAAATAAGCAGTTTCTCACTGACTTAACTTTTCTATTACCTCAAGTACATGCACATAGTCTGATAATGATAATGCTGATGACAACAACAAAGACAATATTGTTGACAATGATAATAATGATGATAATGATAAATTAAATGAGTAAAATTGATCCCAGAAACAGGTTTCACTATCCCAGATTCAGGTTCTGCCATTATTTCTTGCACCCTCTGAAGACCAAATGCACATTTTAACATGATGTGTCATCTTCTCAGTTGTTCACAAGTGGTCTCCACAATTTCTATTGCCTTCACACTGGTGCAAGGAAATGAGTATGTAGCAATCAATACACCATAAGGTAGACTGCAGACTATGATTCCAGATCTGTTATGACGTGACATTGCATATACACTGAAATGACACAACAGAGAAGAACTTATTAATAATATAAAGCTGTGTTGAATCAGTGGGAAAAATAAATCACATCAGAGACACTCAGGGGTATTCATTTGATAACTTGTATTTTTCCCTCTCATCTCAGCTGGGATACCGTAATTACATTACCTACAAAAATTCTTGCAGTAGATGATGTACTTAATCTCTTGATCATCATTTGCAGTTTGCAGAATAAATCCCTTTTGGCATGCAGCAGAGTCTGCAAGGAAATGAAAGAAGATTCAAGGATCTTAGAAAAACATTTGTTTCTGTTCAAAGAGTGGGATTAAGTAACAGAAAACAGCCGCTGAACCACAAAAGGCAGCTTCAAATTTTCCTTTCTCCTTAGCACCTTGAGGCACTGTTTCCCAGTATACTGCAATTGTGCAAAAATATAAATACCCCTCCCTACAGGTAAATGTCTTTGTTGACTCCCTCACCCTCCCACCCCCACAAACCTGTAATTTAAATTTCCAGTTTGGCTAATCTAAATTGTCTACAAAACATTGAGTATAAAACTGGGCCACACACATAAAAATTGGCTTCCACCTCTTGGGTCTCCAACCCTTAAGAGGGAAACACTGCAGATAATGATTAAAAAAATATTTCTCCTTCTTCCTGCCTTACATTCTCCCCCTCCACACCCCATCCTATACCTCTTGCACCCCATTAATACCTCTCCTTCACCTCACCCTGACTCTTTCAGCTCCATACAGCTGTATTTGCCTGGGCTCCTGTTCTTCTATTCTCTTTAAGCTACTACTTTCAAGTCTAGGAAGTTTCCTGTAGCCAAACTCAATATTCTTCAAATTATACAAACAGAACATACCTTGTTCTTCAGATGTTGTTGTAAAGATAACAAGAAACTGGGCATAATATTTCTGCAAAAAAAACCCAAGATAATCCAGTAACTTTTCATCAAAAATTTTTTAAAGATCAGCATCAAGTGCTGGTATTGGTTTTCTAAAGGGCTTGAGAACCAACTTAAAACAAATACCTACAAACCTTTAACTTACAAAAAGAATCAGAATTTAAATCCTTCCACTGTGGTTTAAGCTCTAAATTCCTTGGGGGAATATGATAATTAGCCCCAAGCTTAAATGCTGTACCCAGCTAGATGTTGACTGGCATTTGATGTTGACTGACATTTGCTTGACATTTGAACACTTTTTCTGTTCATTCAATTGTTGAAGAGAGGGTTTGAGAATTAAGAAAATTATCAACTAGTTTGTAGGGATTTTCTTTTTAAAAATTGACCAATAAATAAATAAATTGTCATCACTAAGGAGAATTTGAGTAAACAGGCCACACATAGCAACTTTTACCTGAGTTAGATCTTGGAGGTTCCCGCATGAGTAGATTGAGTCACCGCGTTTAGTCAGGACAATCACACCATCAAGAATGGTGCCAACAAACAGATGTTCTGTGGATGTATAAATGGGAAATGAAACAATTATCAGTATTCACAGTAGCCATGGCTTGGAGTTAAACTATGTTCGGAATTATTTTCAACACCAATCCAGACTAGATACAACTAGCTTGTACTTACAACATTATTTCGCACAACAAGAACTTGAAAGGGAAAAGTTCCACATGCGGCACATATTAATTTTGCGCTTTCTAACGCATCACGAATAAATCCTTTGCCATCCTCGTGAAGTGTCTTGTCTAGATTACTGGTCTAGTAGTGTCCTAGTAGTAAACGGAATGACTGTCATATAGGATGAACCCATAATTGCAAAACATAGAGTTCCGTAGCTGTAAATCACAAATAGCTAGTGCACAGCTGACACAACAGTTTGGCTACAGTTCCCATTAATACTCTGCTTTGCAGAGAGAGGGAGAGGACAGAAAGTTTCTCGAATGCAGGAAAGGTGATTTGGCTCGGATGCGAGATCTTGTAAGTTGTTTCATCCGCGTTACCAGACCTGTGTATCGTTAAAAGAAAGTTGTACACATCGAACTTCACAAAACAACATCAAACATATACCTTTTACGAACTCACTCCAGTTCTCCTCTGATTCCATTTGATAACCGCTTCGTTCTTCCCTTAGTTCATCTGAAGCATTATTAAACGCTTAATCTATGTTAATTATTCAGCGAAACAAATATCACCCGGGAAGAAGAAAACAGAAAGTCATGTCTTTAAGTATGTCGTTATCGACAGGCGCCCTGACACATTGGTTACCAGGCTTTTTCGAACACTTCATTGGCTTACAGAAACTTGTTATTGAGTTCGATCATAAGGATAATAATGACGATGATAATTGCAATAATAGTGATTAAGCATTGAATATCAATATCAAATTGCACTTGAAATCCATTTTAGACTTTTCAGAGAAGAACACCCAGACACACTGAGCGAACAGTGACGAGTCACTCAGAATAGCAGAATACTAGATGGACAACTTTGCTTCACCAACAGCTAGGAGTCACCTATTCCGCGAATGGTGTTCTGAAATATTGCAGTAAGAGCAGTTGTACTCAATTTCAAATCGCTTCAACTGCCTAAGGCAAAGTCAGGTCAAAATTATACAAAACGTCTGAGTACGGTCAACTCTCTCCTAGACTCCCTTCACGTTTTAAGGCTTCTCACATTATAGAAGACACCATGAATTACTAACTTGAGTAGTTGCTTGTAACTCCAATGAGACAACTTGGTTCCAACAGCCAGCAGGCTGCTTCTTTTTCATTTCAACGTTCATACATGCTCAGACGTTTGGCTACTGTCTTAGTAGCTGTTAGAGCAATAAAAGATGTCACAGACACAGGCTGAGGAAATCGATGTAAAATACCTTCACCTAGAATCACTTTTTATTGCATAGATGTAGAAGAACTTCATCACACATTTAATTAAGTGGCTTTTAAAATATGACTCCTTTGTAAAATAATCGCTGCATCCAAACAGAAAAGAGACAGCTGACAAGTTATAATAATAATAATTACAATAATACATCTTCAGCTATTTTTTTATAAATAAATTAATCAGTTATCAACTTAGGCAAGCTAATGTCAATAGAGACTAAATGCTACAGTGATGCTGTACACCATTTATTGTTATACTTTTTTTTTAGAGATCTTTTATTTACAATGTTATTCATCAGTTGAGAAGATAAGTTTGACAAAGCCATCTTCACTCTCCAGGGGCTGAGCGCAGAAAGGACAGATGGCCTGAAAGGCATCACATCCATGAGGAATGGGCAATTGTTGCCAAAACCTGAATCAAAAGAAGAAAAAAGAACATCCCTTTGCTATCAATTCTCCCTCATGAACAGGATACACTGATGTTATCTGTGAAAAGTTAAAAGTTCCTAAGCATCTGCTGACCTCTTTAACCTCCTAGATCAAAATATCAACTCTTTACCCATCTGTTATACATTTCTCACAATTTCAGCTCTGAGAATTTGGTGGTCAGTCAAGCAAAAGTCCCCTTGCCAAGGTTTGTCTTTCTTCTCACCTCTTCCCTGCTTTAGAATATAATGGCATTGCAAGGGGAAAATCCTTTTGATTGCTCTTTGAGGGATAAGGGTTATGTCAATATTTTGGCTGACAAAGTGTCTCATATGGGAAAAGACTTCCCTATCAACTTGATAAGTGTGATTAATAATTTTTTGTTGTACATAGTCTGACTTTACAGACTGTGAACTGGATTTTAAACCATTGTCTTTATCAAATAGCTTAGGAAAAGTCTTAAGGTGGAAGTCTGACCACGGAACGATAAATCTAACTCTTTCAGCGGCAACAGAAAAGGACCAATAAAGAATTTCTCCCTAAACTATCAACTCATTTTCAGGCAGAGAGGGTGATGAGAATGAAAATACATATCAACCAGAGGATACTGATCTTGAGTGTGAAAATGTTAAGGTAACTCATTCTAGTAGGACGGGGAGCCTTACCTGACTGTTTCCTCAGAGCAAACATGTCCACATGGCACAAAAGCATGTGTAGCTGCAGGCTCTCCCTGATAGAAAGCCGGTTCTTTTCCAAGAGTTAGTGGCACATAAGAGCTGGCCTGATAAAGCAATGGAAATTATCTAAGTTGTTTAATACTGGCAAGCTTAAATGTAAGTTAGATGCATGGTTTCAAGAGTTTTCCAGTGGTCAGCCAGCCACCAGATAGAATATTTCCCCCCTCCCACCCCAGGTTGGCAAATCCTCAAAACCCAGCCGAGAGCCAGTATTCCAGGCACCCTTAAAAATGACTACATCAGTGGATGAAAATCATGAGTCTGAGGGTGGGGTAGGGGAACCCTTGCAACAACCACTACAAGCCCTCAAGAGTGAAAAATGACTGCCACAAAAACTTCTTGAGATCTGGTGCAATATAGTTGCGATGTTCCACAGAAGTCTGCACTGACCAAAAGAGCCCAATAAGTCCCTTTCACTCCCAAGATCTCGTAGTTGATTCTTCTTACTGTACCATGCCATACCGTTCTTATAAAGTTAGTTTGGAGAAATTGGTTTTGGATCAACTACCAGCAATAAACCTTTAATTGATATTTTTCTTTATTCTCATCACTTGTGTGCTTGATACTGTATTGATATTGTAATGAGAAATTCTGACTTGTGAACTCATGGAAGTAAAACGTCAACTGCATTAAAATGTTCTTAAATTTACCCTTCAGAATTCTCCTCTGAATTTCATCATAATTCCATGAAATAATATTTCTTTGGTCTTGTAGTGGAAGTTAGTTCTTCTTCTGCTCTTAGAGTCAAAAGCATAGTGATGTACTATGTTCTCACCTGTAAACAAACTGGACAGGTTCTTTTGTCAGCAAGATTTCTCTCCGGTGAATTCCATGAATGAAGACCATGTACATGCCCACACTTGAGGTACACATATGGCTGTGCATTGGTCACACTGCTAGAGGGCTGAAACCAAGGAAATAATACTGGTCAGAGTTACCTAGTAATTGCATTTAACAACAGGAGCCATGTCATTTCCACATGAGGTTTTGAGCCCCACTTATTCCTTTATTTTGCTGCCAGATGCTCACCACTACAGTGAATGAAGGAATTCACCGGCAAGGGAGGCCACACATTTGTTTGTACATAACAAGAGTCTGGCATACTGCTCTGATCAGCAAGAACAAAGTTTCTCCAATAGAGAAGAAATGAGAAAGATGGTTAATTTTTAAGCTTGCAGTTTGAATCCTCACTTAAATTTGTTCACTACTTGTGACATCACATTAACCCTTTACATCCTTTCATCAGTATGATACATTTCCTCTGGAACTGACAGATACTCATTGTAAGCCCCTTAGGATTGGGGTAAGTGTTGCATGTCATAGTACCCACCCCCCCCCCAAAAAAAAAATTGCATAAATAAAAATAAATTAAAACTGGAAAACTGCTGCAATGGAGATTTAATAACAACCAACTAAGGAAAAATTCAATCTTACCTCAGATTGACTGGGAAATCTTAATGTTGTGAGACCAACAGGACACTGAGGGCGAGAGGCATTTAGGCATTCCCTCATTTTGTCAATTGTTTCCAGGGTCTACAAATTTTAACAAACAAATAAGTCTCAGTTGTTTAATTGTTTTCCTCCAAAGTAAATGTTTATGTCTGTAATTAAATGTACTGAGTGGAAACCCCTTAGAAAATCTGCTCCTAAACAGAGTTGTCATAAAACATATAAAAATTATGAGAAATTTAATTTCAAAGAACTTCTTTGTTAAAGATTATATGGAATGAGTACTAATCAAGTCCTAGATTCAAAACTTATTATTAAGTCCAGCTAGGCTCATGTTAATTGATGGCTCCAAATGAATGAAATATGCAGAGATCAAAATATCCAAAGGTAAATATCGTGATACCTCAGTGATGGAACAATCACATTCAGGGAACACCTCCAAGGAAAAAAAAATTTTGCTACAGCTGAAAAAATGTTGCTATCTACCCATCATCTGTTAGCTTGATTGAAGGATATCAACACCTCTATGAAGGCAACTTTTTTTCCCCAATTTTAAGAAGTGTTTCCTAAATGAAGTTATGCTGCAAAAATTGAATACAAGGTCCAGAAATATTGTGAAACAAATGATAGAAAGACATACAGGCATTTCCTTTATAGCTTCAGCGGATCTCCACAGCAAAACAGCTCCACAAAGATCAATCAATGATCCATCAAGTAAAACATTGGACTCATCTTCGACCTAAACAAGTATTGTAAGTGTTATCAACCCTATACAACCTGAGATCAGCATGCATATTCTCCATACTGTTCTCCATACATTTCCTAAAGTGGTGACAAGGAGAATTTGTTTAACAATCAAGAGCTTCTTAAGTTGGTGATCATTTCCTTTTGTTCTTGTGACCTTAATGTATAATTCAGAGGTGATATTGTGAGGAAAAATTAGATGACAGTCTGTCTTTGAAGAGGGGGGAGATGGGTGGGTCATAAAGTGACAATACTACAGACACCTTGTACAATGGAAACTGCAATAAACTCCTGCCTGGTGTACACATGTAACCTACATGTAATTAGGTAGCATCCCATCAGTCTTTTAATCTTTTTATGCTGATTGGCCAAAACTGATACCACCATCACAATAAACAAAGACCTGTTATTTAGTACAGCAAACACCTGAAACTTACAGTCTTCCCTTTCTCAGTGGTGGATCGTGTTCTACGAAGTCCATACACATTCCCACATACTGATATTTCACGCCATATTGTGGGCTGGCAAGAAGGACCTCCCTTGGGATTCATGAGCAGAATGCCATTGGTCGTCAGACCATCCATTAAATTTTCTTCATTTTGCCACTTGGGAGCTTTTTCCTTTTGATAAAAATCACAATGTAACAGCTTGAGAAAAAAACAACAACAACAACAACAAAAACACTTTTCTGCATTTACACTTTGCAAGCAGTTCATTCAAAATCCAGCACATTATAAAAGACTTGCACTCACGGGGCCAAAGCATCCCCTATAAGGAAGGGAAGATCATATGGGTTTTTTAAAAGAATAATTTTGGGAACTTTGAAGTCAACAGGTAAGCAGCAATTTTTTGTGGGCTTCACTCAAAAAAATCTAAGGTCATTATGTTTCATTTTCAGTCAGGAACTAGATCCAGTAAACAAAGTCAAGCCATAATGGTAAAAACTTTCAAGAAAAATAATAAAGAAAGGCAAGTCTCCTTTTTTTCATGGAACTTTTTAACTTAAATGCCATAACACAATTTAAATATATTCTGGGAAGAAATAACAAAAATATACAAAGCCCAAATGGAACAAATCAAAACCGAGAAAAAGAAACATTTTCTTTAGTTTGCAAATACATTTTTTAAAGAGGTTTGGCAATAGGCCTTGAGTTAAAAATTACACGACTCTTCAACACAGTTTTCTTAGCTTGCATTCATAAAGATAAACAGTCAGGTAATTCTGTATGATCTTGTATTCTTAGCATCCTAATAATTTAAGTTTTAGAGTAAATTTTAAAAAAAATGGTCAATTTTTGTTTTTAAATAAATATTTTTTAAAAAATTACTGATGTATCTTTTGAAAAAGTGAAGAATTGTGAACTTACTCCAAGAAATATATTGCTAGATTTATCAAAACCAGCTGCAAACACCCTAGCAGTGTACGGTGGTTCTCTATCAATGACAATGCGACAAGCATATCTGGAGATGGTACTTTTCTGCGTTTCTGGGTTCAAATCACGACGTTTATTTCCAGGAGCTGTGTCAGTTACCACAAAGTCTATCTTAGAATCAGCAGAACGGCCAATCTGTGAAAAAAAGCCTCTCAGATTAAATATTCAACAAAAACTAAGTTTGATACTGTTCATCCAGCTATGATAATCCTCAAATGGAATGTAAACATTCAACTATATGATGCAAGATTTCTCCAAATGGCAGCAAATCTCTTCCTCAGTGACTCACATTGTTCCACTGTAAAGGTAAATGTCACTTTGTTTTGTGATTACCAGTACATTTAACTTTCATAATTTCTTGAATTTATATTTCTATGATTAATTTTCAGCTTCCTCAGCCTTGAGTTTAAGTGCAAAAGAAAAATGATCTTCATTTCAATAACAATTCTCAACTACACCCATTTCTGAAAATTGTCATTAAAATTCTCTAACTCTGAAAAAAAAAAAAAAAAAAAAAAAAAAAAAAAGGGGAAGGACTTCAGAAGAAAGACAAATTTGAAGTTTGGTAAACAAGAACAAGTTACATAAGAGTTTTTACAAGCTTTCAGTGTGGGCAAGGGCGTAAAAGACTAGAAGGTGTTGTGTGGACAATTCTCAAGACAAAAAAATATATGAAAATCAATTTCATAGAGACAGCAAGAGGACAAATTCATACCTGAAACATATCAGTATCTGAATCCCTCCGATACTCAACAACAACTGCATTACCACGGGAGAGAGTGTACGAGACACTATGGGCTTCAGAATTTACAATCTGTTTGGTTTAACCACTCATTAGCATCAACTTAAGCTAAAAATTCAATCACTCATTTACCTGTGATATTAAGATATCTGACAGTACACGTACGTATGTAGTTAATTATCAAGCATGCATATGGATCATGTACTACACAGACTAATTTGAATGAAGAGAAACTTATAAACCATGACAAGTTTAATCCATTATTAGGAAACAGATTTATTTAATGGTTACAACATTGATAAAAGTATATTAACTTTTTCACTGCTATAACAAGCACATACACCTCATTAGATGGTTTGACATACAATACAAGTGGATATTTTGCAAATTCCATGGCACTTTGCCTAGTCTCCTTATCACATACATACACACATATTAAGTGAACAGACAAATAAAGTACGCCATTTACTCTATTTTAAATTACATCAATTTCTTTCTTTAATACTTTTCTACAACTGGCTGTTACTTAGCTGAGTCACCGCGAAAACCGTCAAACAATTTCTCAAAAAAACTTGCAACCCTGTGGCACCCCTCAGGATAAAAAAAAAAACAACGATTGGTACAGTTGTGACCATAATCTGCACACACCTGCATTCCAGTGTTAGAAGAAGCCAGGTGCAATTTGTAGGGTTGCACTCCTGAGGGGGATCCTTTCTTTCGCAAAATAAACGAGCTTCGGTGACGTCGCTGGCGTTCTCCATCCAGCAGAGAACCATTGTAACTGACCAAGAATTACACAACAACACATTACCACCACAACATAAAAAAGAGATCACATGTTGAAAGAATTTCTTTGAAAACTTTCAAAAGAACTCTTCTTAATACTAACACATTGGACTGACTAGACTTACCCAAGAACTACCAGCGCACCATAAATGGTGTCTATGTCGTCATTGTTACTGGATGTCATACCTTCATCTTTTACAGATTTGAGTCGCTTTACCTTGTGTTCCCCATAATTCCCATCCTATCATGAAAAAAAAAAGGAAACAAATTAATACATAAGACAAAATAAGAACAAAAAAGGAAGACCCAGTAATGGGGGATTCAGAATTTTCTCTTTGTTCTGTACTTGTGACAAGACAGAAAAACCTGTTTTCTCTATTTCTTCACCAAGCAGCTCAAAATTTACCATATTTCTTAACCTAATTACAAACAAAGACTCCAGAATATCATTTCTTGCAATAGACACATACCAGTTTCCATGAATCATTCTCTAACAATCACAGAATTCAACAAAATTTCAAAAAACTTCATTCATTATTTCTTTAAACCTGAATTACAAGATTATACTGTATGCTTTTTTCTTCTGAACAAAAGAACAAAATTCAAGAAATATAGACCTCAAAATAATATACAATTATCATTCTTGCCGATTTATAGAAGTCCAGCAGCTCAAAATTTACCTTATTTCTTATTCTAACACAAACAAAGACTCAAGAAGATCATTTCTTGCAATAAACACATTCCAGTTTCCATGATTCATTCTCTGACAATCACAGAATTTAAAAAAATTTCAAAAAAACTTAATTCTTTATTTCTTCAAACCTGAAGTACAAGATTGTACTGTATACTTTTTTTTCTGAATAAAAGAACAAAATTCAAGAAATATAGACCTCAAAATAATATACAATTATCATTCTTGCCAATTTATAGAAGACAAAGAAAATTAAACTTCACCTTCCAAACAGAACAAGAAGAATAAATAGATATAGCTATATTACATGTTGTTTTCCTCTTGCTAATGACAAACAATTGATAACCATATCTGTGAATTTATTAAATGGTCAGTGTTGAATGTTTTCAATGAAAAAAAGGTTTATTACAGCTGATAATAAATTTCTGTGAAATTAACAAACATCCAATGGGACTAGGTTGGATATTCCTGGTTTTCATTCAGTCCATAATCTTCTCAGGTTCATTTTTAAAATGCTTGAAATACCATTTAAGCACATTGCACAAGTAGGACTTTGGTCAGTGGATATAATGTGAGCATAATAATAACTATAATACCATTATGGGTAGCTTAATTTATTTACATTGAGTGAATTTTCATCATTGTGAAGAGATGAAATGATCTAATAAGGCCATGTTATTATCAAGTGCAAGAAATCTGTGGGCAGTCCTTAAACTGTGTTGCATTCTAATGAAATTGAAGTGTTTGTTCAGTTCTGCATTGTATAATTTAAGGTCCTGTAAGAAAGGTTGTGCAATGTGACGTAAATTAAACCTTTCACATTTTATGATGGGAGATTTACCTTACATTCATTCATAACCCCAAACTGATTGTTCTTAAGACTACAAATTAAAACTTTTAATGTTTTCAAATGCTATCTACAGACACTGTAATCATGTCTTTTCAGCTTTCATGCACATAAATATCAAATTAACAAATACTGTGGACATGTACCTCTAACAAAACAGTTTAATGCTAATTAAAAGTTATTTTTTCTTGATTTTGGAGAAATATCACTCTTAAAATATTGCGTTTTTGTGAATAAATAACTTCAGGATGAAAATTATACAACAATCATTAGCAATACTATCAAAATCATAGAGACTGTCCTTTAAATTCACTTTTGTCCAAAATAAAAATGATGCACAAATGACTGTTTTCTCTTAGAAAGCTGTGATCATCATAAATTTTGGTAAGATGTCTAGTAAACAATGCAATCTCTCATTAACATGTTTTAAAATAAAATAAAATTCCCAGATGCACAATTTCTAGAACTTTTGAATTAAAGATACAGTAACTGGAAACTAAATTAACATCCAGAAAGTTGTTTACAAAGGTGATTGCTCTTGTGGCGTTGATTACATTGGCGAGACTGTGAGAAACTTAGCAGTACGAATTGCGGAGCATTCAAATTCTGCTCACACCTCTGAACCTTCAAAACACCTGCGGGAAAACCCATCACATTCTTTCACTTAGCGTGTTCTCTCCTCAGCACAAATATTCCACAAGCGTAGGATTGTCGAGGGACTAATGATCCAACAATTCCGCCCCAGTTTGAACAAACAAGTTATTTCTTATGTCTCCAAACTTTTCCCATCGGGAATTACATAAGATATATATGTATGTGTGGACAGTCATCTTTTTAACCCTGATGACGGCAAACAGCCGAAAATGTTTGGTTTAAACATTTTAATTTTTTAACCCTTTAGCCTTGTATATAGAATATATCCAGAAAGCCTTTTACAAGTAATACATGGGTAATGTGGAAAATTGTGAGACATTCAATACTAGGTCAAAGCTTCAGTATAATGCTGTAACCAGTAATTCCTCTATAAAGAAGGAAGTATTAGAAAGAGGAAAATATTTCTTTCAGACAGTCAATTTGAAAGAAAGAGCTCATTTTACCAATTATGACATCTGATGAAATTGTTGTTTTCTTAAATCCACTCACGACATTACCATTATTTAAGTCCAAACTATTTTTTCAAGTAAGTGTTACCATTTTGCCCAGGAGATCTCTCACTTGGCCATAAATCCTACACAACAAAATTTCATTTGATTTTTTAAAGAATGGTTTGCAGTGAGTAAACAGCAAATAAGGACAAAGAAACTCAATTGGAATTTGAACCTATGACTTAATGAAGTTAATGAGAATATTACAATTGCATGTATTGATTGATGAAAAAAAATTATGCTATTTCCGTCGATGCTTTTTTTTAGAATACAATACAATCAAGTGAAAAAATCCCTTTCTCTTCAAATATGAATATAACAATCCATGCATTGTAAGCAAAAGAGTGAAATGATTTTAATTCCTCTGAGAAAAGATGATTCCGCGACTCTCTAAAGATTAAAAATAAGCACTTATTGTGGGAGGGCCCAACAGGAAATTATTTTGGTTCAAGGTCATAATGAACAGACCAAGCACAGTGAGGTCATGACCGCCAGCCAAATATTTCCATGTCTGGCCCCACTGAATTCAGTCAATAAGCACTTATTATATGACAACTATGTGATGAAAATTTGAAGAGTTTGTTTCAACTGAAATAGGATGCAAATGACAGGCACAAGTGGGACAATTATATAAAATATTCTAGAATACAAACTAATTCTTCATTTTTCAAAAATGACAAATGAATTATTCTCTCATTACTCATTCTGATGTTTTTTGCAACACAGCTTTCCTAGTTTTGGACCAGATGGCATTCTCCAAACTGGCTCATGTCAACCTGTCCAGCCCTACATGCATCAGTTTCCATCAAGGTTTTCTAAAGGATGGTATGAGTGGGGACAAAACGGTCATATGACAATATTAATTATTCATCGATCAACATCAATGACCACTGTAATACTGAAGTCTTCTTCTAATTAAACACAGTTGGTGCTGCAGCACATAAACTATCTCTACGGCTCCCAAATAACCTCTATCGCATGACAAGATTTGTATTCACCAAAGCTTCGCGGTTAATAGGATGTTATATCCTGGACTCTACTAGATATAAGCCAATCGGGAAACCTTGATAATGCCGAAAATTCACTGTCAGTGGTATATGATTGGGCTATAAAGGCTTTGGTTAAATTTTGAAAAGTGTACAAACTACTTTCAATCGTTAAAGTGAATTTTGTTGTGGTATAACCTAACTTAACTGAATCCTTGAAATAACTCCTTGAAAGCTGTTGACACTTCTCAAATTTTTTTCAGAAATCATCCACAATTTAGAAGGAAGATACAAAGAAAAAGATAAACAATAATTAATTCTACAAATAACTTCACTTCAGTTTGTTCTTTATGTTTCACCAAATATTCTTTCAAAATGGTGAAATATTAAAAGGTTCTGATCAAAATTAGTTTCATTTTAATTTGAAGCTATACAAGAGAAACAGCTGTTGAAATGCTAATTTGTATCTCCTAGAAATCTTTTGGTGATGTGATTAAATGACCCCCTGGGGAAATGCGATTTGACGAAATTCAACTCACTTTTTACCCCGAATTCCTTCCCAAATCTTTTAAAACATTGAATTTAACGATATTCTCGTGATTATGGTAGCATTTCGAGTGCAATGGTTATAAATGAAGAGAAAACTGTATTGTGTGTTTTAATTACTCATCATCAGATATCGGTGCAAACGAGACAGCACCAGCGCAAGGCTATGCAGTGTTAACGTTATATTTGGCTGACCAAGTGTAGAAAATAGAACAAGTCTCTGAGATTTTCGGCGATTAGGTCATTACAACCAATCAAATTATTCAAATACAAGTTTAAACCTGAGAGAAACCTCTTTCACTTTGAAGAAAAAGCGTGTTACTCCAAAAACAAGCTACAATTTGGGACGAAATGAAATCAAAAGGCGAAAGAGTTCGAAATTTCCCGTTTGTAATCGTACTTGAATGAATAGTCGATGAAAAAACACTGTATCTTACCCCATAAATAATTTCCTCTGTAGTTTCTGTCATGTAGTAAGCCAAAGTTACGCGAAAAAGACGAAGATTACATCGTGTGTGGGGGCCCGCCGTCAGACCCGCGTTTAAAGGAACTTCAAAGGGACGAGTTTGGGCAAAGTCAGGCGGCGAGGAACATACCCCACGGGGAAAGTCACAGATGGTACATCTTTGTTGGTCGATAAATCTTGAATTTTCAAACTAATTTCCGTTTCTGAATTCGGTTTCGTAGAAATTATTTTGCAAATTTTTCCAAGTAGATATGGTGAAATGTCAGGACAGGTATTTACTTTCACTTTTTGACTAAGATTTCATGCCCCCCTGCCCACCCCCACAGTTAATACAATTGCTCTATGACAACGTGCGACAAGCACGCGGTCTGTAGTAATTTAAATTTGTTGATATTAATTTTGTCGTACAACGCAACACGTCGAGGGTGACGAGTACAAGATACTGTTTCTCCTCAGAAACCTCCTTTCCTTTCTTTTATTTAAGGGTTCACAGGAGTACGCTTTATTGAGACAAAGAGGTCTTACTCCTCAATCTAATCTATTTTTTAAAAAATAAACAGTGTTCTACACATGGAAACAGCAGACAAGAACTCCCCTTTTTCCGTAGTGAACGTAACAGGATCTGAGGATATTAATAGCACTCCACCCCACACAAAGGAGTAATTCTAACTGAGACAAAATCCTCACAAGTGACCTGCAAATAAAGAAATTTCTGAAAAGAATTGAAGCTCTAGACTTCGACAGGATTCAAACTCTTGCTTCTCGGGAATCATCTAGGTGCGACTAAGCTATTAAGAATCATGTTGGGAACAAAGAAAACTTACGTTGGATAATTCTGTCTTCTTTTAATTTTTTTCTATTATTTCATGATAAAGAAGCATGTCTGATTGAAAAAATGCATTATATTATCTGGCAGCAACACTTGTCAGTGATTGCATATTTATGATGAATGAAAAAGACTCCAAAGTTTATTTTCTTGATTTACTGTATGTAAGATGACAAGTAATGTAAGTGCTACATGACTAGGGTTCCTGTGAACTGGTATGAGCAGTAGAAATTAGTTTTCTTCTATGTCTTTGTGTAATCACATTAAATGTAGTGGATTCAAAATTGAATTCATTTCATTCTGTGGAAATATTGAGTCTCAATTTCTAAATTCACCCTCGATTGCTTTTTCAATTTTGACTAGACTTCACTTAAAGGGGGGTGGGGGGAGGGGTGGTGGGGTGTATAAAGGTCCAAGCATCACTCTGTTTACAGTCCCTCTACAGTCTCTCTGTAGTTCCTCTCTGAAGCTTCAAGAGGAGCTGACAGGAAACATCTAAAACTTGACGGGACAAAAAAGCTAGTGCCACTACCAGCTAGATTACATGTCATCTTAATATGCCCAAGGTTGCCTTCACTCTGTTCCTTTTCCTTCTGTTCCAGCCCAAGTTTTACAACTTCATATGATATCAACAAGCTCGACCTCAAAGATGAGTTTTGATTGTGGTGGAATACTTTGTCTGAGTTAAGGAAATTTTCATCACAATATTAACAGAGGCTGGATCTCAATATTAATTCTCCTTTCAGCCTTCCATCCATTTCTCATAAAACTTGTTCTGAGAATTTGTATCACAAAATTACTATCTTAATTTCAAGTGTTAACAAAGGATACTTGGCATCAATGTTTCCTTTCTTTCCATATCCCCACTCTGGCTCAATAGTGAGTTCTGCCTTCTCACCTTTGGACATTGTCATGAGGCCTTCATCCCACTACACATGCAATTGAGAAATCCCAAATTTGTTAATTGAAGGCTATGACATGCAGCAGTATTCTCCAAATTATTACTATAATTACTGTTACTATTCACATAGTAATATTCTCAAAAAAAAAAAAATGCTTGTGACAATTGATCGGAAGTTAGCATTCTTTGTGGAGGCGCGGTGGCCTCATGGTTAGTGCGCTTGACTCCGGATTGGGTGGTCCGGGTTTGAGCCTTGGCTGGGGTCATTGTGTTGTGTTCTTAGGCAGGACACTTTAATCTTACAGTGCTTCTCTTCACCCAGGTGTACAAATGGGTACCAGCGAATGTGCTGGGGGTAACCCTGGGATGGACTAGTATCCCATCCAGGGGGGAGTAGCAATACTCCTAGCCGCTTCATGCTAAGAAAACCGGAGTTAAGCACCTGCCCCATGGGCCACTTAGGCCCATATAAAGGCTTTACTTTTACTTACTTAGCATTCTTTATTTTAAGGGTAATCACTGTATGTCAAAGAGACTGTGAAAAACCAAATGACAGAGAACACTGACAACAAACTGAAACAAATGGGTCTCCCATAGGGTAAAGAACAGTGTCCAGTTGTTCAAAGGGCAGATAACACTATCCAACAGATAAGCACATCAGCACTAAGGAAACATACTGTGCTATCCACCAGACAGAAATTTATCCCGTGGATAGCATTATCCACCATTCAAACAACCAGGCCAGTCCACTTTTAAAAACTATTTAACATCTAATATTTACACAAATGCGATTATGACATCATGCAGCATGAGCTATATAAGTTTATAAATACTTTTTTCAATTGGCTAAACAAGTATCAGTGCCTTGTCTTTACCTGCTCTTAGCTTGGGTTCAAAATAAGAGAAATCATTGGTTCCTCCTTATGTTGGAAACTGGGTTGAGATTAATTCTTTGTTAAGAATTAATCTCAATCCAGTTTTCAGCTCTGTGCAATTCAAACCTCTTTCATCATCTGTTTATTGTGTTCAATTCAACCAATTTTTCATCCTCATTTTGTCGTCTATGGAAAATACTTCTGGAATTCAACCTAAAATATTCTATAAGCAATCAGCTTTGTAAATACCTATACTCACCCCTCGAATCACAAGTCCCTTCCCTACTTGGAAAATAAATGGTTTCCCCTCTCCCTGGCTCTTCTTTTTAGCTCCTGCCATGAAATTCCAACAATGATTGAAAGAAAAAAAAATCAAACCTTGATTAGAAACACAGACAATACTTTCATCCATTACACAATTCAGAGCCACATTAAATTATCAGAAATTTAAAGCAATCATTCATCATTGCCTTCTTTATCCAAAGAACACTCTAAAGAGGGATGGGTCAAAAGACCAAGAAAAAGAAATGCCAACATATCCCTAACTGCTTTGAGCGTAGACCTGAGCTTTGCATATCATTTAGGATGTTCCTAAGAGACATGTTCTTTCCAATCATTCCTTCAAAAGTACCTCTAAGAACTGTAATAAACAGAATTATACAGTAAAATATTTGTGTAGAATAAACTACAAGGTAGAAGTGTATACTACCTGCTCCTGAGATATTGCTGTCAAACACCACACCATTTTCCAGTTTGCCAGTATAGAAACAAGACACTCTGTCACCTTTAGAGGCAAATGAAGTTTTATCTCCATGCTTCAAGATTTTCTTGGAGAATTTTGGCTCCTACAAAGATGAAATGTTAATTTGATACCGCAGTCAATCTTCACATTAAGTTTTAACCTTTACACCCTGACACCGGTCCACACTTTTCTCCATATATTTCCTATGGTATTAACAAGGAAAATTTATCAAACAGTCAAGAGCTTCTTTAGCTAAAAATCATTTCATTTATTCTCATGACCTTAATGTTTGATTCAGCATTGATACTGTGAGATGAGATTAGATGTCAGTCACTCTTGGGGGTTAAAGGATAGTAAACTATTAACCCTTTAACTCCAATTAGTGACCAAGACAGAATTTCTCCTTACAATATCAGTACAATATCAACCAGATAAGTAATGAGAATAAAGAAAAATATCAATTTGGGGATAATTAGTTGATCCAATACTAAATTCTCTCAACTAAGATTATAAGAATTGTATGATTGACAGTAAAGAGAATTACAAATTTGATCTGGGAGTTAAAGGGTGGAAAGAAAAAAATTATCTCTTTTGTCCTAGAAAGGAAATGTAGTGCTTATGCATCAAAGCACGAAAAAAAATCTGTATACTTTAAGGCTTGGGATTAAAATTTGCCTTGCTCCTGACACATAGCTGACAGCTCAGTTGGGTGTGGTGCCTTGAAAACTTCTGGGAGAAATTTTGATTCAAGCCATTGGACATTGTCAGCCTTAATTCTGCAGTTTTGGTGACTGAGGACTAATATTACTCCCCCACAACACTAGAAACTGGTAAAATTATAGATTGAAAGTCAGTTATAGATCACAATGAAAAGTTAAAATTTTAACCTCTTTCTTTGAATCCTTTGATTCTGAACTCTTTCTCTCCTTCTTCTTCTCACTGATATGCATGGCTGCTGTTTTCTCAGCTGCCTCTTTTAACTGGTCTTCCAAGCTGGCATCAGTTTCCTTGCGGTAAGACTAAAATATGAAGAAAGCATTGTGAGTCTTAATCTTGATCTATCGCCTGATTCTTCTAACAAATTTATAGGGAAATGTGTAGCAGATAGAGGAGAGAAGTAACAATTAGATCTTGAGAGTAGAAGGATGATAGATCTCAGTTTTATAAGGGCATACAATCACACAACTGTTTAAGCTGACTACAGAATATAAGAGAGTTGATTTAAAACGGCAATCTACATACTAAGGACCTCATTCAAAACACTGTAAAAAAAATTTCCACAAGTATGAATGTAACAAATCAAAAACTCAACAAGAGAACCCTCAGGCAGAAGAACGCTGGGAGAATAATTTGGTAAAACAATGAGGATCGCAAGCTGCCAATCACAATAGAGTATGATGCATAATAACTTGAAGCAAACGCAGTCAACCTCAGTGCTTACAGAACAATACTGTAGAAGTATGTGGTCAAAATACAATGACTCATAATGGAAGCCATTACATCATGAGGGAACCATCATAATACCATAATTTCATTCAATATTGTCACTTGTAAGGATGTAAAAAACTCACCTTTGTTTCAAAAAGTTGTTTATAACTTTCAATGAGGTGATCCTTTTTGCTGGTTTTTGCAATATTGTTCAATTTCCCATTCAGTTTGTGCTCTTTGAGAAACTAAAAATCAAAGAAGGCAATTCAAAATAAAAATAAATGTGTATTTCCATAGCGTCCCCTACTAGCCACATAAAAGAGGACTAGGGGGTGTGTAATGGGTGGGGTTTGAGGCAGAATTCTACCCAACGAAAGACCATTCAAATTAAGAGGCTTATTTTTTGCAGTCAAATTCTATTTTACCAAATTTGGAGCTCTTATATTTTCTGTGGAGAGTTAATTGATATCTAAATACATTGGAGCACATCATTAATACTCATTTCTGCACGCAATTTCACACGCGGTTTTGTGCACGTGAATGAAAGGTGTGAGATACGGTTTCAGACCAAAAGGTATCACTTTTCTACTCTCCATTAAAATTTCAGAGAAGCTAACTTTCCTGTAGAAAAGCGCTAACATTTCCAGTGCCATACCGAATGCAATGTACATCGATTAAGACTCCCACAAGGCAGAGATCGAAAACCCCTTCTCTTTGCGAAGTGCTCCAATGGGTTATTGTTTCCGATCGTAAAAAAAAGAAAACAGAGCCACGTCGACAAACTTGGTTCGAAACTGGGTAAAAAAACATAGACAACAAAAATAAGTTTCTAATACCTCAAACGAAGCATGTTCATGCAAAAACTTGATGATATCTTTCTTAGAGACTTCATCACTTTGCAATTGCTGATCCGTCCAAGATCGTTCCACCTCTGCCATCTTGTCTTCGAAAATTTTCCAAGCGAGGTTGACCGTGGGAGACTGGACGCGGTAGACAATTCATTCAATGTTGTGTTTTGGTATAGGAGTCTCTCTGGTTCAAACGAGCAATAGTCGCTATCTGTCAGTGTAGTTTCCCGTAAATTGTAGATCCTACTTCACCTAGATGCAATCTTCGACGAATCCAGAATGTATACCATCGTTAGAATTTCCCGAGATACCAAACAAAGACGAATTATTGGTAAGTTATAACTTGTTTTTAATTTTGTACTTTCAACTACAAAATTTTGATAGTTGGAAATTAAAAATAGTCGTTCAAATTCTTTTTACTTATAACTAACTTATTGTTTTTTTTTCTCATTCACAAATTGAATTCACCATTCAATACTGACTATAACTATTGTTTTCTGGTAGCTTATCTTTGAAGCAGCCTCGAATATGTTTTCGATTTTAATCTGAATTTAGGAGCCTGCCAATAAATCTTAATCAAACAGTTTCTAATGAAAGAAGAATTTGTTTACAAAAGGGCCACATTCAAAGTTAGGGCTCATTCCAAAGAAATCAATCAGAAACGCAGTGGTTGTCAGAATTTTATGCCAAGTACTGGGGTACAAATGATTACCTCACATTCATCCAAACCTTCAGCTGTGTTCTAATTGTTGCCAACTACCAGTTTTAACAATTTCTATAACAAAACAAAGTTTGTAGTGTTTATTTCTGGTATAAATACAAGGATAGCAGATTTATTAATTATCAGTATGCATAAGATACCCAGGTTTCGTGTTGAATGCCGTTTAAGAAAGTTTCCCAGACCTAATGTGGCTTTCATGATACTCTTTGTCACTCTTAAACTAGGGAGGAACCCAGTCCAGGGCCCATTTGTATAAAGGGTGGATAACGCTATTCAACAGATAAATCACTATCCAGCGGATAAATGATAACAAAACATACAGTGTTATCCACTGGATAGAGATTTATTCAGTGGATAGCGTTATCTGACCCTCAATCACCTAGGACCAGAAGAATAAAGCAAATGTTAATTTAATTGGGCAATACTCAAACATTGAACTTGCTCACTGTCGCATTTGATAGCATTACTGCTTGCCATTCAAAGCAGATGGTAGCGCTGAGTGCTCATTATTGTAAGAGTTTTGACAAATTCTGACATCCTCATTAATGATACTTAGGATATAAAATCTGACTTGAGTTGAACATTCAGTTGATTTTGAAATCAGACATATTATTTCAGATCTACTCTCACTCCACTGAGTTCAATTACTACTGTGTTTTTACATATCACAAACAGCCATCTATGATTTACATTGATAATAGGGAGATGTTGTCATGGAAACATGCTTTAAAATTTGTACTATCACTTAGTGCTGATCTTATTATAAAAAATCTCACACCTGGGCAGGAAACGGAAATCATAATTATATTAGACAGAGACTGATTGATTATGGTTTTTATTTTCCACAGGATTGGACCTACTCTAAGAGACGAGAAATGCAGGTAAATGTACATTTTAGTTTATTCACTGACTTGATCTCACTCTTTAATTTTTTTTTCCAGAAAATTTAACTGCAAGTAATGAACTCCAAGTACCAGTAATACATGATATTATTTAATATTAACCATTTCATTTAATTTCTATTTCTTTTCAAGGAAATTGTTCCAGGAGTTTATCTTGGTCCATACTCCGCAGCAATGAATAGCAAAGTAAGTACACTCATTTTAGAAATGAGAAATAGAATTGTGACAGTTAATTATAATCATTACTAGTAAAACATGGTAGCAAGATCCTATATCCTGAATATATAAAACTCTCCTCATGCAACAGAATTTTCTAAGATATAATTACTGACAATAAACACAATAGAGGAGATGCTAAAACTGATCATTTTTTATTTAGCTAAACAAAAAAGTGTTTTGGCACATAAGAAAGTTTTTATGGGCTGTGCTTAATATAGCATTCTGCTTAGCAGACTTTCAACTCAGTCATTGCCAATAACTATGTCACATGGCAAATACTAAGATGTTCATAGGAATTCAGACACCCTGTGTTACAATATTAGTTACAAACTATTATAATTATTGCAATCTAATATTAAGACTTTGTCATTATTGAGTCAAGTTGTATTAATTGAAATTGATGTTTTTCACTTGAAATTTACAGTTAGAAGTTTTAAAGCAAGTTGGAATCTCTCATGTTGTTTGTATACGACAGAATATTGAAGCAAACTTTGTTCGCCCTAACTTTCCTCAACACTTTAAGTGAGTGAAGTTAACTTAATAAACTTTTATATTCCAACATGACTGTATATAAAAAAGAATGTATCCTTTCCCAACGGAAATTATTATCAAATGTAGTAGTGGATAAAATTGCCAATGAGTGTAATGTCAATTTAGGTGGTTTACGGAGAAATTCTTCAAGGTCAAGCCTTTTTGAAACAATTATAATATGATTCTGTGTCAATAGCCATTTCTTGCGATCATTATTACATTGCAGATATTTGGTATTAGATGTAGCAGACTCACCCACAGAAAATATTATCACACATTTTCCTAAGGTATTTAGCTGCTATGTATTGATTTGTTAATTGTGCTTTATCAACCCTTTTTAACCCCTTAGAGTGACTAAGAACTAATTTCTCGTTACCATATCACCCCTGAATCAAACACTAAGGCTAGGAGAGTATTAAGGAAATGATCACCAACTAAAGAAGCTCTTGATTGTTAAACAAATTCTCCTTGTCAGCACCTTAGCAAATGTATGAAGAAACGTAAGGAGAATGTGCATACTGATGTTAGAGTGTAATGGGTTAAGGAATCCTTGAGGTACATGATGAATTAGGAAAATCTCTTGTTATGATTGTTCCATTGAAAAGAAGACGAAAGAGCCAATATGGAGAAAGAACCGTATTTAATTTAATAACACAATTTGATGTAAAATAAAAAGAAACCACATTGGCATTTGGCCTTACCAGTGTTCAAAACAAACAGAAAATTAACTGTAATGACCTGGCAATCAACTGAAAATTTACTTCTTGACTGCCTCTGTACTTGTGGTAAATCACTGATTAGCAATATTACGATAACTGGTCATCTTAGTTGCAACTGAACTGAACAACTAGATTACACGTTTAAATTAAACGTTTTACGAGACAAATATTGCAATAATTATTGTGATATATGAATTCAAACAGAGTGTGAGCGGAAAAGTAAACAGAAATAGCGCATGCCTGAAATTTAACCATTAATTTTAATAAAATGAATGTTCATTGATACAATGATGATAATAAATTAATATGACTGTTTTTTGTCTTTTAACCAGGTGAAAACTTTTGTTGACAGCTGTTTAAGTAGTGGAGGTCAGTTAGAAATTTAACACAGACTTCTTCATTGTTTGTTTTGTTCATTTATCTGACACTTTATCTAGTGTGAACTGTTCACCAAGTAACTTTTTACTTCCAAATTTGATTTACTTGCAATGTCTCCCTTCAGTAGCAATGCATCATCTTGAAAACAACTTAGGAGAATAGGAAAAGTCATCAGCCAGTAGAAAGTGTCATTTTGATATGACACCAAGGTCTCTTAACTGATGTGCAATGAGGCAATTTATAACTGCAAGAAGGGAGAATTGCTGTTAAATCAGATCATGGGAGTTAGAGTTTTAGGCCAATAACTTGACGAGCCAAGTTCATTGGTAAAAATTTATTTTTAATTAATTTTTATTCTGATTACTATTTATTCTACTATTTGTTAGGAAAAGTTCTTCTCCATGGAAATGCTGGGATATCTAGAAGGTTAGCTCCTGTTTTTATCTCAAATTGATAAATTAACAGTTTAAAACTACTTTTTTTTCTAGACCTACTAGCTAAAAGTCAACACTAAACTATGGTAAAGTGATAATAAACTTGATTAGTAACAACAAATAAATTTTTTTCAGTGCTGCATTAATGATTGCTTTCATTATGGAAACATATGGATTAAACTATAGGTAAGTTAAACCTCTCTATGAATAAGCACTTGTTTAATAGTTATGAATAGAAAGTTTTTTCAATGAGCAGTGCTTTGTTTTTACTTCTTACTCTGAGCCTTGGCCAACACCTCTGTAATTTGTAGCTGTATCTAGAAAGATGACAGCAAACCTTCAGACAAAAAATTGACATTTTTATTTTTGCAGTTCACATGATTATATAGTGGGATGCCTAGACATGTGATTGAAGGGTTTATAAGACAGTGTATTCATTTCATGTGGGTGAAATATGGACTTATCATGTTTCGTAGTAAGGTCTATATATGGATATGGAGTGTTAAAAGAATAAGAAAGGGGAGGGAAGGGTAGGGAAAGGCAAGAGAACCTATTGTGCCTTTTCCACCCCTGGTAATTTTTAGAGAACTTGCCTATTTGAGTTATGTGCTCTATGGAGTTTATTCCTGAAAGAAGTTGTTGATCTGCTAGGTACACTTGCATTGTACACAATTGCATAATTCTCCTTACATGTAAGTCATTTTGTTTGTAATATTTCATTGTCTCTTATAGAGATGCATTTCATTATGTGCAGCAAAGAAGATTCTGTATTAATCCCAATGAAGGTTTTGTTCAACAACTAATGGTAAGTGATGAGTTTGTGGGCTGTGCACACATCACACAAGTCATTTTTATGAGACACAAGGGCAGTCAGTGTTGATACTGCCTTATATTCCTACTCTGCATGCTGTTTATCAGGGACTCAATCTATAGAAACACTTTGAATACTTACTTTGTGTTGAAATTTATGGCTTGCAGGAATATGAACCAATTTATTTAGCCAATTATCAGGCAAGAAAATCAGGAGAAAGATTAAATCAGTGTAAGGAATATTATGTTTACAAATATTCACTAATTTAATGTGTTATTGCTTGTCTGTCAAACCAATTGTGATCTTTACATCTACTCTATCCCTTTCCACAATTTTCTCGAGAAGGTATGCAAAGCAAACAGGTTGTCTTGATCCAGTTTCACACACAAATTTTAGAAAATTGATGTGTCACATGTACTTTGAACAGTACCTTATGTGTCACAAATTTAACCCTTTAACTCCCAGATCAAATTTTTAATTCTCCTTACAGTCAACCAAACAATTCTTTTAATGTTTGACTTTTCCCAAAAAAGGGCTATAGGGTGAAACCCAAACATGAGAGCCTGGTCGAAGATCTCATTAGTAATTCCCCTTACTGTCTGCCAAACAGTTTTTGTGATGTTAGTTTGGAGAATTATGCTCCAATTATCTAGTTGATATTGTGTTGATATTGTAAGTAGAAATTCTGTCCTGGTCAATCATGGGATGTAAAGTGTTAAAAGGGAAATTGCCTTTAATCTCTCTTCTTGTTTGTAAGGATTCAGGGAAGTATTGAGGTTTTCACAGAAAGAAAAAAAATTTCACTGGTCACATATGTTCAGGAGGTAAATCACCTCTCATACTGGCTCATAAATTCATGAATCATGCTCACCTTTTGGTAAAATTCAGGCATCAAGAATTAATTTTGGCCCGAATGATTCATCACCTTCACACCCTTTGGCACCCACTCTATGGTTGATATGACAGTTGAAACAAGGCTGGGAACAAGAAACTAACTTTAACTTGACAAGATGTTCTAAAATTGAGAGAAACTCTTTGTATACATTTATTTGCAAAATCATCTGAACATTAAAACATTAATTGTTGGTAAAAAATTTAGGAGACAAAATAGTTTTAGGCAAAACCATTGACATGATAATTTTTTTCTCACATAGCTGGTGGGGTGAAGCGAGCTCATGAGGATGAACCAAGAGATGACATGATGGACACGTGATAACTGTTGTTCCATGGCAGAGTTGATTTTGCTAAGTACCAGGTAAGAATTAATGAAAGTGGTGTCTTTGACCCATAAGACTAACATCCTATTTCTCCCTACAATATCATCTCCAAATCAAGCATTAAAGTTACAAGAATAGAGGGGATGTCACCAACTAAAGAAGCTCTTGATTGTTAGACAAATTCTCCTTGTCATTACCATTGGAAATGCCAAGAGAACAGTGATGAGAATATGGATACTAGTGTTAAGAAAATTTAAATTCAAGATTACCAGGGCATACTTTGTTATAAGCTGTGATAAGCTGGGTCAGTACTTTAAAACTTGATATGAAAAAAATATTTTGATTATTGACAGATGATTTCTTTCTATTCCAGTAAACAGAAGCACAAAGTAACGTGTGTACAAAGGCAGCATCTCTGATGTTCATAGGGCAGACAGTCCAGGCAGATGGCCATAACACAAGATCTGATCTTCAGAAGGACATTGGCCCAAATTGCATCAGTTAGCTATAAATTTAATATATGGTTACATACATCAAAAATGCAAAGAACTAGTTGGTAAATGTTAGGCAATTTTATCATCATCCGTAGCTGCCTTTTCTTTGAACTGTTAAGGACTATGTTTTTTTTCAGTGAAATCATTAATAGGGCATTGTTTTAATTAATGTTAATGAAATTACTAATATTTACCAGACCGAGTGTTGTATTACGGTAACTTTTTAACTCACAAACTTTGATTGTCAATTCTCTTTCTCACTGGTACACATTTCCTTCAAAAATTTGGTTTTAGATCAAGATAACAACTTCTACTTGATAAGTTTGTGTGTTCTCATTCCCCTGAATAGTGTTTGCTTATTGGTTGCTCTGTTTCCTTTTTTGTGCAGAAAAACGCAAATTTATAAATGAGTATTTTAAAACGATTTATTTTTCAACTGTTAAGTGACTGCGCCTACCTAGGCTGGACTAGGAATCGCAGAGGAAAGCAGTATATTGTGGGTTATCGGATGGCGAGGATTGATGTAGATGTTTTCATGTTGATTTTTTCGTTAAAAACAAGAGCTACAGGCGATGATTAAAAAATTTGTTAAGTGTTTTTATTTTAAAAGATCGATTTCTAACAAATAAAATCCTAGAAGTGACTCAGCTTACTATCTATTAGATGGCTGTCTGAATCTGTTTTAGCGCTCTATAAGTAAGTGTCACAAGGTCAAAACCAAAGAAATCGCAACAGCCAATCAGATCAAAGGAAATATCACAAGGAACGAATTAGAACTCAGAGCAAGAACAAGTGGCGACCCGAAGCGCGGGAAAATGCGAGTGAGTAAGCCGCGATTGGTTTTAATTTGCGTTTGATTGGTGGAGCGAGTGGCGCGAATTTTCTTGGCCAATCACAGAACGAAGTGATGAACACTGATCGCATGTAAATCCGTTAAAGGAAACGATAATGGAAAAGGAAAAGTCGCGACGTTTCGAACACAAAGCTCATTTACCTACAGGTAACCTGTTGATTCACCGTTTTGTTTTGGGCTTTATCATAAAGATGATACGCTTTTAAATCATCGTGACTTACTAGCTTGTGTACTTGTTTACAATGCCCATGAGACAACTTGGTTCTTAGAGCCTGAAAGCACATCTCTTAGTCATGATCCAAGTCATTACGACTTTCGCACTTTCGTAGACCTCTGGTAGCTGTGTTGGCTTTTCCTTGTTCTGTTTCACGCGTTTCCTTCATTCTTCCCACCTACCCCCGTTTTCTCACAGATAATGAACAGAGGCTGAAGAAATTTTCATCTATTTTTTTCTGAAATAGTGATCTAATCCTCTAAATTACAAAATACACTTATGTTAGCTCCACACATCGTTTAGGAGACTGAAAAATTATCTTGTTACTTAAACCTTTCTGCTCACAATTTATCAATTGACGAAAAAGTAATAAGTTCATGGCGCTCAATGTCAGCTCATACAGCACTGTTTCTGTTCACCTCAGTCCTTTTTTCCCTTCGCAATGCTGATAAATCTCTCCCTAGGGGGAGGCAATGCTTGCCTTTCGGCTTCGACCAGAAGTTTTCCTTCATCAGTGAGACGCGACACGACAGAATTCATGTCGACGTCTTTGGGCAAAACGAATTGACGATTAAACTTCTGGGAAGTGTAATGCCCCTCTGTTTCGGATTCGTGTGATGCGCTAACGGTCAATTCATTGCCAACAACTTTCACTTTGATCTCCTCGGGCGCGAAGTTTGTCACATCTAACAAAACACTGAATTTCTTCTCATCGATTCGGGCTACCTCTCCCGCGCGCGTTTCAAACCCTCCGAGCGGAAAATCGTCTTCTGTCTTGACAATTTTTCTAGTGGCTTCAATAGTCAGATAACCATCCTTGGATATTTTTGATGTAATGCTAGCGGGATCTGCATCTTGCGGGACGGGATAAGTTCGCTGGAACTCACTGCGCTCAAAACCAAAGTTCCCGTCGGAGTAATGTTTAGCCTTCACGACTAAGACGTCCCCCTCAACTCGTAGACTGACCTCGTCAGGGCTGTAATTTCGCACATCTAGAGTAACTATGTGAATTCTTTCATCGGAACCTGAGCGCTGACGCTGCATTTTGATGTCGGGAAGGGTTTCTGAGATCTGCGACTGCAATACTGAGATTTTTAAGTGTTCGTGTATGAATACGGCAATATAATATTACACAAAGTTCGCATGGGGTAGAAAATAAATGATGTTTTAGTCTGCGGGGATGTTTAAATCAAATTAAAAATATTGGATTCAACTGTTCTGTATTGATATAATTTCTAAACACATTAGCTGATTGAATTTGCTTAAGGAGAAAATATCGTTCATGAACCAAGCAATCTCTTACGATTCAGTAAAAGCACGAAACTTGCTAAATTAAGACCCGGAAAGAAAGTAACTGCCCTGAAGAGCAACTCTTAATTCCTAGAGTTGAAATTTTGTTGGGTTCAAATTTGTAATAGCCAAATGAGGTTCTATGATGAGGTTCTATGATATATCATTTTCGTGTTGAGATATTGGCTCTGTAATCGAGTTTTGCATCTCCGTTCACAATAGCGAAACATATAGAGGTAGTGAAATTTTTCACCCCGCAAAGAGACACAAAGCTTTTGACTTCGATCCAAAGCTATGACAAGCTAATTTGGTTTTATCAACTGAGCTGATAATGTAAACTGGCCACCGTAAAGAGCTGACTGAGTTGTCAGAGCGAATGGGTCTCTTTCGTTTTTGTGGTAGAGAAAATTTTCGACTGGTTAGTTTTAAAAGGTTTCTTTGTCTATACTGGACATAACTCATTCGAGTGATCTTTAGTCTGGATATACTCCGAGTATTGGCGTTTTAATTTATATCACTGGTTCATTGAAATGTTAAAAGTGATGGGCTAATAGAGCGTTTTTATTTAAAATGAAAGGAAATATAAAAAATTCATGCGTTTTTAGTGTTTAAAACTAAAATTAAGAGTTACGAATCTTAAAATAAAATTCTATGTCAGATTAGACAGTTTTACCCTCAACCACAACAAAGTGAGGTACATGGTGCCACAAGAGTATTTTTCTTTAACGTTTAACATCGCTGCTAAAATACCAACAAACACTAATTTACAAATTCAGCTTATGTTTCAAGAAAATCTGTTTAACATTTCTTTACCAAACTTTCCGGAACATTCACAAAGAAACTAAGACACTTGAAATGTGCATGTTGGAACATATTTGATATACATATACACGTTTTTTGATTACTTTTATTACTGATGTAGTTCGCATAAATTTAATAGCTTTGAAGTTGAAATTTCGATAACACTATTCACAGACTACTTTAACAGTGAATCCAATTAAAACTCTGGTATTCAGAAATAAGTGACGGATTTCTGTCTTCCCGTTAACCAAGGAAGCGCTTGATCTTGTTCCGTTAATTTGAACAGTTTTGCATGCATGACAGTTTTGTTTTTCATTTCCTGTCCTGTCTCAGAGTCAAAAAACTTAAAAAAAAAACATACAGTAAATGAATCTTCCGGATTAATAACCGTTGGAGTCTCAAACAACCTTTGAGAAGTACGTATACAGGGTTTTGAAGGAATGGATGCGAAATAAATTAACTGCCCTTCTGAAGGTTCCTTGTGGAGCTGGAATAAGGATCGAGTACGATAAATCTATGTCGAGCTCACCTTCCCAGGGACAAATATTGATCCGATATAATATTTAGGATAGAACGGATTGGAGAAGTAACTTCATAAACTGAAGCGACATCGGAATAGGAGGTCGTTTCAGGGTAAGATTAAAAAATTTGCGGCAACAATAGTCAACCACCTCAAAAGAAGAAAAAAAAACCACGGTTGCTCGTTGTTGCTTTTTACTTAATTTAGTATAGTTAACAATAAGTAACATTAAGGCCCCTTCCACGAATAAGCAAAATAAATTCAATGATTCTACTTTATTCAAACTCCAAGAGTTAGGTTTGTCGCTCCCGCTAATCTGGATAACTGGATATAACGTGGAGAAGACCTAGTCAATTAATCATGAGTCTGTGCATATATATATATATATATATATATATATATATATATATATAACTCACCGTTTTGTAGGTTGAATGACAGAACCGAGAAAATGAACGATAAAGTCGCGCGGAAAATGGTAGAAAAGAACCTGCCGTTTAGCCATATAAATCACCATTAACCGAGCATTAAAATCTGTCTGATGATTGCGTAAGCGTGAAACTCAGAGTCACAGAAAAGCTATGTCTTATTAATTTGTCCAACTTTCAGATATATAAATATATATGAAGTACAACTGATAAATACCGCAATGGTAGCTTAATAACGCGGTATTGTCTTTTGTAGCTCTGTCGACTACTTGTTAGTGTTCTTTTTGTGTTTAAACACCCTTTCCATTTTAGTAAAGAGAGCTTAGGTTCAAGCACGTACTCTTTGCGTGGAATAGAAACATTGTATCTGACAGGTGTTTAATGAGTGCCAATAGGGGCAATCTTCCATAACGCTAAGTATATCTCTTGATAGCCTAGTGATCATGAAAGAAAAAGTCTGAGATAAGGATGCAAAACTAACCATTTTGTAGGTTGAATGACAGAACCGAGAAAATGAACCACAAATTCGCGCGGAAAATGGTAAAAAAGAACCTACCGCTGGCCAGATAAATCTCCATTAACCGACCAAAGACCTCTGGCTATGCAAGCTAAACACCAGATTTTCAGAAGTTGTGGGACTTCTAGCAATCAACCTCTCAAACCCCCCCTCTAACCGCAACCACAACCCCCCCCCCTTCCCAGTCCCCGGCCTTCCCTTCTCACACAAGGCTCGTTATCGAATTCTGGCTAGCTTAGAAACAGATAAAACAATTTTTTTCTTTTCTTCCCTTCAATATAGAATATCAGTCATTCACTATTTTGATTATCTTGTATCGAGTATGATCTCCACCACCCCCCGAACAAATTAGAGCTCTAAGGTTACCGAACTCGACCGTACACGACATCTAATTTGGACCTCGACTACAACTGAGCTCGGTTAGTCGAAATCCAACTCGGTTTAATTTGAGCATTATTACCAAGCGAGGGCGGTTGTGGTTAGAGCCCAGGATTCCAGCCGAGCTTGATTACCAAAAAATTGAACTCAATATTCTGTGTTGGGTTGTGTTTCGAGCTCGGGTGTCCTATATCGATTTCGCTTTCCCAGAAACTGATATTGATCCACATAACCTGTATGCTTGATTGAAAAAAGGCGGAAGTAGTTAAAAACGTACAGGAAAAATTGTTCACGGACGCTTTGAAGTCTTATATCATTGCCCTCTTGTTTCACGACGTTTCAACTGTGTTTCAATCGTCATGCCTTGTATCTTAGTTCGCAACTCCATGAACATGGAAGAATTCTCATGCAGTGTGGCCAAGCACGCATTCTCTGGGACAGAAACCTACATTGATTCTAGCTGTGGTAAAGGGACTTCGGTCGCGAAAGCGATAGAGTCTGCGCTGTATCCACTATCAACTGTAGATACGTCAGATAAGTTGACTTCTACGTGGTTCACCAATCGTCCACCTTTGGTAGTTCTGGACAAACTACAAGACTTAGGCTTCTCAGTTGTTGCCGCAAATACTGTTGGAGTGACTACTGTGTGGACCCTGCAAGGTAACCTGAACGTCCACAGCATGGGTCGTCCTATACGGAATGATCATCGCTTTCGTTATGATCGGACTATACCAGACAAAGAGCAGGAGTACTTTTAAAAACTGTTTCCAACGACATTTTGAACACTTTCTCGTTCGGAATTTTAATAGGACATTGAGCAACCTACTCCCTATATATATCTGTCTATGATTGTTATTTATTTTAATGCTTCGTCATTTTCTGTGCTGTGGCATTTTATTTGTAGCGTTGTTAAGGGAGATCGTTTTTTTCCTGTTGACGCAATGAAATTACAGACGATTAGTAATTTACCAAATTAGCCCATGTTGTAAAAATTGCATGAAATCATGTTTCTGTTACCGATCTGAACTCGCGCGTAACGTTCATTGTTTGCATAACTGTTGAACCGTTCGTTTTAAAATAATATATTTAAATATACATGATAAAACGCTATTACTCAAAGTTTTAGATCGTTTACCACAGATCCCCGGTACCTGGATTTAGTGACAGACCTTTGTCCTCCCGTTTGCCAAGCAAGTGCTCTGAGCTATTTTCATAAGTCTCCTATAACGTTTCTTAATTGTTTCGCTCAGTCAAGCCGAGTCACAGTACCTGGTCTACAAAAATTGCCCTTTCGTGTGGGTATATCAAACCTACCGTCTATGGATTTTATCTCTGTAGAAAGGCTACATTTTATCCCTGCAGATAGTCATCTTTGAACCGAAGAGTTCGAAACCTAAAGCATTCGGTCTCGAAAAGAAAAAATTCCAAATTAACGAGTGTAAAATTATAAGTTATAAAATGTATTTATTTTTCTTAGCCGTTGTGCACATCAATCTTTTGTCAATACAGCATGATTTAAAAAGACAGCTTCATGACTGATTAAATGAGTTTGGGTTGGAGTTTTCCTTAGCCTCGCACGGACATATTAGGCTCGATTTCCGCCGCACTCGTGTACGGTCTTCTCTCCTCCAGTGGGTTCGGGGGAAGGAACGAGGGCTCATCTTCCCGAACAACCGCTGGTAATCGAGCCTAGTAGACATATATGCCGTAAAGGAAGGCGAATTCTTTCCCTTACATCTGCATGTTAGTCTTTACATAAACCTAATTACAAAAAGCAAAACCAAAAAAGGAAAATGGAAAAAAAAGGCCATTAGCTTATAAAACTACCCTCTGGCTTAACGACCGCTAGCTGAACAATTCTCACAGCATTTCCATTCAAACTTATTTCTGTTTAGAGATTCCGGTGATTCCAAAAATATAAATATGTAGAAAAATTTATCAGCTGATGCCACATGCTTCTGCTTTATGCTACTTAATTCGTACTTGGCCTATTTTTTCTTTTGCTTTTTTCTAAGACAACGTTACTTCAATTAGGTGTCTGTAAATTACAAAATAAAGCGATCAGGTTGGCCGGAAAAGTCGTTATCGTTAATTTGTCACGATCCTGATGAATTATACATGTTTCCTCATTATTCATGCATGCACAATTCTGAGAAAAACAGGATGCAAAGGACATGCATGGCAAACTCGTATTCTTAGGTGGATATCTTTGCGGCAGTTTACGCGTATTTCATTCGCCATGTTTGCCGCGCGTCCAGATCCCTATCAACCTCCTTATGTGCTGGTTCGCACTCTTATGAACACGAAAGATCCTGATAAGGCATTTTCAGAGACATCAACTTACATCGAGTTCTGGTTTCCTCAGAAGTTTGTTCAACATGTGGTTTGTGGTTTGTCGGTGGAGCTTGTCAGCGATGGAAACTCTAACAATATCACGTGTAAGACCACCGAGGCCCCTTACTATGTACTCAGTAGGTTTAAAGAAAATGGTTATCGAGTGGTTGGAGTATCTTCTGTTGGAGAGACCTGTGTTTGGACATGTGAGTATGCTCACTGAATGAGAAGCCGAATAGTGACGAAAGATGAAGCTGTGTCATTGAAGAATCCGGCAAAGGTTCGCTGGGATATTTTCTTACATGCTACAACGATGTGTAGTAAAAAAACCAAACAATATATTCCTGTATTTTATTAGATTATCGATATCCTCTCAATCTGGTTGTACTGAATGTTCTGCGCTCATGAACTGTTAGCGAAATTTGAATTAATCTAAATATTCATTGTGTATTTTCATTATTAGTATGTTAGCTTAAAAAACATTCCTTGTTGTTCCTCGGCAGTATATCTTGGTTTTATCAACTGAGTTGATGATGTAATTTGGCCACTGTAAAGAGTCTCCAAGGCTGACGTTTCGATCGTTAGCCCTTCTTCTGAGCGAATAAAAAAAAACTATGGGTTGTGTGTGTTTTATGTATATAAAAATAGAGCTGGAATCGGTAGGAACATAGTGACGTCAAAACGCGGCAATAGAGGTCAATCCACTGGTATGAATGGTTATACCAGTTTCAGATGATAAGTCCATTATAAAACAAGTTTTGCCTAAGAGATCAGTTTCCACTCTTCTAGCAGACGACCACGATTCTTTAGCACCGCAGAACGTTTCCTTAATTAAAAAAATGCAATTTCTTGATAAACAACGAAGTATGATTCTAAATGACTTTGGAACAGTATCCATTACAAGCTTATCTCTAATTATGGCTCAGAGAACGAGGTGTATCACATATTCAGTGCGCTTCCTTCGCTTCGTAGATTTACTGAATCGGTTGTGATGTGCCTGAAGCACATGTTAAGGCGCGCGCGTTCGTTTCATTTTTTGCCTTGAATTAGGAGATATTTTACATGTTTGGCACACTTGTTTGACCACTATACATTCAGCGTCTGTATATACTCTGCCACCTTTTGTATTACATCCATCAAATGATTCCATTAAATAATTCCATCAAATGATTTCGTTAAATAATTTCCAAAATATGGAAAGTAGTGTAGAGAGTTGGCGTTTTTGTATGGGATCACTTTGTGATTTCGTACCGCCAATTCCGAAAAACTAAAAAAAAACCTACAATAAATGAATCTTCCGGGGTAATTAATTATTGGAGTCTCAAACAACCTTTGAGAAGTACGCGCACAGGGTTTTGACGGAATAGATGCAAATCAAATTAACTGCCCTTATGAATTATGTAACACAACCTATATGCTTGATTGAAGTTCCGAGAAAAAGCGGACGTGGTTAAGAACGTACAATGCAAATTTTTTTCGGACGCTTTGAAGTTTAACATAATTGTCTTCTTGTTCTACGACGCCTCAACTGAGTTTCAATCGTCATGCCTTGTATCTTAGTTCGCAACCCATGAATATGGAACAACCTCAAACAGAGTGGCCGAGCTCGCATTCAAGGACACAGGAACCTACATTGATTGTGGCTGTGGTGAAGGGACTAAAGTCTTGAATGCGATATTTTTCGAGCTGCAGCCGCTAACTCAAGTTACGTCAAATGCTTTGATGTCTACGTGGTACACCGGTCATCCACCTTTTGTAGTACTGGAAAAGCTAAAAGATTTGGGCTTATCAGTTGTTGCTGCAAATACTGTTGGAGTGACTACTGTGTGGACCCTGCAATCGTATAAAGGTTGAGAGGTCCTATCCGAAATGATCAGCGCTTTAATTTTGCAGGCACCATGCCTAACAACTATCAGGGGATCTATTAAAAACTGTTTCCACTGACATTTTGAACACTTTCTCGTTCAGAATTTGAATAGGACATTGGACATTGGACATTGACCAAGCTACTTCCTATATCTTCGTCTGTAATTGTTAGTTACATAACACATGTTGCTTCGTTACTCATGCATGCACAATTGTGAGAAAAACCGGATTTTTGTCAATATGTGATTCTTGGTACGTCGGCGGAGCTTGTTAGCGATAGAAAGTCTCGCAATATCACATCTAAGACCACCAACGCCCCTCACTATGTACTCGGTAGGTTTAAAGGAAATGGTTATCGTGTGGTTAGAGTATCTTCTGTAGGAGAGACTTGTGTTTGGACGTGTGAATATGCTCTGTCTCGCTGAATGAGAAGAAATAGCAACAAAAGATGAAGCTGTGTCATTTGAAGAACCCGGCCAAGGTTCGCTGGGATATTTTCTCTCATGCTACAACTATGTGTCGTAAAAAAACAAACAATACATTCATTTTTTTTATTATATTATAGATATCCTCTCAATCTGATTGTACTGAATGTCCTGCGCTCGTGAACTATTGGCGAAATTTGTATTAATCTAAATATTCTTGTTTATTTTTCATCATATACGCTTGCTTAAAGAATACTTCCTGTTATTCTTTGGCAATATAGCTTGGTTTTATTAACTGAGTTGTCAATGTAAATTGGCCATCGTAAAGAGTTTCCAAAGCTGTGTTTCGATCGTGAGCCATTCGTATGAGCGAATCAAGAAAAATTGTGGGTTGTGTGAGTTTCACATATATAAAAATAGAGCTGGTATCGATGGGAACATGGTAACGTGAAAACGCGGCAATAGAGGTCAATTCAGTTGTTAGAACAGTTATACCAATTTTAGAAGATAAGTTCATTTTAAAACAAGTTTTGCCCATGAGACCAGTTCCATTCTTCTAACAGACGACCACGATTCTTTAGCGCAGCAGAACGTTTCCAATACTCGCCTTAATTAAAAAAGAATGCAGTTTCTCGATGAACAACGAAGTATGATTCTAAATGACTTTGGAACAATGTCCATAACAAGCCTATCTCTAATCATGGCTCAGAGAACGAGGTGTATCACATATTTAGTGCGCTTCCTTCGCTTCGTAGATTTAAGAATCGGTTGTGATATGCCTAAAGCGTATGTTATAAAATACTTCCATCAAATGATTTCGTTAAATAATTTCCACAATATGGAAAGTAGTATAGAGAGTTGGCGTTCTTCTTCTACTAACTATAACTTGTTTGACCACTGTACATTCAGCGTCTGTGCATGCTCTGCTACCGTTTGACTTCTATCTGCAAGTACAGAGTAGTATAGATAGTTGATGCTTTTGAACGAGATTACTTTTTGATCTCGTACCGCCAACTCCGAAAAGCATACAGCAAATGAAAATTCCGGATTAACAACCATTGGAGTCTCAACAACCTTTGAGAAGTAAGTACACAGGGTTTGACGGTATAACTTGTTTGACCACTATACATTCAGCGTCTGTGCATGCTCTGCTACCGTTTGAATTCTATCAGCAAGTAGAGCAGTACGATGGTATAGACGCAAAACAACTGCCCCAATGAATTATGTAACATAACCCGCATGCTTGATTGTAATTCCGAGAAAAAGCGGACGTGATTAAAAAAACGCTATGAAGTCTTATCTTATTGGTGAAGGACACTTTGAAGTCTTATCTTATTGATCAAGGTCGCTCTGACGTCTTATCTTATTGTTCTCGGACGCTTTGAAGTCTTATCTTATTGATGAAAGACACTTTGAGGTCTTATCTTATTGGTCTCGAACCCTTTGAAGTCTTATCTTTTTTGGTCTCGAACCATTTGAAGTCTTATCTTATTGGTCTCGAACCATTTGAAGTCTTATCTTTTTCGGTCTCGGACGCTTTGCAGCCTTCTTGTTCTACGACGCTTCAACTGTGTTTTAATCGTCATGCTTTTTATCCTAGTTCGCAGCTCCATGAAAATGGAGAAATCCTCAAACAGAGTGGCCGAGGACGCATTCTTTGATGAGAAAACCTACATTGATTCTAGCCATGGTAAAGGGACCGATTTCTCGAAGGCGATAACTGACCGGCTGGAGTTTCTAACTGAAGTTAAGTCACATTCGTTGATGTCTACGTGGAGCACCGTTCATCCTCCTTTTGTAGTACTGGCCATACTGCAAGATTTGGGCTTCTCAGTTGTTACAGCAAATACTGTTGGTGTGACTACTGTGTGGACCCTGCGTGGTAGCCTGAACGTCCAGCGCTAGAGTTGTTTTACCCCCGATCATCATCATCTTCTTTGTTATGAACAGTTTGCACGACAGAAAAGGCAGCAGCCCTTTGAAAAACTGTTTCCACCGACGTTTTGAACACTTTCTTGTTAAGAATTAGAATAGGACATTGGAAATTGGACATTGAACATTGGACATTGAACATTGGACATCTAAGCTACTCCCTATATCTTTGTCTGTGATTGTTATTTACATTAATGCTTTGATATTTTCTGTGCTCTGGCATTTTATTTGTAGTGTTGTTTACGGAGATCGTTTTCCTGTTAATGCAGTGAAATTATGGACGACCGGTAATTTACCAAATTAGCTTATGTTGTAAAAATCACAAGGTTAAATCATGTTTTGGTTATCGATCTGAACTCGTGTGTAACGTTCATTGTTTGCTTAACTGTCGAACTGTTCGTATTAAAATAACATTTAAATACAGTAATAGATCTTTGTCTTCCCGTTAGCCAAGCGAGCGCTCCAAGCTATTTTAGTCTCCCATAACGTTTCTTGTTTCGTTTAGTCAAGCATTCGCAGTACCGGGTCTACAAAATTACCCTTTCGTGTGGGTATAGCAAACATATCGTTAATTGAAATTTTCCCCTGTAGATAGACCGCTTTTTATCTCTTCAGCTAGTTATCCTTGAACTGAGGCCTGGAGTTTTTCTCGGCCTCGCATGGACCTATTGTGCTCGATTTCCGCCGCTTTCGTGTCCGGTCTTCGCAATAGACATACATGCCGCAAAGGAAGGCGAGTTCTCTCTCTTACACCTGGATGTTATTTTTTACATACACCTAATTGCAAAAAAAAAAAAAAAAAAAAAGGCAGAAGGCAAAAAAAGCCATTAGCTTATAAAAACTTCCCTCTGGCTAAACGACCGCCAACTGAACAATTCTCACAGAATTTCCATTCAAAACTTCTTTCTGTTTAGAGATTCCAGTGATTCCGATGATTCCAAAATGTACATATGTATATGTATAAGAATGCCACATGCTATTGCTTTATACTACCTAATTCGAATTAGGCCTATTTTGTTTTTCGCTTTTTCCTGATACAACGTTACTGCAATTTGGTTTATGTAATTGACAAAATAAAGCGATCAGTTTAGCCGGAACGGAAGTGAAATTTGTCACGATTCCAATAAATTCTATAAGTTGACCATTTCTCATGCATGCACAATTCTGAGAAAAACAGGATATGCTGAGTACATGCATGGCAAACTCGTATTCTTAAGTGGATATCTTTGCGGCAGTTTAGGCGTTTTCTGCCCCGCCACGAGAACTCCATAAACTTCTTTTAGTGCAGGTTCGCACTCCTATGATGAGGCATTTTCAGAGACACCAACTTACATTGAATTGTGGTGTCCACCGGATTTTTGGCGATGTGTGATTCATGGTACGTCGGCGTAGCCTGGCAGCGATAAAAAGTCTTACAATATCACGTAGAGACCACTGACGCCCCTTATCATGTACTCAGTAGGTTGAAAGGAGATGGTTATAATGTGGTTGGAGTATCTTCTGTTGGAAAGACTTGTGTTTGGACGTGTGAGTATGCTCCGTCTCACTGAATGAGAAGAAATAGCGACAAAAGATGAAGCTGTGTCATTGAAGAACCCGGCAAAGGTTCGCAGGGATATTTTCTTACATGCTACCACTATGTGTAGTAAAAAACCAAACAATATATTCATGTCTTTTATTCGATTATAGATATCCTCTCAATCTGATTGTACTGAATGTTCTGCGCTCATGAACTGTTAGCGAAGTTTGAATTGATCTAAATATTCATTGTGTATTTTTCACTATTAGTATGTTAGCTTAAAAAACATTCCTTGTTGTTCGGCAGTATATCTTGGTTTTATCAACTGAGTTGAGGATGTAATTTGGCCACCGTAAAGAGTCTCCAAAGCTGACGTTTCGAGCGTTAGCCTTTCGTCTGAGCGACTCAAGAAAAATTGTGGGCTGTGTGTGTTAAATATACAAAAAAATAGAGCTATGCGATCGGTGAGAACATGGTAGCGTGAACATGCAGCAATAGAGGTCAATTCACTTATACGAGCAGTTTTACCAATTTCAGAAGATAAGTTCATTTTAAAACAAGACTTGCCCAAGATATCAGTTTCCATCTTTCTAGCAGACGACCACGATTCTTTAACGCCGCAGAACGTTTCCAATGCCCTTAATGAAAAAAAGATGCAGTTTCTCGGTAAACAACGTAGTATGATTCTAAATGACTTTGTAACAGAGTCCATAACAAGCTTATCTCTAATTATGGCTCAGAGCACGATGTGTATCACATATTCAGTGCGCTTCTTTTCGCTTCGAAGGTTAAGAATCGGTTTTGATATGCTTAAAGCGCATGTTATAAAAGGATTCCATCAAACGATTTCGTTAAATAATTTCCACGATATGGAAAGTAGTATAGAGAGTTGGCGTTTTTGTACGGGATCACTTTGAGATCTTGTACCGGCAATTTCGAAAAACATACAACAAGTGAATGATCCGGGTTAATAATCATTGGAGTCTCAAGCAACCTCTGAGAGGTACGCGTACAGGGTTTTGACGGAATAGATGCAAAACAAACTAACTGCTCTTATGAATCATGTAACACAACCTGGGTGCTTGATTGAAAAAACGTACAGCACAAATTGGTCTCGGACGCTTTGAAGCCTTCTTGTTCTACGACGCCTCAACTGAGTTTCAATCGTCATGCCTTGTATCTTAGGTCGCAACTCCATGAACATGGAACAATCCTCAAACAGCGTGGCCGAGCTCCCATTCTCTGAGACAGAAACCTACATTTATTCTAGCTCCGATAAAGAGACTGATGTAGCGATGGAGTTCGTGCTGAATCCGCCAACATTTGTGGTTACGTCAAGTGGGTGGACTTCTCCGTGGTTCACCAATCATTCACCATTTGTAGTACTGGACGAGCTAAAACATTTGGACTTATCAGTTGTTGCTGCAAATACTGTTGGAGTGACTAGTGTGTGGACCCTGCAAGGTAACATGAACGTCCACAGTTTGAGAAGTCCTATCTGGAATGATCAGTTCTTTAATTATGCACGCGCCATGCCACACAAGTATCAGAGGCGCTCTTAAAAACTGTTTAGACCGACATCTTGAAAACTTTCTTGTTAAGAATTAGAATAGAACATTGTCTGAGCTACTCCTTATATCTTCATCTATAATTTGTTATTAATATTTATATTAATGGTTTAACATTTTCTGTGCTGTGACATTTTAGTTGTAGTGTTGTCAAGGGAGATCGTTTTTCCTGTTAATGCAGTGAAATTACAGGAGACCAGTAATTTACCAAAATTAGCTTATGTTGTGAAAATCACATGGTTAAATCATGTTTCTGTTATTGCTCTGAACTTGTGCGTAACGTTTATTGTTTGCATAACTGTTGAACTGTTCGTTTTAAAATGATATATTAGATATACATGATAAAACGCTGCTAGTTAGAGCTTTGGACCGTTCACTGCAGATCCCCGGCACCTGAAATTAGCGACAGATCTTTGTCCTCCCGTTAGCCGAGCAGGCGCTCCGAGATTTTTAAGTCTCCCATAACGTTTCTTGTTTAGCTCAGTCAAGCAGTCACAGTACCGGGTCTACAAAATTACCCTTTCGTGTGGGTATAGCTAACCTATCGTCAATGGGTTTTATCTCTGTGGGTAGGCTACGCACTATCGCTGCAGCTAGTTATCCTTGAACTGAAGAGTTCGAAACCTGAAGCATTTGGTCTCGAAAAGAAAGATTCCAAAATAATGAGTGCAAATTGACAGGTTATAAATTGTTTTTATTTTTCTTAAACGTTGTGCACATCAATCTTTTGTCAATACCGCATGATTTAAAAAGAAAGCTTCATAACTGTTTAAGTGAGTTTGAGTTGGACTTTTTCTTAGTCTCGCATGGACATATTAGATTTCCGCCGCTCTCGTGTACGGTCTTCGCCGATATGCTGAGTACATGCATGGCAAACTCATATTCTTAAGTGGATATCTTTGCGGCAGTTTACGTGTTTTTCATTCGCCATGTCTGCCCCGCCTCAAGAACTCCATAAACCTCCTTATGTGTTGGTTCGCATTCCTATGAACACGAAAGATCCTTAAAAGGCATTTTCAGAGACACCAACCTACGTTGACTTTTGGTGTCCACCGGAGTTTTGTCAATATGTGATTCTTGGTACGTCGGTGTGGCTTGTCAGCGATAGGAAGTCTTACAATATCATGTATATGACCTTAGACGCTCCCTATTATGTACTCAGTAGGTTGAAAAGAAATGGTTATATCGTGTGGTTGGAGTATCTTCCGTTAGAGAGACCTGTCTTTTGCGTAAGAATATGCTCCGTCTCACTGAATAAGTAGAAATAGGGACAAACTTTGCAGTTTCTCAATAAACAACATAGTATGATTCTAAATGACTATAGAACAGTGTCCATGATAAGCTTATCTCTAATTATGGCTCAGAGAACGAGGTGTATCATATACTCAGTGCACTTCCTTCGCTTCATAGACTTAAGAGTCGGTTGTGATATGCCTGAAGCGCGTGTTAAGGCGCGCGCGTTCGTTTCATTTTTTGCCTTGAATTATGAGATATTTTACATGTTTGGCACACTTGTTTGACCACTGTACATTCAGCGTTTGTGCATGCTCTGCTACCGTTTGAATTCTTTCTGCAAGTACAGAGTAGTATAGATAGTTGATGTTTTTGTACGAGATTACTTTTTGATCTCGTACCGCCTACTCCGAAAAGCATACAGCAAATGAAAATTCCGGATTAACAACCATTGGAGTCTCAAACAACCTTTGTGAAGGAGGTACACAGGGTTTTGACGGAATAGACGCAAAAAATATCAACTGCCCCAGTGAATTATGCAACATAACCCGCATGCTTGATTGTAATTCCGAGAAAAAGCGGAAAAAGCCTTGACGTCTTATATTATTGGTCAAGGACGCCTTGACGTCTTATCTTATTGGCCAAGGACGCTTTGACGTCTTATCTTATTGGTCAAGGAGGCTTTGACATCTTATCTTATTGGTCAAGGACGCTTTGACGTCTGATCTTATTGATCATGGACGCTTTGACGTCTTACATTATTGTTCCCAGACGCTTTGACGTCTACATTATTGTTCTCGGACGCTTTGGAGTCTTCTCTTATTGTTCTTGGACGCTTTGAAGTCTTATCTTGTTGATCAAGGACACTCTCACGTCTTATCTTATTGCTCAAAGACGCTATGAAGTCTGATCTTATTGGTCAAGGACACTTTGAAGTCTGATCTTATTAGTCAAGGACACTTTGAAGTCTTATCTTATTGATCAAGGTCGCTCTGCCATCTTATCTTATTGGTCAAGGACGCTTTGACGTGTTATCTTATTGGTGAAGAACGCTTTGAAGTCTTATCTTATTGATCAAGGACGCTTTGACGTCTTATCTTATTGGTCAAGGACGCTTTGACGTCTTATCTTATTGGTCAAGGACGCTTTGACGTCTTACCTTATTGATGAAAGACGCTTTGAGGTCTTATCTTATTGGTCTCGAACCCTTTGAAGTCTTATCTTTTTTGGTCTCGGACGCTTTGCAGCCTTCTTGTTCTACGACGCTTCAACTGTGTTTTAATCGTCATGCTTTTCATCCTAGTTCGCAGCTCCATGAAAATGGAAAAATCCTCAAACAGAGTGGCCGAGGACGCATTCTTTGATGAGAAAACCTACATTGATTCTAGCCATGGTAAAGGGACCGATTTCTCGAAGGCGATAACTGACCGGCTGGAGTTTCTAACTGAAGTTAAGTCACATTCGTTGATGTCTACGTGGAGCACCGTTCATCCTCCTTTTGTAGTACTGGCCATACTGCAAGATTTGGGCTTCTCAGTTGTTACAGCAAATACTGTTGGTGTGACTACTGTGTGGACCCTACGTGGTAGCCTGAACGTCCAGCGCTAGTGTTGTTTTACCCCCGATCATCATCATCTTCTTTGTTATGAACAGTTTGCACGACAGGAAATGCAGGAGCCCTTTGAAAAACTGTTCCCACCGACGTTTTGAACACTTTCTTGTTAAGAATTAGAATAGGACATTAGACATTGGACATTGAACATTGGACATCGAAGCTACTCCCTATATCTTTGTCTGTGATTGTTATTTACATTAATGCTTTGATATTTTCTGTGCTCTGGCATTTTATTTGTAGTGTTGTTTAAGGAGATCGTTTTCCTGTTAATGCAGTGAAATTATAGACGACCGGTAATTTACCAAATTAGCTTATGCTGTGAAAATCACATGGTTAAATCATGTTTTTGTTATCGATCTGAACTCATGTGTAACGTTCATTGTTTGCTTAACTGTCGAACTGTTCGCATTAAAATAACATTTAAATACAGTAATAGATCTTTGTCTTCCCGTTAGCCAAGCGAGCGCTCCAAACTATTTTAGTCTCCCATAACGTTTCTTGTTTCGTCCAGCCAAGCATTCGCTGTACCGGGTCAACAGAATTACCCTTTCGTGTGGATATAGCAAACATATCGCTAATTGAAATTTTCCCCTGTAGATAGACCGCTTTTTATCTCTTCAGCTAGTTATCCTTGAACTGAGGCCTGGAGTTTTTCTCGGCCTCGCATGGACCTATTGTGCTCGATTTCCGCCGCTCTCGTGTCCGGTCTTCGGCAATAGACATACATGCCGCAAAGGAAGGCGAGTTCTCTCTCTTACACCTGGATGTTATTTTTTACATACACCTAATTGCAAAAAGTGAAAGCAAAAAAGGCAAAAGGCAAAAAAAGCCATTAGCTTATAAAAACTTCCCTCTGGCTCAACACCCGCCAAATGAACAATTCTCACAGAATTTCCATTCAAAACTTCTTTCTGTTTAGAGATTCCAGTGATTCCGGTCATTCCAAAAATGTACATATGTATATGTATAGGAATCCCATATGCTATTGCTTTATACTACCTAATTCGAATTAGGCCTACTTTGTTTTTCGCTTTTTCCTGATACAACGTTACTGCAATTTGGTGTATGTAAATGACAAAATAAAGCGATCAGTTTAGCCGGAACGGAAGTGAAATTTGTCACGATTCCAATAACTTCTATAAGTTAACCATTTCTCATGCATGCACAATTCTGAGAAAAACAGGATATGCTGAGTACATGCATGGCAAACTCGTATTCTTAAGTGGATATTTTTGCAGCAGTTTAGGCGTTTTCTGCCCCGCCACGAGAACTCCATAAACTTCTTTTAGTGCAGGGTCGCACTCCTATGATGAGGCATTTTCAGAGACACCAACTTACATTGAATTGTGGTGTCCACCGGATTTTTGGCGATATGTGATTCATGGTACGTCGGCGTACCCTGGCAGCGATAAAAAGTCTTACAATATCACGTAAAGACCACCGACGCCCCTTACCATGTACTCAGTAGGTTGAAAGGAGATGGTTATAATGTGGTTGGAGTATCTTCTGTTGGAAAGACTTGTGTTTGGACCTGTGAGTATGCTCCGTCTCACTGAATGAGAAGAAATAGCGACAAAAGATGAAGCTGTGTCATTGAAGAACCCGGCAAAGGTTCGCAGGGATATTTTCTTACATGCTACAACTATGTGTAGTAAAACACCAAACAATATATTCATGTCTTTTATTCGATTATAGATATCCTCTCAATCTGATTGTACTGAATGTTCTGCGCTCATGAACTGTTAGCGAAATTTGAATTGATCTAAATATGCATTGTGTATTTTTCACTATTAGTATGTTAGCTTAAAAAACATTCCTTGTTGTTCCTCGGCAGTATATCTTGGTTTTATCAACTGAGTTGAGGATGTAATTTGGCCATCGTAAAGAGTCTCCAAAGCTGGCGTTTCGAGCGTTAGCCTTTCGTCTGAGCGATTCAAGAAAAATTGTGGGCTGTGTGTGTTAAATATACAAAAAAATAGAGCTATGCAATCGGTGAGAACATGGTAGCGTGAACATGCAGCAATAGAGGTCAATTCACTTATACGAGCAGTTTTACCAATTTCAGATGATAAGTTCCTTTTAAAACAAGACTTGCCCAAGATATCAGTTTCCGTTCTTCTAGCAGACGACCACGATTCTTTAACGCCGCAGAACGTTTCCAATGCCCTTAATGAAAAAAAGATGCAGTTTCTCGGTAAACAACGTAGTATGATTCTAAATGACTTTGTAACAGAGTCCATAACAAGCTTATCTCTAATTATGGCTCAGAGCACGATGTGTATCACATATTCAGTGCGCTTCCTTTCGCTTCGAAGGTTAAGAATCGGTTTTGATATGCTTGAAGCGCATGTTATAAAAGGATTCCATCAAACGATTTCGTTAAATAATTTCCACGATATGTAAAGTAGTATAGAGAGTTGGTGTTTTTGTACGGGATCACTTTGAGATCCTGTGCCAGCAATTTCGAAAAACATACAACAAGTGAATGAACCGGGTTAATAATGATTGGAGTCTCAAACAACTTCTGAGAGGTAAGCGTACAGGGTTTTGACGGAATGGATGCAAAACAAACTAACTTCCCTTATGAATCATGTAACACAACCTGAGTGCTTGATTGAAAAAACGTACAGCACAAATTGGTCTCGGACGCTTTGAAGCCTTCTTGTTCTACGACGCCTCAACTGAGTTTCAATCGTCATGCCTTGTATCTTAGGTCGCAACTCCATGAACATGGAACAATCCTCAAACAGCGTGGCCGAGCTCCCATTCTCTGAAACAGAAACCTACATTGATTCTAGCTCCGATAAAGAGACTGATGTAGCGATGGAGTTCGTGCTGAATCCGCCAACATTTGTGGTTACGTCAAGTGGGTGGACTTCTCCGTGGTTCACCAATCATTCACCTTTTGTAGTTTTGGACGAGCTAAAAGATTTGGACTTATCAGTTGTTGCAGCAAATACTGTTGGAGTGACTAGTGTGTGGACCCTGCAAGGTAACATGAACGTCCACAGTTTGAGAAGTCCTATCTGGAATGATCAGTTCTTTAATTATGCACGCGCCATGCCACACAAGTATCAGGGGCGCTCTTGAAAACTGTTTAGACCGACATTTTGAAAACTTTCTTGTTAAGAATTAGAATAGAACATTGTCTGAGCTACTCCTTATATCTTCATCTATAATTTGTTATTAATATTTATATTAATGGTTTAACATTTTCTGTGCTGTGACATTTTAGTTGTAGTGTTGTCAAGGGAGATCGTTTTTCCTGTTAATGCAGTGAAATTACAGGAGACCAGTAATTTACCAAAATTAGCTTATGTTGTGAAAATCACATGGTTAAATCATGTTTCTGTTATTGCTCTGAACTTGTGCGTAACGTTTATTGTTTGCATAACTGTTAAACTTTTCGTTTTAAATGATATATTAGATATACATGATAAAACGCTGCTAGTTATAGCTTTGGACCGTTCACTGCAGATCCCCGGCACCTGAGATTAGCGACAGATCTTTGTCCTCCCGTTAGCCGAGCAGGCGCTCCGAGCTTTTTAAGTCTCCCATAACGTTTCTTGTTAAGCTCAGTCAAGCAGTCACAGTACCGGGTCTACAAAATTACCCTTTCGTGTGGGTATAGCTAACCTATCGTCAATGGGTTTTATCTCTGTGGGTAGGCTACGCACTATCGCTGCAGCTAGTTATCCTTGAACTGAAGAGTTCGAAACCTGAAGCATTCGGTCTCGAAAAGAAAGATTCCAAAATAATGAGTGCAAATTTACAGGTTATAAATTGTTTTTATTTTTCTTAAACGTTGTGCACATCAATCTTTTGTCAATACCGCATGATTTAAAAAGAAAGCTTCATAACTGTTTAAGTGAGTTTGGGTTGGACTTTTTCTTAGTCTCGCATGGACATATTAGATTTCCACCGCTCTCGTGTCCGGTCTTCGCCGATACGCTGAGTACATGCATGGCAAACTCATATTCTTAAGTGAATATCTTTGCGGCAGTTTGACGTGTTTTTCATTCGCCATGTCTGTCCCGCCTCAAGAACTCCATAAACCTCCTTATGTGTTGGTTCGCATTCCTATGAACACGAAAGATCCTTAAAAGGCATTTTCAGAGACACCAACCTACGTTGACTTTTAGTGTCCACCGGAGTTTTGTCAATATGTGATTCTTGGTACGTCGGTGTGGCTTGTCAGCGATAGGAAGTCTTACAATATCATGTATATGACCTTAGACGCTCCCTATTATGTACTCAGTAGGTTGAAAAGAAATGGTTATATCATGTGGTTGGAGTATCTTCCGTTAGAGAGACCTGTCTTTGGCGTAAGAATATGCTCCGTCTCACTGAATAAGTAGAAATAGGGACAAACTTTGCAGTTTCTCAATAAACAACATAGTATGATTCTAAATGACTATAGAACAGTGTCCATGATAAGCTTATCTCTAATTATGGCTCAGAGAACGAGGTGTATCATATACTCAGTGCGCTTCCTTCGCTTCATAGACTTAAGAGTCGGTTGTGATATGCCTGAAGCGCGTGTTAAGGCGCGCGCGTTCGTTTCGTTTTTTTTTGCCTTGAATTATGAGATATTTTACATGTTTGGCACACTTGTTTGACCACTGTACATTCAGCGTTTGTGCATGCTCTGCTACCGTTTGAATTCTTTCTGCAAGTACAGAGTAGTATAGATAGTTGATGTTTTTGTACGAGATTACTTTTTGATCTCGTACCGCCAACTCCGAAAAGCATACAGCAAATGAAAATTCCGGATTAACAACCATTGGAGTCTCAAACAACCTTTGTGAAGTAGGTACACAGGGTTTTGACGGAATAGACGCAAAAAATATCAACTGCCCCAATGAATTATGTAACATAACCCGCATGCTTGATTGTAATTCCGAGAAAAAGCGGAAAAAGCCTTGACGTATTATATTATTGGTCAAGGACGCTTTGACGTCTTATCTTATTGGCCAAGGACGCTTTGACGTCTTATCTTATTGGTCAAGGAGGCTTTGACATCTTATCTTATTGATCAAGGACGCTTTGACGTCTGATCTTATTGATCATGGACGCTTTGACGTCTTACATTATTGTTCCCAGACGCTTTGACGTCTACCTTATTGTTCTCGGACACTTTGGAGTCTTATCTTGTTGATCAAGGACGCTTTCACGTCTTATCTTATTGCTCAAAGACGCTATGAAGTCTGATCTTATTGGTCAAGGACACTTTGAAGTCTTATCTTATTGATCAAGGTCGCTCTGCCATCTTATCTTATTGGTCAAGGACGCTTTGACGTCTTATCTTATTGATCAATGACGCTTTGACGTCTTATCTTATTGGTCAAGGACACTTTGACGTCTTCTCTTATTGTTCTTGGACGCTTTGAAGTCTTATCTTGTTGATCAAGGACGCTTTCACGTCTAATCTTATTGCTCAAAGACGCTATGAAGTCTGATCTTATTGGTCAAGGACACTTTGAAGTCTTATCTTATTGATCAAGGTCGCTTTGCCATCTTATCTTATTGGTCAAGGACGCTTTGACGTCTTATCTTATTGATCAAGGACGCTTTGACGTCTTATCTTATTGGTCAAGGACACTTTGACGTCTTATCTTATTGTTCTCGGACGCTTTGAAGTCTTATCTTATTGGTCAAGGACGCTTTGAAGTCTTACCTTATTAATGAAAGACGCTTTGAGGTCTTATCTTATTGGTCTCGAACCCTTTGAAGTCTTATCTTTTTTGGTCTCGGACGCTTTGCAGCCTTCTTGTTCTACGACGCTTCAACTGTGTTTTAATCGTCATGCTTTTTATCCTAGTTCGCAGCTCCATGAAAATGGAAAAATCCTCAAACAGAGTGGCCGAGGACGCATTCTTTGACGAGAAAACCTACATTGATTCCAGCCATGGTAAAGGGACCGATTTCTCGAAGGCGATAACTGACCGGCTGGAGTTTCTAACTGAAGTTAAGTCACATTCGTTGATGTCTACGTGGAGCACCGTTCATTCTCCTTTTGTAGTACTGGCCATACTGCAAGATTTGGGCTTCTCAGTTGTTACAGCAAATACTGTTGGTGTGACTACTGTGTGGACCCTGCGTGGTAGCCTGAACGTCCAGCGCTAGAGTTGTTTTACCCCCGATCATCATCATCTTCTTTGTTATGAACAGTTTGCACGACAGAAAAGGCAGCAGCCCTTTGAAAAACTGTTTCCACCGACGTTTTGAACACTTTCTTGTTAAGAATTAGAATAGGACATTGGAAATTGGACATTGGACATTGGACATTGAACATTGGACATCCAAGCTACTCCCTATATCTTTGTCTGTGATTGTTATTTACATTAATGCTTTGATATTTTCTGTGCTCTGGCATTTTATTTGTAGTGTTGTTTAAGGAGATCGTTTTCCTGTTAATGCAGTGAAATTATAGACGACCGGTAATTTACCAAATAAGCTTATGTTGTGAAAATCACATGGTTAAATCATGTTTTTGTTATCGATCTGAACTCGTGTGTAACGTTCATTGTTTGCTTAACTGTCGAACTGTTCGTATTAAAATAACATTTAAATACAGTAATAGATCTTTTGTCTTCCCGTTAGCCAAGCGAGCGCTCCAAGCTATTTTAGTCTCCCATAACGTTTCTTGTTTCGTTTAGTCAAGCATTCGCAGCACCGGGTCTACAAAATTACCCTTTCGTGTGGGTATAGCAAACATATCGTTAATTGAAATTTTCCCCTGTAGATAGACCGCTTTTTATCTCTTCAGCTAGTTATCCTTGAACTGAGGCCTGGAGCTTTTCTCGGCCTCGCATGGACCTATTGTGCTCGATTTCCGCCGCTCTCGTGTCCGGTCTTCGCAATAGACATACATGCCGCAAAGGAAGGCGAGTTCTCTCTCTTACACCTGGATGTTATTTTTTACATACACCTAATTGCAAAAAGTGAAAAAAAAAAGGCAAAAGGCAAAAAAAGCCATTAGCTTATAAAAACTTCCCTCTGGCTAAACGACCGCCAACTGAACAATTCTCACAGAATTTCCATTCAAAACTTCTTTCTGTTTAGAGATTCCAGTGATTCCGATGATTCCAAAAATGCACATATGTATATGTATAAGAATGCCACATGCTATTGCTTTATACTACCTAATTCGAATTAGGCCTATTTTGTTTTTCGCTTTTTCCTGATACAACGTTACTGCAATTTGGTTTATGTAATTGACAAAATAAAGCGATCAGTTTAGCCGGAACGGAAGTGAAATTTGTCACGATTCCAATAAATTCTATAAGTTGACCATTTCTCATGCATGCACAATTCTGAGAAAAACAGGATATGCTGAGTACATGCATGGCAAACTCGTATTCTTAAGTGGATATCTTTGCAGCAGTTTAGGCGTTTTCTGCCCCGACACGAGAACTCCATAAACTTCTTTTAGTGCAGGTTCGCACTCCTATGATGAGGCATTTTCAGAGACACCAACTTACATTGAATTGTGGTGTCCACCGGATTTTTGGCGATGTGTGATTCATGGTACGTCGGCGTAGCCTGGCAGCGATAAAAAGTCTTACAATATCACGTAGAGACCACTGACGCCCCTTATCATGTACTCAGTAGGTTGAAAGGAGATGGTTATAATGTGATTGGAGTATCTTCTGTTGGAAAGACTTGTGTTTGGACGTGTGAGTATGCTCCGTCTCACTGAATGAGAAGAAATAGCGACAAAAGATGAAGCTGTGTCATTGAAGAACCCGGCAAAGGTTCGCAGGGATATTTTCTTGCATGCTACAACTATGTGTAGTAAAACACCAAACAATATTTTCATGTCTTTTATTAGATTTTAGATATCCTCTCAGTCTAATTGTACTGAATGTTCTGCGCTCATGAACTGTTAGCGAAATTTGAATTGATCTAAATATTCATTGTGTATTTTTCACTATTAGTATGTTAGCTTAAAAAACATTCCTTGTTGTTCCTCGGCAGTATATCTTGGTTTTATCAACTGAGTTGAGGATGGCCACCGTAAAGAGTCTCCAAAGCTGACGTTTCGAGCGTTAGCCTTTCGTCTGAGCGATTCAAGAAAAATTGTGGGCTGTGTGTGTTAAATATACAAAAAAATAGAGCTATGCAATCGGTGAGAACATGGTAGCGTGAACATGCAGCAATAGAGGTCAATTCACTTATACGAGCAGTTTTACCAATTTCAGAAGATGAGTTCATTTTAAAACAAGACTTGCCCAAGATATCAGTTTCCATCTTTCTAGCAGACGACCACGATTCTTTAACGCCGCAGAACGTTTCCGATGCCCTTCATGAAAAAGAGATGCAGTTAATTATGGCTCAGAGCACGATGTGTATCACATATTCAGTGCGCTTCTTTTCGCTTCGAAGGTTAAGAATCGGTTTTGATATGCTTAAAGCGCATGTTATAAAAGGATTCCATCAAACGATTTCGTTAAATAATTTCCACGATTTGGAAAGTAGTGTAGAGAGTTGGCGTTTTTGTACGGGATCACTTTGAGATCTTGTACCGGCAATTTCGAAAAACATACAACAAGTGAATGATCCGGGTTAATAATCATTGGAGTCTCAAGCAACCTCTGAGAGGTACGCGTACAGGGTTTTGACGGAATAGATGCAAAACAAACTAACTGCCCTTATGAATCATGTAACACAACCTGTGTGCTTGATTGAAAAAACGTACAGCACAAATTGGTCTCGGACGCTTTGAAACCTTCTTGTTCTACGACGCCTCAACTGAGTTTCAATCGTCATGCCTTGTATCTTAGGTCGTAACTCCATGAACATGGAACAATCCTCAAACAGCGTGGCCGAGCTCCAATTCTCTGAGACAGAAATCTACATTTATTCTAGCTCCGATAAAGAGACTGATGTAGCGATGGAGTTCGTGCTGAATCCGCCAACATTTGTGGTTACGTCAAGTGGGTGGACTTCTCCGTGGTTCACCAATCATTCACCTTTTGTAGTACTGGACGAGCTAAAAGATTTGGACTTATCAGTTGTTGCAGCAAATACTGTTGGAGTGACTAGTGTGTGGACCCTGCAAGGTAACATGAACGTCCACCGTTTGAGAAGTCCTATCTGGAATCATCAGTTCTTTAATTATGCACGCGCCATGCCACACAAGTATCAGGGGCGCTCTTAAAAACTGTTTAGACCGACATTTTGAAAACTTTCTTGTTAAGAATTAGAATAGAACATTGTCTGAGCTACTCCTTATATCTTCATCTATAATTTGTTATTAATATTTATATTAATGGTTTAACATTTTCTGTGCTGTGACATTTTAGTTGTAGTGTTGTCAAGGGAGATCGTTTTTCCTGTTAATGCAGTGAAATTACAGGAGACCAGTAATTTACCAAAATTAGCTTATGTTGTGAAAATCACATGGTTAAATCATGTTTCTGTTATTGCTCTGAACTTGTGCGTAACGTTTATTGTTTGCATAACTGTTGAACTGTTCGTTTTAAAATGATATATTAGATATACATGATAAAACGCTGCTAGTTAGAGCTTTGGATCGTTCACTGCAGATCCCCGGCACCTGAAATTAGCGACAGATCTTTGTCCTCCCGTTAGCCGAGCAGGCGCTCCGAGATTTTTAAGTCTCCCATAACGTTTCTTGTTTAGCTCAGTCAAGCAGTCACAGTACCGGGTCTACAAAATTACCCTTTCGTGTGGGTATAGCTAACCTATCGTCAATGGGTTTTATCTCTGTGGGTAGGCTACGCACTATCGCTGCAGCTAGTTATCCTTGAACTAAAGAGTTCGAAACCTGAAGCATTCGGTCTCGAAAAGAAAGATTCCAAAACAATGAGTGCAAATTTACAGGTTATGAATTGTTTTTATTTTTCTTAAACGTTGTGCACATCAATCTTTTGTCAATACCGCATGATTTAAAAAGAAAGCTTCATAACTGTTTAAGTGAGTTTGAGTTGGACTTTTTCTTAGTCTCGCATGGACATATTAGATTTCCGCTGCTCTCGTGTCCGGTCTTCGCCGATATGCTGAGTACATGCATGGCAAACTCATATTCTTAAGTGGATATCTTTGCGGCAGTTTACGTGTTTTTCATTCGCCATGTCTGCCCCGCCTCAAGAACTCCATAAACCTCCTTATGTGTTGGTTCGCATTCCTATGAACACGAAAGATCCTTAAAAGGCATTTTCAGAGACACCAACCTACGTTGACTTTTGGTGTCCACCGGAGTTTTGTCAATATGTGATTCTTGGTACGTCGGTGTGGCTTGTCAGCGATAGGAAGTCTTACAATATCATGTATATGACCTTAGACGCTCCCTATTATGTACTCAGTAGGTTGAAAAGAAATGGTTATATCGTGTGGTTGGAGTATCTTCCGTTAGAGAGACCTGTCTTTTGCGTAAGAATATGCTCCGTCTCACTGAATAAGTAGAAATAGGGACAAACTTTGCAGTTTCTCAATAAACAACATAGTATGATTCCAAATGACTATAGAACAGTGTCCATGATAAGCTTATCTCTAATTATGGCTCAGAGAACGAGGTGTATCATATACTCAGTGCGCTTCCTTCGCTTCATAGACTTAAGAGTCGGTTGTGATATGCCTGAAGCGCGTGTTAAGGCGCGCGCGTTCGTTTCATTTTTTGCCTTGAATTATGAGATATTTTACATGTTTGGCACACTTGTTTGACCACTGTACATTCAGCGTTTGTGCATGCTCTGCTACCGTTTGAATTCTTTCTGCAAGTACAGAGTAGTATAGATAGTTGATGTTTTTGTACGAGATTACTTTTTGATCTCGTACCGCCAACTCCGAAAAGCATACAGCAAATGAAAATTCCGGATTAACAACCATTGGAGTCTCAAACAACCTTTGTGAAGTAGGTACACAGAGTTTTGACGGAATAGACGCAAAAAATATCAACTGCCCCAATGAATTATGTAACATAACCCGCATGCTTGATTGTAATTCCGAGAAAAAGCGGAAAAAGCCTTGACGTCTTATATTATTGGTCAAGGACGCTTTGACGTCTTATCTTATTGGCCAAGGACGCTTTGACGTCTTATCTTATTGGTCAAGGAGGCTTTGACATCTTATCTTATTGATCAAGGACGCTTTGACGTCTGATCTTATTGATCATGGACGCTTTGACGTCTTACATTATTGTTCCCAGACGCTTTGACGTCTACATTATTGTTCTCGGACGCTTTGGAGTCTTATCTTGTTGATCAAGGACGCTTTCACGTCTTATCTTATTGCTCAAAGACGCTATGAAGTCTGATCTTATTGGTCAAGGACACTTTGAAGTCTTATCTTATTGATCAAGGTCGCTCTGCCATCTTATCTTATTGGTCAAGGACGCTTTGACGTCTTATCTTATTGATCAATGACGCTTTGACGTCTTATCTTATTGGTCAAGGACACTTTGACGTCTTCTCTTATTGTTCTTGGACGCTTTGAAGTCTTATCTTGTTGATCAAGTACGCTTTCACGTCTTATCTTATTGCTCAAAGACGCTATGAAGTCTGATCTTATTGGTCAAGGACACTTTGAAGTCTTATCTTATTGATCAAGGTCGCTTTGCCATCTTATCTTATTGGTCAAGGACGCTTTGACGTCTTATCTTATTGATCAAGGACGCTTTGACGTCTTATCTTATTGGTCAAGGACACTTTGACGTCTTATCTTATTGGTCAAGGACACTTTGACGTCTTATCTTATTGTTCTCGGACGCTTTGAAGTCTTATCTTATTGGTCAAGGACGCTTTGAAGTCTTACCTTATTAATGAAAGACGCTTTGAGGTCTTATCTTATTGGTCTCGAACCCTTTGAAGTCTTATCTTTTTTGGTCTCGGACGCTTTGCAGCCTTCTTGTTCTACGACGCTTCAACTGTGTTTTAATCGTCATGCTTTTTATCCTAGTTCGCAGCTCCATGAAAATGGAAAAATCCTCAAACAGAGTGGCCGAGGACGCATTCTTTGACGAGAAAACCTACATTGATTCCAGCCATGGTAAAGGGACCGATTTCTCGAAGGCGATAACTGACCGGCTGGAGTTTCTAACTGAAGTTAAGTCACATTCGTTGATGTCTACGTGGAGCACCGTTCATCCTCCTTTTGTAGTACTGGCCATACTGCAAGATTTGGGCTTCTCAGTTGTTACAGCAAATACTGTTGGTGTGACTACTGTGTGGACCCTGCGTGGTAGCCTGAACGTCCAGCGCTAGAGTTGTTTTACCCCCGATCATCATCATCTTCTTTGTTATGAACAGTTTGCACGACAGAAAAGGCAGCACTTTCTTGTTAAGAATTAGACATTGGACATTGAACATTGGACATCCAAGCTACTCCCTATATCTTTGTCTGGGATTGTTATCTATATTAACGCTTTAATATTTTCTGTGCTCTGGCATTTTATTTGTAGTGTTGTTTAAGGAGATCGTTTTCCTGTTAATGCAGTGAAATTATAGACGGCCGGTAATTTACCAAATTATCTTATGTTGTGAAAATCACATGGTTAAATCATGTTTTTGTTATCGATCTGAACTCATGTGTAACGTTCATTGTTTGCTTAACTGTCGAACTGTTCGTATTAAAATAACATTTAAATACCGTAATAGATCTTTTGTCTTCCCGTTAGCCAAGCGAGCGCTCCAAGCTATTTTAGTCTCCCATAACGTTTCTTGTTTCGTTTAGTCAAGCATTCGCAGCACCGGGTCTACAAAATTACCCTTTCGTGTGGGTATAGCAAACATATCGTTAATTGAAATTTTCCCCTGTAGATAGGCCGCTTTTTATATCTTCAGCTAGTTATCCTTGAACGCAGGCCTGGAGTTATTGCATGGACCTATTGTGCTCGATTTCCGCCGCTCTCGTGTCCGGTCTTCGCAATAGACATACATGCCGCAAAGGAAGGCGAGTTCTCTCTCTTACACCTGGATGTTATTTTTTACATACACCTAATTGCAAAAAGTGAAAACAAAAAAGGAAAAGGGCAAATTTTGGGCAATATACGTCGGCGTAGCCTGGCAGCGATAGAGAGTCTTACAATATCACGTATAAACGCCCCTTACCATGTGCTCAGTAGGTTGAAAGGAGATGGTTATCGTGTGGTTGGAGTATCTTCTGTTGCAAAGACCTGTATTTGGACGTGTGAGTATGCTCCGTCTCACTGAATGAGAAGAAATAGCGACAAAAGATGAAGCTGTGTCACTGAAGAATCCGGCAAAGGTTCGCAGGGATATTTTCTTACATGCTGCAACTATGTGTAGTAAAAAACCAAACATTATAATGATGTCTTTTATTAGATTATAGATATCCTCTCAGTCTGATTGTACTCAATGTTCTGCGCTCATGAACTATTAGCGAAATTTGAATTAATCTCAAAACAGCGTGGCCGGGCTCCCATTCTCTGAGACAGAAACCTACATTGATTCTGGCTCCAATAAAGAGACCGCTGTAGCGAAAAAGATGGAGTTCGTGCTGAATATATTGTCACGCAATGGGAAAATGATGAGAGATCATAGCGCTAGTCTCCTATTCCAACGGTCTGACCGTATAAAATGATTCCATCAAACGATTCTATTAAATAATTCCATCAAATGTTTTCGTTAAATGACTTACCATGTAACTAAATTCATTTTTTAAGCATACTAATTTCAATTTAAAATTTAATTCAATAATTTTCTTTAGAAAAGAAAAAGAAGGATTACTGTAAAAAATTTAATGCAAGGAGAATAATTTGTTTTAAAATTACCACCTCTTTATTTGTAGCACCTAAAATTATTTCTCGGAGGGGGGATTACTGCAATACAATCCCTTTTATCTCAAAATTGAACATGCATTGTGCACTATAGACTAGTCCCTAAACCCCTTCGCACAGATCTTTTCTCGAATATCATATTTTGAGTGCTAGTGATATTTTGCCGTAAACGTCCACACCAAAGCACAATAAAACAATTTTAATCTTTATCTCTAAGATTATTATCAGCCTAAAACAACTCATTGAATCTTTTGGAAAGATATCCAGCCAACAAAGGGTACAAATCCTGAATTTGATGGTATTCCTTTTGTCATCTTGGGCAGCAAGCTGTTAGAATGCCAAAATGATCGGAACAAGGCCTTGAAGGAAAAACGAGAAAAAAAGAAGGTAAGGTAATTCTTCACCACTTATGAAAAAAATTGACATTTGCTGTGGTTTTAATACATAGGCATTCACTTGTAAATATGTGAATCACTGATTGACGCCATTGTAACACAATGGTACCATTTCAAAAGACTTCTAAACATCTCCTGGAACAATTTATTTTATTTTTATTTTGTTGTTGTGAAAGTTTTTTGATGTCGTTTTTAGGCATCCAGAGGAGATCATGATTATTGGAGCTAAAGGCAATACATGGTGCAAAACACCAAGAAGTGTAACTGCACTGCCTAAATACACCTGCGGGAAATTATTGTTTACCCAACATACAAGGTTCAGCAACAACAATTATTGTACTGTAGTTGTTCCTCCAACATAGACGCTAGAAATCAGGGGAAGAGTGAAAAGTGAGTATTGATGCTTCCATGTAGGGAATTTAGTTGTGGTATATCCAGGCAAGGGGCTGGTCAGGGGGAGGGGAGGGGGCTTATTGCCATTATATACGCTGCTAGGGTAGGGTTTTTTAGCAATTTAGTCAAGGATGGGGTATAGAAATCGGAAAGATCTGGTATTATCATGGAATTAATTATGTTAAGATTTTCCAAAATCAATTGAGGTGGAGACAAAATCCAGGAAAGAAGAAGCATCAAGAAAACTCAGGAGTAATTTACAGCAGGGAAAAGCTGAAGGGGAATGTCGCATATACATTTCGCTGCCAAAGCCTGATCAGCACAAAAACCATCCTTTTGGGCAGGGTTTGTACTGACTAATACAGTTGAGCTATGTTATCATAAACACTGAAGGAACCGTATACACTTTCCAAAGTAATGGAGTGTCTGTATTAAGGTGTATTGAATGCTATCTTTTCTAGTTGGCACTGTAACGTATCAAGTTTTTTTAAGAATCTGTGGATTGGACAAAAAAGAACATGTGCTGTTCATATTGACACACTAGGATGAATTGAAAGACAATATGAGGGCTTTCCTCATGGACAAAGAAAAATGTATGAGGTAACAAGTTGTCAGAATGGAGTGGGTGTCCCTTAAAAAACAGGATTTGACCATACATGCAACAAGAATCCCCCCAAGATAAATTCTCTTCACCACCAAGTGCAAAGTCTGCCTCTGAGGTTTTAAACCCAGCATAAGTAGTATGGGAGGAGGATGACATCATGTTGCAGATGAATGATGCAGATACATGCTCTGATCAACAGTCTACTGACCTGCTGTTTGTTCACCAAACCCACTGGCAGAGGAAACCTCTTCAAAAATATGGCAATGAGATTTGCCTCCTTAATGCCACCTACAAAACCTCCAGATATGCACTTCCTCTCTTCTTTTTGTGTGTCAAAACCAATGTCAATTACTGTGTTGTTACGAGAGACCACGCAGGCAATTGCTGAAGCACTTCATGTGTTACATGAGTGGAACCCACAATGGTCACCAAGATTCTTCATGACTGACTTCAGTGATCCCGAAATAAAAGCGATTGAAGATGTTTTTCAGCGTGAGTTTTTTAAAGTGCTACTAAAATATTAATTTGTACTAAGACAAATTTAACGAGATATTCGGAAAGAGTAGATTATTGAGGAAAAAAACATCTCCATGATAATCCCTTAAAATTCTGAGATACAGCCTACCTACCTACCCTTTCCCACTTACAATATTTTGCCCTCAGTGTGAAGTTAGTGTTGATGTTGAGTTAGGGAAGGGGTGGGTTAGCAGTTTCCCAGAATCTTCATCATACTACGTCAACTTTGGTTCGGAACCATCAACCTAAATCATTCTGAAACAAATCATCAGTTAGGTGGGGAAACCAACTCAGACAAATTCTCCATAAAAAAATAGTTTACTCAGGACATAACAGCTAACGTGTGACATTATTTTTAGAGAGTGAAAGTATGTCTGAGCCAGACTTCTTTAATTGTAGAGTTCTTTTTTTTCGGTTAAAATGCACTGTGTACATCTGTAACTTCCATCGCCTTCCAAGCCTGGCAACGATGGTTAAGAAAATCCAGCCATGGATTACTGCAAGGCAAAGTTCCGGCTTTGTTGATAAAACTGACAAAGGCTTCCACAGAATCTGCTTACGGAAAAGTATTGCATTCCTTACAGGAAAGTCAGTACTGGAAGATCAACAGTGATCTGAGAAACTGGTTTGAAAAAAGTGGCTTTGTGAGAACAAGGAAAGATCCATAAATCATTTCATTGTTACATCTGTGATGACAAAAGTAAAATTCTTGCAATATTATTTTATAATTTCAATGATAAAAGTCAAAGTTATAGCGTAATAATTATCAAGTATAGTAAATGTAACAAAGAAATATTAGCCAATGGAGAGGTTTGAAAGATGTCAATATACTTCCTGGTACCTCAGCTATGTACTGTATTTTGTTTTGACTTACTATACTTGCAGAGATGGGTTTGGGCATATCGGAAAGGTCGGTTCAACGTGGCAATTAACAATAACAATGATATTGAAAGACAAAACAGGTCATTCAAGCATGACTTTCTTTCTAACCACTGTGATACAAGCCTTTCAGGAATGCTCTCAGTACTAGTGACAGTTTCTACCATCAAGTTTCCGAAGGTTTGTTTCAAAAATCAATAGTTTATTTTACTTAGGACTTGACTGATCTTGGCACTTCCATTACAACCAAAATGAGTAAAGTTTTTGCATACAGTGCAGTTCAGACAGTTACAATACGGTAGACATATCTAAAACATTTCAGAAGAATACATTGACCCACTAACTGCGTTGAAATTATCCCTCTATTCTTCCTCTGCCTTTCTTGGTTAGCAATGTGAAACACTGCTCTTAGGCTAATTAATCCTGATGTAAGAGTAGATTTTTCACAAATGATTAGCTTTTTAGTACATCTGTACTATAACCTATTGTCAGTATAAGATAACAAGGTAAAGAAAAAAAATAGCTGTACAAGGTAACTCCCATTAACAACCAGCTCCAGTTACGGGCACTTCTGTTTCCTGACATGTCTGCTTGTCAGTCTACTTTAGTATGCTCAGTTAGATGTCATACCGAAAAAAACCAAAATATTTTTAACTATTAAATTTTACGTTACTGGTACCTCTCATTAAATCAACTTTAATCTGGAAAGTTCAAACAGTATAACCAAGCCACTTCTGCAGTGGCTCCACAACCGCCCAAGTCCATTTGAATACCACGCCTGAATGCGTCTGGAGAGTTGTCTTACAGTGCCCAAAACAGCTATTCAACTACTTTCCAATACCCCACCTAAATTCACCATTAAAAGCAACAATGAAAAGTCCACATACAAAGTCTGCTTTGGAGATGAGAGCAGCATGCCCTTTTGTAGTTGCCCAGATTGGACCCAGTACCATCTACCCTGCAAGCACATATGTGCTTTCTTTCATCATTATGCTCCCGAGTACAGGTAGGACTCTTTTTCACCACTTTACTGGCTTAGTAGCTATTTCTGTCTAGACAGTGAAGACTTAGACATGGGAAATGATATAACATTGTCCCAATTTCCTGACAACGAAATTGACACTGAAGATGAAGTGGAAGAAAACGAACCCCACAATATCACTGCTAATACCATTAAAGAAACATGGAGGAATTCATGCTTCCTGAATGTAAAGAAAAAGGCCCTCCAATGTAGGGAGCTCCTTCCCCAACTTAGAGATCTGAAGGCTTCTCTTACGGCAATTCTTGTTAAGTTTCGTCCTCAAGTCCCACCAGAGAATGGGCTCTTGTTAGAAAAAAATACCCAAAGAAAACTCAAGACCAATAAGAGAGTGCTGACTGCGGTAAAGTATGCAGACCTACCCCCTCGAAAAAAATTAAAGAAAGACAATACAACAAACAAAGAAAACAGGAAAAGAAAAACCAAAAGACAACAAGGTACTCCCCAAGGAAGCTGCCTAAGTATTCCCTCTCTAAAATTAAGATTACCACAAGGATTATCTAATTCTACACATTTACCAAAGCCTAGCCAAAGTATGTTGAGCAAGACAAAACTTTAAATATTCTATATCTCCTTCACCACAACCCCAAAAGGCTCAGACCAAGACAACATATTCAACACCTGCATCCATGTCAAGTAAATCTGTATCTTCTTCACCATCACCTCCCCAAAAGGCTCAGACTAAGACAACAGATTTACAACCTGCATCCATGCCAAGTTCATCTGTATCTCCTTCACCACCACTCTAAAAGGTTCAGACCAAGACGACACATTCTACACTTGCATTCATGTCAAGTACATCTGTATCTCTTACACTGCCAAACCAAACTGCGGCAACCGAGAGAAAAGATACCACACTTGCAGCTTCCATGCCAAGCCCATCTTTATCTGCCACATCACAGAAGCACCCAACACAAAAAACCCCTTACATTCAGACCTATCTTCGTCTCCTTCACTGCCACATCAATCAACAAGTAAAGGGCAGCCGTCTCATGAAGTTTGTTCCCCTTAAAGTCGTATACGGGTCCATGGGCCAGCAGAATAAGACATTCTCTGACAGAAACAGGGGCAAGCAATGCACAAGCAATAGTTTAACTTTCTTGCTTCGTTACTTGACAATTCTTAGTGATAAAAAAACTAAAGCAACAATTGATACAGTTCTGAGTGCTTTAAAACTGTTAGGGGGAAGGTAGCTCTATTTTATTCCCACAAGGAATACTTAATGAAATATCTTTTCCCTGTCAAGCAGCCCACCATTTTTACATCTTAGGATAGCATTACAAAATGCCCTCCTAAAAAACTCTGGCACTTTGCTGAGGTTCCTGGAATTTACAGTGGCTGTCTGTAAGCTACCAGAAGGCTCTTATAATCTGTTCGATCCTCACGTGAGAAATAAAAAGGGGTTTTCAAAAGGAAATGGTTCTGCAGTGATTACGTCCCTTCCTACACTCGATTCATTAGTAAACCACGTTTGAACCTTTGTCAGACAAAACGGTTTGGAGACTGCTATTAGAATTCAGTGAACAGTTTGTCTATGGCTGATCGCTTCTTTGAGTTGCTACCTGTTGTTTTATCCAACTAAAATTATGGCCAACTGCAGAATAGTAGCTGCCAGTCAAGGATGATCAATGGAGCATCATCTGAACAAGACTGCCACAAGTTTTAAAAAGAAAACAGTTCACCACACATACATTCCATAATTTAAGTGCGAAGCATAGACATTATCCAATTTCTTTGTTGAGTGGAATATTATACTTCATCAAAATGCAGGTAGTGATATTTTTTATCCCACTCTGCATGTGGGGAGAGGATCCAGCAAACATGCAGGAAAAGGCTACATATGCTCAGTACTGGTCAACCAGCAGACCAAAAGGTGCGTTCTAATTCAAGTAAATAAGTAAACTTTCTTTGGAAGTGTTATATCCAACAATTATCCCAGGAGAATCCTGTTCAGTTAACTTGTGTTCTAAAAATGAGCCATTACCCTTTGTTTTGTGAATGAAACACATGTGCCAACAAATAATATTCTCTTACTTTCAGTCCATCAAGTGTGACAACAAAGAAGCAGGAGTAGCACCAAAAAATCTCCTCGGTAAATTCAATATGACTCTCACAAATGAAGACTTAAACAGACTACAGGAAGGGGAAGAGCTAAATAATCAGGTGACTGTTTGAAGCTTGATTAGCTAACTTACTTCAACAGAACATCATAGTTAAAAAATATCATTAATACAGAAACCAACTCTCAAATGGCAAACAATGTCTTCTATTTTATTTTTGTTTTTAATTAACTCTTAATCAATTAATTTTTATCTTGATCATTCCTTTCACACTATCAATTTTTACCTAGAAATAATCAATCAGAGATCAAAGGTTAGTCAGTTTTAAAACTAATCAACAGTTTCAGTTGTACAACCTCACCAAACATCAAGTAATTAACTAGTGATATGTGTTTGTGCATAATAAATGCAGAAGTGGGGATGAGAGCCTCAGTCTGTATCTAATGTGCAGGGTGAAAAATTGGATTGTCATACCATTAATGTAGACCTTTTTGCAAAAACATTTATGTACACAACTACGTTTATAACATCTGAAGAGAATAATTTTGTCTCTTACTAGACATCAAATATGCTCAAAGTCCTCTCTATGAACACATTCTTCTACAAAAAGTTGTCTGGATGTGGAGCAAAGTGGGTTGCCAGTTGGACCAAAAAGGTAATTATCACAGAACGATTTATGGTAATGTGACCACTATGTAACCTTGCATACTGTAATTGACCAGACTGATAAAGGCTGGGTGACTCAGTTGAAATATTTCAGAATAAATTCATTATGTTTCCAGTCAAATCCTTTTGAATTATGTAATCTAAATGGAATGTGAAACAAATTCTTTTCCTTCAAGTACAACCTGTACATGTTAGGTTCTCCAAGGAGACTGGAACCCACAAGTGCTATACATGCCTTTATCAGTCTGGTCAATTATAAGGCTAAATTGGAAACATCAAATAAAAATAATATTAATGGTGTCTTACTATATTTCCCATAGATCAATGTATTTGAATATGACAAGATTTTTACTCCAGTTCATCTACCTGGCCCCAGTTGTTTGAAGATTAGATAACACTATCCACTGGATAAATCTCTATCATGTGGATTACCCTATGTTTTTTATCACTTATCTGCTGGATAGCAATTTATCTGTTGCATAGCGTTATCCGCCCTTTATACAACTGGGCTTTGGTCTCTGGGCACTTGGGGTATGTACACAGTCAAGTCGGATCAATATCAGTATCTGGGCAACTGCCCACCTATCCCTCCCCTAACTCAACAACAGTCAATTGATAACAAGTTAGGGTTAATTTTGGGTTAGGGGAGGGGTAGGTGGGCAGTTGCCCAGATACTGATATTGATCCGTCAGGTCTATATGTCTAAAAAACATGCATTTATCAGAATAAAGTGTCCACTGTAGTTATCTCATTAACATCATTATAAATGTACTATTGGTAGGTTGTGGATTTCAGCTCAAAGGTTATATCCTACTGGGATTTTATGAAGTCATCTGCTGCTTATTCCTTCCACAAGAATGTCAGGTTATTTTGACTTCCTTCCTTCCCATAACATGTGATTTTGTGCCAATATTTCAGAGTGATGATCTAGATTTTTTCTTTCGTTACTAGTGCAAAAATGAGGACTTTTTCATCTGATTTCCAGATACTCATTTAACATTGACTTCGACTTTCCTTCATCGGAAGTTATTGGGGCTAATGACTTGACGTATATGCATAAATGTCTTACCTGAAGTTAAGGTTAATTACAGTTACAAATATATTATTAAAAATGTCAATGTTTATAGTGAACTGTCGAGTCGCAATAAATCAAGAATTTCATATCTTTTCTCATTCAGGTTGTATATACATTTAATTGCAAGTTAACTAAGAGACTTACAGGTAAATAAAACATATGCTGTGTTTGCTGAGATATATTTGGTAAGCATATGCTTTTCAAACCTGGTTCAGGTCGTGGTAGTCTTGTTATGGAGTATATAACAACGACCTAGACCTGGCCCAATATTTCAAATATAAAAACTATGAGGTGAATATAACTTAAAGAATAACCATAGAAAAGTAATAAATAGATTGGGTAAAATACTTGCTGTTTCTCCTCTCGATGGACTCACCGTTAAGAGTCTTGTTTAAACACTTCAGGGCATAAACACTCGCCTGGAGAAATGGTTTGTCACGCCACTCCCCGGCGCCATATTTTGGTACATATCATTGGTAGGTAATTCATGTATGGACCATTATTATGTCCTCAATAAATTTTATGTCCGATACTTTACATACATGTAATGTACTTTACATAGCTGTGTATAGCTGTGTATAGCCCTGTAGAGCTGTGTATAGCTGTGTATAGCTCTGTATGGCTGTGTATAGCCCTGTAGAGCTGTGTATAGCCCTGTATAGCTGTGTATAACCCTGTATAGCTGTGTATAACCCTGCAGAGCTGTGTGTAGCTGTGTATAGCCCTGTATAGCTGTGTATAGCCCTGTAGAGCTGTGTATAGCCCTGTATAGCTGTGTATGGCCCTGTGTAGCTGTATATAACACTGTATAGCTGTATATAGCCCTGTATAGTTGTGTTAAGCCCTGTATAGCTGTGTATGGCCCTGTATAGCTGTATATAACACTGTATAGCTGTGTATAGCCCTGTATAGCTGTGTGTAGCCCTATATAGCTGTATATAACACTGTATAGCTGTGTATAGCCCTGTATAGCTCTGTACAGCTGTGTATTGCCCTGTATAGCTGTGTATAGCCCTGTATAGCTGTGTATAGCCCTGTATAGCTGTATATAGCCCTGTCTAGCCGTGTATAGCTCTGTATAGCTGTGCATAGCCCTATATAGCCCTGTATAGCTGTGTATAGCCCTGTAGAGCTATGTATAGCTGTATCTAGCTTTGTTTAGCCCTGTATGTGTGTGTAGGGAATTGTATGTAAAGTACATTACATGTATGTCAAGTATAGGACACAATATGTATTGAGAACATAATAATAGTTCATACATGATATACCTACCAGATCATTGGAAAAGACCGCATGACGCTGCACTTATCGTAGGCTCAACCAGGTCACGGGATCTTCCATCTTGGTAGTCTCGGATGCTTTGGAGCCTTCGTGTTCTACGACGCTTCAGTTGTGTTTCAATCGTCATGTCTTGTATCTTAGTTCGCAACTCCATGAACATGGATCGTGCGTACCCAAACAGAGTGGCTGCGCGCGCATTCGAAAGGACAGAAACCTTCATTGATTTCAGCAGCAGTAAAACGCCCAACACTCTAGAAGCGAATGCGATTGCGTCCATGCTGTTGCCGCTAACTATAATTGCGTCAGATGAGTGGACTTCTACGTGGTCCACCAGGTATCCACCTTCTGCAGTACTGGCCCATCTGCAAGATTTGGGCTTCTCGGTTGTTGCAGCAAATACTGTTGGTGCGACCACTGTGTGGACCCTGCAAGGTAACCCGAACGTCCCACGCTAGAGTCGTGTTATTCGCAATCTTCCCTTCCGTCATTAACACGCTCTACCAACTCAAAAGCAGGAGTACTTTTAAAAACTGTTTCCACGGATATTTTGAACACTTTCTCGTTCAGAATTACAATAGGACATTGACCAAGCTACTCCCTATATCTTTGTCTATGATTTGTAATTAATACTTATATTAATGCTTTGACATTTTTTGTGTTGTGGCATTTTATTTGTAGTGTTGTTTAAGGGAGATCGTGTTTCCTGTAGATGCAGTGAAACGACATACGGTCGGTAATTTACCAATATTAGCTTAAATTGTTAAATCACGTTTGTTATCGATCTGAACTCGTGAGAACGTTCAATGTTTGCTTAACTGTTGAACTGTTCGTGTAAAAAATTATGTATTTAGATAAACATGATTAAACGCTACTACTTATATTTTAGACCATTCACCGCAGATCCCCGTTACCTGAAATTGGTGATAGATCTTTGTCCTCCCGTTTGCTAAGCAAGCGCTCCGAGCTATGCAAGTCTTCCACAACGTTTCTTGTTTCGTTCAGTCAAGTAGTCACAGTACCGGGTCTACAAAATTACTCTTTCTTGTGGGTGTAGCAAACCTATCGTCAATGGATTTTATCTCTGTAGATAGGCCGCACACAATCTCTGTAGCTAGATATCCTTGAACTGAAGAGTTCGAAACCCGAAGCATTCGGTCTCAAAAGAAAAAATTCTAAAAAAATGAGTACAAATTTATTCATTTTTGTTAGACGTTGTTCGCATCAATCTATTGTCAATACCGCATGATTTAAAAAGAAAGCTTCATAACTGATTAAATCAAAGGCAGCCCAAGCTCCAGTTGTGAGATGATCATGTCATGGCGGAATTATAAGAGTTTGTATGGGTTTAGGTTGGCCGGAAGAGTCGTTATCATGAATTTGTCACCATCCTCATGTGTTGCTTCATTACTCGTGCATGCACAATTCTGAGAAAAACAGGATGCTAAGGACACGCATGGCAAACTCATATTCTTAAGTGGATATCTTTGCGGCAGTTTACGCGTATTTCATTCGCTATGTCTGCCGCGCGTCCAGATCCCTATAAACCTTCTTATGTGCTGGTTCGCGCTCCTATGAACACGAAAGATCCTGATAAGGCATTTTCAGAGACACTAACCTACGTCGAATTCTGGTGTCCACCGGATTTTTGTCGATATGTGATTCATGGTTTGTCGGCGGAGCTTGTCAGCGATAGAAAGTCTTACGATATCACGTTTAAGACCAACGACGCCCCTTACTATGTACTCAGTATGTTAAAAGGAATACCGACAGTATCTGAACTATAAAGAGGGTAAGTTTCTAAAGAAACTGTGGTGCTGCATCGGTGGAAGAGTTCAACAGGGTAATTAAGAATTATCAACCGAGTTGATAACGTAAATTGCTCACCGTAAAGAGTTTCAAAGTTGACGTTTCGAGCGCTAGCCCTTCGTCAAAACGAAGGCTCCATTCGCTCTGACGAGAGGCTAACGCTCGAAACGTCAGCTTTGAAACTCTTTATGGTATCTGAAACATAGTCTGGCGAATTACTTCCAGTTTACACACAAGAAATATGAATATTTATACAAATTCGGCACAATTTTTATCCTTTATTTGCATCATACATCCATAAAATAACTGATCCTATAAATTCGATTTTTTTTATCACAATCTTTTATCGTTTGACTAACAAAAGCCAATAATAATTTTAAATAAGCGATGTCAGAGGTTTGCTGTTCACATAAATACAATTATTATTTCCAAAAAGAAAACAATTCCTCTGTTATTAATAACGCAATTATCACTTGTAAAAAGGGATGATTGTTTACGGCAACTTTCCTCACGGCTTTGGTTAATATGTTCAGACTCGAAACTGCGATAGCCATTCGGTAAATGGAACTCTGGCAATGTCTAAGACAAATATACTGGCACTCAAATTGTGTGACTGTTTAAAAGTAGTTTTTTCTATAATTTTAGAAAAAAAGGATAAACGGAAAAGTTTACAAAATTGTCCAAATCTTCATACTACAAAACAAAATTTTAAAGAAATTCATTGGATTCCAAAAATTATTCCACACTCCCCCGCTCCCAAAATGCCAAAAAATGAAACATTAATTTTACAGTGGAGTCAAATTATTGATCGTCTTTTGACAATACATATCAGGAGATTATCGATACCTAAGAAAATATGGAAGTTATCTCAAAACTAACTCATATAATATTCTTAGAATTCTAAAGGCCTCTTTTAACTCGTTAACCACTTAATCCTTTAACTCCCAAGATCTCATCAGCAATTCTCCTTACTGTCTGCCATATAATTCTCACGATGTTAGTTCAGAGAATTTGGTATTGGACCAACTAATCATCTCCTAATTAATATTTGTCTTTATTCTCATTACTCGTCTGCTTGATATTGTATCGATATTGTAAGGAGAAATTCTGTCTTGGTCACTCATGGGACTTAAAGGGTTATCATACAATTCTTACCTTTCTGTTCTAACCTAGTAAACATCCTACGTTCTTAGTTTTTTCCACCCGGCTTCTTATTGGCTCCTTATGAAATGTTCTTAGCTCTGATCGGCTCTTGCCATTACTTTGTATTTGGTTTTACCGCCCTTCATAGAGACGCGTTATGTATGCCCAACGACATGTTACTTTCGGCAAATTCTCGTGACTGATCCGGGAATATTTCGACTAGTATCGGCCGGTGGATAAACCACGAACATGATCTGATCATGAAGTAAGCTACGTCATATCACCAGGCAATACTCTCTACCACACACCACGAGCCCACTGTCTTCTTTCGCCACCCGTTAGACTACCCGGTGTAATTCTTTGTTTGTTCAAAGATTCCCTGTTTGAAAAATGGCGCGAAATCGCACAGGTCCCGTTTTGTGAGGGGCCGGCCTGACATGGCTGATATGGGGCAGTCTGAAATTTTGGAACACAGCCCAATGAATGACTGAAGATATGTCTGAAAAGAGAGAACAGAAAACCAGTTAAGGTAAGGGATGACTTAACGAAAGTTAGAATTCAGTGGAAACTTTCAACTGGCCGAAAATGGAAATGTAGCCAGTTGAAATTCAAATGGAACGTTTACTTTAACTTAAAATTTAGCGAGGAAACTTTCCTTCAACTTCATTAGAGTTTTGCCAGTTTGCTAGAATGGCAAGCTTCCTCAAAAATACTCTCTACACGTGCAGTGATCAGGCATTTGTGCGCTCTGAATACCTCAAAATGCTTTTACATAAACGGAATTTACTGAATTAGACGACAACATCATCGTGCCATATGCACTAAATTTCTCAAATAAGCGAACTAGGAGATGGGAAGAAGGGAAAATAATTACGTCAATCAGCGCACAGACAATATGGGCAGCAAATAAAAAGTTTTATCAGACCTCTAGCTGCGCTCTCCGAGCCCTTACAAACTCCTCTGCTCTGTTACCGAAAAACCGGCGGTTTGGAAAATCTAAACCACCAACCTGAAAGACAACGGGAAAGAGTGTTTCCAACATGATTCATAGGATAAAAGTAACAATATAAAACGAAGGTGCTACGCAGGTGCTTTTGCATAGTTTCTGCTTAGCTGCTATGAAAAAACGCGTAACACCCGCCTAGTGATGATGAACTATGCTCAAGTTATTAACGCATGCTTTACTGTCGTCGAAATCAGTTTTTATCGGGTTTACTCTCACCCAGAACCTCTCCTTCCCATACATGTTCCACAGACGTGTTACAACTATTTTCCATTATGTTTTAATTGGAGAACAAACTCAAACTTTTGTTGTAATAACAACAGTATTCGGCTTTGCGATAGGAAAATCACTTTTCGTGAGCATGACGCTTTGGGTGACGTCATGTCGCCAAGCAACGGGACAAATGAAAAATAGAGTGAGGCTTAAAATTGTCTGATACGACGTACCTCATGATAGTATTTCCTCATTGATTTGTGCAGTTCTCGAAATTTCCGATATCTGCGATACACGGACCACGAATCTGCTCCAACCGTACTCTGAAATATAACACACACCATAATGCTATCGGTACAACGTTTGGAGAGACAATATAACCTCTCAAATGCCCTTTTTTCAGTCAAGATGCCTACTTCCTGCACCCCCAGTTACATGAATAAGCAAGATAATTGAATACTTCTGAACAATAAGAATTTTTTCCATTGCGAAATGAGTTTTTGAAGAAAAGGAGAGTAAAATTTGTTATCCTTTCTTTACGAGCCGGCTAAACGTGGAACCCTTCCATTACTAGCTTATTGAAACGCTAGGCCGCAAAACGGAGAATTATTACTCTGATCAGGAGGCGAGTGAATGAATTAAATCTATTTTATCGAAACACTCACCTTCACCTCGAACACGTGGTACGAATCTCGACCCAGGCCTCGAAGTATGTAACGTGGTATACAGACGTGGATCTGGTTACGTTTCGAAGAACTCACGGAGGCCAAGAAGCGATTCACAGGGGTGGGGGGTGGGGTGATTACAGGCGGTGACACTGAATCAGTCAGGCTTAGATTACTTCCGTAAAGTTCACTCTGAGGAAGTAAAAAATCGTACAACAGTCAATAATATAAAGTAATAAAGATCATATAACGATAAAAGAAGACTTGTGAAAAAAAGTTTTTTTCACGTAGGTGGGAAAGGTAGGAGAGTTTAAGTCCCACACGAGAAATCGAACTTGCGTCGTTATCATTTCGTGGTGAGATGCCCTAATTCTGAGCAAGAAAGAACTCGTTGACAAATGCCCCGCGTACTGCTCTGATCAGTGTCTTTCAGTTAGCGAAGAAAGAGTAAGGAAGATAGATAATTCTGATATCGGTTTCCCGGTGTAGAAAGATGTTGGACATATGTAGCTGAGTTCCGAATGACGATGCAGAGGATTCAGTTTTTCCTCGTATTACTAATCGTTGGATCAATTTTAAGACAAACCTCTTGACGACACATGTAGTTCATCACTTCTCCATCAGCAAGTTCATCTTCTTCGTGACCATTAGGCACCTAAGAATTGAAACAATTCATATACGAAAAAAAATAAATATTAAAATTTTACTTTCGGGACCGCAACTTTTCAAATCCACATAAGCAGCGTGCCAACTTTGACATACGGTGTACTTTCCTTGGCAAAAGAAAGAAAAATGGCTGCCTAATCAGACAAGAAGTAAAACAACTGCAGATTCATTTCTGAGGTGGTACGTTCGTAGTTTATCTATTTGATTTTTTTGCTAGGAATATATAGATATATTTTTTTGGTCAAAACGGATCATTGTACCACTCAATGCAAGGGATACTGACAACCGATTATATGCATCCGTTACTACCCTCAAATTCTTTAGAGGTTCCTGTTTACATACTCCCCGCAAACTCTGTACATTTCTTCGACTTGAAAAATACTAATATGACCTCTTAACTCCACTAAATGGCACTTTCAGTTAAGGGAAACTAAACCTGGTCCCATGTGTGTATCATGACAATCACCAGTGGTACCCATAATAAATTAAATCTGTCCCCTTTTCGGTAGCAGCACTGAAAAAATGCAGTTATTTATCACATTTCCACTCTTCTCCTTATACCCTAATGAAGGGGTTTTTTTTATCTGTCTTGATTGTTTTTCTGATCTCATATTAACCACAAATTCTTAGTGCAAAAAGAGCTGTCTTACTGTAAAGAAATATTCCGTTACTCACCATGAATGAATTGTAAGTCGAAAGCTTTTCTTGCAAGAGAACCACTTCCCTGTAGAGAAACAAACACGAAAATTTGTTTTATACAGTAGGGACAACTTGCAAACTGATGTTTACAGATTATAAAGGGTTTAGGAACCCAAGTGATAAATGTTTAACCTTTCCGTTTCGTCAAGTCTGTCCCGCAATTCATCAATCTCATGCTGAGCCTTCTCTTTCAGTTCCTCTATCTCCATCTCTTTATCTTTGATAATCCCCTCAATCTCCTCCAGTTTCTCTCTCTCCAGGACTTTACGTTCCTTGTCCAATTCTACCTTTTCTTTATGAATGAGCGTTTCCAGTTCCTCTTTCTGTCTCTCCAGATCTTCCTTCTCTTTGTCCAGTTTGCTCAATATGTCCTGTTTTTCAAGTCTCAGTTCCTCCACCTCGCGACTTTTACGTTCCTCTACTTCTCTCAGTTTGTTTTCCATCTCCGCTTTGATTCTAGAGCAAAAAATAAGTTGCTCGTTAATACAGCAGGTTGACTTTTAAGAGTGAGTCAGGTTAACCCTTTCACTCCCTGCAGTGACCAAAAATGAATTTCTTCTTGCAGTATTAATACATTTTCAAACAGGCAGGTGGTACGAAGTGAGATCAATACCAACTAAATGAAATAGTTTGATTTTGCACCCAACTCTCAGTTCCAAAACTATAAGGGTAGAAATACGTGGGATGTAGCGAAGAAATTAATAAATAAAAATCTGCAAAACTCTGTGAAACGAGGAAATTCCTAGGGCCCGTTTCTCGAAGGTCCCGGTAACTTAACGGGCCTGTAGACTCCATCTGTTTTCATTCAAGAAGGGGGTTCAAGTTCTAAAAATATAAGTTAAAGAGAAAAATGGACTTGTTAGGGTGTTAGAATCGGCCTCTCAATTCTTTAAACTTTGATTCCTGGAAATACTTGTCTGCACTAACCTCTGTTTCTCGTGAGCTAATATCAAGCTTACTGTCGTTGGGGATCCGATCTCTCTTTGTGTGAGACTTTTTGAAAGCGTCGCTTCCTCTTCGATGTCTCTTAGACTTTCTTCCATGGCCTCCCTAGTGGTCTTCTCCTCTTCTCTGTCATGCGCAAACCTGCTCTGTAACTCGCGCCATTCCGCCTCGGCTTTCTCTTGTGCTTTTTCGGTGTCTTCCAACACGAAACTCAGATTCTTCCTAAGATTAAAAAGTTTTTCCGATTCCGCAGTCAACATCTCCTGCTTTTCAGAAATTTTCATTTTCCCTTCAACGTCGATTTCTTTCAAAGAGATCCTGTGCTCCCTCAGGAGATACATATCTTCCTGCTTTGCCTGTGACACAAGATCTCCTTCTAGCACCTTCGACAGTCGTAGAAGTCCGTCTTCTGCCTTGGTGGAGAACTTGCCTTGCCTTTTCTCCAAATCCAATAAACTTCTCTTAGTTTCGATCAAGAGCATTTTAGCTTGGTTGTACTGTTCTTGAGCCTGTTTGAATTCCACTTCCTCTGTCTCCAGCTTCTGTCTCTTAGAGTCTTCCAACGAATCTAAATTTAATCTTTCCAATTCAATTGCTTCTCTATCTTTTTGTTTCTTTTCGTTGAGAGCGATCAAGTCGGCTTCCATATCCTTCTCGAACGTTTCTGCCATTTTTTGTTTGTCTTCCTCTAAGGAAGCCAGTCGAGTCTTTTCAATCTCGACGATTGCTGAGGTGCGCTCCATCTCTCTCTGGACCTGTAATTTTTCTTCTCCTGCGCATTTCTCAAGTTTTTGTTTCAATTCGTTCAATTCTTTAACCTTCGAGTTTAAATTCTCCCTTGTTCTGTTGATTTCTTGTTGTTGCCTATCGACATTGTCTTGATAATCCAGTCTCTTTCGCACAAAATCATCCTCAGCTGTGTTTATGGTCTCATTCAAATTCTCCTCCATGTCTCGAAGCTTCTGTTTGGCTTCCTCTATTTTCGCATTTTCTTCTCGTGTCCTCGTATCCAAAGCATTCTGCTTTTCCGCTAGATTGTCAGCGGTAATATCCACGAGAGCCTCGTAACCATGTTTCTGCTCTTCCAGATAATTTCTCTCTTCTTCCAGTTCGCTCTTTTCCTCAAAAAATTCCAACTCTAGAACTTCACGTCGCTTTCGGATATCGTTATTAGCGATATCAAGCACTTTTTCTCTTTCTGTTCTTAACTCTTCAAGCTTTTTTTCTTGACGCCGAATCTCTTCCAGCGCTCTCGATTTTTCTATTTCAAATTCATCCTTTTCCAACATGGCCTCCCTTCTTGATTCCTCGAGTACGCTAAATTTCCTTTCGTAGTCTCGCTGCTTTTGTTTCAACTCCTCCCTTTCAAGCTGCACGTTTTTCGATTCATCCCTCCACTTTTGTTGCAACTCCTCCCGTTCTTTCATCGCTTGCAGTTTAGTTTTGTCCCTTTCCTCCTCCAGCTCCATAATCTTTTTCATATTTTCGTTCAAACGTACTAGCTCTTCCTCCTTCTGTTGCCTGATTTGCTTCTTCAATTCTGACAACTCTTTCTCTGATTTGCGATTTAGGTTTTCGATATCGTCTCGCAGTTTGTCGACTTGCTCTCTCTGCATTTTCAAATCCTGCTCCCGTGTTTCGATTTCTTTACTAAGTTCTACTTCTGTAGCTTTCCTTTCCAGTTCTGCCTGTTCGTGTTTTTGGCTCAATTCCTTGACTTTACTCCTGCAAAAAAGGAATAGATTCAGTATGTGGTCACAGAACTGAACACACCATTGCGGAATCTTCCACTGTGCTATATTTGTCAACCCCTGAAATAGAAAATCCATAATGTCTGTTGTGCTTCAATTCTTTCATGGTTGCTTTCAATTTGAGCCCATCGGCTCGGCCGTTCAACCTGTCCCAAATGTTCATTTTGTATATGGGACGCAACTGCAGCGCAGAGCGAAATGATGAGGAGGCTTATGTCAGACAATCGAAGCTCTTAAAAACAACACGTAAGGCTCTCTCATGTTTTCGCTCTTCGCTATTAGTGACTAGTGACCTGGACAGAATTTCTCCTTACATTATCAGTACGATATCAAGCAGAAAAGTACGGAGAATTAAGAAAAACATCAATTAAGGGATTATTGGTTGATCCAATTCCAAATTCTCCAAACTGAAATACATAAACTGTATGGCAGACAGTAAGGAGAATTACTCATGAAATCTTGGGATTTAAAGGGTTAACTAAAGGTCTGGCATAGGCTATGACTGTTTGATACACAAATTAATGATCTACACGAACGTTGCTCAACTGCGCGCGCAATCTGTACCTTGCTTCTTCGACACTTTGCACTTCCATTGCATGAAGCCTTCTCTGTCGCTCGAGTTCAGCCCTGACGAAGAGAAAAACTGCATTTATTACAAATGCTAGAGCCTGAAAAGGACGAGCCCTTCGTGTCTCGCAGTCGAATAAATATAAACATAACTTGCAACATTAAATGTTTTCCGGGTAAAACTACGATTTGGAATGTTGGTTTTGTGGGGGGTGAGACATTGTGGAACTCTCAGAGCAAGGACGAGAAGCAACAACCGATTTAAGCCAGATGTGTCGCTAGTTCCAGGATAGAACCCAGGCTACGACGCTGATTTCACGCCAAAGTCTCAGTACCTGTACCTGGATCAGCTGGCGCTGAGTGAGCGTGAGGACTTGTAGAAGCTACATCACACAGCCCTTAGCTAGAAGGCGCTCTAAGGTACTTTCTTCTTAACTTCTCAACTTCTCAACCGTGATATTTGGCGTTTATTTATGTCGAGTAAATGGAGTGTTTACCTTGTTTCATTGAGTCGTTTAGATTCTTCTTGGATCTGTGAGGCAAAATCCGCCCTAGGACACAAAAGATTGGACACAAAAAGTTTTAATCTCGGTTTTAGAAGTTTCCTTATCACCAAAGGCGCGTGTTGTTTGAGGTGGGAAATGTATAACTTATGATAAACTTCTCTCGCTATAAGGGTAGGGGCGTGGGGAGAGGATGTTTAGTCAGCCTCTAAATTTCATTATTATTCTGCTGGCATTACCTAGCTTCTTCAATCTTTAAAGCTTCAAGCTGCTTCTGTTTCTCCAGTTCATTTCTAAAGGCACAAAAAATTGACAAAATATTCATGGTCTGGAAATAATCAAAACAATTTTTCAAAATCAAAATTCAAATTTTGCAAATAAATTTTTAAAGATTTCTACAAACTCTTTAAGCAAAATAAATTAAAAATGATATATCACTGATATTTCTTTTCACATTAAAGTCAGCGCAGATGAGAAAGTTGAAGACAACGTTTTCACAAATTTCTTACTTTGCCTCCTCAAGTTGACGACTTAGAGATTCTTCGCTGTGGATTTAAAACAGAAGAAGAATGAGTTATTTTTTTGTATTTACATCAAGAACCATACGTTAGTGATATTGGCTTTGAGAAGTCAGTTATCTTCTCGAATAAAGATCAGGTGATAATTCGCGTGTTTTAGGTTACTTAGGAGATTGCTGCTGAGTGCATGACATTTCTAAGAACACTGAACGAAACTATTCAGTGTTTTTATTCTTGATCTCAGACAAGAATCAAATCACGATCATCACATCTAAGCATGAAGGGCTTCGTCATTAGATTGAAATATTTCAGGTCCAGTCTCAAAAGTGTTTTCTCAAGCAGGCTGGCGCTGCATTACTTTAATAATAAGTCATATAACGTGCGGTATTTAAGAGCAATTTCCGATTGAGTTTGAAAGACAAACACCGAAGTAATCAAAAAAGCTGATCAGAATAAAAAACGAGGACTTCAAAAAAAAAACCATGCGAACTTCCTGAACCACTGGAAAACGCGAAAAATTAAGCTTTGTATTTGATTGGTTGAAAAGTTGGTGAGTCTCCATGACCAATCACAGAGCTCTATTGAGGTAAACACCAAAACAGTCCCGGATGTAAACCCAGAAAAGTACTCAATCGCAAATTGCTCTCACTAAAGAATTTCAGTAAGTTGAACTAACAGTCCTGTCAAAGTCCTGATAGCAGTAACCTGCAACAACGAATATACATTCACAAGAGGTGCTTACAACGGGACAGTTAATAGTAATAACTGCTCAATGACCAATACGAGTTTATTGAGCCAGCTCTTACACCAGATTACTCATTAAGGTGATTAACATCTAACTTCTCCCTAAAATATCCATACATTATCCAGCAAACAGGTGATGAGAATACTCAAACATATCAAGTAGAAGTTGTTCTCTTGATCTAACACCAAATTCTGGTAACTAATTTAAAAGGAAATATGTAGTAGCTGGTGGGGAGAATTGACTATCAGATCTTGGGAGTTGAAGGGTTAATACTGCATAGCTACTTATCCAGTGTAAGGAGCTCAGTCGAAATCGTCTCGTTTTCACAATTTTTTTTTAGATACTTATTTATATTGACAGCCAAAAGTTTTTAATTTCTATCCTCGAAAAAGTTCACACTTCCAACGACATTTAAGTCTCAAAGTCGAAAGTTCTCCTGCATCATAGCGACAGCAGTATTTGTATTCAGCGATTTTTCTATCAACGAAGAGAGATTAGTTGTTTATTGGATACATGTTACGGAATGTGGGAAATGGGTACTAGTTTCTAGGCCTCCTAAAAAATTGCCACTATAAAACGCTTACTCTGTTCCTCGTTTGAATACCAAGTCTGTTTCGCTGCGGAATTTTGTAGACCAAGCCAGTGAGGAAGCCCCACCAAGAGAACTCTGTTAATGAATCAAAGGTTATTATATTAATTGAAATGATTACGTGGTCTTATCAAACTTCACCCTTTAACTCTCAGACCAAATTTGTAATTCTCCTTACTGTCAACCATTTGTCTTTACTCTCATCACTAATCTGGTTGATATTGTATTGATATCGTAAGGAGAAATTCTGTCTTGGTCACTCATGGGAATTGAAGGGTCAAAAAGAAACAGTAGCCTTGGAGCAGGCCCTCATTATTCGCGCTACAGGACGTGCATTTCTCCGCCTGCGGGAAGATTTGAGAGGGTCGGAGAGAGGTTTACCGGGGTGTGGTACCAGACCCCTTTGAGATCTCTCACCGGCCCGTGTTGTTGAAGGCCGCGTACTTTCCCGCGGGCGAAGACACGCTCACGCCGAAGCGAAGCGCTAATCATGAATGATCTGTTGGGCTTTCTTGCGCTCAGTTTTTGACTCAATCAAAATTTAAGTTGTAACATAAATAATAATCCCCCCCCAGTTATAAAATAGAATTAAAGGGTGGTAGGTACTGGAGCAAGTTAGGACGGGGGGAGGGGGAAGGAAAGGGTGGGGGTAGGGGAAGACGGCTAATGAAGTTTACAAGAAACATATTTCGAAATTACAATCAGAGCTATTTACTCACCCCACGTTCTTCCTGTAAATAGTTGGTGTGGCCATGACAACGAAATTATCGGTTAGGAAACAAGATAAGTAGATTAAGAGTTAGAATGATCAGTAAACAAACAACACAACACAGGATGGCAGAGGTGGGAGGGAGAGGGCAAGGGAGGGGAGGGGAGGGGAGGTTTAAAGATATTGGTCATTTCCGAGATGCCCAAAGTCTCTATTTCAAAACGAGGGTACGCCTTCGATATGACTATAATGTTATAATCTCTGCCAAAACCCTTTTCACAAGAAGTGTCTCGCACCCGAGCTCATTTAGGAAGTAGGGATTTTTGAAACCCGAAAAGGCTGAATTCAATTATAAACTTCAATAAGTTATTGATGGTAGGGAGAAGGGAAAATATACCGCCATTTTACCTAAACGATTTCTGCCGAAAACATTTTAGGATACCTTATTGGAAATTAGTGCGTTATTACAGGAGTTAGGCTACAAAATAATATATAAAAAATCACTTAAAATAATAAAAGAAGAGGATTTAGAAACAATAGGTACAGACAAATGCCACAAAACGTGTATTTGCAGTAGCAAACTGATCCTCATGGCTATTAGGATCAAACATTCAGTTTCCGTATGACGGAGAGGAAATATGAAACCTTACCTTTCTCTTCTCTCTTAACTCTGCTGCTTCTCTAGGATGGTTGAAACGAAAAACGTTTGTCGTACCCAACAGAATCACATCACCTGACAAATAAAACAATGCGTTCTGTCACCATTATTATCCCAAGTTCGACTTTGAACCCTGGATAAGAGCTTCCCTCCTTTGGAAAAATCATCCCTCCTCCCCCCAGCTGTCTGACCAAAGTACAAGTAGTATTACCTTGAAATAATCTTGTCGGCTTCGAAATGGCATGTTCATTGACGGTGCATTTCGAATCCAGCGGGTTGAGGATTACATGACCTTTGCTGTGTTCAAATACACAGTGATTCTCCTCTGAATCGGGTCCGCTGATTACTAAAGAAACAAGAAAATACATTCACTATTTTGAAAAAGACGTTGTGGGGATATTTTAAAAACTCACAGCGGATTGAGAGGACCAGAGTCCACATTTTGGCGTCATCTGTGATCTGTTACTGAATAGGGGCACGGCAACTTGGAATCTATTTGTTACATAGATTCTAGAGTGAAATAAGTAACTGATTTAGATTGTACAATACTAACAAAGGCCTTGTACGGAATTTAAAACATGTTAATTTTACTGAAAGTACTAATTTGTCTATGAAAACAAAACTATAATCCAATCAGTCTAACAAATAGATTCCAAGTTGCCGTGCGTCTGTTCAGTAATAGATCACAGATGACGTCAAAATGTAGTAAGAACAAAAAAGTGGCACATGAGGCGCAGCCGAGTGTGTCACTGATGTTCTTACCACATTTTGACGCCCTCTGTGATCTATTACTGAACAGACGCACGGCAACTTGGAATCTATTTGTTTTATATAATAAAGAATTAAAAAAAATTTTAATGATGACGTCAATTATACGTCTGTCCCCTTATAGACCATAAGTGAGAACCAATCAGAATGCGTGCATAACTGAGCTTATTATATAACACGTGTTGCTTGATAGAGTTCTCTTTATGCGTTTTAGGCTATTATAGTCTTCAAACTAATTTTAGCTCAAACAATTACACAATGCTTAACTTCTATATTTTAAACTAATTTCAAGAAATCACGAAAATAAAGTACCCATATAGTCAACGCACTTCACAATAAAAACCAGAATGGTTGTTCATGGTGAATAAAATCGTTATTTGGCCGACAGTTTTTTCCGCCTGGATGTTTCGGTCGTCTGAGAGGATTTACAGACACACTCTTACGGTCCGTCGACTATTTAAATGCAAATCGTAATTTAACTTCGTCGACCAGGGATTGGTAGAAATAATCAAATTCAGTAAGTGGTTTGAGTGATCAGAAGAGAGGAGAATTATGCACAAGAAGCGCATGAATTTCGTAGATTATTATGATTGCCAAAACAACTTACTAGAAATTCTATATTCAAGAGTAATCAATTAGTTACATTTCATTCAGTGGAACCTTACATACTTTGAATTTCAACGCGTTGATTTCTTGAGAAAAAGATTATAACTTGCTAGAAATGTATAGATTATCAACACTATCCAGGTTCTTGATTCAAACCCCCGCGAGTCTGGTAGTTACGAGTAGCGAAAACGTGTACATGATGTATCTAATACACAATGCGCGTCTGTATGAAAATCTTTGAGAGTAAGTAATCATTACAGTGCATAACTACGCAGAATTTTCTTGTGTTTCTTCATCTACAACGAAGGGGGAAACTTTGATTGACTGTCCACATACACATACATGTGATTCGGAGACTACCGAGTTGCTTGATCATCACAAACAACAAAATACTCAGCAATATAGCTACAAAAATTCAGTCACATTACCAATATCTTGTTTCTTTGGGTTGTCAGCGAGTCCGGCTGTAGTGAACCCTTCCTTAAAATCACCGAAAGAACAAGAACAATCAGTTTCAGTCCCTCGATCACCGAGCAATATGAAAAACTTAGAGTACTTTGAAAGCAAAGTACATATTAAAAACCAATACGTAACAAGTAACAGATTCCTCAAATTCTCTCAGATCCATTGAAGCATAACATGCAAATTTGCTTGAAAGCAAATGCTACGTGTTAGAGATAAATTTCTTCACCACATGTTTCAAAATAAAACAACGCCCTCGGTGAACTGCTCACAATGTCGCCTAATGTGTCAAATATTTCAAGGAATTTTCAAAGCTTAGAGAGGCTTTGTGCAAAGGATAAGCTTTCGAAAGACAAAAGAAAGACATGCATACAATTATCACATGCAGACTGATCTCAAAATACCACCTACTGATTAAGAAAAACAAGGCTTTGTAAACATTTAATTGTCGTTGGTTTAAAAGGCCTGAAGCCTTAATGAAACTCCAAAATCTCAAATTAATACTCTTTCTCAGCCCTTTTTCACGTCAGAGAGGTGCTCAGAGCTAAACTTTCATTAACTAAGTTTTAAACCTTCTGTATGTACATTACATGCAAGAGGTTGCACTCAAAAACTGTTATAGACTGTTTTGATTTTAAAAGCATTCACTAATTAACTTTGTCAACATGCCACATCAAACTGAAAGGTAATAAGCTTTTCCCATTAAGATGGGAAAATATATATTTTTTTCATCAAATTTGTTTCATGGTTCATGCTAAACACTTTCAATCCCAGATTTCAATAGCAATTCTCCCAACTGTCTGCCATACAATTCTTGAGATGTTGTTTAGGAGAGTTTATTCAGGTGAGTTAAACAGGCAACTTTCTAAAAGCAGGCACAATATTTTGCCTTTATGTTCCACCTTTACACATTCTCCATACTCTTCACCATACATTTCTTAAAGTGCTACTTAGGAGAATTTGTTTAATAATCAATAGCCTCTTAAGTTGGCTTGGAAGGGGTGGGGGTAAGGGTTAGCCTTATGGGATTTTATACCTAAAACTGGTAACAAAAATTTTCACCAAAAAATGGTGGAGAACTACCTTAAGATGATAGACAACAATTCCAGTGCTAAGAAGATCATCATCCACTAAAACTAAATGAGGAAGAACTGAATCCATCTTGATTCCAACACCTTCTTGCTGAAGCTTCATTTCTCTTTCCTAAAACAAAGAGAAATTACATTAATATAATTCTATAAGTAAAATTTACAGAACTTTGTACTTCAAAATTTTAAAGTAAGGCATTAGTTTCCTATACATTCCTCTAGGTGTAATTAGCTGAGTGAATCAGTCTACATTTATTAGTAAAGATGGTTACTTTTGAGTTAAGTTGTTGGGTGAGAAGATTTTCCTTTGTTTTGTCTGGGGTGTACACATGCAGTAGAATCCCCCTAACTCAAACTCCCCAGGAAAACAAACAATGGTTCATGTCAGAGGGAGTTTGAGTAATTGGGGTTGGCGTTGATTTCAATTATCCTGTTAGAACACGTAATTAATGAGGAATAACGGTTTCACCATTCTTTCATGATGAACAGTAATTTTCATGAATTTTGTTTGTTTTATAGGAGCTTTTTTTGTAACAAAGTTTAGTTTGAGAAGTTTTGTTACACATACTACATCAATCATCTATGTTCTGACACTTTGATGTTTATCAATCGACATTGCATCAAGATATCAAGTTTAGGGGGAGTTTGAGTTAGTCATGGCAAGTTCAAGTTAGCTGATAGTAAATGACTAGAAAAATGGGGTCAAATCCAAGAGAAACGGGATTTTGTTCGAGCTAGTTATTAGAGTTATTAGAGGATTAGAGTTAACTGGGTGTGAGTAAGAAGGATTCTCGACTGTACATACACATCTCAGTACTTCAAAACCATTGTGAAAAACACTGAATAAATTTTTAAAAATTGTGAACCTCTAATATTCTCTGGGTCTCTCTCCATCTGTCCTTCCACCGATCAGTGAGTTCTGTCACACGTGCTTCATTCTCTGACAGTTTTTTGGCAGCAGCTAATTCAGCTTCTCCTAACATTTCCTGCAGAGATAAGAGGTCAAACCAAATTTTAACCTGAGGCATATGTTCAAAAACCACTTAAAGATTAACAGGCGTAAAAAAAAGCAAGTTTTGATTATTTTATGAAATAAGTAATCTCTTCTGTAGTAAGCAGTTCCTTTCTTACCGGGCTAATCATATTTTTCAGCCGGTCTATTTCAGCTCGCAGGTCTCTAATGAGCTTCACATTAGCATCCTGAAATAAAAAGAAGAGATCTGTGAAGTTCCACAATTAGGGAAAATACTGGGAGACTTGCAAATTTACAGCATACTATGAATTTTTATCTACCCAATTATAAACATGTATGCAAAATGTTTTGACAGTGGTGCTTCAATTGATACCACACAATGCAGAAAGCTGAAACTAAAAGTAAATTTTTGTCAATACAACTGTGAGTATTCAAATGATTTCTTGTCCTCTTTGGAAAGAATAAGTCATTTTAAATTACCCAAAGATTTCAAATTGCACTCCCTAAAGGCTTTAATTTGCATTTTTCAAGTTTCCCTTTTTTTCTTTTTTTGATATGTTGACATTAATGCAACAAATATAGCAACTCACTTTATAATGCTCTATGGAAATCTTACACATTATTATGAATCCAATCTTTTGTCTCAGAACACACACATAATGAGTTCTGAATTACTAATTTGTGTAATTATTAACATGCTTTTCACATTCACATGTGTACATTTTTTATAAGACACAGGTGTATGTAGTGACACACAGTTTGCATTTTGAGTGCTTGGAAATTGCATGTGCATTGAGTGTGTACAATGCTGCCATACATGAGAGAGGTAAGGCAAAATGCTTCCATGTAACAAATACCTCACCTCATTGATGGTGGGTTTGTTGATGATATTCTTAGCACGATTGGCATATCGCAGAGTGCTGAGTGTTTCTGCATAGTTTACATCTGCTGGTGAGATGGCTAAGGAGAACAGCAAATAAATTCTGTCACTGACTGCATAATATAATCATTATAAAGTTTTTTTGCAGTCTGTGCACTGCCATCTCTCTTTGAAGGATGGGCCTCACTCTAACAAGGCCCAGCCAAGACATGCAGTGTATATTGTGCATCTTAACAAGGAAGGAAAACAAAGGCCTGCCTACTATTTTGCCAATTTAATACTGAGAACTAAGGTGATGCTATAATTTTCTAGTCAACAACAAAATAAACAAAATCTAAAAGACTGTGCTTTCAGCTAGTGCCCACAAGCTAACAAGAACTCCATTCCTAAATTGTAACTTAAACCTTGAGCCCCTCAGAGTGACTAGCAAGTCAAATTAAACACTAAGGTCACAAGAATAAAGGAAATGATCACCAGCCAAAGAAGCATTTGATTGTTAATCAAATTCTCCTTGCCAGAAACGAAGGAAATGTATAGAGAATAGTATGGAGAATATGCATACTGATGTTAGGATGCAAATGGTCAACCCTTTAACTCCCATGAGCGACCAAGATAGAATTTCTTCTTACAATATCAATATGATATGAGGCAGAAAATGATGAGAATAAAGAAAAATATTAATTAGGGGATTATTAGTTGATCCAATACCAAATTCTCAAAACTAACATCGCAAGAACCATAAGCAGACAGTAAGGAGAACTACTAGTGAGATCTTGGGAGTTAAGGGTTAAAGAGAACCAAACATTCATGTAATGCTCAGGAGCATGGTGTGGTCTGAGCCCTGGAGGGAAAGCTGATCACTGAACAATAATAATGGTTAAAAATAAATGACAGAAAGTTTCTTACTGGCAATCATGATAGTCTTTGAATTTCCTCCCAGACTGTCCTTCAGAAGCCAGGTCAGAACAGAATCTCGGTATGGGATGAACTTGTGATGATGATGAGATGAACTATGACTCCCTGTTGATGCATCAGCTGTAAGGAATATTCAATTTTAAATCAAAAATATTATTAGGAATTTCCCTTTACTAATAAACAGGGGTTTCCAACCATTTTTAACTGTCTTACTTCCATGAGTGACCAAGACAGAATTTCTCCTTACAATATCAATACAAAAACAAGCAGACAAGTAATGAGAGTAAAGAAAAATGCAATTTAGGGGATTATTAGTTGATCCAATACCATGTTGGATTATGATCATTCTGGTTGAAAGCTAATTAAAATTGAATATGATGAAATATAATCATGAAATGACATATAGTGAGGCATAAAATACCATAATCTGCCTGCACACATTAGATATACAAGTATAGTGTATTTCCTTGAATAAGTGCCTGGGCACTCATTTAAAACTTCAGCTAAAAGGACTGGTATTTATTAGATGGAAAAGGCTTAATTGAGGGGGGCACTCTTACAAAACTATTCTCCTGTTCTGATTCAGCTGCAGTTGAAGCTGAGAAAGTTATCAATAATTATAATAGAAAGAAAATGGGGAGAGGTTTTCCTTGTATCCACACTATTCAAAAAGTGAGGGAGCAGAAAGGTGGCACTCTCAATTATAGGCCTAACAGGTGGGCACTTATTTGAGGGAGGGCCTCTATTGGAGTGTGGGCAGTTAATTTAAGGAAATACTGACAGTAATCTCTACATATTAATTCACACCTGTTATGAAATTGAAGGAAAACATACTCATCAACTTCACATATTCAGAAAAAGACACATCACAGTTCACGTTTTTCCAAAATCATACTGAGCACTTATTACCTAAAGCAGAAATGACAGTTCCCAGGGTGACCAGTGACTTGTTGATATTGGCACCTTCCTTCAGTCGTTCACCTGTCAGTCCTGTGGCGTCAGCCCTCTCACTGCGAAATTACAACATTTACAGTATGGAACTGCTCAAGATGTATTGTTACACCCATCATAAAATGCTAATGATCAATTGTTAATGAATTGAAAATTAATCAATAATTGATTAATGAAAAATTACAGTAACTTTATTTGATAAAGACTGAATAATGCAGTTTTGCATTTCCTATTTTTTGTTGAGACAAGTGAAAAATGAGATAACAGTAAATACTGAAAACATTTTACCTTCCAGCTAAATCAACCAAGTTGATCTTGCTGACTGTTTCACAAGGCATGTCATGGTCAAACTTTGCCTACAGTTTGAGTACAAACAAACAAACAAAAACAATATTCATTGACCTATTGTTCATTTTGAACTTATTGGTAATTTTATAGAGACGATACAAAGATATAAATTTAAATGGTCCCACAAAATTCCTAGGGGTAATCCCAGTGTTTTTGTTATTGCTCAGATGCTTGTCTATCACAAGTTGATCCTCACAGTTTGTCCAAGTTTTCCAGGAAGTTTATTGCTACTTATACAGACTTAAAGAGGAAATCAGAAAAGCACTACAGAAGTGAAGTATCTCCCCAAAGGAGAGAGCTTTAAATGAGCATAGTGAGGGATCAAGGATGGCAATTTGATTCTCAGAGGATGCATCACATGTGGTTAGGTTCTGTGTTAAAAAAAAAGAAAAAAAATTGAAGTTACTGACTTGTGTGAAATTGATTGTAAATATTGCATGTGATCTGCTGCTGGTGTCATTCATCCCAGTACTTGCTGTAACCCTAAAAGTTAATAAAATAGATTTCAAAGATATGTTTTTACATGTACATTATAACCTGCTACAATTCCTGTTCAGGTGACATCGTTATGACAAACAGTATATAAAGAGTTCTGGAAAGATATATATAAAAAGCAAAATACAAGGAATATTTCACTTTCCAGGGTAAGAAAATGTGTATATGTCCGTCACCTGTGATACATGTATGTACAGAATATGCATGTATTGTGAATGTAGTTCATTTAGTTCAATAGTCTAATTTTAGTGGAAAAGGTTTTTGTTAAAAAATCACAATATGCAAGAAAAAAGAAAAGAAGAAAAGCAACTTTTAAAACTTTTCTACCAGACAAAAATTGAACTTGGGCCCGGTTCAAATGTCGAACTTTACATGTGCCGAATCTAATAATTAGGTTCAGTTTGCATTTAAATTCAAGGTTTGAATCAATTAGATTGATATCATTTCATATGTTGAAGCTTTTCATGTGCCGAATCTAATGCATACATTACAAATACATTAAATTGATAATTTTTTTACCCACGTTTAGCATATTTTGTCATGCACACAGGACTTGTTTTGCGACAAAATGGCAAGAAGAGCGGAAAATATGTATTCCTCTTACTTTGAGAGCATGAAATATACATGCCTGAGGTGCATGAACTACTTCTGTATGCTGTGTTCTCTGTTTGGAAACAACAAGAATGTAGCATGTGGAAAGCAGGCAGTATGGTAGCATATTGTAAGTCATGTTTTCAAGAGGAAATGACAACAAAATTTAACCTTCTGGAAAGTGAAGGCAATGATCAGGAGGCAGATTTCCCAAATCAGGCCAGTGGATAGAAAAGCAATTTCTACAATGGTATTAAGATATTCTCCTCTATCTAGTCTATACAGACAAATAGCAAGCCTCAATGCCTGGCAATATCACTTCTTCCATCACAATTTGCTGAATAAGGGAGGGTTCAATATTGTTCAGGATAAAATTATATGCTACCTGGGATACTCTGAAGGTTTTCTTGAACCTTACCTCTGAATAGATGTTGCTAACATTTTCCCACCAGCCAGTATTTCATTTTAGCCGACAACAAGTGTGAACTGGACAAGGAACAGTGATGTTCCTTTGGGAAATGAGCAATTATAGAAGGCAAGCCAAATTCAAAACTCATCTCCTCCTAGCAGCCAGGTTATTTAATGCCAAATGCATCTTCAGTCACCTTCTTCTATCCTCCTTTATTGCACTTGCAAGAAAAATAAGCTCTTCATTTCCACAATTTGTCTTCCCACATTTTTTCCTCCATTTTGGTGACCAATAACTACTAACTGCCATAGAGTCATAATCATTTTTCCAATTAAGTTCAAGTTAATTAGGTTTGACATTTGAATCAACTGCCGGACTTTATTATTTATTATTACTGTTGACTGCCATAGAGTCATGATCATTTTTCCAATTAATTTCAAGTTAATTAAGTTTGACATTTGAATAAACTGCTGAACTTTATTATTTGGGTCGACCCAAATTGGTTTTAGGTGTAGCACATGTAAAATTCAACTTTGAGCCAGGCCTTAGTCTACATATTAAATTTTGCAATCATAAAGGAGTGTGTATAGAGAATGTAGCTGTTATCAGTAAGTACCATCAATCAACAATTACAGTTGATATGTGGATAATAATTACAGCGTAACTGACTTGTATTTACCGATGGGTGTTACCCTGTTCCATCAGATTTTCTATGGCTGCATAATCTGATACAAGATGCCTGGTAAGATCTGTGGAAAAGGAAGAAAATTATATTACAAAATTACAAACATTGTATAACAAACACATATAACTGAAGATAAGGTTTCATGATCCTTAAAATATATTCCTCTATGGTTTATACACAAAATGGTAAATAAATTATGCTTATTCTGCAAATGCTTAAATAGACAAAGCCCAGAGTACTTAGGTGGCAGATAAGTGAATATCAGTGACCTGTCAACCAGAACCTTGCATTATAGTGATATAAATATAAGCTGTCCAAGGTATAACTGTGACACACAGAAGGTGGAAAAACTTTTCTTGTTACAGCCACAAAACTTTGGAACTCTCTACCTATTAATACAAGATCTAGCACCAGTGTTAATGCATTCAAACAGAATTATGGTAATTTTATAAAGGAAGGTTATGCTGGCTTGAATAGCTTTCCTGTTTCATGAGTTTTTGATATTGTCTGACCCCTTTTTAATATTACACTAAATATTACATTTACTTTTCTATTTTTTTATATTTATAAATTAGTTTTATATCTTAGGGGAGGGCCACACGTTTACCAGTTCTTAAATGTAATGTGTAACCCTCGGTAAATAAAGTTATTATTATTATTATTATTATTATTATTATTATTATTATTATGGTTTCAGTTTGTGGCATAGATTAAATGGGAATTAACTCTTTAAACCATTAGAATGACCAGCATCTGAATTCTCCTTACAATAATACTGCTGCATCATTCATTGAGATCACGAGAATAACAGAAATGTTTCCCAACCTAAGAAGCTTTCATTATTAAACAAATTCTCCTTCTCAGTACAGAAGGAAATGTAAAGGAAAAATTATGAGGAATATGGATACTGATATTACAGTCCAAAGGGATAACTGCTAGTTGGACATAGTCAACCATGGCATGTTAAACCTAATAGTTGGAGGTATCTGTGAATAATCCAGAGAAGAGAGAGAGAGAGTATAATGGGTCCTGCATGTAAAAGGAATGCTGTGATCTGGCCTGAGGGCTTAAACCTGGACCTGGCAATTGTGGGTCCAGGGTGCCAATCATGACTCCAAAGTATTGGCTGATAGGAAAATGAATTAAAACCGAGAAAATGAAACAGAAAAGGTGAGAAAGATAAGAAGGTTATTTGTCTTATCATGGACCAGTAATAAAGAAAAATCCTACATTTCCTCAGGAATCAAACTCTTCTATACTCTACTACTGAGCTGCAGAGACTTGTAACACTTGTAACATCTTTCTTAAAAGATTACACTATTTTGTCAATGACACAGGCATACTCAAGAAAAAGAACTTCAAGAACTCCTAATAAAAGCATCTTCCTAACATCTTTCTTTAACCTGTTACTATGAGTTAAAAAATTTACCATCTTTCTTATCTAATGGTTTTACATTATTTAGTATGTTGAAGATCACACATGGCAAATAAAATGCAATAATGCAATACTGAAAAAAAGATTAACAAAACTAAATGCATGAGAGCCCTCCACCCAAGAAAAAGTCTTTCAGAAGCTCACCCTGAACATAGGGACCTTCCTTAGGATGTTCTCTGACTTTCAACGAGTGAACAGGCCTTCCCTTTATGGGAGGTCTAAGAAGATCTCTGACACGCTCATTGTAGATTTCCAAAAAGCTGACCTCTGTTCGGTAAGAAGGTCCATTATCAGCATTATTACGCATGCCTGAAAATAAACCTTCGCATATCCTTGGTATCAGACCCTGGTTATCTGGACTTCCCATCATGCTGTAGGTCTTGCCAGAACCAGTTTGTCCGTAAGCGAAAATGCATGCATTGTAACCCTCAAATGCTGCTTTAAGGACATCTGTGCCAAGGTCTTTGAATACCTGTAGGAGACAAATGGATTGAGCTAGGCCTCAACAATTTGAATGAAATAAATTTCATTTCACCTGCAGATGAACATCAAGCAAGGTCAAATAAAATTTATTTCATTAAAATTGTGATCAGATTCCTTTACAGAAGAGATGAACCCTCTTAACTTTACCTGACCTCCAATGTGTGGCCTCATAGCTCAGTTGGTAGACTTGGCACCTAATAGTAATAGCCAAATTTTTTTTAGGTTTCTTTTCTGCAGTTGCTTACATTGCAATGCAGCTATGGAGAGCATTTTGTTGCTTGATTTGCCATAACATTACAATCGCACAGTCATAAATGTAAATTAAATTTGAAGGCTATGCTGATAATGTATGTAGGCAGTTTGGCTGGATGATTTTAGGGTTTTCTTGGAGTTTTTAAGTACAAGTGGATGGATGTTAATAAAAGAGGTGACTGCTGAGCCTCAAATTTCTGGTCAGTATTTCATATGTTCTCCTTGACATCTTGAACTAAAAAGGATAAACAGAAAACCAGCTGAGCTGTAGGTCCATGTTGGTCTAAGCTCTCCAAACAACTGCATAAATTACTGCAGAGGAAAAAAGTTCTTTGCTTTTTTTGGAGTGTTCAGATTTTACTTATTATTGTTTCATATGCAAGGCTTTTGGTTATGTGGCAAAACATGGTTCAGAAATTTTGGCATTGATAGTTGTTGTTTCTTTCCCAGACAAAGTAAAAATAATCATCTCGATTTTAATGCCACAACCTAACTTACATGTATCTTCACTGGATAAATGTAAGTTACTTCAAAGCATAATGCCAAAAAAAAAATATAAACAAACCTGATTATGACAAATGAATGATTTGAGAGTAAATGAAAGAAAGTGTTGATTGATTGACTTAATAGAAAGTTGATCAATTCATAATCTCTTACTTACAGTTATTTTTGTTGAAAAATTATTGCATTGTTACTCCATGCAAATGAAATTTTTTACAGTTATTCCCCCTGATCAAAACAAATAATTCTGACAATCTCCCGTGGCTTCAAATAACGATTACATACATGACCAGCTGTTTGAGTTAAAAAATCAGCATGATATACATAATTAACTTGCTAAATTTGTTACCATGCACAACAGAATTTCTTTCGAGAGAATCACCCTTTGTGTTTAAATTCAGAACAAAGCAATCTATTTATAACGTTAAAGAATGCATTACATTTAATGTTTTCATTTGAAACTAGACAATAAAACTATATTTTTTTAACCCTGATCAAGCTGAAATACAATCGTTTGACTTGCAAATTATTCCTATCTTAATAAAATCAAGGATTGCTCTCAAACTGAAAGGACAATGGAAACGTCCGGAAATTTAGTTCTTAAATTTAGATGAGCCGGTCTGCTCATGAGATCAATATACAAGTGACAATAACGGACGTAAACAACGATTCGAAGGAGGGCCTACAATGGCTCTTAAATTTAAGTGGGTCGTTTCTCGGGAACGCCATGTCACCCACTGGGACGTTGGATTAACTTTTCAGCGATGATTGGAAAATCGACAGGTTTGTAAAGAAATTTATGTCAAAACTTGCAAGAACATACATGAATATCATTGTAAAAACAATCGAGCATGCGATCAAGTGCTCGATTGATCATGGAATGTACTAGACAAGTGCGCTTATGCAAATCTTACCCTTTCTTGTGAAGCATAGTGTCGGCTTCTCTCGTTAACAGACCAGTAGGAAAAATCGAAAGAAAAATCCTTCACGCGATTTCGCCTCTCTCCATCACCAGTTAATGCATTTGCCTGAAATAAAAATACTGAATAAACGAACTCGACCTGCCGTATTACACATGACTTTCGTCGTGTTTTGATGGTCACTCTACACGACACCTGATTCATAAAGTTACAACATTTTAGCACGCTTAACAAAAGCACATTTGCGACTAAATATGCCTACCTTGATATTCATAATGGTTGTTTTCTTTCCTTCCATCTCGATTATAGATTGAGCGCCCATGCCTTTTTCCCTGCAAAGCCAAAAGTCGTGACACGAAAGATAAACGAATAACGCCAACTCAACTGACTCAAACTTTAGGATGCTAACTTAACAATTGCGTCTTACCTTTGATTGAAAGGCCTCACTCTCACTGCTACTTTCACAGATGCCATTACGTTCTTGCTTAATCCTTAAACGACTCAAAATTGCTGCCTTCGAAGAGGATGAAACGTGATTGGTACCAGATCCTCAAATTGTTTTCGTTTGACCGGCTAGACTAAGGCAAGATTGTCGATGATCTTTCCAACTTGCTGAAGCTCCAAAAATAACCACACTTCAAATTATCCATTTCACAGAACAAAGATAGACTAACTTAAAGAACGAAGCCATTCCTGAAGTGCAGGCAACTGTAAAAGCAAAACTAAAAATTTTCTGCGGTCACTTGTCGAATCTGAATGATATCATCAAATTCATTGCTTCGCCACAGCGAGGCTGCAGCTCGTGAGCGATCACGTGAGAATGTGAATTCGACTTCAAGTTGTTTACTTTTGGTGAAACGAACAACACGCAAGTTCTGCCGTCACGTACGTTTGACGTTTAAAAATCGCTGTAGGCAAATGTTTTTAATAGTTAAGTTTGTAGTTCACGTATAAACTGGTTTGGCAGAGGCCAGTGTTTAAAATTGGGGCTGATGAGAGATAATGACTCCAATTACAGAACCACGAAAATGTATAATATCTGGGCGATACCTGTATAAAGTGGCGTGGGATTTAATTTTGAATAGTTTGCTACCGCCCGATTTACTCTTCGTAACATGGCAAATTAATATCATTAATAATAAAATATATCTCATAAAGTTTCAAATGTCTATATGTTCCAAATGGTTAAGCCATCAGACTACAACCGCATCTGTAAATCTTTTCTTCTCTTGGGAAACTGATTTGTTTCAGCCCGAGCAATTTGGGATGTTTACCAAATCAAGCGAAACGTTTTGCTTGATTTACTTTTGTGTACGTAAAAATTACGTGTGTATTGCTTTCTAATAACCAAATCTAAAAGTGATTTTTTAATTGAACGGTAATCCCTTTTCAAAAAAGTTTCACTGAAGATGGTTTTCCAATCGGGTTTAGACTTGCCGAAACACCTCTGTGCTTAGTTTAAACTTTTTCCATTCTCTTAAATATAGGCGTCACCTTGTTAAGTTCAGTCTTTGAATTATTCAAATAATTTGGCAGAAGAATGTTGCAGTGTTACGCAAGTTTCAGTTCCTGTAAATTAATAAATCCCACCTCCTGCGGGATGGATTAAAATCAGGAGAAAAAAGTTTCAAACTTTGCAACTCTGTGATAATAAGAATTAACTTATCCCGAATCTATTGATCCGCGCTGGGGCCATAATTCCGAGAGGAAAAAACTCGGTCCGTCACGTACAGTACAACCCCCGAACTCGGTTAGTAAGAGGTATTGATAACGAATTTATTGACCCGGACTGTGATGTGAAGGTGCTTGTGAACCGCAGAAGAATTTACATCCTTCACGGTCTGGATTGATTAAAAAATAAAAAGAACAAAACAAACAAACAAAGAAAACAAACAAACCAGATGAACTGGAAGAGGACAGGGCCTCGAAGAGTTTTCCAGACAAAAAAATTTTTAACTAATCAAGCCTGATCAAGGTCATGGTGGTATTGAGCCGCCCATTAGGTGGTGAAGGTAACACGTGAAGAGCCAATAGCCTCAGGAACCCGTGGCCGACAAACAAGTGAGGAACAGGCTAGGAAAATGGCCGTGTAAACCACTATAGCTAAACTTAAGGGGCCGTGGAAAAAATGTCCTCTTGTGACATCAAGGCAGAACAGCATAACGAGACAAAGAGAAGATCAGGTTTATTTTCTATTTATGTTTTTATGTCATTAAAATTTAAAGGCTTCCAAGTCGACTTCTCTTTCTCAATGATCGGTTACCTAATCAACCGGGGGTAAGCAAGATAGAGTGTGCGCACAAGCTAACTCAAAATGGCCCCCATTACCGGTCCACGGTGATGTTTTTGTCGCGTGAAGGTACCAGGACTTTGGTTACCCCCCCCTCCTTAATGGGATGTTAGTTTGTCGTGACTTACCCCTCCCCCCTCCTACTTAGAATTTCGCAAGGTTTCCTAACAGGTTACACACCTGGCTTGAAAAGAGAAGACGAGAGGAAAACTGGGGCCAGTAATAGAATTCGTTTGATGGTAAACTTCTCGAGAAAATTAATGCACTCTCTGGAAAAAGTCTTCTTTTGAGCTTTAGTTTCCATTAGGTCCCTTTGGACAAATTTGGATCGTTCGGGGAATTATAAAGAGGAAAAAAGAGAGAGAAAATAGATGGAACGGAGTCAAATTTTGGAGGAAACGTTTTTCTCATTTCTTTCTTCGTCTTTTTATTATCCGGGAAGAAGGAGCCTATAAATAATAATAATTAATGGCTCCTTCCCGTAAGAAATCAATATGCCAGCCTCGACGGTATTAATTTTTCTACACCTGGTTTGTTTGTTTGTCGTTGTCGAATCCGACGTGAAATTTCCCTCGAAATATAATGATAGCAATATACTTCATCTCAATCTATTAAGCTTTATTAAAACAAATAGTCTACTAAGATTACATGTTTTGATTTCGCTTCTTACTATGTGAATTCGACCAAAAAAATTCTCTAAAGCCGACGTAAAACAGTCATGCAAAATACTACGTTTAACTTAAGGGAAATTAATTGAAACTCTAATGCCTTACTTTTGCCGGCGCACACTTTTTTCAATCGCAAAACCATCTTTAAAATGAAAATACTTCGATTTATGAAGACTTTATTTCTTTAATTGCAGTTTACCTGCAACGATCATTTCTTTCCATGTTTGAAAATATTCAAAAAAGAGAGAAAAAATTCAATATTTCAGCCATTCTTGCTTTCATTTCAGTTCATTACAAAGGATACGCAGTTGTAGTTTGCTTTACTCAGTAATTGTGCTACACTAAGAATCTAAAATATGTACATGTCGATCATTTCTGAAGCTAAATTTGAAACACAATCAGAAAATCTTTTCGAGCTAAGAAGTGACCTGTAACCTTCGCTGGTCTCTGGTAATTTGTGCAGGTCGAGATGATCAGCGGTTGGCGCGAATCTCGGCTTGATTAAATGGGTCAATTTTCATGTGTAAAAAAGTAATTGATTAAAAAAAATTAAGATTTCATCATTTTAAATACGCCCTGTGTCCTGGCGTAAACCAAACGTACACCGGAATAACTGAGATTGCAACTGGAAACTTGAATTTGACGGTTAGACTTTTGTATCAAGGAATTAAGGAATTCTTTATTTACTTTTCAGCAATTCTCTGACGAATTTTTATCCAGATAACTTACCACCGAGACCCACGTGAAGTCGACAGGTGTTTACGCATTCTCTCAGTGTTTTCCTTTCGAGACGTTACTTAACTAGTATTTACTAAACTGCATTAGTGCAATGCACGCTAGAACTTTCATTTTATGGCATGTGTTCATGTTCATCTTGAGCCTCAACTTCAGTTATTGATGGTTCTTCTCCTTGGGATCTGAAATCAAAGGAACATTACAGTCATTGAACTAAGCAACGTTTTGAAATCTACTGGTGACGTAAACTTGTTGGCGTGAAAGGATTTTATAGGTCTTGTTTTCGCGGCTAAAAGGAAAGACGAATATAACTCAGAGAATAGCAGAACAAATCAGATCACTTGCGGAAATTCATATCCGAGAGTGAATTTCATCACCTTTTAAAAAGTGAAGTTTACCAACCTTTTTTCAAATATACAATTAGTAAAATTGTGTATACAAATTGCTACTTACGATTCTTTAGAGATTTGTCCAAAATCTAGTGTAACATCGTCACCAATGAGTACAAACGGAGCCCAGAACCGCGGGGAATTAAAGTTTTCTGATTCACGCAGACATTTCATCGCCCGGTTGAGTGACACGCTGGCGCTGTTTCCATCCTTCAGATGTTGGTAAAAGCTTCTCATAAACTCCACGGTGGCTTCGTCATCAATTGACCAGAGTGCGGCCAGAACAGAGCGAGCACCAGCACCAAGAAAAGCCCGTGCAATGCCGACCACACCTTCACTAGACACCTTGCCTTGAGCACTGTGACTACAACTCAACACAACAAGCTTTGCACGCAACTTTGCTGATTGTACATCGGGAATTGTTAACCTGAAATCTTGTTCTTCTGGTCTTCTGTATTTACGTTCTGGATTGGGAGCCAATGCAATTTCCCCAGTGTCGATTTTTCCGTGCGCAGCAATGTGCACCATAGCAACCGAACCAATTCTTTTCAACACCTCAGCCTTAGTTGCCTCTTTTCCAGTGAGTGGGTGGATATCAAGCATTTCTCCGATCATCTTTACTTCCTTTTCGGCGAAGGGTAAGGGTGAAAATTTGTTCTCTCCGAACAAGGTGGTAAACGCTTCTAGACATGGATTTCCAACGAGCAACGCTCCACTCTTTTGGTGATATTCTTCCGGAGAGGCGTTGATTAGTTTCATGCACATCAATGACGGTAGAAATCGTAACCTCATGGATTCACTGAGGTATTTTGATTCGGAATCCAAAAATGCAGCAAAAGGGGCGAGGCACAGTGGACCATCAGGAACGATAACCAGCTCGTCATCTTTGATGAAATTTGAAATAGGACTTATGATGCACTCATAGAATTGACGCAGAGGATTCTCGTCAGACTGTGATGGGTTTCCTGTTTCCTCACCTCTTTCCTCGGCGGTTGGCAATTCTTGTTCGGTGCTGGTCTCATCTAATGTGCGGTTTTCACAGACTACCCGGAATCGTCCTCGTACTTCTTCATAAGCCCTCTTCCTTAAACTCTTCAAATAGTCGGTCGCATCTCCAAGGCGATATTTCACTTCTTTCTTTCTAAACTGTACATTCCTGTCTTTCCCGATTACCCACAGGTTAACTGCGTTTCCTTGTAGTGCAACAAAAAGCGTCGAACCAGAGATATCAGTGACCATTTCGGAGATCCCTGATTTAGCCGCCTCAACTGATCCAGAAACTGCCAGTTGGGAGCCATATCGTAGTTTGATGAGATCTAACAAGGCCTGTGCTCGTCCTTGGTCCGCAATACACAACGCCTCGTCGATTTTTGACAGCTTAAGCAAAGTTCTCCAGAGAGAATCATAACACCGATGATATGCATTATCAAAGGTTACTTTCAACTCATCTTTATCTTCATGGTTGTAGGCACGTCCCTTGCCTGCCCTGTCTCCTAGTTCTTTAGCAATACTAAGATGTTGTTTGTGGTACTCTATGGCTTGATTGAAATCACCCAGCTTGTGATAAACCATGCCAAGATTGTTGTAGGCACGTCCCTCGTCTGCCCTGTCTCCCAGTTCTTTAGCAATACTAAGATGTTGTTTGTGGTACTCTATGGCTTGATTGAAATCACCCAGCTTGTGATAAGCCACGCCAAGATGGTTGTAGGTACGTCCCTCGTCTGCACTGTCTCCCAGTTCTTTAGCAATACTAAGATTTTGTTTGTAGTAATGTATGGCTTGATTGAAATCATGCAGCCGGTAATAAGCCCAGCCAAGATGGTAGCAGGCACGTCCCTCGCCCGCTTTGTCTCCCAGTTCTTTAGCAATACTAAGATGTTGCCTGAGGTACTCTATGGCTTGATTGAAGTCACCCAGCTTATAAGTAGCGAAGCCAAGATTGTGGTAGGCACTTTCCTCGCCTGCCCTGTCTCCCAGTTCCTTAGCAATACTAAGATGTTGTTTGTGGTACTCTATGGCTTCATTGAAATCACCCAGTTTGCAATATGCCGTGCCAAGATTGTTGTAGGCCGTTCCCTCGCCTACCCTGTCTCCCAGTTCTTTGGCATTGAGGACGTCTTGCTTTATTATCTCAATTACTGTCTTCATCTAAGGTTTGAAAAAATGTAAAGGCAACTGCATAAAAATTGCGTAATTATTTTAGTTTTAATGTTTGTTTGTCAAATTAAAAAATGAAAGTTGCAACTGTACTTTGTTTTACCAAAGGCCAAAGGCTTTTTCAGTGGAAAAAAGTATGTTTTCTTAAGATGCAGTCTCTTTACAGCCAGGGAAAATCGAGTTCTATCAGCCGTTTCCGAAATCATATTTTAGTCCAAAACTCCAAAGTACCTTGGTTTTTTAAAAAATCGGAAAAAAAAATTCGAGGCTAATTGCTTGTTCCTAATTTTCAACGCCCATTTTTGTGGTCTCGATAATAAAAAATTGAACAAACTGCCTGTTGTTTACTTCATAGTTTACTATGTGAAAGGTTTGCGATTTCCATGTTTAGATACACTATTCAATGACGCTGTCGGAGAGCCCCATATTCTTGGATCGTCAACTACAACGTATGTTATAAGAATGATATAATTTTTCTTGACACCTATTTCAGCCTTAGCTCCGGTCCACATAAGGCTTTTAACGGCACGCTAAGGTAACAATATACTCTGAATGACCCTCATTCGTTGTCAACATTGTAATTCACTTAGTTCAAGGGTGAAGAAGCACAAATATTAAGCAAAAATCCTCTAAAGAACGTGTTTCTCGATTACGTTGTTTTAATAACACATCAAACCGAATTTTCAACTGTTGTGTTCTTGTGAAATCTTTATTTATCTCGAAATGTGGCCGGTTTTACTGGTACAGTATCGATAAAAATTCTAGTTGTAAAGGTAAAAGTCGACTGAAAGAACTTTACAACTTCTCAAGGTGTTTTCGGTCTCTCTCAAGGTGTTTTCGGTTGAAATTGTAGGAAAACTTCCGAAAAGTCAGGGAGAGATCCAGAATAACAGTCGCCATCCAACAATAGTGAATAGTTTTTCGAATTATCGTGTGTCATTTCAGAGGATGCTAGAATTTTTATGATTTCTAATGAGAACTGAGATGAAGAAGGCAAAGCCATTTACTAGACCATACACTTACATTGCCAGATTCGGCACATTCCGAGAATGATCTGTCTCTCAGTCGCAGCAGGGTATTGTTTCTTTCAATCTACATACAGTTAAGATGCAAATAATACCGACAGATGAGACTGTTACTTTGGGTCTGCATTTATGCAGATCCGCAATTTCTTAATTACAGCAGGAATACTATTGGTCAAGGAATTTGGCTCTGTGCCTGTGGCTTTTAACATTCAGTTTCTAAATTTATTGTTTTGTATGTGATCGATGAAAACAAAAAAAAAAGAAAATTGAAACTCATTCCGCTATATTGGAGAGCGTTTTTCATTTGGACACTCTGAAAAAGCAAGATGGTTTCAAAATTCCGAATAGCTTATTTTTGGTGTGCGTGCCGTAAGTCTTCATACTAAATATTTCAACTATGGCTCTTGGCATACTAAGAGAGACCACGCTCTTTCTTTAGATCTGACAAAAGGATACGGCTAATCCTTCAACACACCATCTGCACGCTTCTTCAGGCTTATTCAGCTCAAGACAGGCACTTGCTCCTATTCAAAATAACACATAGAATTCTGTTAGACCGAATTCATACGGAAAAGTTTTCTCTAATACAGTTTTTCTTCGCTCAGATGAAAAAAAAATTTAGATTTTTTTTCCTTGTGCACTTTTGAAATAAGACATCTTTTGGAGGAAAACTTATGAAATTATGAAAAGAACTGTGCTACATGTGGAAATATCAAAATAAATATCCCGATGATTCTTAAAATTGTCCGCAAGAGATAGAAAATTTCCTCGTGCACTTTACTTCGAAAGATGAGTATCAGCAGCTTTTAATTTACATTTTCACGTCAATTTCTCGTTCTGAAATGGAAAATTGAAGCCAAAAAGAAAAAGTATCTCGGAGCAACAGCGCCTCATTTCATTTACACCAGTCATGTGATGTCCAATTTATCAAAGCACCGTATGGCGTGGGGTAGTTTTTTACTTTTCCAAAAGAAAAAGAAAAAAAAATTACCTCTAACAATTGGCTCCAGATATTTTGGCTGTAGTTGATGGGCGGTTGTTGCATCTCTCAGTGAATCCTGGTAATTGCCTTTTAAAGAGAAACGTATAATTTTATTGGCAAACCGTAGTTACCAAAACAAAACGTAAAGAAAGAAACAAGGGCGTAGCTCGTTAATCGTGTTACATGGCTGACTCTCTGAGTTACAGAAAAGACCCGAATACAGTTAAATTCTAAAATGTATGGGTCAACTAAGTACTACTTTATAAAATAAGAAATATAATATAGTATTTCGGAATGCGGAACTCACACTTTCCTTTTAGGTCAATATACAAACAGGTAGCTATACTTTTCTAAAAATTTGTTTCCAAAAATCAAATAATCAGCTTCCCCGAGTGTAAATTATATTGCTTTGAGTATTACGAAGTCGATTTGAGTATCTGAGGTCAGCGGTGGAAAATTAAGAAACAGTAGAGATGTTAGGCCCAGAAATGATTATAGGTGTCGGTGATGGAGAAAACAAAGGAAATTGGCTGAAGTTCCGTGGACATCTTCTAGACACAGACGTGTGTTCATTAACTACCTCAAGAAATCTGTGGGGCCGACTGCCAAGTGAAAAAACAAAAAGAATGTTGAAATACGTGGGCTAAATTCTCACCTAATTTGAAATGTACTGTCGCCCTGTCGTTGTACAGTTTGGCCTTCAATTCTTTGTTTCCGCATTTCACTTTAATTCCTTCCGTGTAAAAGTAAATGGCGTTGAAAAAATCTTCTTTTATGTAAACGTCGTTACCCTCATTCTTGTAAACTTCAACTATTGCTGAAACGAAAGAATTTAAGGAAAATTCATTAAACTGAAAATTGTTATTGATCGCGATCAAGGTATTAGAAAAATAATGTAAAAAACAAGTATAAATTAATTTGGTCTCAACAATTTATCAAGCTTTCCTCCATGAAGTGGCAGCTCTTCCCATAAAAACCTTGTAAAATGACAAATCTCGTCCCTTGAGAATTATTTTCATTACGAAGTGCCATCACAAATAAATGTTACCCGAAAGAACTTCAAATGGAAAGACAAAATTGATAAAGAAAAGAAATCAAGCAGTGTGTTGATAGTTTGAAAGACAGGAAACATGATTACGAAGTCTCCTTTTGAAGAGAAAGCCGCACTAAGCTCACCTGTCAAAGTGTCATCATCAAAATCAAGAGTTACTTCTTTTTCTTCTTCATCTTCTCCAGAAGGTGGTGTGACGTCACTTGGGGCTTTGCTTGGACCTTCCGCCATGAATACTTGGAGTTTACATCTCTGCAAACTACAGCTCCTTCTCAGTTCCTGTATGTAGTACCTGTGTGTGGTACCTGACCCTTTAAAATAATAATTTATTAATAACCTAAGTAAGGCTGTGCCATCTTTTTAGCCCTAAATAGTTATTATGGACAGCCTGAATTCTCCCCATTTTTCATATAATATATATACACACACATACACATATATATTGTATCATGTAAAATTAATGTACACACACACATATATATATATGTATTGTATCATGTAAATTAATGTAGGATACGAATAAATGAAGTTGTCGTTGTTGTAATAGAGTCTCGGTATTTTAGTTACCAGCGTTACGCGAGCGTGACCGAGGGTCACGCTGTTAGGGGACAGTGTTACTCTGTTGTAATTGAGTCTTACAAGGGCATATAAACCCTCGTGGTTTTGGTCGATAGTGCCTTTGAAAAGAAACAGTGTTGTAACAAGTTTAGGAGTTGGCGTAGCCAACTCGCGCTCATCTGTAGAATAAAGCCATTGAAATCCAGTCGAATCTGTGTACCGTGGTTTCCTTGAAGACCACTGCTACATGTACAACAATGATGTGCACAACAACGGTCAAATCACGGGAAAATCTGAATTTACCTTTTGGTCCTAAAATTCTGGGTTTTTTTAACAGGAAAAAATCTATTTTGTGAATTTTTATTCTCGAACAAAATTTTTCTCATCAACAATATATATCCAGCTTGTCTCTTATAGCTTTTGTTTGGGTTTGTCACGGAACACGCGTCTTTTTAGTTGCGTGACGAGCTTAATCATAGCTGTGACGGAGACATGTAACAAACCACGCGCTATCCGAGTTTTTACTAAAGTGATTGATCCACTGAGTCAGATTCGTCTTGTTCGGTAATTAACCGCCCCTTCACCGTGTTTTTAGGTCTTATTTCTTGGTAATTTAATAGTTTGTTGATTCAATAGCGCTTTACGAAATATGGGAATTTGTGCTTTTCGCCGCCATTGCTTCCGTTGCTTTTTCTAAATTTTTGCTATGTCAGTCTCAGTACAAAACACTCAATTTGAATGAGAAAGATATTTGAAATTTCTAGTTTGTGATTTAACGACAGATAAATGCACTCTCTAAGCGTAGAATTAACTCCAAATTCTCAACGCCTCGTGTGGTATTTGAATGTTTCACTTATTCGACATCTGTCATCCACTATACATTGATTCCTTTACTTATTTTTTTTACCAACCACTCACATCAGTGTCTAACCATGTAGGAAATAGTCAGAGAATGACATAGCGAACTTTCATGATTGACAAGGGTACGACATTGATTCAATTTAAGTCTTCTTTATTCTTGAAAACGTGTTTATCGAAAAAAATTGAAAATTTTTCCTTGGACTCCTTTTACAAATTCGTACCTGACAAAGCTGAGGAATCGGCTCCGGCTACATCCTGCCACAAAAGTTCTCACGATGATCAATCTGTCAGCTGTGATATAAACAAGGCAAAAAAGTTATCAAACTAAGTGTGAAACGATATTAAAGATTTTAGTACAAAACAGTCTTTGATTGATTGTCATCTGATTCTGAGAAACGAAATGTTCCATTTTTAGATGTAACGTTAGTTGAAAACAGCACACGCGTTCAAACTTGATACTCGAATGATAATCATTAAAACTAATATTTGCTATCATTGTGGAACTGCTTATAAGACTTTGAAAATTTCAAGCTTCGACTGGGCTTGAACACGTGTCCGTTAGATACTGATTATGATAGGTGCTATTTCCAAGCTAGTTTCTGTACAGGTTTTCCATCAATAACAGCTATTGAAATGTCGATGAGTGTGGTGCAATATATTATCAGTACTTGCTTTCAGAAGACGCTTGTTTGACAAAGATGATGCCTTCAAGTAAATAAGTTCTGTGATAGAATAACCTGAAAATTCGAAAACAAAAAATATTTAGTGTGGGAACGATCATATCTTCGTAATGTTGTCATGTTGCTTATAACAAAGCCAACAGCGATTTCATTTACACATTAAATTATTTGGAAAAATAATTATTTTGTCAAAAACTGTTAATAACGAGGGAAACATTTAAAAAACCTTGTCAGCTAACCTTAAGCCAAAAAAGGAAAACCCCAAAGTCAAGATCAGTCGCTGTATGTATACCAAGTTTGTTTGCAAATAATTGTAATGAGGCAAAAAATTTATTTGAATATCAGAGGTGTTATTTGAAGATCTTGACGGGAGACAAGTTTCATTTTCCAACGCAATTTTCTCCTTTGGTTGAGTTGAAAATGAAAACTAACGTCAGGATATTTGAACAACTATGTATTTTTGTCAACCATCATCTCATATTTTTTCGAAATGTTTTTTAAACCTCTTTTGTTTACGATCAGTAGGAAGGATTTACCAGATATTGTCTCTGAGGAGAAGTTTGTCGAAATCTATAGTTTCATGAAAATCTCCGTCAGTGATAAACACGACAATTGTGTATATCAACATTTTAACGCGCTATTTTTGCACGCGGACATAGTTTCATACCTCTAAACCCTAAAATCTCATCGTTAGTCTGGATGATAGTGTATCAAAACAGTTAAGAGAACTTATATGATGATCAGTCAGGACGTGAAAGTTTCATTTCTGTTTCTGATTCTGAATGGCTTTTTTCATCTCAAAACGTTTGTCAACGATACAATATTAAAATGCTGTTATTTAATTTATTTTGGATGTTTTAATTTTTTTCTTTTCAAAATATCACCATCGGTTATTTGTGAGCCATGTTTTTGTGGCAGTTACTGTGTTAGTTTTTCAGTGTGCAGCTAAATTTATCAGTGTTACCGAAATCCATACGTATGTGATCAACGAAATGAAAAAAAAAAGTGTTCAATATTTTTTCTAGCTCTCACCTGCTCCCTCCCAAGATCTTATCAGTAATTCTCCTTACTATCTGCCACACAATGCTCGTGGTGTTAGTTGGGAGAATTTAGTATTGGATCAACTAATAATCCCCTAATTGATATTTTTCTTTATTCTCATCACTTCTCTGCTCGATATTGTATTGTAGGGAGAAATTCTCTTTTGGTCACTCCTGAAGGTTCAGGGTTAAAAAGGAATTCTGGAATTAAAAAAAATATATTATTTGCCATTAAAAAAGGGGAAAAAATCTCTGTACTTAATGTGGTTGTGTTTATAATCGCACAATTTTTTTTTTCCAAAATTTTGTTGCAAAGATATCAAATGAATCCAGTAGCTCGCCTGATTATTCAGATGGGATTTGGGGTCTTAAAAAATTCCTTCCGATCACTGCTCTTTGCAGGTGCAATCAAGTTCGTCTATTGATACAAAAGAAACAAAAGATTCAAGCTCAGAGGTTTTGGGGAGGGACACAACATTCAACTAGAGATTTGAGGGGAAACAGTGGGTACGGGTACACTTTGTGGAAATAACACAACAGCATTACTTTGTTAAAACGGAAGTTTGATCATGGCGCGCTCGGCGGAGGTGTGGAACAACTTTCTTTGCAGTTCTTTTCAATTTAGAGTGGTGTGTTGTTCCATGAAGTTATTTAGTCTAAATTTTTTGTATTTTTAGTCTCGAGGGATGAGTTTCCGGGAGCTAAGCTCAAAGTAAGTTCACCGGTTCTTTTTATCTTTTATCGAAGAGAGCCAGCTCTGCATTTTAATACCGGTACCCAAGCCCTGTTTGACGGCAGTATTGAAGGGGCTTGCTTTAGCGTCTGAACTTTTGTTCCAGCGCTCATTACTGTTGACTGGTTGCAGCAGAACTTAGTAGGTTTAGTAAAGTATCCACCAGATCTAATTGCTCGCGTACGATTGGTTCAAATCGGTCTAGAGACTGACATGGTCATGTCATGATGACAGCCAACTAGGGAATTTCCTCAATTGAATCACACAATCTTCAAAACCTTGTATTCCGTGCTAAAGTAAAGTCAAGTAAGGAGAGCATTTTCTCTTTTTAAGAAGAGACTTACTGTTTTCTCGAAAACGTCACTCTAAAAGTCAACATCTGTTTATGAGTATGTGTATGTGGGTGTTTGTGAATACTTTGTTCCCCTTACTACGAAAACATAATTGCAACATCTTCCATTTGACTTGGTAATATACCTGTTGACTTCTCTAATCGGCTGAGAAGTGGCTAAACTTCAGAATACCCGGCCACTTTGGTCTGCCTCACTTACATGTGTCGGGAGGCTTTGAAGATCGAGGCATAACACAATAGGCGATATTCTTATTCAATGACATGTAAATGAGTGGCCGGGTATTCTGAAGTTGCTCCAACATATTTATTTTTACCCCCAATGGAAGAAATTTTACATATACAATTTTTGAGCTTTGTAAACTATCTTTTTCAGGCTTGACTCTAAAACTAACTTGAAAAACTGAATCAGTTTGTTCCCCAAGTTTATGATAATTTTTTGATAACTCCATATGTCTTCACTGACACTGTCTTTATCAAACATTAAAATATTATGGCATAATGCTTTTGTTTGATTGCATGAGTGGATTTGTAATTGGCCATGTTGAAGACAATATTAGCCTATGCATGAATCAACCACTTTTGGTGGTTAGTGGTGAGAAATTTGGTTCTAAGAATGGCTGGAACTGGTTCTAGTTACTGGATATATATCTCTTCAATAATTTTAACTCTCTTGTTTAATCTGAGAATGTTATTTCAAATGTCCAATTATTTTTTCCTGTGGAACTTGTAATTACAAGTCTATGTGGATTCTGGACACAAAAATTTTGTAGCTCTTATATTCTTTTAGCCCACAGATTAGGTGTAATTTTGGTGAGCAAGTGCTCAGTATTTTCTTGGTGAAAATTATAGCTGCCGTCTTTGATTTTTACGACAGTGAAAAGGTGTGGAGAGGAAGAAATTAAATTTGTAATAAGGTGGGGAGCAATGGTCTCAAAGAATGATAAGGGAGGGGTGGGGTAATAAAGAGAACCTCTACCTGCCCCCTTCCCCCTCAGTAGCTCTCAATCAAACATGGCTGATCAAAAAAAACAATTGCAAGCTTGATCATGAAATGTTAGCTTGCCTTATAAGATGCCTGCACTGCAGGCTACATTGCACATATTATCAAATGCCTGATGATCAAAAATTGTTTTTTTATTATTCAGTGAAGAGTCTTTTGATTCATATTGGGAAGGCGAAAAGGACAAAAAGCGAAGGCCAAATCTATTTGATGATGATGATGACTCATCTTTTGGCTGGATCGACTCAAAGGAAGTGGCTGACTTGATGAAGCAGTCTCGTCGTTTAGCAAGCAATGATGATGATGGTGATGATGATGAGGAACTTGGTGAAGCATGGGGTGGGGTAGAGTACAGTTTGAATCCAGGTATGATGTCACAAAAGAAGTGATGTAATGAATATTATAATAATTGGGTTTGCTGGACCTTGACCACTTTTACAGCCCTTTATAATGAAATTAACATCAGTATCCACATTTTCCATACTCTGCTCTATACATTTCCTTTATTACTGACAAAGAGATTTCATGTAACAATCAAAGTTTCTTAGGTTTGTGATTGTTTCCTTTATTCTTACAGTGTTAGGGATCAAATGATTTGTCAGTATTATTGTCAGGAGAAATTAGATGCTGATCACTTTTAGAGTTTATAGGATCAAAAATAACTAAACTCAGGGTTGTCATTTTGTGACTCAGAGTTGGGATATGGTCAGGCAGAAATTACAGTAAGTTACCAGATAATTGAAAACAAATCTTAAAAAGGAATTTACAAAACTGCCTTGTAGCAGTTTTTAAAGTTGAAGCCTTCATACTCAGACAGTCAAGAAGAAAGAGAAAAACTTGCGTGTAAGAAAACCACACAATGTCAATGATGCTTTACACATTCAAATGATCAAATGTTCTGAAAAAAGTTTTTCTTTCAGCACTGTGGTGCTAACCCACTCACTCCCTGAAGACATTCAATTGTGGGAATCTTAACCATCATTCAAAACCAAAATTAATGCCCACAACTTCTCACTCAGATTCATATGATTATTTCTTTTAATATTTAAATGTACTTTTTAAAATAATTTAGATTTTAAATTCAGTATTGGACTAACCACATGCCCCTTGTGTAAATCAATGTAGTTGATGGGGCTAGTGTGTTTTAAATAGAGTCTTGTAATTACTTAATCTCAGTTTAATATCAGGCTATAAATGCTTGGTAATAAAAACAGTTCCTTAATTGACAGTTGGACTTGGTTGCCAAATTTGAGACTTAAAAGTACAAATTCAGTTACCAAGATCTATTATCACAGGCTATTATTGGTCATTCCACTGCTATGACATTTTACCAGGGCTTGGGAAAAATACTTTGTAAATATCCACACATTACCATTAAAAAAGGAATACTTATTATATGACATTTTCTAATACTTATCAGAGTTATTTGTTCATATTTGATTAAATTGATTGATATTGTTTTAACAGTGTCAAAGACTCGCTCAAATTCAGCTGCTCAATCAGTGCGAGTCCACCCACAGTCTTCAGCCATGTCTAGCAATAAGACTGCCAGTAAACAAAGTTCATCTTTCGAAGGTGTGTAGACTGAATTGTTTTATCACAAACTGCTAAATTTGTATTTTGTATTATTTTAAAAATATATGATCATCCAGTAGATTAAAATTGATTATAAAGAAAAGTAAACATTTTGGATTTAAAAACCATTGATTTAGAGCCTGTGAGAACTTTGAACTGTAAGTCTCAAAGGAGCTTTTTATTTTTGATACTCTCAAACACTTGTAATTAAGTTCTCCATATTAAACTTGTTGCAAGGTGAAAAAAGAAATGTAAACAAAGGTAACAAATCTGTTACATATTTGCCTTCCATGATTGCTTATCATGTACTGGTTTTTAGAGGATTTCAACTCATGGAAAAGTTGAATTGGATTGGCTGCAAACTCTGAGGGAAAGTGAAGATTATAATTGCTAACTAATGCAGCTTATCAAGTACTGCGCATTGGACAGGAGAAATAACAAATTTTTTCCATTAATTTTTAGTTGTCGACATTTATTAATAGTGAGTTACTTTGATCTATGTTACTGGTAGGTACAAAATCTCAAACCCCACCAAAAAGACCACCAGCTCCATCTGCACAGCAAGTGATAACCACCTCATCATCCTCTGTAACTACTGCATCTTCATCATCCTCATCAGTCTCACTGTCAGCAGCAGCTGTGAGAAACCAAACCTCCAAAGTAACAACCACTCAAGCAGCTTTGCATAGTGTGACATCATCAATAAAAGATGGTAAATGGCTGGATTTTTTTTTTAATGTGCAGTATCCTACTCAGTACATATATAATATTGACCAAGCGTGAGGTCAAGATGGTTGGATATTGGCCAAATTCTTTTTTTTTTTGTTTTTTTTTTTTTAAGACAAAGTTGATGTCCATAAAAATGCATCAAGAATTAGCTTGTTCAAACAAGCTTGTTCAATCAAGGATTTGGCTTTACTTATTATTATGAATCAAGAAGGACTTGTTTATTTCAAGACCCTGCAAAGAAAGCCCACTGTGTTTGTAGCACTAACAATAAACCCACAAGAGTCTTTAATTTATGTTTTCTAAATGTTTTGACTGTCTCCTGCTTGATGATCTTCTTGTAACTCCATCACTGAAATTGTCCAAAAATTATGCACTTTGTAAATGCACTCCATGCACTTTCTTGCACTGGATTAAAACAGGCATTCTGAAGCAGGAAAGATGGGCCCATCTTGCCTACTTAGGTAGCAGCAATCACAGCACAGGATTAGCTCCATATTGCAGCCATATAATAAAGTGCTGCTGGTCTAGTAATCAAATCAAATTTTGAGCAAGCCTTGTTTTGAAAGTCATTTCACTTTCTTAAAATTTGTAAAGTTGGAGTTGCATCCAAGTGGTCTCATGAGCTGACAGTGTTGTCTTAGGACATGATAATTGATGACAGTTCCAGCATTTATGACATTTGTATCATGGTTAGGAGGGCACAAACTGTCAAACAATATAAAATTAGGCATCACTGACTGTCATGCAGTTTGGACATACTCTAAATTAACTGTGATTGTAATAATTCACTGTGGAAGAAACCTGAACATTCGACAAATATTTGATAAATGATAATGCTAAGGAGTAGAAAGTGGGCAAGAGAGTGAGAGGATGAATAATGGTTAAGAAAGTAGCTATAAAATGTGATTGGTTGAATCAAGGGATGATGACACTAATTTTTAAAGTGTGGAAAACAAAAGAAACATATTTGCCCCTTAGTGATGATTTTGAGCTACAAACGAGAAAACAAGTAAAAACTTCAATTGCATTCCTGTTAGCTGCCCAAGTACATTGTCTGATCAGACATTACAAACATAATAGGCAATGATTGATCAGAAGCTGAAATCAGCAAATGATCTCAACTCATTTCAATAATTGTTTGATTATAAAGGAAAAGCAGAGTTGTGAACGCCTACCTAACATCTTGACAAATGTAACAAAAAAGCTTTATTATATAATAATTACGTATTGCTTAATTACTAAACGTGTAGAATGTTGATGTTTTGTATTATGATCATGTTTTACTCTTTTGTCATTCAGTTATCAGCAATGCCCCTCAAGTCTCTGTCATGGAATATAAAAGACTTGAAGCTGAAGTTAATCGGCTGAAGAAAGATCTACAGGTTAGAATTAGACTTGGCCATGAATGGCTGGTTCCTATTGTGGACATTTCTTTTTACCATGGTGCAAATATCCTCTTCTCAAATATGGGAGGATTATGTAATGAACAAGTAATGGGTTCCTAGATTTGGTGTCATTTGTAGCAATAATGATCTAGCATGATGAACTCTGATAGTTACAGATATGTTTTAGTTGGATGAAAGGATAAAAATACATAATACCAATGAAAACAAACACACAGACAAACAAACAAACAAACAAACAAACAAACAGGAATGGTAACTAAAGAAAATTACCAAACTCAGTACTTGAGGTCTGCCAACATGACAACCAAAGAAGTTGGTGGGGAAAAAAAGACAAATATAGAAAATTTGGAATGGGGTGGGGTAGGGTGGGGTGGGAAGAACTTGAGAACCTGGAGAAAAACAGTCTTAGCAATTTTTAAGACAAGAACTGAAAACAAACTTAATCAAGAGATCAAGGAGTTAAAACCAGGCTATAGCATTGGAAACTATAAAACTCTCTCACAATTATAGCATACTTCCTCTTGCTAACCTTTTCACTCCATGGATCTCAACAGTATTTCTCCTTACTTTCTTCCCTCCGTCTTCCATAATGTTGCTTCTGAGATGTTGTTAAGTCAATATTGATATAATATTTTTTATTCTTATCTCCTGCCTAGTTTGGAATTTTATTTATATTTTAGGGAATAATTAGTTACAGAACAGTCAGGAGAATTTGGGAACACATTTGTCATACTTAGAATTGCTAATTGTCTCCTGCATTGACAGTTTTGTGAACTTTAAACTGCAGGTGGCACAAAGAGATAAAACAGCAGTGCCTTCAGTTCAAGAGACTGTTAGAAGAATTATTCGCGGGGAGGTAAGATTCAAAATATTATTTTTACATTGGATTCTTTCAATAACTAGACTTCTTTCAGATAGATTTGTCTTTTCAAAGCTGTTTTTCACTAGTAGTGGTTAGTAACTTACTTGCCGAGAAGTATTCAGTTTTGAAGAACCAAAAGTAGCATTGATAATGATTTTGAAGTGTTCACACCATTGAATTTTTGAAACTTCACTTTCATCGATCAAAAGTTAATTTTGTGGACGTGGGCTGTGCCTGAAACAAATGAAAGATTTAAATCTTGACTTTAAAGGAACTTCTTGCTTATGTAAACTGAACTTGTCTCCATGGTGCCATACAGTTCTAAGGAAATTTTTTTTCCAAATTTTTTTTCCTGATGATAAATTGGCTTTCTGCTTATTTTATCACACAAGGAATATGGTTTAGAGGGGGTGGGGAGGGGGAAGAATTTGATGATGATCTGATACAACAGTACATCATTGCTACAACTGCCTTTTTTTTCTCTTTTAGCCCTATAACCTTGGAGTTTATAAGTCACTAAAAGACAAATTGGATCTCCTGGACTATGCCATTAAAAAGCATGATGGAAACGCAATAACTGCTGTAAGTAACATTGTTACTTTCTGATTAAAATCTTTATTCTTTGCTTCTTAACTTAATAAAATCCTTCTTTGCCTGATTATTTTCTTTGAGGGTCCTTTAAGGCATAGAAATTTGTTCAGTGGGTTTCCTTATGTGTTGGATGTAATGACATATGCATGTCAACCCACTACAACAAAACTTTTCCAAAAAAAGATCTATGACACGTATGCCATATATACCAAAGTTCCCTCTCCCCCCCCACTATGCTCCCCTCCTCTACCCACAAAATCTGGATTTTCCTATCATTAAAAGTTAAGGAACCTGTGGTTAAAGTGGGGTTTCTGTGGTAAGGATCACTGTCCCCTTTATTGATTTTTCAGGCGGTCTTGTTCTTGAGGAAATCAGTAAAACAACGTAAGTTTTTTTAAAAAAATTGTTTGCAAACCCTATTATAAGCATTGTTCATTGTTTGATGTGTGTTTTGTTTAAAGTTATTCAATTAATTATATTTGTCTCTAATTCTGTTGATTGGTGGAATTCAAGCCAGCACAAATTAGCCCCAGTAGTTGAGCAGTTGATAAGATACCGTTAATATCATTTTCAAGGCTGTTGAACCGTAAGGAGTTTTGTTCAGTGCCATAAAGAGATGGAATGAAATCTTTAACGAGGGGGTGGGGTGGTGTTTAGGTTTTCATTTACTAACAGGAGGAATGGTAAAAATGAAAGAAAAGTAGTACTTCTGTTTTTTCTCAAAATGGGAACGGATGCATTCATTATACAGTACATACCCACGTCGCTTAAGAAAGACATCATTAAAATAAATTTTTGCGTTTAACTGAAAATGTCTCCGATATACTCTCCCTATAAGACCACGTTTGTCCATACACTACTTTTGCAACGCATTATGCATGCGGGGCGACCTCCTCTTTGGCTAAAATAAATCCAGCCAATGACATCAGTGCTCGTTAAGGCAGCCGTAGTTCTTATACAACGAAGTTCCAGAATGCTGATTTGTACAATGTTTTCAAGGTATCCTTCATGATGAATTGACGACTCGTCCCAAAGCTGTACACCACTTGAGCAAATACCTGAGCGAACATTATGATTATACTCAACTTACAGAGTTGTATCGGTATGTATCCAGGAATTTCATTAAAAACAATTACTGGCGGTCTACTACCGCCGTTAACCTTATAACTCTCATAAGTGACCAGGACAGAATGTCAGACAGAGTGTTGTTGCAAGGTATTATGAGATGATTTGTGTTCAGTATTGGTTTTAGAGTCGCTAACTCTGTAGTTTAACTCCCCATTGATAACGTCACAATCCTATCAGGTCAAGTAAAGTGGAGGTTGTTTTGTTTTGTTTTTTTATTTTTCTGTAGCAGAGGTTATTAATTTGATGAAACAACTATCAATTGCAATTTATAAATCTCATCCCTTTCCTTTCTCAAGCTCTCCGTGTTTTTGACCGGGTCAACATCTGTTTGAAAATGTTGCTTTTGTTGTTGTTTATTGTAGATCTGTTGGTAAATACGAGGAGGCAGCGGTAAGTGACAAGAAGATTATCAGAAAAAGCCTGAATAGGGACTGTAGTCATCACTGTTCGTTTATTTCATTTGTATCGTCTTCATACATAGAAGACGCGGTTATCTAACGGATAAAACGCCAGTTGTTTGAAGGATGGATAACGCCATTTGTGTTAACTCTAATCCGCTGGATAGCAATTAATCCTTTGGATAGCGTTATCCGTCTTTTGAACAACTGGGCCCGGGTTGAGAGGCATGGGTTCGAAACCAGACTGGGTCATTATGTTATGTTCTTGGGAAAGATATTTCACTCGTACAGTTCCTATTCATGGAAATTGCGGAATGCTCCGGCTTGATCAGGGCCGCTTGCGTTGAAGAGGATTTTACATTGATCTAACCTTGCATTGATAATGACCATTTTGCCGGTCTGTTTCTCTACCAGATGCTTCAATTTAAACAGGCTATTAAATCAAAAGATCCTGGTGTTAGATTAACCAAGCTTAAATACGTTCTCAGGTAAATGTCTTAATTTTTTCCTTAAGAATTTCCAGTTCACTTCTAAAATACTCAATTTGTGTGGTTCATCGGGTTTTTTTGTTTGTCACGTCAAAAAAAGAAAAAAAAAACACCCACAAAGTAAGCGACAAGGAAAGGACAAAGACCATCTTTGAACAAACTGAAGCTAGTTTCGTGCTGCACAGACTTACTTGTTATACCAAGTAGCATTACTTTCGACTGTCAATAAAAGCATTCAGACAAAAACCTCCGTCTTCACACCTGCATTAGTGTTTTCAAAGTTTAGTTTCCATGACACCGTCCTTGTCACCTTAATTTTGATTTATCTTTAACTCATTTAAATGTTCATCTTCGTTTTCAGACATTATTTTGAAGGTCATCTCGAACTGGCCGAACAAACGACTTATCTGACAGAATATGTTGATTTATTGGAGCAGCAATTACTCATTGAGGTAATTCTATGAAATCTTGAAGATAGAAGCTCGCTTTCATTGGCTGGTGCGTGTGTTTAGTTGAGAACATGCAAACACGATCGTTACTTTACGCTTGCTGTGTTTCTCAGAAATATTTTATAAAGGTAATAGAGGTCTTTCTCCATGTTTAATAGCCTAATCTAAACGCAAGGCTTTTGGGAGAATTCGAAAAAAAGTTAAGCAAACCGGGTTTGCATAACTTTCTCGAACTTTTTCAACCCCCCCTCGTCTTAAGTTGAGGTGATTTAAACACGGAAGCCCGCTGTTGCTAAAATACAGCAAATGTGTATTAATTACGGTGTCGAAAACTGCCTCAACCTGGTTTGATATAAAGAACATACATTTTTTTGAGGACGAAAATATTACCTCACAAAGCTTAAAACTGAAAATTAAAGAAATAAAATTTTGTTTTGCGACGATCACAACAACCACAAAAGAATATAGAATTATCCGAATATGCTCTTGTGCTTTTGAACCCTACAACTGACTCATTTTCCTTGACGTCATTTTTACGTCTTAAAACCTGGAAAATAACCTTTTCCAACTATCGTTTCTCCAGTTAGAAATCTCCCTTTTTTCTTTTGCCCTCCAGGACGCAGATTCCCGAGCTGAACGTGAACGAAAGAACCACGCGATGGTAGCGCACCCGAGGCAAGCTTCGTTACCGCTGTGCTCAGTGATTGTGACACTATACTACTGCTGTCGATATCATTTTGGAGAGCCCGAGGTATAAATTATTATAACAAGGACACATATACGATGTATTTTTTGTGTGTGATGAGTTAAATCTCCTTTTTATATGACACCTAATTATTTGTAATTGTTCTTTTTACTTAAGAGTGTTTTCACCAGTCCTATGGCTATTCGCGCTAGATTTAAGGTAAGTTGGACTCCGGGTCGAGAGGTGCAAAGTATTTTTTTTTCAGGCAGTGAAGGCAGCTTTAAATGTTTGCCTTAGCTTGTAGTTTGCTCGAACTACAAACCCGTTAGTCAAATGACAAGCTTTTCGATAAATGCTATCAGCGCACGAATGTAATAAACCCGTTTGGGAAATTCTTCATGAGCGTGCTGTGGGCTTGCGTTCCTGTGCGTGTGATACATGCGTGTGACTAATAACTTTTCTCTTTTGTTCTTTTTTTTCATTGCACTCAACTTGAAAGTTCTTCCTTAATCACTTTACGTTGACCTACCTTAATACTCTAATGATTTTCTATAGCTATCCGAAAAGCAGTATGAATGGACAGCGTTATCTTCCCGAGCCAAGCTAAAACAATGGAAAGGCCTTGAACAGATGTTTACAGTAAAAGTACGTTTACAATATGGGGAAATAGCATTAATTCTCTTATGACTAAATTCGGCCATTATGAGCTGAAAGAAACCCAATTTATGTTAAGTACATAACTACAAAAACACAAAGTTTCGTATTTAAAGGAGATGTGCTACAACGTTGTAGTCATTTTTTCGACGCGAGGGAATAGAAAACACGGAAATGTTGACTATAAAGGTAGAAAAACGTCAAGATGAGAGGAATAAGCCAAAAAAAGAATGACGATGGTCGAGCATGGAGAAGATTGATATGAATTGCCGAAAAACAGTAAACATTCAGGCTCAATGTTTTTATTATGTAAAAAGAGCAGATTGTATGAGCTGAGCTGGGAAACAGACTCCCTTTTTTCAGCGTCAGTCTGGACTAAGGAATGGCGCAGTGGTGAGAAGTCTCTGTTCCTGCCGTTGTAGCCTGGGTGTGAATTTTCATACTTGGCATAACTTTCAGGTTGAGTTGGTTGTTGGTCCCAGCCTTTGTACCAAGTCTTTTCTTCAGCCTTTTCAGTTCCCCCCCTGCAGAAAAAAGGCTACATTTCATGTCATAAATTCGTAGATTTATAACTACTTATTATAACTACTACGAAGGTGCCATTGCGTCATTCCCATGCATTTATTTTTCAAAAATTTTCTTTGAATTTTACTTTAAAGCTTTATTATGCAGCTAAGCCGGTTTAAGCTGCTTGCAACAGACCCCAAGATATCCACAAATCGGTCCAAGTTTCCTGTATTAGCGAATGACTAATTGTTTGCGCGTTTGACCAATTGCTTTTGTGTTTATATTTTAGGGATGGTTAGGTAAAGTTAAAATGAAATCAGCAATAGGATTCACTCAAGTCGTCGAGTTGCTTCATCAACACGGTGCGACTGAACAGGTATTACAATAAATAGATAAATAAATAACAAAGTAACGTCGCGTCAAGGAAATTACTGGTAAATTTAGTTTTGTAATGTTAAAAAGAGACCAAAATTATTGGCTTTAACTGTGCAGCTACTTGTTTTTGGATCTCTTTTTGGAACGAGGTTCGTACGAGACATCACTGTAGTTTATGAATGAACCAGTTGAACTGCTAGACTCTCACACTGGCGTATGGCATTTTTAATTGATCGCTGAGAAGATTCCTTTGCCGCAGTGTCAGTGTACAACGGAATTTTTAGTTTGAATTTGTCAAAGGCATGATTGTGACAGATGAGTGGCTTGTCGGCGCAAAACCTGTCGAGAGAGCTAACCAAAAGTTTCTTTTATTTTGGATACAGTGTGGTGCATCGCACTTTCCCTCTTTCATCTTTCAAATTGGCAGAGTACAAAGGCTATCCATAGGGATGGTCAGTCCACCACGGGCAACCCTTCACGGTATTTCGTCACGCTTTTGCTGAAAACACAGCTCGCATTTCTACGTTTAGAGAGGTAGAACGAGTGAGAAAAAGATTTCCGCAGTGTTCTCCTATTGACCCTAATTACTGCTCTCACTAGGATCGGTTGACTTAGAGTCCGTAGGTTGCGCTAACTTTCTTCCGGTCATATCTCCCACACTATGTGAATTATAATGCCTTATTTACCCTCCTTTATTTCTTTATTACAGGTGTTAAACACTTACCTTAACTTGATTGATGATCTTAACCAACGGCTTTCAGCAGCGACGAAAACAAAATGCCATCGTGCAGCTATTGAGGTGACATTGTCTTTTAAATCGTTTTCCAGCTTATTTAGTTGAAACTAGGAAGGAAAGAAACTAAATAAAATTGATAAGGTCGTCCGATGAGTGTGTGATAACAAAAAAGAACTCGAATATCACATCCTTTGGCTAATTGGCTCAGCAGAAATTCATTGTTTCCCCTCCCCAAAATATTCCACAGTTCCTCGTGGTCAAGTTTCCTTGTTACTTAAAACACCTGGGGTGATCTTTTGAAGCTGTCAGTCCAAAACAAAATTTCGCTTTTAATAACTGGAGAAACCTCATATTTGTGCCCTGGTTGATGAAAAGCTCCCATTTTACTACTTGCTTGCCTTTCATGGCAATGCTTTAATACTGAATATTTAAACGTATATAAACATATATACATATGTTACAGACCTTAGTTGCGATGAAGGATCGCCAACAGCTTGAAAAATACAGAAGTCAGCTGAAAGGAACCGCGCCCGAGCAGGCCATAATCTCAGAATACCTAAAGAACTCGGTGAGTCCATATTTGCCTTTGATTCATTCAGCGTGTAGTTTTTTTCGCTTTGTTTTTGTGCGGGCTTTTTTCGTTAAGCAAATAAATAAAGAAATTTCACACTTTTTTTACACGTTATGAACCACATATTAAAATGATATTATTATGATATTCTTGATATGTTTTTATTTAAAAAGAAAGACATTTCAGGAAAAAACACATGTTCTCCCCCATCTTGATTGTGTTTTGTTTGTTCCTTGACTTCTTGTTTTCCTTTGCCTGTGCTCTTCATTTATCGCTATTTGAGTGCATTCAGAAGCGCTTCTGAAGCTGAAACCCTCTTCAGTGTCAATGAATAAATGCCCTTTTACATTCGAAGTCGATCGGTCGAATTCCTGTTAAGAATAAGCCGTATTTGTTAAACTAATTCTTCATCACCAATTTATTTCCTTACAGCAACTGCGATGGAAAAACTGAAGTCCAAGAAATTGAAGCTGGAAAATCAATCGTTACATTTTTTAGCCTAGGCGTCCACGTAATAAAACGGAGAGAAATGTATACGGCGCGATTGCGGCGGCGAAGTGAAAAAGCGAGAAAGATTTGGGTCGGGTCGGGTCGTGTCGTGTCGTGTCGTGTAACCCAAATCTCCCGCGCTTTTCACTCCGTCGCTACTATGGCGCCGTTAAATATTTCGCTCCGTTTAACCAAACAAACGGAACAAGGAATATATATATAGCTAGAAAGATTTCAAATAATACAGTCACATTTAAAAAAGTGGAGTCGTTCAACGATAGCAACATGTCGTATGTTACCAATTTAAAATAAAAAACAACTGGTAGTTCTTATGTTGTAAACGTTTGTTTGTCATTTTTTACCAAGACTCATCCAAGGCTCAATTTTCTCCTTCCAATTCTTCATTGCCACGCATGTCAACATTCGGAGAATCTGGAAAAAACGCAATTAAACTAGCTAAGGGTTCAGCGGATGGTTTTTTGTTTCATGTTGCGCCTCTCATGTCTCTAATAGTTTTATCTTCGAGCACGTTAAGAGAAAGATGAGCAAAACAAACAATAAAACAACAACAATAACAACAACAACAAAACACGCTTTAGCGCGAGTGATAGCAAAAATTTTATCCATAGCCGACAAAAGTTGACCGAACTAATGATGTGATCCAAAATCTGAATCTCTGAATGGATAGAATCCGTAATCCAGCCCGAAACTTCCGGTCGATGGTCGATAGTAGTTCAGATGGTCGATCCACGATCCATCGTTTTCTTCAAAACTTGGAAGGAAATCAATCATGGCGCCGGTGCCTACGCCAGTGTAACTTCGCCTAAAGCTAATCACATGTCGCGTCAAACAACAGACCCCTGAAATTTATAGAAATAGCACTAGAAGCGCAAACTTACAATTTCCAGGAGCCCAGGATAATGGGTTCCTGCAATCTATCTATCTTTCACCCTCTACATCCGGTTCGGCGATAGCACGCGGATTGTCCTGGGAATGAGATCTCTTCGGCCCCAGGCTCCCAATAGTTTCCTGAGTACAAGATGGCCGATTACTTTCAAGAAAGTACAGCGATGTAACCCCGACAACATCCTTAAAACAGACGTGCTTCAAGAACTGAAGAATCAGCGTCGAATTGATCAGGTATATCCTGAACTCATTACGGAAAACTTAAACTACGTTACGTTAACATATGCGTCGTTAACCGTCTGGAAGCTAGATATTACATAACACGAGTTGTCCTCTGCAAGACGTAGTGTATTCCCAAAAATCATCTGAAGTAAACAAAAAAAAACCAAACAAACTAAAAAAAAAAACTGGGGGGCCACCTAATTTCTAGTGTACATATTACTAGAGAGAAAGCATCAGGAACCCTCGGATACTGTCATTACGGAGTAATTTATTTTTGGTGAAACTTATATTGGACAAACTCGGAAGAGTTAGCTCGAGAGAAAAAAATATATTTTGTAAAATTGTTCGTCGTGCCCTCGTGCAAATTTTCTGTGTATCGTGTCCCCCTCAGTTAGTAAATGTGCATATGCACTCAGCATACTCAAGACAAAACAATAAGTTAAATTGGTGTGTTGTAAAGGACTAGCTCATGGTATATTTCTTTTTGAATTTACTTTAAAAGAATAATTTTGTGTGATGTTAGTTTTAAAAACGATGTATTCCTTTTCCCCTTCTTTCAATGTAGCTTTTATTTGTAATTTAATCCCACATAAGGTAATGCTGTCATTCAAGTGTATGCAAAATACATACAGCAGAACTGCACAGCTGTAAAACTAAGTGGCAATGTAGAAACCAATCACTTGCAAGTTCTAAACAGTAGAACATAATGCACATGATGCATGATGCTGAGAATGGCTCTGCATACAAAAGCACTTGAGTTCTGCTGTTATGCTGTGATTTACTATCATAATGGTAACACAGTGAAATATGATTTGTTATTCTCTTTCTGTAGTCATTATCAGATTGCCTACCTCAAAGGAAAACTTAAGCATGGCTGATAATTTAAGCAGGGCTGATTTTTTAAGCAGAGCTAGTGGAGAGAAACTTAGCAATTGGATTATTAGTTTTTTCTGACAAAATTTGTGTATTGTTTGCATTATGAAAAAAAAAATTGGGGTGAATGTCTCCAATACCTACAACAACAGCATCAACAACAAATCTTTTATTACTTGCAAATAGAGGTATTACAGTGAAATAATAAGAAAATTAACTTTAAGTACAGGCAGTTAGTTTAATCTTGAGGTTATCAAGTCAGCCCCTATCAAAATAATAATTCTCCTTACTATCTGCCATACAATTCTTCTGATAGTTTGTGTAGTGTGATCGTCCGGGTGAGTGTAGTTCTGAAAAGAACTGTTGTTGGTGACTGACGTTTCGACTATCTGTGCGATAGTCATCTTCAGAGTCAAGTGAGGAGTAGTTGTAGTACTACTCCTCACTTGACTCTGAAGATGATTATTGCACAGATAGTCGAAACGTCAGTCACCAACAACAGTTCTTTTCAGAACTACACTCACCCGGACGATCACACTACACGAACTACTGATACTCCTGGGTTCAAACCATTTACTTTACTAATTCTTCTGATGTTAGTTTGGAGAATTTGGTATGTGATCAACCAGTAATCCTCTTGATATTTTATTGCTTTTGTAAGGAGGAAGCAGACTTAATAGATGATGAAGTTTTACTTCATAAGACAGAAAGTAGAATTTCTATTAATGATTCACTTCTTTGGCAAGAGAGAATGCATTCAGGTCTTTCAGGTAATGAAAATGTGGGGCACAGATCTACAGTTTGTAGCTTACTTCTTTGTTTGTAACTTCAAGCTACAGAAGCTGGGATTAGATGAATCATGAGTATTGATAAAAATTGTGTTTAGGGCTCGCTAACAAGGTCAGGAATCATGAATCTGGCAGGCCAAATGATTGTACATCCCACCCCTGATCAAGATAATAATGAGTGTTCTTGTTGTTTACCACTACAGTTCTTTGGCTGACTAATAGTCCCATTTTCTGTTTACAGACAATAGCATGAACTTGATAGCCCATCAAAGCAGATATGCAGTGCCCTCGACCCTGCACAAAGTTGCACGCATCTGGAGGGTATTACCTACTGTTATACTCAAGACTTTTATACCTCATCAATACATTGTGACAAAAAACAGCTCAAATTTTTCATTGTATTCATCATTCAAATCCGCAAGTACCCAAAGTAAAGGGATGCAGCCACAGAATTGTTTACTGTCACAGGATCACCAACAGTTGACAGGAATACCAGCGTTTTATTTAAGAGAAAAAGAGGTAAATGAGAAGATTAAGTCCAAGCACACAGTTCAAGATCAGTTGGAATTTTATCAGTCATGGAAAGATCTGAAGTCTTTAGTGAACAGCATAACAGCACTTCATATGATCGCTAAAATTGTCAAGAAAAACCAGAGAGAAAGAGCGATTTTGCAGAAAGAAAGAGACAAGGCAATCAATGGTACAAAAAGGGCATACCATGAGATCCTAGATTTTATTTCTGATCAGATTATTTCCTGTAAAGGGCAAGGTCTATCGAATGTCATTTGGTCCTTAGGAGTAATTCAAGAAAAAGACCACCACCTGGGTAAGGTTTGTGAGGAAGAAATTCTATCGCGCGATATAACTGCCTTTCACCGAGCTGAGGTCTGTTGTCAGATTCTGCCGGGATGTGTTGGCTTGGAACTCAAACACTCGCTAGTTTTTAAACGCGTCGAGGAAGCCATATTGGCTGAGAAAATCAAGTTGCATCTTTGTGAAAATCGCCATATTTGCGCCATCTTGTCTTGTTTTACCGAGGTTGGTGGCGGAAGTTTAGAATTATTTGAAAAATTACAGGCTAACATTGTGGAGAGAGATTTTAGTTCGTTGCTCGTTGAACACCTTGATCAGATCTTGCACTGTTTTGCCATCAAGGGCATCTTCTCTGATCAGTTGTTCAGCCAAGCGGAAGAAGAAATTCTGCTAGAGGGGTGCGGTAACTTTCGGATGATAGAACTCGTGAGTATTCCACGCGCGTTTGCAATTGCGGGTAGTGGAAGCGAACAACTCTTTGCAGCTTTCGAGGAAGAAATCTGTCGAAAACGAATCAAATATTTCCCATTATCTTGCCTATGTTGGATCACTTGGTCTTTTGCCATAAGAGGTTTCACGCAAAGTATGGTGTTTAAATACGCCGCTCACGCGATCTACAATCGAGGGGTGAAAAATCTCAAAAATAGTGGCCTTTCGCTGTGTCTGTATTCTTACGTGTTGGCAGAAAGTCCTTCACGAGTTTTCGTAAAGGAATTAGGAAAAGAGCTTCTTTCTAGAGACTTGAGAATTTTCAAGGGTACCCAGCTGTGTCAACTGATGTGGGCTTGTTCAAAAGCCGAGTATTTAAACCCAGAATTGCTTCAACGTTTGGAGGAAGAGATTCTCCAACGGAACTTGACACAGAAAGAGGAAACCATATTATCTGAAATTTTAGGCAACACTGCTAAGGAAGACAAAAATCCGCCTCCATATTTGCGTGAACTATGTATTTCATCAATATAGACAGCTGTTTGTATTAGTTCTTTTATTGAAGAGAAACAATTAACCTTGAGTAAATGTTATTAAATGTGGTCTAAGGAAAAATATGATTGTTTATATTGCATTACCACCCGAGGCGAGTAAGAGCTGAGCGCCAAAGGCGATGGCGACTAGAAAAATTTTCCAGGCACTTACGGCATGTGCAGACAAGAGCTACGAGGTGAAACTGAATCGAGTGCGCAAACTCGAGGCCTCTTGTTTTGCTTGCCGAACTTTCCTGGAAAAATAAACTTAAAAATAGCGTAAAAATTCCCGTTTCGACTGAAGTAGTTTGCTAAGCTCGCGACCAAACTGACACGTCCTTAGTCAGCTTCATGCTAGGATCTTGGCTGGCATCACTATTTTCACGTAACATAACATATTAATACTGTAACAGGGCGCGATTCGCGCATGTTACCCTATGTCAACTCGTCAATAATTTTTTTACAACGTTCTTCCAAATCTTGTTTCCCTGCTTCATCCAGCAACGAAATCTGCCTCGACCTTCGCGTTTTTCTCTTTTTCTTACAAGTCGCTGCTTTCCTTTTTGCATCGCCATTGTAAGATTCTTCGTATGTTCTCCCAAAAGCCATGGCTTTTCTTTGCGCTTGAATATTGTCACTTAACATCGGGGACTTGAACGTTTTTCTTTTCTTTTCAGCCAGTGACCTTTCAGTAGCTGCTTTTATTCCTTTTTGTACTGATTTAGTGATCGGTAGAGATGGCTTCTCCATGTTTGCCTTCACCAATGGCCTGGCCAGAAAACAGGCGTAAGCATAATCCACAGCAAACCTGTAATGAAAAGATTCATCAATAAACGAGTTCCCATAACAACATTACTACAATTTACGCCAACAATTGACAAGAGTCAGGAAAATTATCATGGTCGGAGCGTTTCTTTGCGTGATAGAAAATAAAGGACAATCAAAACTTAGCTTAAAACGAATGCTCGAGATTATTTGATTCAAACCTTAAGGGAGACATGGTGCGCCTTCCAAATCGTTAAAAGTAGGCACTTTTTAAATGTAATTTTAGGCGACCGGAAGTAAGGGCGAGGATTATGCGTAACCAAATTAGGCAATCAAATGAAGACTTCAGTTCTTTTTGCCTTCATACAGATAAACAGCCGATAAGTAACTTACAGCTTCTTTGCAAACACTTTCTGTTCACATTCCACGACTTCTTGCGCAACTCCATTTAATGATAAAGACGATTTCACAATGATGTTCCACATGTGAGAAATACACTGCCTTGCCTTCAAGAATAAAAAGATAAGGCAAGGGGTTAAAATAATGATCTCTTTCAAAGCTACAGTTATTCATTGCTGAGTTGAAGACAATGGCTCGCTCGCTCCAAGCGCGCCATTTTTGAACGTAACTGCGTCTAAAAGCTTATAAACTGAAATGGGTAAAGCTTCCGTCGGCCTATTTTCGAAATTAAAACAGATTCTGAGAGAGGAAAGATTTATCTGCCATTTGTCGTGCGTTTATTTTGCTCCTTCAGTTTAAGAATGAAAACATAATTTCTAACCTGATTGTCTTCCTGTTTCATCACTAGTGTGGAGAACTTGGTAAAATATGCATTAAAAACAGAATCAATCCTGACTATCAGTTGTTCAATATCTTTGCTCCTAGTATCAAATAAAGCTCCTTGCTTCAGAAAGTACCGGTAGTAAATGAAGAGGATAGGTATTTCAAACCCTGCTGGAGACTTATGCGGGTCCTGTTTTCCCGTTTCAAGAAAAAATTGACGTATCTTTGTACCGACTCCGCGAAACTTCATTAGACTCGAGTCCTTCGGAAAGAAAAGGGTGAAACAGGTGTTTTGAAAGTAATTTAGCGGGTGTACCTTTTTTTGAGTGTGAAATCAAGACTGTTTAACACCACTTCAAGGTATCTATAGCTATCTTACTGTCACATTTTTTTCACTAAAGTAAAGCTAGTTCACGTTTCTCGTGATGTTCATTAACTGAAACATTCTGTATGGTTGAACTGAAACCAGAATCTCAAGGTGAGTACCTACCCTGACTGGTCTTGCACCCCATTCCTGCATCTTCCTTTCTGCCTCTTCAGGTGTGATGTTGCAGCTGGTAAAGAGGGCCATCAAAGTTTCTGTTACTAAACAGCTAAACGCGTGAGGTCTCCATCGCTTCTCGGTTGTGTCCTCGCAGAAGAGGCACTGTAATGTAACATATAGGAGATAACCATAATGAGAGAGAGAGTAATATCTGTCATAGAGGGAAAATTGTCTCTTTAGTCTTTGTTAGAAGCGTTCAGTTGATTATCGAGAACTTTCTCCCTTTGAATCTGCTGTGTAAGTACAGTGTAGTTCTGCGGCTATATGATCGTATAACATGACGGAGCGATGAATTTCAACGGTTGTACTGCATTAATTCAGTATGGCTAACTACAGTATTCCGTATCATTTCGTTTTGTTGCGTGGCATTCCGTCACCACTCGTTATGTTGAATCCGTTGAAGTGCGTTACAATTGATTTAGCGTTGTGTTCAGTTAAATTTACAATGCAGTACGTGGCGTTGTATTTCGTTAACGTAACCAGTACGTTTCGTTATTTTTTCATATTTCTGCGTCCATGAGATGAATCAGTTGTGCAGTGTTTTTTCACACCATTGTTCCTGTACATGAAAACGAATTCATGTTAGTGTGCTTTTTCGGTACTAAGAAATTTATATGCTTATCGGTTTATTTGGAGTGTATCAAATTGAGAACACTAACCTGCTGCACCAGAAGATAAAAATATGGCCTTAGCCTACTGAAATTTACATGCGCAAAATTCACTTTCAAATTGTAGCCTGGAGGAACTTGAGCCAGCCTTGTATTAAGTGTTTGTAATGTGTTCCAGTGAGACCTTCGAAGAAGTTTTAATCTTTTTTTCTCCACCTATAAGAGAGAGGCAAAAGATAAAAAACATATATCTACATAAAACAACAACCAAAAAAAACAAAAAAATGCTTGGGGTTGTACAAAATGACATCGATCAATTAAAATCCCTCTCTTCTCTGGATCTTAATTAGGTATCGCAATCTAGACACTTTCACTGGCTGTGTAACGAAGTCTCCAGAAATTAATAGAACATTGATTTAACACAACGCTATTGCATAAGCTGAGCTAGAAACTTCTCCATATTCCGGAACATTCTATTGAGCTATTTTAAGGATATGTCATCATTAGCGTCTAGAATGTTCTTGCTGCTAAAAATAGTGTTTCAGATATAAGTATGATGTAATCGGCTACTATAAATAAGGTTCGAGATCGTAAGGTTTTCAGAAGTTTAAGATAAATAATAACGTGTTTAAAAAGGAAAACAAGAATCGTTTCCTGGCTTCGTGACAGGCTGTTAGAAAGAAAGAAAGAACACAATCCCAGGAAACAGCAAGTGCTAAAAATTACAAAAGTAATGTCTGCAATTTTTAGCAATTTACAATTAACTTAGTTTAAAAGATTATCAAATACAGTCCAAGAGTGCTCATTTGCATGCTATTAAAAATCTTCCTTCTTGTTTAAAATTCTGTTCTTTTTCATTTTTAACCCACCTTACCTTGTTCTGTGGCTGGTGATGAAACTGAAGTTTCTGACTCATATTATCATAATAAGCTCCATAACTTTGATAACTTTGATCCAGACCGCTTCTAAATCTCCAGCTGCAATCTGCAAATAGAATAGAGAGGCTAACCATAACCTCCTTTCTGCTGTTTTCCTATTACAGTAAAATATTAGGAAAATTGAGGTGTATGAGAGATCTCTTTTTGGAGCAGAAATTGCCATGGAACTTTGGAACAACTTGACTACTTTTCATTCTTCTGTCAACCTTTGCTGCTCCGCCTTCCACAAAGCCACCTCCACACACATGCTTGGATTCATGCACTTTACACATTTCCTGAAAAAGGGCATTTTGTAACAAACATAAACCAACCTTTAGTTCGTCCCACATGATGATATAAATAATCAAATCTGCAGATCCCCTTATTAATGACTTCCATTGTCCTATCCAATACTTTTTCCAGCTTATGCTTTGTTGAACTCTCATTATTATCAGATACAGTTTTTAAGTCCCTGATTTCCTTTGCTGTATTTTCAGCTAGATCTCTGATGTCAGTACCAAGACAGGGTTGTGTCAGAGAGTTATTTGAGGTAGATGCACTAGTAAACATTGGCTCAGTATCTTCTTGAAAATTGTCGGGACAAAAATTTGTAGATGGCATTGTAACAAAAGATTGATCTTGAGATCTGCACTTGAACTCATCTTGGTCTAGAAGAGAGTCCAAATTTGGGAATGTGATGGATGTTTCTGCACATGTGGTATTTAAAATAATATTTTCCTTTTCAGTATTTGCTTCATTCACAAGCGCAGTATATTGTTGTTCGTCCAGTACAGAAATATGTGGGTTGGCAACTTCTTGTTCAAAGGAACTGCAATGGTCAGGAAATGATGAGGGAGGGGATGGTGGGCGAGGCGGTGGCAGTGGGGACTCCTCATCTGTAGAGTAAAATCAAATACAAATTCTGTTAAAATTGATATTGGACATGTAAACATCAGAAAAGTACCATGAGAAACATAGGCCGAGTGCCCCTTGCCCCTTTGGGCTCATGGGTCTGACTGCCATTTCGTTTTAACCCTTTAACTCCCAAGATCTGATTGTTAATTCTCCCCTGTAGCTGCACATTTCCTTGTAAATTAGTTATGAGATATTGGTGCTAGATCAAGATAGCAGCTTCTACCTGATAAGGTTGAATATTCTCATTACCTGTTTTCTGAAGAATGTATGGATATTGTAGGAGAAGTTTTAAGTTAATTACTTCAGAGAGTTAAAGAGTTAACCAACTGATCCCTGAGAGTGACTACCTAATCTAATTTTACCATACAATATTACCTCTGAATCATGCATGAAGGTCATGAAATTAAGGAAAATAAACACCAACTTAAGAAGCTCTTGATTGTTAAACAAATTCTCCTTGTCAGTACCTTAGGTAATTTTTACAAAACAGTATGGAGAATATGTATACTCATGTTAGGGTGTATTGGGCTAGTAATTATTGCTTCTGTATCATGGAGGAATGTGTGTTACCTGGCAAAGGTGGTGTCCAGTGTGATTTCTTGCATTTCTTCCTAAAGCGGCATCTTCCATATTTCAGAAATAACAAACAAATCTCGTTTCCAGCAGAATCCAAGGGAATGGGTGTCCCTGATTTGGTAAATTTTACACTAGTCGGCTGTGAGCGAGAAGAACAAAAAATAAACAAGAATTTTTTAACAAAAGAAGAAAAAGAGAAAGAAATACAGATCCTCTGTAACTTTTGATTACAATCAAGATGCGTTTCACTTTGAAAAACCTATTTTTTAATCGTTGTATTAATAGGCACAGGAACAAAGATCCGGCTATGGATCTTCAGGCTCCGTAAAGAAACTGTGCATCTCATGTCTGAATGGCGTGTTAACAATGTTTTCTTTTTCTTTACAGAAATAAAGAGAAACCTGGAGATTCTAAATCTTAGCAGATTACAGAAAATCTTGTGTTAATACTTTTGGCGCGATCGACTGATCTTTGCATGACACTAACCATGTAAACTTTGACGTAACTTCCTGATTCTCCTTGGCGCTTTGAAAACAACGAAAGTGCCAGGCGCCGTGAAGAAACTTTGTGTCGTTTCACATCTAGTTATACCACTGACCAAGGAGGTCCTGGTTTTCGGTGACGAATTTGCCATCGAAAACTGGGGAAGTAACGAACAATCTCCTGTATTTTCATCACAAGTTTTTTTTTTTGGAATATGTTAGTACAGTAGAGGTTTAATTCTAAAGCTGCCACAGTGTTGGACATAAATGAACGCACATTCTGAAAGAGTGCAGGCGCGGAAGTTTATCTTCGGTTCATCTCCGGATTTACTTCGGTAATGTTCGTAGTCCGGTGTGCAGGAATTTGATAGGATGATGGTAGAGAGAAGATGTCATGTGATCTTTAGTGAGGGCAATCTAAATGTCTTCCATTTTTGAGAGGGGATTATCATCGAGATAGCGGTTTTCAAGACGAGGTTCGCTTTTGCTTTTGACCCAGTCTGAGAAAGAAGGTATATTCATCTGTGTACATCTTTAAGGAACCTGCATTGCTCCGGTAGTGGAAATTAATGGAAGATCGAATGACGGTTTCTTTGGCGGGTTCGAGGAGCCTCTTGCACCGATCGATTGTCGCGTGCTAAAAGCTAGTAAATGGCGGCATTCATGGAGTAAAACTTGTTAAAGGTGACATGGAAAACGACAATGGAGGAAAAGTTCCGGTGTCTTCTCAGATCCCAGAGAATGATTCAGGAACAAAGTATACAATACCGGGAATTTTGCACTTCATTCAACACGAATGGGCTAGATTTGAGATGGATCGAGCGCATTGGGATGTCGAGAAAGCAGAATTGCAGGTAAACTTAAATCGACTTTCTGGTCCCTCTTCGAAACCTTTTAACTTAAATACGTTCCTCGAATTTCATTTTTGTCATTCAAAGCGACCCTTGTTACATCAAAGCGGTATATCGGAGGAAAGAGTTGTGTACTTATTTTCGTTTATAGTAAGGTCAATCTACAAAATGAGCTTCGATTCTTGCTTATCGTGTCGGTGTTTTGATCCAATTTTCGGTTACTTCTGAAGCGTTCTCTCAGTATTTTCTAACCGAAACTGAATCGAATAAGCACTATTGCCATGTTTATTTTTCTTTATGTAGGATTCTGAGAATATTACTTAGTATAGAGCCTAAAATTTTTAGCAATTGGTTGTCCTTCCATCGCTCGATCGACGCCTGTTGGTGGAATCTACAGATATTGGTCCAGAGAGGAAATTTCGACAAAGTAGCAATTGATGCTACTTTCATTGACTTTTAAACACTTACCGTCATTGGAATAAAAAGAAATGTTCTTTCAGTGGTTGTGGAATATTTAAGGTCAATGATTATGAAAAGTTTTGTGTACATGTAATTTGTATCTTGAAATTTGGCCATTTCTAGACGATCTCGAATGCTCTTTCGATAATTGAATTCCCCTTAGCTTGCCCATGTTTGAAAAACAGACTGATCTTATTTCCTGGACGTAAATTTGGTTGGACGTATTCGAATTCGCTTGAAAGGCTTATTTCTGTTCTTGTGAGGGTCGATTTTTGAATGGGTTTATTTCAAGTTGATTAACATTTGACAAAGGACCAAACTCCGCATGTGTGTACTGTCTGTGAATATTTATTTTGAAAAATTACCGATCATGTTTGAAATAAATTCTCAGTGTTCATATAACTAATATTTTAAAAGTGAAGTACTTCTTTTCATTTTAGACAGTGCATTTTTGAAAAATTCAGAGGTGACACAGGAATACTTGTCTAAATTTTATTCAAATCTTATGCCCGACTGATATTTTAACACTTTTAAATAAATAGCTCTTGTGATGCATATAGCTTTATCAGTTTTGTTTACAAACAACAGTGATCTAAATACATCGCTATTCATAAGATAATCAGATGCTAATAATCAATGATATTTTGTACAATACTTTTAGTCAAGTTGACTTTTATTGTAAAGAGGGATTATGAGTTATAACATTTAAATAAATTATTAAGCATCACCAGTGGTTCAAGATCAAAGCTTCTTGAATCTCTGATCAACAAAGACCTGTTGCTTCCCCCCAAAAAATGTTATTTCTACCCTTAAATGTATTTACTTTTGAAGAAATGGCTTATCTCATTTGAAAGTTTGACAGTTTCTTAATTGACTCAAGATTGAAATGACAAGTTTTTTAAATCCTGACTATTTTTGTGAATTTAGTTTTGTTTGTTTATATATTTTGCTCATCTGGTGTTTATATATTTTTGAATTTGTCTGTTTAAGTTCTTAATATCAATTTCATTTGTTTTATAAGTGTTACTATGTTCAAGGTTTTAATTTAAGCTTATTACCCTCTTATTGATCCCAATTAAAATAATTTAGAATTTGTGTTTTTGAAAATATCTCCTGGTTATTTTTATCTTGTGCAATTTTGTCTTTGCTTTTGAAAAAAACCTGTTTATATTTAGATACAGAATGTTTTTTATGTCTTGTTAAAATTTTACCTATGAATACTTAAGGAATTGAAGGTGGTAGTAGTAGTGATAGTGGTAGAAGTGGTAGAATTTCCTCATTCACAACAACAACAGGGCTGTGTTTTGAAGAACAAAAAAAGCTAAGAAAAGCAAAAATTAAAATAAAAAAAAAACTAAAAGATATGTTATGAAAGTAATAAGTGTATTTGAATTGAGAAAATTTGTTACAGTAGAGGATTAAGATCTGTAAAATGGAATAACTTCTGCAATGCGCTTAAATTACATACAGTAACACTGTACGTAAAGCGCATCTCAGAGGTTCTTCTGCTTTAAAGATTTAATCCTCTATCACATGAGCTCGTCAAATTTATCAGCCAGAGAGTATTACCATTATTTAAGGCTAAAGGCTCTTAACTTATTGACAGGAAATAAGGACTTGCACACTTTGAAGGAGGAATTACTGATATTAGTGCAATCTTTTCACAGGCTCGTATTGCATTTCTACAAGGGGAAAGGAAAGGACAAGAGAATCTTAAACATGATCTGATTAGGAGAATCAAGATGTTGGAATATGCTCTGAAACAAGAAAGGTATCAGTGATTATTATTATTATTATTATTATTTACTTGGTTACTTGTAACAAGTTTATCATTGTTACCATTCTTCCCTCCATACACTCTTATCCCTAAACAATTTATTTTGTTTCTTTTCTTGCAGAGCAAAATATCACAGACTTAAATATGGTACAGAAGTGTCACCAGAAAAGATGTCAAAGGAAGACGAGAATGTGAACCAGGAAGCTCATAGGGATAGCAGCACCAATAACACAAAACCAGTTGTAAATTGGCGACAGGGTCGACAGTTACTTAGACAGTAAGTTTTACTTTGGTTAAAGTAGCCATTTGACCCCCTAGGGTGACTAGCATCTCATTTCTCTCTACATTATCACCCTTGAGACAAATATTAAGGTCATGAGAATAAAGGAAATGATCATGAACTAAAGAAGCTTTTGATTGTAAAACAAATTCTCCTTGTCAGCCTCTTAGGAAATGTATAGAGAACAGTATGGAGAATATGAATGCTGATGTGAGGGTCTGAAGGGTTAAGATAGGAAAATGCCAGCTGATGAGTCTTAATAATGGGGGATAGCAACAAGTTTGTGACCTTTCACTCTGTGCAGTGGAACATCAAATGGTGGAACAAGAGTCACAGCATGCACATTGTAACTTGATTGTGGATTGAATTATGCGAATAAAATGTGGTCACAAGTGTAAAAGAATTACAGAACAACCTTAACCTTCAGACTCCAAAATCAGCATGTAAATTCTCTATATTGTTTTCTATGCATTACTTATGGCAGTGACAAGGATAATTTAGTTGAAAGTCGAGCCTCTTGAGTGGGTGATCATTTCATTTATTCTTGTCACCTTTATGTCTAATTCAGGGTTGATATTGTAAGGAGAAATTAGATGCTAGTCACTCTGAGGGGTTAACAGGTTAATAAATGGTAGTGGGCATAGTGCATTACAATATTCACAGTGTTCTCCCTTATTTTAAGCATGACAGGTAAAATAAATTTTCAAACCAGTAAAGCAATCCTTTTACCTGTTGAATTTTCAAGAATTCCAAGCAATTTTAAATGGTAATAAGGGGTACTACAAGTGGTTACTGCCTGACAAGGAGAACACTGTATTCAGGCTTTGGAATTGAACAGATGGTGAATTAATTTTTTAAGGAATAAACTTAGTTACCATAGTCCCAAATTGAGACTATGGTTATAAAGGCCATGGAATAAAGGCAAAATCAAATGTATTATAAGCAGAAGAGGGATTATCAGTTATTAATTATTGTGGTTCATCATCTTGTAGATACCTTCAGGAGGTTGGCTATACAGACACTATTTTGGATGTACGCTCCTCGCGAGTGAGATCTATACTTGGTCTGTCGGTAGCAGATGGTTCTGCACCAGATCACCCCCAGCCAAATGGTATTTCTGGTAAAAGCAGGGGAAATGAATATGCAGTAATTGAGGAGCATGCACGATCTCCAAAAAGAAACGAGGTTGGCATTATCAGAAAGTTGCCAGATGAAGAATCTGATGGTGCTTTGCCCATAATTTCTGGGAAACGGTAAGGGATTATTATCAGTATTATTATGAAGTGAAACCACAGTATAATGGAAACTTGTATGTAGCCACCCTATAAAATTAACCGCCTCTTTTACTGTCACCTCTCATTGTTGAAAAAAAGTGGCATTCACTCATTTCCTTAGTTTATGACCCCATTATTGTAATATTAGCAGGAATCCCTCTCAACCATAAAAAAAGTAAGTTTTTCAGTGAAAGTAAATCCACAAAAATAGCAATGGCAAAGGTAACCAAATCATTTTTTCAACCAACAGGATTCTGCGATCTGGGCAATGCTATGGTCTCCTTTGTATCACCAGAGATTTCCTTTTTAATTTTTGGTGCTGTATGGCCACAAACAAAATATATGGCTGTATATTTTGAAATATAACATGTACTTGTGAACTTATTGCATTATAGTACAAGGAAATCCAAACTTCCAACATTTTTAGTGACTTTGTTGAAAGTTTTGTGTGAGTGGTGATGGGCAGATTTTCAATTCAGAAAATTGTGTTCCAGCTTTTTGTTCATGGTTGATAGAGCTTTTTAACTTTCTTGTTTACTTCTCAAGGATTTGCTCACTATGTGAATCATTTAGTCAGGGTAATGCAGCAAATATAATTTAGATGGTGTGCTCAATCCAACATTCATCACTATGTTTTGGGAGTTAAAAGGCAAAGGTAATCTGTTAAAATTTCTTTCTGGACTAATTTTGTTCTGCAACAGGGTGCCAGTGCGACCTGTTGTGAATTCAAGAGCACCTATTGAGGATGATCTTGAGACAGAAGCTGCAGTACTTGCCAACTTTGACTTCCTGCAAAATGATGTGGAAGATGAGGAAGATAATGAGGATGATAATGATGATGATGGAGGAAGTGCTGATGACGAATCTGATGACAGGGACGATTTGAGACTAGGACGGAGGATGGGCAAGAGAGCCAAACAAGGTGTGGTTCTGCTGCCTTTTTTAGTGAGATGCAAACCCTTAGGGTCAGAGCAAAACTTGCTTTCATGGTGTTATCAGTCATCAGTTATCATCGTAACAGCCACTGAAAAGCAAAAGTGAACAAAATTGATTTATGATATTTAACAAGACAAATTATCACCTCTGGCTGTCATCTTTTTGAGTCTTGCTTGAACATGGTTACATTAAGCCACGTAATTGAACCATACAATACTTGTTTGTATTATGGTATTGCAACAGTATCAGTTATAAAGAGAAAGATAATGAACTGTTGTTGTTGTTCCTCTCAAGATTTGAGTAAAGATGCTGTTGATGAAATGCTCAGCGTAGATGATGAAACTGCTGATGCACTGGCAGAATTTGATTTTGTGATGGGTGAAGATTCTGGTTCAGAGACAGATGTAACAGTGATTGAAATGGAAGACAATACTGCTGTGTTAGAAGATATGGATATTACTATGCCAGACGAAGGAGAATACCCTGCCCCTCAAGGTAAGAATTGTAGTTCTTGCTTGTTTTAATTTACATTTATGTTTGTACACTAAACTGCACTTTCTGGCCATTCCGAAAATACATTGTGCTTTGTGGTGATATCAGGGTAACATATGATCAATACCCAAGAGAACTAGAGAGTGATTTCGTACATTTTCTTTGAGCTTGGCTAAATTGATTCTAGTTTTTTTAGCTTTTCATAGATTTGATGGTTTATTTCTGCTTAAGCTTGAAGTTACCTTGCAAAGAAACTTTTAATTAACAATTTAAATTCTTTTATACAAATTTCTTTAATTTCCCAAAACAAAATTAATGAGTGGTGATATATTTATTTTGTAGATGCCAGAGATGGGTCTGACACTCAGGTTTGTTTTGTTAAATACTCTGCAATTACATGCATTTTTTTTTAATAAGAACTTTCAGTTTTGAGAATAACTGTTCATTACAAACTCTGACCATAAGTCGCTGATGATCTTATTGTTGGTAGATGCTCTCAGCTGTGGTCTATTTTACACAGTCAATTAAAAATTATTGCTTCAGTACTTCTACTGTGTCATGTAGTGCGAGTCTTTCCCTTAACCCATTAGCCCCTAAGAGAGGCTAGTGTATAATTTCTCCTTACAATATCACCCCTGAATCACTCGTTAAGCCCATGAGAATGAAGGAAATGATCAGTAACTAAAGAAGCTCTTGATTGTTTAATAAATTCTCCTTGTCAGTACCATAGGAAATGTCTGGAAAACTGTTTGGAGAATATACCTACTGATGTTAGGGATTAAAATGTTAATGGAGTGTGCACTGACTTGAGGTCATGTTACCCTGGAACATTGGCACAAATACCAGCCTACCACAACTGCGTAGCAGTTATTCACATGACCAAAAATATCTAGTATTTTGAAAGATGTTTTTTACGTCTGTTAAATGTCCACACAACAAATTTAAGCGATGAAAGCTGTTTACTATATGTCTGCAAGGTTAAGGTTAGGGTTAGGTTATTTAAAAAAAATATAAGTTTCAATTTGCTTGTCATTATTTTTTACTCAAGTTGCAGTTTTTCTTTTGCATTCTAGAATGAATGGGGAGTTGATTCAAACTTGCTGGCCAAGTTGAAAGAACAGTACAAGAAAGAAAGAAAGACTAAAAAGAGTCAAAAGAGTAAGTGACAAAGTTCTTTTACTGATTATTTTTTAGTGATAAATGTGCCTGTTGATGATTGATGCCTCTGCTAAGCAATGGGGTCATCCAAGGGTTGGGGGATATTTTCTGCTGTGGATGCACAGGTGGCTGGTTTATCCTATCCATGCCCACAAAAGACAGTGGCAGAATGGGTAGGGGATGCTGGCGGCAGACGGTAGGTTGCTTGCTGTTGCCTTCTTAGTTCTCCTGGCCTGGGAAAGAGTAAGATGACTCACATTGCTGCAGGTTATTCTAGCTACCTGGGGTATTAAGCATTTTGTCTTGCTTCCCAAACAGTTTGGGTACTAGGTTTGTTGGAACCCAATTACACTCCTGGGTAATGAGGCACCATGGGAGTAAAGTGTTTGAATAAGAACCTGGTACATCAAGTTCTCAAATGGGAACATCTCTTTGTGGAGTCCTTGGAGGGTGGGCAGGGGAATAATTACTGTATGTGGAATGAGTTTTAAGGGGTTTTATTTTTCATGTGGAATTTTTTATTTGAATTTTCCCTGTAGGACCACCAAGGTCAGCATTACAAGCCATGCTAGCCAACTTGGAGGGAGAGGATGAAATGCCTCAGTCAGCACCTTCACCGGCCATTATTAATGTCCCTCCACCAGTTCGGCTGAGTGGAACTCGCGCCACATCTGAGATCCCACCCATTGCAAGCGTTTCTGTCCCAGGGAATGCAAGTGCTGGGGGTAAGCCTTCTGTGACCACACCCATGGCCCCTGTGGATGAACCATTTGAGAGTGCCCTGGGTCTTGGTGAATTGGCAAGTTTAACTGTTACCAATGAGGCAGAAGCTCTCTCTTACGAGGTGAGTGGATAACACACTTGTGTCAATGTATGTTCAACTTGAAATTCAAGGTTTTTCTTTGATGCTGAGAAGGAACTGTCTGTAAAACAGAGTGATTTCATTAAAGGGGTGATTACCTACCTACTGTCAATCTGTTTAGACTATGCATGTGCAACTACATTAAGAAAAACATAATGCTGGGTTTGTGCTATGATTATTACTATTAACATTATTACCATCATTGTTACTGTTTTAAAAATTTTTTTGGTTAAAGTTAACAATTTCAAGGCATTCCTTCAAGTTCTTTTTTGTTTCCAGTATTCTAACTGCATAGATATGTTTTGTTTTTAGCCAAACACAAAGGAAGAGTTCAGGAAAACATGGAGCCCAAAGTTCACGCTCAGAAGGTATTTCTATTTGCTGGTTTGTTTTGCTCATAGGAAAATGATTTTTATAGATTGGGTGGGAAGGGAAAGGGGAATTGATCTTCATATCATATATCTTTATAGATTGGGTAGGGAGGGGAAGTGGAATTGATTTTGATGATGAGGGAGAGATGATACTAGGGAACAACCTATGACCTATTCAATCCAAGTAGAAAGTATTTGAGACTGTTTATTGCTCTGATTTGGTTGTTCTGATTTTTTTTTTGTAGTTTGTGTTCTTTTCCTGTTGGTTACTTCAAGGATTGTTCATATTTTATCACACTTTACAATTTACTTTGTATTTGTCTGTTTATTTGCAGTCATTTTGATAGCATCAGGTCCTTATACTTTCATCCGACTGAATCAGCTCTTATAACAGCCTCAGAAGATCATTCACTTAAATTATGGAATCTTCAGAAAACTGTTCCACAGAAAAAGTAAGAGGAGGTTTACTTGTAAAATCAGCAATAATAATAATAATAATAATAATAGAAAGAAGCAGCCCTTTACATGTCAATCCTTGCTACTCAAAGTTAACAGTAATAAATTTTTAAAGGATAAGCAACGAATTAGGACCAGCATGGCCGGTGGTTGGACAACATTTTTACACGTTTTTATTTGTTTTTTTCTCAGGACCAATGTGTTAGATGTGGAACCAATTTATACATTTAGAGGACACAGGTGGGTTTTAAGAAACTTATCATTAATTGTCCTCACTTTCTGCCATGCATTTCCTGGAAGGTCAGCTCAGAGAATTTGATTTTAAATCAAACACCGTCTCGATGTTGACATTTTTCTCAACTCATAACGTGTCCGCTTGAGATTGTATTGACGCGATTAGGAGATATTTGTTATTCGCCTCACTTGGAAGTAATCGGCTTAAGGTAGGGTGTACACCAGCGATATTGTTAGTTCTAAATTATCAACCGTTTTCTGCTGTTCTTTTGTAGTGCTCCTGTCCTCTCAGTCGTAATCAACTCTACAAGTGAGATGTGTTTTAGCGGCAGCGCTGATTCAACCATCATCTGTTGGAGTATTCCTTCTCTTGACATAGACCCGTACGGTCCTTATAGTAAGTTTCTAATATCGTAAAAGTAGTTTTAAACTAAGTTTTTTAAGGATTGTGGGATGATTGTACTGTTTTTGCCTCACTACCGTCGGTGATTGGTCAAGAAAATTCGCGCCACTTTCTTCACCAGATGCAAACTAAAACCAATCGCGAGTTGGTCATTCACGTTTTTCCGCGCTTCAGCCAGTTTGTCAGAGCTGTCAATAAGATAGGAAGACGGCCATGTTGTTTCGTTAGATGACACGCAAGATTTGAAACTATTCGGTTTAAATTTACTTGGCGTTTTACGAAGTTAACTCCAACCTTTTGAGCAAATTTTGAACGTGGAGTCGATTCACACTTCTAAACCTGTTACCGGTAAATTAAGCTATTCATTGTGCTGAAAGGCTGGGAAATGGCTGCGATACAAATTTCTTTTATAGTATTACCATAGTTTACGATTTCTCCCTAGAACTTGTGGTAGAATGCAGTCAAATTAGTTGGCTTGAGGTGGCAGACTAGCACGTAGTTTTGGCATGCGAACGGGTCGTATTGACAGCTTTGAAGGGAATCCGATTTCTCCTTGTCCCACCATTGTAACAATATTCAACGGGTTTCTTAGATGAACTTTTATATCGTTCCTATTCAGATTCGGAAAATCTCAGCGGCATGCTCGTAGCGCATACAGATGCAGTGTGGGATTTGGCAGTTCAGACGGGCTCGCTACAGTTACTTTCTGCTTCGGCAGATGGAACATGTCGGTTATGGAGTCCGACTTTAAAATCCCCTTTACTGAATAGCTACATTCCTGAACAAGGTACAGTAAATCACTTTCAAAGTTTCAAGTACTAATCACAGATGTTTTATAAGGTGATTCCCCAAAAATCGCCCGAATACCTCTAATAGCTTCAATAGATTAGGCAAGTTTTCTCGCACACGACACTCCTCTTGAGACGCACTACTCTAGAGATTTGGTAACCACTGGTAAAGCAGGGAAGATTTTGAGGTCAAAACCGTGTCACCAATCTTTTATCTCGCCTCCTTCAACTAATAATCGTAGTATTTAAATGGAAAACTATCCATCTCTCGCCATCCTGTTATGGTAACCCTTGGCGATAGGCTAGGAAATTCGTGTCTAAGTGCTCATGCCTTTTTATTTACAGAGGGCTGTGGTGTTCCCACGTCGGTGGACTTCATCCGCACTGAAACATCACAAATGGTAGCCTCTTATTCATCTGCTCAATGTATTATTTATGATTTGGAGACAGCGACACCAGTTGTTTCACTCGACAGCGCAAAAACATACAGTAAGTAAAAAACAGCGCCCATTCGAAGGCACTAATTTTTCTATCAGCCAATTTCTTCGTCGCTCAAAATCCTCAGTTCAAAACTCAAATCTATTCTATAAATGATTTGTGTTGAGGCTTATGATGTTATGTAGCGAGACAACCGATAGGCTAGTAACAATTTTCGGATCAATATCAGTGTCTGGGCAACTGCCCACCTACCCCTCCCTTAACCCAACATTAACCTTAACTTGTTGTCAATTTACTGTTGTTGAGTTAGGGGAGGGGTAGGTGGGCAGTTGCCCAGATACTGATATTGATCCCAATTTTCTTGTGATGAAGCCACTCATTTTTCACCTACTCACCTTTTGAGTTGCTTGAGGATTTGTCAGTTATGCAACATTGCTTTTTCTTTCTTTCCATAGATAATTCACCTTCTACACAAATAAACAAAGTAGTTAGTCATCCCACCCTTCCCCTAACAGTCACAGCGCACGAAGACCGACATATACGCTTCTTTGACAACAACACAGGTAAGAAAATAAAACGGCAAACTGTTTCATGATTGGCTATTTGTGTTTGATTGACGCTTATGCAGCTGCAATCTTCACTCTTCAATCTTCTTCAATCTTCACGCAATCTATCACTCGTAATCATACGAGTGTTAACAAAATTGAACGACTGCGCCGCGAGGGTCCGATTTGTTTCTCAACAGTATGATTACAGACCGAATTGGACGACACGAAGTCTTAATATCAGTTAATCATTAAAACTACAATTTCCGAGAAAAAAAGAATAGCCAAGTTATGATAGAAACGGAAAATTTGCATTAAAAGACTGACAAAGGAGGCGTAAATTATTTTATGTCGTTCTGAAACTGACTTTGAATGACAACTTGAAAATTTAGTATTGATAATTGCGTAATACAAGTCATTTATTATTATAACTTTGAATGTGATGTTTAATTTGAACTACAACTTTGAATGTGACTGGCTTATTGAACTGTCAAAGGCCTCCGTTTTCACCTGCCAATTTCTTGAAGAGAAGCGTTTCCATTATGAGGATTCAAAGACTGCTTTTGGAGTCGCTTTTAAAAGTCTTCGTTTTCATTAGCATTTACAAACGTATCAGTATGAATGAAACGACGAAAACGTTTCGAAAAAGAACCTTTTTAAAGCGAAAACATTTTTGCGTGAATATTTCTTCATCAAAGGCTTACTTCCACTTTATTCGAAGGCCTTGTTTGAAGCGGAAACCTTTTAACAAAGAATTTTTCTCTTTCCTGAAAGAAACAAGAAGCGTTTTAGAAGGCAAAATTTGCTTCGCAATCGGAAATGAAAACACGTGGCCTTCTAGGGACACAGATCGAAAAAGAGGATGACAAAGATCCCTAATGTGTCTTGTCTTTTGAGATGAGTTGAAAAGACCTTGATCGCGTTCAGATTCTACACATGAGTCTTCTAGGACACTATTTAAGACACAGAGAAGAATTTCGAGGTACCCAGCGAACTGCAACCGAAGCTCTCTCTCTCTCTCTCTCTCTTTCTCAATAGTTAAGCTTTTTTCTCCCTAGCCGTTATAAGTTTTCTCTTTTCAATCTACGCTTCTCCTCGGAAGAATCATGTCGAACGGCACCGTTTTGGTGACAAATGACGGAGAAGAAAAATTCACGGCGACTTCTATAGCTCAGTTCGTTTTCCTGGCAACCATGTTCTTGTTCGCTGTGGCTGGAAATGGTTTGGTTTGCTACATAGTTTACCGCTTCAAACATCTACGCACCGTGCCGAACGCTCTGATCGTAAACCTCTCAGTGATCGATTTGTTCAATTCTCTGGTCAATATGCCGCTCTTTGTGAGCTTCTACATTTTCAGACTGGATGTCTTCAAAGGAAAGTGGATCACCTATGTGTTTTCTTCTTTGCATAACTACATCATATACTTGAACGTGTTGACGCTCATGGCCCTAATGGCTGATCGTTACGGCGCCATTGCGTTTAAGTTTCGGTACCACTCTTGGAAAACCAAAAAAAAAGCGTACCGCGGAATCGCTCTTATCTGGGTCACGGGTACGGTGTTGATAATATCCTTAGGTTTTTATCGCGACAGAATTCTATCCCATTATGAGGACTTGCCTCTGATGGAGTACCGTCGAATTTTATATAAAACTGGGGGTTGGAAAGTTGCTTTGGCCCTGTTCGGTGCCCCTTTGGTTGTGATAACCGTTTTAGGTGGACTTATCTGGCGGTCTGTCAAGGCAAGTCGTAAGCGGATCGAAGACTTAACTGGTAGAGATGAATGCACTTCTCAAGGCAAAAAAATGCTGGACCTCCTCCGAAAAAAAGAAATTCAAACCACTCGGAACATTATTATCGTCGTGGTGACTTACTTCGTTTGCTTCGTGCCTGCAATGGCGCTTGGTATTTGCCTGAGAAGAGATATCACAGTTCCTTGGTTGGAATACTTCGCCTTTTTCTGCTCTTATCTAACCAGCGCGTGTAGTCCGATCGTTTACTCGTTGCGCACTTGTCGATTCAAACAAGTCATCCGAGAGCTGTTCACGCCAAATAGAAATCGCCCAGTGTTTCCAGTTGAACTATAAAACGTGAAAAGCAATTGAAACGTATTGACAAGTGCATAATTTTTTTTGAAGCCACCCGACAATGTAAAGCGAAATCTTGTCTTTATTATTTAGCGACAGTTGTGTTTTATTTTTCTAAGGAAAAAATGTAACGAGAGTGGACATTTAATCAAAACTTATTCTTTGAAGATACTGCGGGACAGAAAGACTTAGAAAATAACAGGCAATAAATGCATGCTTTTCGCAAAAATTTTTTTCTTCGCTTTGGTTTATTATTTAATATTTAAGTGCTAATTGGGGTGTACGAACAGATTATAGTGTTATTCTTTGCCAGCGGACATAAGCTCTCGAATCATTAAAGTCTGCCTCTTCTAAATCACATTTCTTGTTTTATCTCATGCAATCCAAAAGAAAACCATGCTAAAAGCTGACGTGTATAGGGGCGGACAGGCTGACGTAAGCGGGTCGGGAAAAAGCCAGCCGACCCCGGAATTCCTATCGTGGACGTAAACTTAAAATAAAACAAAAAAAAGGGGAAAAAAGTCGCGCTTTTCGGTGAATTGGGTATTTTCTAATTCCGATTTTAAGGAAGGAAGAAGAAAAATTTAATTGTGAACTTTTCTGTGGTGTTCAGCGCGCGCCCGTTTATGTATGAAATCGCGTTCGTTTTTGGTTCAAACGTAATTTCACTTTTTGCACAGATCAGACGTCCTCTGGTAAAATACTGAGTTTGTTGGAGCCGAACGGGAGAAATATTTTACCCGTTCGGGCCTGCCGTTCAGTACACAAGTATATTTGTTTCGTTAAAATTTTAGTGAATAGGTGTTATTTTTAACTCGTGCAAAGGAGTTTTCATGGGGACTCCGATACGTAGACACTGTGGTAATTAGTCGTTAATTAGTCCCGAACTCGCCCAAACACGAAATCATAGTAGAGTGGTATCCGCGCAGAAAACGATAGAGAGGCTTTGTTGCTATTTATACCAATCATCATTGCTTTAAGTACACCTTCCAAGTGAAAAAAAATTTATCAAGCTCAGGCACAAACCTAATACTGTGGATCGCTTTGATTGTTTATGATCTAATGTAAAACATGAACTGTGATTAAATTCAATTATGTACACATTGGCGGCTGGATTGATCAGAAGCGGACGATAAACGCAGGATACTACTTTGTGCTGTTTTCTTGGTCTTATATGCGTTTATTACTCTGCGGAGTTGGATGTTTTCCATGATTGTGGGTCTCTCCATGGTTCTCCGGAACCTTGGCTTTTAAGATAAGAGCAACCTTGCATTGCTACAAGACCAATAATTACAAGTTCACGACCATGTTTCATCTTTATACTAAGTGCTTTCTGCACGAGTTGGCCATAGGGATTCTTAGATTAGATAAAGGAGATAGTTGAAATTATTTGACATATGGTGTTTTAATCGATTTCTTTTGTTCAGCCTCATTCCATATTCATTAGGTAAAGGTGGTTTCAATTAAGATCAAAATGAACATTTACGCTCCCAGAAAAGAAAATCGAAAAACAAAATTGTCCTCTGCGAAATGAAAGATCAATTTTGGGTAGAATTGATGTTTATCAGGGTTTCTATTCGAAGTGTTTTTTTTTTCTGAGTTCCTTGTCTCGAATTATAAAGTTGCGCATATCAGTCTTCGTTCGATTTTGCGGAGCAGGATTATTTATGATTGTATCGTCTAATATCGACAACATTTTAAGGAAAGGAAATCGTTTTTGCTAGGAATAATAAGCATGCGGTTGTATTTACAGTTGTGTGATGTTTGTTTGTTTTTTGTTTTTTAGGTAAACAAATTCACACCATGGTAGCTCATCTTGATGCTGTAACCAGCTTAGCAGTGGACCCCAATGGGTTGTACCTCTTATCAGGAAGTAAGGACAGCAGTGATATTTTCTGTGTCAGTATTCCCCAATCCCGCATCCAATCGACATCTGAGTGCCTCTTCAAATGAGCCCAGTTAACTGTACTGGCTCATTTTCTTAGATTTCCCTTTCTTGAGAAAGTAAAAAAAAATTAACGTTTATGTTCCAGGTACAGAGATCTTTGGTACCTTTTTTTGTGGATTTTAGGCTTGTTTCAATGAGGGGCTATTACGCGAAATATCAGCTTTCAGGGTAGTGTCTGTGAGGTGAATCTGTCGTGAAGAGTTGATAATTATGTAATCCTTTGATGAGATGTTTGGCTTTAAGTTCTGACAGATTTGTGTTGTACTCGGATTTTCTTTGACACAAGGTGTTTTAAATGAATTCTTACCATCACAACTCGACATGATCGTTGTCAAAATCTCAGTCGCATCCCATGAGGTTCGAAACGTGATTGATGCTAGTAGAGACCTCATTATCAATTATGTTGATATAGCTACATATTGTGCATTTTACCGACAACACGATAAAATTACCTCTTTTTTTCCGTTTAGGTCATGACTGTTCCATTCGTCTTTGGAACTTGGACAGTAAAACCTGTGTCCAAGAAATCACCTCGCATCGGAAGAAATTTGATGAAGCGATATACGACGTTGCTTTTCATCCCAATCGACCGTACATTGCTAGTGCGGGCGCGGATGGATTAGCTAAGGTGTTTGTTTAACGTCGAGGTTGTCAAGACAATGTCTGCGCCAGTATGAATATTACGAAGCTTGCGTCATAATGGTTTTGTCCAACGGAACTGTGAAGCGCTGCGTGGTGTCGCTAAAATGGTTTCCTTTGAGCGAAGCTGACTTTAAGACGATTGCGTGATGCAGTTACGCTAACGCATCACATGTATCTTTGCTGTAACGCCATGCAAAAAGCCTAGTAAGGTTGCAAATGTCTTGGAGTAAAATGTAAAAATTTTAAACGATTCTTCTTATGACGAACTCAGTGCTCGGGAAGCTACATTTGAAGTGGGCATCTTGTACAAAAGTGGACTGGCGCTTGTCGACGAATTCCTCCGCTTCATCCTGCCACAAACAGGACAGGGCTATTATGGTAACAGTGTATTAAGGCCATGGTTTGATATATTTTTGTTCAGATCTACATTTTCAGAGTGCTTCTCTTTTGACACCTGTGGGAAAACACCGAGTTATTATCGGTTTTTCATTTGCGCTTTTTTTCGTACTCACTTTTTAAACCGATCTCAATCTCCAGTTTTTATTTTCGTGCATGTCATCTCATATTTTTGGATCAAGGGTGCAGGTGGACTCGGATACTATCGCTATTATGTCACATTTGAGTAAAAACATAATACCTACAGTTCAGCGGAAAGGAGCGAACTTGTATCGATTGATATTCCAATACCCACGAACATCAACCAATTGATGTACGAACACGCTCGAGCATTTCTCGACGGATTAACGAACACTCACGAGTTTATATCGATCGATGTATAACTGCTCGGGAGCACTATTGTCTGATTTAAATTGAACTCCCTCTATCTCCACCTTTGTTGAATTTATACTTTCGAAGAGCTTTGAGAAAAATTTTTTGCCGACGTTTTTGTCCGAGATGTATGCAGCTTGGCTGATTGGTAACATGATTTTAACCTTTAACTTCAGCGGCTGGTAACCTTGTGGACTCTTTCAGTTCAATAATTTATTTAGTTTTTGTGCAGCTCAAAGCCATTGGACTCTGAACTTGAGAAAACTGCGACTGTTTGACTCCGATGTGTTACTTGCGATCATTTTCTTTGCTGGTTGCTTACGTGAGGTGATTTTTCTGTCACGCAAGCTGTCACGCAAGCTCGGGGGTTGGAGCCACTAACTACAGCATTACGATTTTCTTCTCTAAGAACAAAATGGGTCCTAGGTATTTCTTTTCGTCTTTAATAGAAGAGATTGAAGCCTTCATTGCTCATCTTAATCTAAACTAGAAAAAATACAATCTATTTTTGTTATTGCGAAATTATTACAGGTTGTTAGACTAGACCATCTACTAAATTATAAACGAACACTTAATTTCCTGTTTGCAAACATTGGAGAACACTTATTTTGGTAGTAATTCAGCGAGTTGTAAACTAAACGTCGTTTCCTTTCAAACGTGTTAATCTACTGTTTCTTAAGTTGCAGTTTGCAATCTGACTAAATCTTTTTCATCCCTTTTCTTTCTCTTTTCCTTCTGGTTTTTTCTTCCTAATCCCAGAGAACGTTTCTTTTTACTATCAGAAAATTAATGTTAACTTTGTTCAACGTACAGAACAGTTCAAGGATCGAGACAAGCTTCTTGTGGCTCAGGAAAGAAAACGAATGAGGTGGGGTGGGAGTTGGTCTTGTTAAACATTCTTTCCTTTACCACCCAGTAGACTTACTTTTTTTTTTTTGTTTGGTTGTCTGGTTTTTTTTTCTTTTACAGTCACTCACGAGACATTAAGTATTTCGCTAACGGATACTTTTTTCTCGGGATGGGCTTGCTTTTTAGCCGACAGTTCGACCCAGAGAACTTTGTATTAGATCGAAACTTCGGGGCTAGCTTCCCATGTTAGTATAAGACTGTTGTATCAGCTCAAGGATATTTTTTGGGCAAGAAATTGTACAGTAATTTTTGATTTCAATCATTGCTTGTATAGACTTAACTAATTAAGGTTAACGCGAGAGATGTTCTGATTCGTATGGGACAATAAAAAAATTTGGCCTTTGGAAGAATACTTCATTGTCATCAATTTACATAAAAAAGTCCTTCTATACTATTTTTTTCTAAATGCACTGAAACGATCGCAAACAACTGTCGTCATGTTTTGCTAATTCCTGATAATTAATAAATAATGTACAACCGTGTTCAGGAAGGGATCGACACACTTGTACGAATTGTACAATACTTTTGTAAAGAAGACATTAGTATGCCAAATCGTTCAACTAAACATCCCGGAAAGATGTGCTGTAGAAACTACAGCTGCTGTATTCTGCCAACTGAGCTAGCGTTGTGGCTCACTGAAATTCCTGGAAGGTACTGCTCGTCCTTAAACCTCCAGCCGCTTGCAAAGGTGAGTGAAAGGCTTAAGTTTCTCCTGTAAAGATGAAAGGACCACGTTTGATTTAGAATTGCATCTTCGTTCAGACATCGTTGAGATAACAGACGTTGCGCACGTCTCACATGCGTGAAAGTCTCACTGATAAAGACGGTGATGCCGCACATCTTCCGAAGCCTTACCTTTAGGCAACATAGTTTTAAAGTTGTGTGGAAGTCATTAGGAAAATTGTTATTGTTATCATAAAACCACAACAAACGGTTACGCTTCTTGCTGTTTTCATTTCGATTTTGATCCGATTACTAACACATCTTTTTTCTCACCGTTACGTTGCAAAGAGAGAGAAAAAAGGGATGGGGGGTGGAGGGGAGAGAAGGAGAGGGGAGGGGAGATACCGATGTCAATCCCTGCCTTTTACTTTGCTCTCTGTTTCCTGAACCGAATTTTATCGGCCGCAGGACAAACTAAACCTAGAAAATGAAATGATGCTATATATATCTTAAAGATATCACGAATAATTGAATGAACAGGGCCAAGGAAGGAATGATACAACACGATATACCTGGGAAAGTATATAACTCCATCCTCATGGAAATGTGGTTTTGCCACTGAGTTGGCTTTACCCGCAAGAATCGCGCTGTGATAGGTGGATCCAGGAGATGATAAACAACGGTATCCTGGTCGAAATTGCCCTCGAAAACCTAAGTATCAACACATTGTCATAAAAGCATGATTTCAAAAGAAATAACCTTGACCGAAGAAATGCAAGGTACGTTTTCTGTAGCTAAACATGCGCATCTTTGATTTCTTTACAAATCATTTCGACACCGAAGTCACATTCACACGTGTGCATTATTTTAAACTTAGACAGTCCTCTACCGTGGGGTAAAAGCGCTTAGGAGATGTTCCAGGCGAGTGGTTTGCTTCGAGGAAACCTCACTGGGCCTAGTAACCTATTTCGTCTCAATCACGTCTTCTCGTACCAATCTCTCGCTTCATATCGAAGGCAAGATGGATTGCCTGAATTCTGAACCCATGTTTACTGAACCTTGGACCAATGGTTGTTTTCCGTAACTGCGCTAAAATTTGCATGTTAATATGAGAACTTACCGTGTCGGAGGAATCTCCTTGTCTCTTGTAAAACAAAAATGAGACTCCTTCGTCGCTGAACTGGATTTTGTATTTCTTCACCCACTGTGAAGGCGAGTAATGATTCCTTCCTTGTGTTGCAATGTACGTCACATTGGTGATTTTACCGAGATCGACCTGTAGCCATTGGTTTAAATCATTCGTCAAACTTGACCAGCCACCAGTCCCTGTCGAAAGTCCAAGCTCTTTTGTATGGAGTCGTGCGCGCGCAGGTTTGTGATAAACGTTGAACATCGAAGAAGCGATAATTTGTGAGTCAGCGATGGAGCCACTTTCCATGCCAAGAGCTTGCATGTTTTCTGAGAAGTTTTAAAAGATAATGTAAAAACAAGCTGATTGTGCTGCTACTTTCCCTTGCTCTTTATTTCTCTCAGGGAAGTAAAGAAACTGCGAGGTGAGGATGTTTTTTGCTATTCTCATTGGCAAGAATGTTGCGAAGCGTTGAAAAGCGAGGACTAAACAGCACGGAATTATCATAAGAAACTATGCCAACTTTAAATTATTATTTTCTACAAGTACTATTATCATTATATTGACTTTGCTTTTTTTACGGAACACCCGAGTTTGTGTTTATACCAATGGAGCTAGAACGATCATCATGCTAATTCGTACTTGATTGGTCGAAATGATGACGCGAATTTTCTTGATCATCACAGTGATGCGCAGTAATGCAAAACGTGCATAACGCCCATTTCAGTTTTAGCTCGCAATTGAAAATTTGTCTATAAACTAGAAATGAATTCGGAAGGCCAACCTACCAAGACAGCCGTATAATTCTATCCTCATAGAGATGTGGTTGTGCCATTCTGTGGGTATCAACCGGATATATCGAGCCTTGACGGGTGAGATCACAGGATTCTTCACAACAGTATCTCTGTCACTGTTTCCAACAAACACCTGATGATTTGAAATAGGAAGGTGAAGAATTCTGTAAATCTCTATTCCTCTTAACATAATTTTCTTTGTCAAAGGGGCCTGTAAGTTTGTTAAAAAGAAATAACTCAATCATAAATATTACTGAGAAAAAACTTTTTTTTTTAACTTTGGAATGAGAAACTCGAAATATGGAACCATGACTAACATCACGAGCGCACGCAGGTCTCCTCAAGATTTCCCGCTTTGATCCCATGCATCTCGTCCCTTCCGGTGGTCCTTGCTTTGATCCCGTAAGAGAATCAAAGCGGTTTGGTTTCCTCGCCCTGTTCCATCCAGGAGAGATTACTTCACTTCTCTCGTGGTCAAATCACAGCAGACTGGATGAATCGTAATTGATTTTTAAGCAAATAATACTCAGCTGAGGCAAAGTTTCTCCGTTAATTAGTTTATTTAGCTACGCTTTTGTCATTTCTTTTTGTCATTTCGCTCAGATTTGATGAATTCACTTTGAGTTAGGGCTAACCTTATCAGAGCTCTCCCCGTCTTGCTTAAATACCCGAAATGTGCTACCATCGTTACCATACTGCAGCTTATACTTGGTTACCCACTGTCCATGCATATTTCGTCCTTGTGTTGCCAGAAATGTAACGGTTGTCTCAATTCTTAGATCAACTTGAAACCACTGATGGACGTTATTCCCGAGCGCGGACCAACTGCCTACCCGCGACCCTGTTTTTTTGAAGTGAAGTCTTCCTTGGTTTGGTGCGTGATTACTGTCGTATTGAGACGAAGCCGAAATCTGCGTAGGTGTAATTATGTAGTCTTCCATTCCTAAAGGTGCTGAACAGACTTGTAAGGAAAGAGGATGCAATCACTCAGAAAGAACAATCTTTGATATGAAAGTTTCAACAGGTAGAATGCCTATTTCTCTCACGAAATCACTTGCAGTAGCGAAAAGACTACCAATACGTTATATTAAGCAATTATTGGATGAGGTTGAGCATGATATCATGAATAGTCAATGCCGAGGTCCGCGTTATCTGCCACTGAAGCTTAAGGCTATGGCAAGTAAAACAGACACAAGGTTTGATAATTCTTGATATAATGCGAAAACTGAATTAAAAATGGGCTCATCATAATTTTTTTACACAATCTGCAAAAAGAAAAACCTCTATGAGTTTGCAAAAGTTTGACAACACTTCACGAGCGATGGGCTCGGAAAACAGGCAGGCTTTAAACTCGACATGATAACCCAATGTCTACTACAGATATTGGGTTAACATGTCAACTTAACACCGGGTTTTGTATATTGGTTGCATGTGTGCTCTCGACCAATAACAGCTTTCTTAGTAACTCTAATGTGTAATAATAGCAGTGAAACCCAAACAAGTTTTTTTCTTTTTTTTGAACGAGATTAAGCAAGCCTCTATTGGCAGAGAATATTGCACCGGGTCATTTGCTTGTCAGGGCGTTGTTAAGAAACAAAGAAAAAACGTAAGTTATCGTCTGCACCATTGTTGCTTCCTTTTGTCGCACTGCACGGCTGTTTACAAGGTTGGCGTTTGAACTGCTTGAGCTGGTTAGGTCCACTCTTGTTCGACCTTTTTCTTAGGGCCATGACCAGCTTTGTGTCTGATTTAAAATTATATATTATAAAAAAAGGACGAGGTTCTTAATCGCACGTATTAGTATTTATGACAGTAAACGGTGTTTTGATAAACGGTGTTTTAGTAAGTTTCATTACCTCAAACAACAAAGGGGCGAATTATCTTTAACATATAGAGTATCATATCTAACTGGGGATGAGGATTCCAGAGCAACTCCAAACTTAATTTTAGAAACACTCTTTTTTGGAATTTACATTTTTCCTGTATCTGTATGTAAACCAAGGCTAATTTCGGCTGTTATTTCAGGAGATATTTAACATTAGTCAACGACTAAACCAAATTCAAGGTCTTCATTGAATGTAGAAATTTAAGAAAACCATGTTCGTTTCGCGCGAAGTTGAGACCATGACTGTCCTACCATCTTATTCCTCGACTAAAAATTAGATCCAGTTTTAAATTTCGTTGTTCCCCTTACAATATGGCTTGTTGTAACCTTTTAAACTATTTAAGGTAAAATGTGGCATTTTATTTCAACTGAACTTTAAAAAAAATTTATAATTATTGCTATTATTATTTTTATTTATGCTCACCTTTGCCACAATAACGACCCCTATGGCCAGGGGTGCAACTACAACTGTATGTATTCTCTTCGTAATTCGGGATACATGTACCGTTGTTTTTGCATGGATGACTTGAGCACGGCGACTGCAATCGAAAGATAAGACACGGCAAATATCAGAATCTTTTCATTCATGGAGTATAACGACAGTGTGGTTAAAACTGACGTTCAACATCCACGTGTATATTCGCCGACGTTTTTTTGCGAAAAAAAACTGCTTTCAGATATATAGTATGGCGTTCAAAAGACGGGGATCGAGAAGAAACAGGTTTTGTAAATCGCGAAGGCGACAAAAAAATTGTGTTTTGAAAAAAAGGAAAATGCGAATCAAGATTTACCTAAACACTTTAGATTCCTCATGAGTTGAGGAAATTATGGCACACGAAAGCCTAAAGATGGAATAACATTCCAGAGACGCAATTTGTCCGTGACTGGTAAACACGTGAAAGAACAGTGCTAAGGGCCGATAGATCTTAACGAACAATGCTGTGGAAAGTTCGAGTACCTTAATTATGTATGAAATGTTGCTTATTAAAAAAAAAAAAACCAGAATTGAACTCTTTAACAGACTACACTCCAGCAAAACTTTTCACTTTGTTAAAAAACATTTTTTTTCTTTCCACATTTTTAATGTTTTATTTCACGCCTTACTTTTCTGTGTATTGAATATTGATATTAATATTCCCTTCTGATGATGGTGACATGTCGTCGCCGAAGCGTCATGTTTTCATGGCCTTGCTTTGTTATGCATAAATGTTTTAGAAAATTAGTCTCTATTAGAGAAGTAATTACAAGCTTAGAAGGAACAAATTTTAGAATTATGGAGAAGAATTAAAGGGTTTCACATGACTTAGGAATTAATTTCGCCAGTTTGTCTAAGACACTAAAAATGCGAGTAGCTTCTTTCAACTCATTACCTCATTTTAATTTTCTCCGCACCCGTGTGACAACAAAAACTCCATGCGCAGGAGCAATCATACATTTTAACGGATACGTTGAAACGTGATCTGAGTATAAATCCAAGTATAACGCAAAAGTGATTTATAAATCGCCCCAAAGTTTTTTTTAGAGATTTATGTGGCTAGATAGGAAATCTAATCATCGTTTTGGCTCAAACTCAGCTGAAAGATTGACTGGCTCTGACGATGGTATCTAAGCAACAAAACTTAATTAATTATTTCACTCAAAATCGTCCCTCCAGATATTCTTTAGGCTTCAGTTTACATTATTATTTTACATATTTAAAAATCTGTCGTCTTGTCAATGCAATATTAATTTTTTCATGAAAATGTTCAAATAAGAAACAGATACTTGTCCACCTTGGGTAAATACGCAGTGAGCTCAGGTAAAGAAATAATTTAAGTCGTATTTTGTCCGTTTTGCCTTATGCAGCAAAATAAGAAAACGGACCAAGAAAGACATTTTCAAAACTAATGAAAAATTGAATTTCATGATACATACATGAGTTACGCCCTTATAAGATAAATTATTTACCTCAATGCTGTAATGGTCAAACTGTTGCGAAGATGTCAAATTTGTTGGGCTTCTAAACTTGTCTCCGCTTAAAAGTTCGCATAGAAATTTTCCATTCTGATTTGGAGACAGCCCAATGTTGAACGAGTAACACGTTTGTTGAGTAACACAGGCAAACGCGCATTCTTGAGCTTGAAGCACCTCATGGGAAAAGGCTGGCGGAGATACTTGTAGATAATGAAATTTGTGAATCTCAAAATTTGCGTAGGACACACCACCATCTGTTCGCTTTATAGCATGATTACCTTGGGTTTTATCCTGATTTTGCTGTGTTGAGCGAAGATTTTGCATCAAAATTACTAAAAATAGCAAATTAATGCGATGCATTTCAGCTGCATTTGCGAATTTCAAAATTTGCATTGACACAGCACCAACCGCTCGCTTTCAAACACGAGTACCTTTGGTTATGCGCTGATTTTGAAAATGATGTAGGTGACAAATTTAAATTATTCACAAGTGTCAGCGGTTGAAAGGCAGATGTTTTCGAGGTATAATAAGACGTACAATAAATAAATTGTAAACAGAGTAAGAGAAATGGTAAGTTTTGAGCTCGGTAAAGGAAATTAAGAAAGACGTTTTTCGTCTTGTGGGACAAAGAAAAAATTCTGAGTCCCCATGAACCGCAGACCTTCGAATTCCAGGCTCCGATGCTCTATCACTGAGCCTCAGAGACTCAACGGTGAGCGAGGTCTATTAAGAAGTTCGTATGACAAATCTGCATATTGCTAGGATCAGCAAGATCAATAACGTCATGTTTGTAAATGGAATAAGAGAGATGGGAAGTTTTGTGCTCGGCAAAGGAAATAGAGAAAATTTTTTTTCGTCTCAACCTCCCACGGAATCCGAAAAACATCCTTCTCTAATTAATAAACTGTTGCCAATAACTAAGAGGCTGTAATTAAAACTTTTGTGAGGAAATAATTTCACTGCCAAAATAAATGTTTATTAGTTTTTATGCTGTATATTTATCTCCTTTTGAGAGCTTTATATGAACGAAGCTTCCAAGCATTGTTTCAAAGGCCAATCTTTTTTCTTTTCTATTTTTTTCACAGCACGCCATGACAATGGGTAAGCAAACCCATCTAGTTTAATCAATCAACGTCTTCTGGTGTTTCAATATTTGCGTTTTCAAGTTACATCATAGATGAAAAAGACATGTAAGCTGATATGTTGGTTGGTTGCTTGACTTAATTTTCCTTACAAAACTTCATGGACATTCTATTATCCAAGAAATCTTGTGCTGCTAAGCCATTTCATCTCGAATCTTAAAGATCTGAAAATCCCCCGTGAAGCAATTTTCAATTGAGCGCCAAGAGAATGTGATACAATTGGTTTCGTGTTTCTACGTCCTGTGACTGGTTTATAAAACAACAAATCAGATGACAAGTTTAAACCAATCGCCATTTGGTTACTCAAGGTATCTCGCATTTTTTTCCATTTGCCTAAAATTCGCAAACCCATTGGCCTTTAGAGACAATTTTTCTTTTTTCGAACGAACTTTGTAATAATCTTGGTTTTTGACACTCAGTCAAATAGGACTCTCTCTTGAATTTGACGCTTTCACCCGTAAACTTGTTTCAGAGAAGCATATTAACTGCTGGATGTCTCCAGCTGATGACATCTTGAAATGCCCTTCACTGCGCATGTCTCCCCCTCCCCCACCTCCTTTCCTTTTCCCCGCCCCACTCCCCAGAAAAAGGAAATTGGATAATAATTTTAACCTCATTATTTTAATATTTCAATACAAACAAAAACAGGAGAAAAAACACATGCTTCTGTCACTCGACTGTACTGGTTAAAAGTTTTTATGAGTATTTTCCATTCCTCAATAAATCAGGAACACATCTCTCCCTTTCCTTGGTTGTACTGGTCTGAAGTTGTTGCACATCTTTCCATCACCGTAACCAGTGGAAGACTGGAGCCGATTGAACATTATAAGCTGAAATGATTGAAAATGTGAATAAATACGAGGTAGCTCTGAAACCTTAAATATTCAAGTCGGGAGACATGCAAAGCTCCTCACTCAGACCCGTCCGCATGGTAATTAATATCCCTATTAGCTCTTGAGTTAATTCTATATCTCCTTTGATGAAACAATCCTCAACCAAGGCTGCCCAAGCTGGTTTAAATTACTAAATTGAAGGCGCGCTCTGATTGGCTACACAAACCCCGAATATCCTTTGCTATTTACCATCAAGTAGTGAGGGCGCGCACTGATTGGCTACACAAACCCCGAAAATCCTTCGCTATTTACCACCAAGCATTGAGGGCGCGCACTGATTGGCTACACAAACCCCGAATATCCTTTTCTATTTACCATCAAGCGACTCGTATAGGATTTACGACCGTAAATATTGTAATCGTTACAGGAATAAATTTCTTTAAGATTATATTTTTGTGCTATATTATCTCATTGTTCTTGTATAAAATAAAACTACTATTCCCCTCAGCGTCCGAGGCTAACGGTGAATATTTATCTCACCTTCTCGGGGCTCGGTAAATATCCACGTACTACCAGCCACCTCATGCATTTTGGTTAATAGCTGTTAATCCCCAAAGCGAAATTTAAACTAATTTCATTAATCTTTTTTAAATCAAATTTTTTAAAATTTTTTTTAGCATTGCGTGTGCACACTAAAGCAATTACAGTGATATAACCCCTACTGACCTGGGATGGACTAAATGGTGCAGTTTCTGACAACAAAATCCATCGTACAGATTCGAAGCAGGGAGGGGTGGTAAGGGATCCTTGGTAAGTGTAGTAAGGCGAACCATTGTTAAATGCAGGTACCAGATCTTTCAAAAAAATTTTGTCTGTTTCTACCACTGGGACACTTCTCCCTGTAATTACAATGTAGTTACCAGAAAAATGAACTGTAAGTAAATTTTTTGATGATGGGCGTTGTTTTGCCTAACACTCGAGAATTTTACATCCATTTAGAAAAACCTCGAGTGTTTATGAAGAATTTACGATTTTTTTGAAATAATTGTGACAAACAAAGTAGGCGTGATATCTTAAGGAATTTGTAAGAGTTTAAGAGTGTTTTACTTGTCTTCACTGAAAATTTTAATTTCCGTGAGTGCGTGCCTTGTGTAGTTTTTTAATCAATCTGTGGCAATATCATTGTATAGCGAATTCCAAGAGATACCTTCTGCGACGATTATTTCAAACTTGCTTTGCAATCTGCTTAAAATTCCATTCGGCTCCGAACCCAGCTAAAATCAAAGAAACAAACATATACATGTGATAAGTGGAGGCGCGGTGGCCTCATGGTTTGTGCGCTCGACTGCGGATCAAGTGGTCCGGATTCGAGCCCTGCCCGTGGTCATTGTGTTGTGTTCTTAGGCAAGACACTTTACTTTGTACAAATGGGTACCATGCTGGGGGTAAGCCCTGCGATGGACTAGCATCCCATTCAGGGGGAGTTGCAAAAGTCCTAGCCGCTTCACGCTGATGAAACCGGATTTAAGCGCCGGCCCCATGGGCCATTTGGGCCTGTATAAAGGCTTTACTTTTTACTTTTACATGTGATAAGAAAAGTCTTTTAGAATTGACAGGTGAATGTGTCACCAACAAATATAGCAAATTATTTCTAACACATAAGCATGGAGACTGCTATCTCTTGGGGCAGCAAATATTGTACCTCAAAAAAAGCACCAACCACGGCGAGTCCATCAGCCTTATCAGCGGCCCTTGCAAAATCTGTGTAACTTGTGTTATAAAACACGAAGTGTGCCTGGAAATAATCATTTAAAAATCATCTACGCTATGATTTGTGGACGGATTTACAACAGTGTCTGTTTTAGTGAAGCAGAAAAATTACCGATCGATCTTTGTGATTTACAATAGTTTTTGAACTAGTCTGGTCGGCTGACTTTCGCAAAAAAATTCTCCCTTTTGAAAATTATGGCTATATTTTGAGGAAAATTTTGTGAAATATTAGTATTTTGGGGAAACAGTTGGACTGGGAAAAGTGTGACCTAAGTAGAGCCGTCCTTAATGAGAGGTTCCTAGGTTCTCGAGGATGTAAATTTAAGTACTCCTCAGAAATCTTAGCTCGACACAAAAAAGAAAAAATGCATAATGATAACAATTACAAATATTGATGAGGGACAATGACATAAAAAAGTTAAAAACTCAATTTTAATTTCGAAACAACAAACAAGGAATACCTCAACAGGATATGAACTTCCAGATACTGTGTGCTCTGAGCCTTGGAATGATGAACATCCAAAGTGGAAGTGAAATTGCTCCAGTTGGAACACAGTATCCCCCACAGGACCCCCACTGAGGGTGGCAGATCCGAGAGATTTTTCAATTGCAAGGGTAGGGGAATGGCCATTATTGGTAAATGATCCAATTACAAGACCACCCTCGTTATCAAAATCGATTGCTAGATTTTCCTCCCATATGTTGCTTTTCAATGAATAACAGTCAAGGTCGATGGGGGACTGGGCCGTACCTGCGCACTGGGGAGCGATCTTATACCAATCAGTGGGGCCAAGTGCTGGGAAAGAAAGAAAGAAAAAAACAGCTTTGTTATAGAACCAACTAGGGTATTCATTGGTCACGTGATTCCTCTCATTGCTCTCATTCAACTGTCTTCTATTCAATAACCAAGATAGTATATTTACCATTCAACACTCGTAATTTTTTTTTAACTTTACTTAGAAAAATAGATTTACGACGCGACTGACTGAGTTATGGGAAGTGTCCTCACAATGGTAACACTACGTAACGCTATGTAACGCAATACACTTCACCAACTGATCAAAAGGGCATGTTCAGGGCATATTTTTTAATCATATTGGGTGAGTTTGAACTCATGAATTTTATGTATATTTCCCCCACACATACTTACTGAGATTTCTGGACTTCCCATAGCCCCACTGGGGTCCTGAAAGTACAAAAAGACGAGAGCTTAGCGTAACTAACACAAACAGAAGTCAGTGATAAAGTGACATCTCCTTTAACAAAAACGAAAAACGGAAATATTTCATAATTACCTCCGCGGGAACCAGCTAATACTGCATCAATTACCAACAGAGAGACCAGCGAGAGGAACATCATGCAATTCTGAAACGAACCACTTTGAAAATGATTCTTATTCTAGCACACAAGTAAATTTTATCAAACCAAGTACTAAATTACTTTTCATTCTCTACTTGATACTGACATGGTGAGGAAATACGTAAGCTAAAACTAAACAAACCAAACATTAGATTCACGACAAAACGATAGAAGACACTCGCTTAGCAGTGACGCTCTTTAACCCTTTAAGTCCCACCAGTGACGAAGACAGAATTTCTCTTTACACTATCAGTACAAAATCAATCAAGGAAAGAGATACCTCAAACATTTCGACGAAGATGATAGGAGCTCGAAACACGAGTTTGAGGTTATCTTTCCTTATTTGGCTCAACACTCTCCAAGTGAACTGACAGTAATTCTTCCCCAGTCTCTTCTGTTTAAGGTTTGATTATTGTGATCGATTTATCCCGTTTTTTGTGGTCCTTATGATGTCAACTTAAGCTTAATTCCCGACCAAATGGAAATTTTTATCAACTTCCAAGCGTTGAAAAGACTACTTAAATTTTGTAGATATTATAGAACTGGCCCCATCTGATTTTTGTCAGGTATGTGAGACTTTGAATAACTTAGAGAACATATTTTTGAACAAATCTGGGTAATATCTTTTCCAGGAAATTTGCGCTTTGTTTTCTTTGCGGGGATTGCGCTGGAAATTTCTATTCTAGAACACATTTTGTTTCAGGCTAAAATTTGAGCCCTTAGTGCTACTATCACTGCAGACACCTTTTTTACCATTTCTAAGAGTCTAGGTCTGGAAAGTTTTGTGTCATATAACATTACGTTTTGCAGTTTTTCTCCAGTGCATGTCATCGGGGCCAAACAAGTTAGCTAAGATAAGAAAAACAAAGACAAGTTATGTTTGTTATCAGGGGTTGAACTCACCTCTCGAATAATAAAACCGTTGAAGACTTTTCTCAGGTTTCCCAGTTACTTTGGTTAATTAAAGGTCCCCGACCGAATGAACAGTTCAACACCTATGAAAAATGAATTCATGGTACCAGATTGTAAACTGCTTTTCATTGGTGTCAATAGACCCTTTCATATTCCTGGCATTCGGCAAAGTACATAAAACCTGCTCGCTATGTTAGAAGCAGCCTATTACCTGCCAAACGGCGTTTTAAATGTGATAATTTGACCTGCTGATTGTCAAACGAGTATGAAATTGAAATAAAGTCTAAACAGGTTTGACACGAGTAGGAGTTATTCTTTCTTGGTAAATCCTCTATATTCGGTTATTCTTTACATGATGGCGCAGTTTGTCATTTTCTTATAGAACAGAGTTAAAACTTACATTGACAAGAAGTCACCGGTATTGAAATGAACCAAATTTTTATTGATCCTTTTTGTTATACAAGTAGTATCAAAACGCTATCGACAAACCAATTCATCGCCGATAAACATCGACAGCAACAAAAGGAATCGTAATTTTAGAAGCATGGATGCTCACGATCCAGGAACACAACAACGCGTGTTGTTGATAGCGGACCGCTGAGGGATCAATACTCCAAAGTAGAAAGGATAGAATTGCACAACCCTCAGCTGTTGAAAAATCAACCAATCATAGCGGATATCTCTCTTCATAAACTAACTCGCGATCAGTTCACCTTACCGCCACTTACAAATTAAGGGTGGTATGGCTTGCCAACCTCAGACTACAATGCAACGGGTCTCAGTTGTATGTATTTCATGGAGTCTTTAGTTCCTTTATCGAAGCTCAAATGAATACACTTTAACCAAAAACGTCACAGAACAAAGCATTTTGTTAATAATTAAGAAATACAATGACAGAGAGAGAATTGGGCTGGGTCCCATCGATCATTGTTAAGAAGGGTTCTTGTCTTAATCATAGGAAAACTTTCTGATTAAATTTTTTTTTGAGGTTCAGCTTCTGTTTTAAAAAAAAAATCCAAAGCGAACCAGAAATAACCAATTTAGAGCCACGAGCTCAAATGTACAACTCATGCGACGCACACTTGATCATCTCCAAAAAAACATATGAGATAATATTAAAACAAATGGAAATGAGTTTCCGTCATGATGATGCACGCATATAAAAATCAGTTTCTTGAGTCATGATGGGCTTGTAATCTGTCATTAAAAAATGATTTTTTAAAAGAGAATTTTGAAATATAATACTTCTGTTAAGAGGATGTTATAACGAATGATTAAGTGAGTGTCAAAAAATTACATTTATCGCCGAATTACGATGTCGTCACTACCGGCTCAAAGTAGTCAATAGGTTAATTACGGGAAGCAGGATATAGTGACAGTAGGCACTGATAATATTTTCATCTCCAGGTAAAAACAAAACCATACAAACAGACTTGGATATTAATATCAAGTGGCATGTAACTATATCATCGTTTCCTCTCACGTGTTTCACCGAGATGAAGCATAAAAGGGGACGAAAAAACCGCTGATCTCTGCATCGAAAGGCTCAGTCTTAAACCCCGGCCTTAGGGAATAAAATTTACGAAATGCTGCAAGGGTAGTAGAATGATGGGGGGGGGGGGGGACTTACGATGGACTAAAGGAATACAAGGGGCCCAGGAGAAGAATTGAGTGCCCTTGTCGCTCCCAGTTCATACTTAGATAGGGCAATGAAGGCCTTATGGTCTGTTTGAAAAACGAGCTCTATGCGTCCACGCGGTGTTTCTTGATGGTATGAGCCTTCAGCTTAAGATAACGGCTATTTATTTCTCTTGATAAGGACATCAATTGTACATTTTTCATCCTTGTCGATATGCGAGGGAAGAACTCCACTGATCGTTTGTATTTGGCGAAAGTAATCATCCGGCTGACAGTTGATATCTGTTTTTTTTAATTCGGCGTTCACGACTGGCTTCCTTTAAACTTTCCACCAGATATCCCTTTGGACTAAAGGTTCCCACTCGTCACATAGTTTATTACGAGCATGGGGAATATACTGGCAGAGATCTCTCTAAACTCTAATAGCGAGAAAATAGAACGCATTTTCGATAAGAAAATCCCGATGAATTGTAATCTTAAGAGAATAGATACTTCCTTGTTCAAAGATTGGATAACATTCGGCTTTGGTCTCCTGCATTCCAACTATTTTTTATGAACTACTAATTTTCATCCTTTGATCCGTTTTTAGTAAAGAGACTAACCCTGTTTGCCCCTATGTTCTAAAGTTTTGTTAATATTACGGAGCGGTGTTTGCCGAGGCATGTATTCTTTAGGATGATTTTCGTGACCAAATCATACTTTGGTCTGTTAGCATTGAAAGCATCAGCGCATACTGATTGAGAGCTTTACGTGCCTCTTTCAGTTCAAGTCTTAAAATGAAGGCTTAAGTTGAGAGTGGTTCTCTATTGTTGACGATAATGTCACGATACATCCATTTGCTTTCTTGGATACTTCGTTGAGGATCGTCTCCAGATTTAAACAAGTATCGTGAGAAACTGCTAAAATTAGAGAAAAGATTTAAAATTGCTTGCCTTTTTTAAGAGCAACGGTTAGCTAACACCCACATGTAGCAGATTGATACTGGGTGGTTTTGTTTGTTTATACGGTGGGTTCATCTAGTCCCACTTGAGACCCAGTCAAACCAATCTTTCAAAGATGAATCTTTCCATCCAAATGTGTAGAAAACATCGAACTCGTAGTTGAAGACAAATTAAAATGCGTGTGTTAAATTGATATTTCCCCGGTTCATAGAACTTAAATTAATGATAGAAAATAAATTTTCAAAAACAGATGATATTGAATGTATTGTAATGCTTGGTAACATGTTGTTTTGGTTATTTTTATTTCTGTGTTGCTTTTGGAGTCATCATCAACTATATTGAAAATTTTACCGTTGTTGATTTTACTGAAATAGACGTTAATTACAATGGAATGTTCGACTGTCTTTTTTAGAACTGTGAGTTATTTTTGTTTTTCATGCAAAAAGTATTTTTCCGTTGAGATGTTTTACTTACATGGAAGTTGAAAACGTTTGACTTGTAATGCAGCTGAAAAGAAGGAATTAAGTTTTCAGATGTAAAGCTACTTTAAAACCAACTTTAGTGCCCCAATGCAAGCCAGTTGATAGGAGACAAAATCTCTTAAATGCACTATCTGCTTATTGCAGCTTTTCCTTCCACAGTGTCACATATCTGAACACGAAATTAGCCTGATCTCATTTCTTGGAACGAAAGAAAACCAAGGATTTGTAAATGAGGTGATCATAAATAAAGTGGACTGATTGAACTTCAAACCCACTTGTACGTACAAGTTTGCCTTCACGCTTACAGCTTTGTGTTTCATAATTAAGCGCTTTTCACCTAATAAGTCATAAAAGAAAATCTGTTTGTGCCAAAATGGCTCTTCCTTGTTCATTCAGCGTCTCGTTTTAAAAGGCTTTTATCTTGCACACCGAATTAAATGAAGCTAATTGCTTTTTGATTGTGGGCTTCAAATCGTGAGTTTATTTGACGTAAGTATTTGGATGAGAGCGACTCCTTCATTTGTATGTAATTATTGTAAACAAAGTATTAGGTCTGCACTTTCGTCTCTTTTCGATGTTAGTCGAGATAAGTTCTTCTGCTCGTCTTATTTTGAGAACTTATTTCTATATTAAGTTTACTATAATTTTTCTTTCACCGTCGTCTGGGAAATATGAACCAAGTCATTTCATTTGCATAATGAAGAACAGAGGAAAACACTTCCGTCTCAAGCTGTTCTCATATGTTCCCTCGATGTTTTTCCAGTATTGAACCACAGATAAAGTTCTGCTCGCATATCAACGTCACTTCAATGAGGAATGAATATCGAATGATGTCAGAACTTCTGAGCACGACAGAAGAAAATGTTCTTT